CTTAATAAACCTTAAAGGGACGCTATTTAGACTTATTACTTTCTAGCTTACTATCTTACTTAGCGCCGCTATAATATTAGCTAGCTAGATCTATTAATTAACTATAAAGGTCGCCTTAGCTATAAGCTAAAGTAGCCCTTAGGTTATACTAGCTTTTAATAAAAAGAACTTAGCGGCTAGTAACTAAGCCTTTACTTTAAAGGTTTCTATTAGTTAGTCCTTACCCTCCTTAAATAATAGCGGGATATAAGTCGGTTTTAATAGTAGCTTATTATAAAGTTTAACTTACCTCTTTATATTTTAAAGCTTAGTATTATTAGCGCTAAATTCCTTGAAGAACTTATACTAATAGGCCCTCTTTACTTTATAAATAGTTTACTTTTAAGCTATAAACGCTTTATATAAGTCTTCTTAGTTTACCTTACTCCTTTCCTACTTATACTTCCTTCTTACCTTCTTAGCCTCCCTTATTACCCTCTTTACCTTTAAGGTAAACTATATATTACCCTTAAGTAATATTTACTTTTAGTATAAAACTATAGCTATTACGATCTATATTAAAGTAGCGAAGATATAGTCTAAGTCTTAGTTAATATCCTTAGGCGTTTAAAGTATTAGCTAGTATAGTCCTAGCTAAAATATAGTTTTAGCTTTAACTAGCTTTACTTTTACTTTTTTTTACCTTAAGGTTAGTTTAAGTACTTAAGCCTAAGTATTAACTTATAGTATAATAGTTTAAGGGATATAGTTTAACTTAGTTAAGTTTAGGTTAAGCTTAGTATACTATATCTTAGTCTTTAATATTATAAGAAGGTATAAGTAATAAGCGTAGAATCGGGTAATTAATAACGTAAGTAGAAAGATCGGTTAAAGGAGTATAGGGTAGGATTTCGTCCGGAATTTATAACGAGCATATAAGGGGCTAAATAATATATTAAAAGAATAGCGTTATAAAGGATACTTATAAACTTACTTATACTATCTACTACTCCTAGGGAAATCCTTTGTCTTTTATAGACTATTGCTCGCTTATTAGTAGACTAATTAGTTAGCTTTCTAGTATATTCTATAGTGCTTAAAAAGCTCTATCTATAGTATATCTTCCTAACTTAGTAGGTGGTCTAATTATAGCGTGATGGTTAACGTAAGACTATAGGTTCTAGTATAAGTAGTGGATTTAACTAGAATATTCTATGCCCTACCTATTCTCGTATCGCGGATATCTTCGGAACCGCTAGGCTAAAATATATAATAGGGTATCATTTCTGCTTATAATTAACTTATGCATTTTATATATATTTTATTTTATTAGGATAGGCTTATCCTAACCCGCTTTTCCTAGAGGAAGGTATAGATATCTAGTAAAGGTCTTTATCTTTAAAGGTTATTCCTTTAGACTATATTATAGAGCCTCTTTTTACTAGCTTTATTTTATAAAGCCTCCCTATGCCTATTATTTCTTTATAATAGTAAAATAGGAATATAAGGGTATATTCTTATAAATATTACCTAAGCTAAGTCGATAATACTACCCTTTTAGCTATAGAAAAATCTTATATACTTCCCTTTTAAAGTAATAAGTTTAAGTTATAATCTTATTACCTTTTATATAAGTTATATTACGTTATCTAAGGTTTTATTATATTTATCTTAAAGTAAGTAATAAATATTAAAGTCCCTTACTATTAATATAAGGTACTTTAGTTTAATTATACTTAAGTTATATAATACTCTAGCCCTTATAGCCCTTAGTAGTAAGTAAATTACTTATAGTTTAATACTATCCTTAAAAATTACCTTACTTTAGTTTAGCTTAAACTAAGGTAACTAAGTCCTTAGCTTAAGCCTTTTATATATATATAGCGTATACCTCCCCTTTTTATAAACTAAGCTATAAAGCGCTACTTTAAGGGGGGGGGGGGGCGCTTTTTAGTATAGCCTTTACTTTTTATAATACTATTAAGTTAAAGCTAGCTTAGTAGTAAAGCGCTAACTAAGCTAGCTTATATTTCTTTTATATATTTTAAAATAGTACTTTTAGTTATATATAAGTAGGGTTAAGGTAAAAAGGGTATTATCTATATAAGAAAAGAGGCGCTTTATCTCTTAGCGCTTCTCTATCTATTATACTTATAAATATTATTTATACTTAGTTTAGCCTCCTTAGCCTTATTAGCTAAAGGGTATCTTAAGCTTAACCTCTTATCTTAGCGCGGTTTACTTAGTCCTTACTTTTAAACTATAGTCGATTTAAGAATACCTTTAGTTTTAATAGTAAGGAGTACTTATTACTTAGTATATATTTAGGTATTTGCGAACTATTAAGGTTATCGTAAGTAGTTTTCCCTTACCTTTTCTTAAGCTTTATTTATTATAAGGTAAGTTTAGGTTTATAATAAGTAGTCCCCTTAGTATAAAATATAGTTATAAGGGATTTCGCCCTTTTTAGCTTTATATTTATCCTTACCTTTATTATATATTATACTCTTATATTAGCTATAAAGTTATATTAATATATATTATTTAGTAATATAGCTATACTTATAGTAATTATAGTATTTTTATAGTTAAATCGACTTATTATAAGGTTTATATTAAAAGATTTATACTTTAAGGACTAAGCTTAGGTTATAAAGCCTATTAGTATTTTTTAAGCTACTAACCTTAATAAGTATAGTTATTACTATTAATATCTTAAATTAAAGGTATAGCGCTTAGGCTTAAAGGACCTTAACTTTATTTACCTTTATAATCTTATAAAATAATCGCTCTTTATTTATTATCGCTACCTTTAAAGGGATATTTATAGCGACTACTATATATATATAGTAAGTAATTATAGCCTTTAGTCTAAGTATAGCCTTAACCTAGCCTTAGTCCCTTTAGTAAGCTCTCGCTATAGTATTAAATATAACTATAATATTTTTACTTTAAAGGCGCCTTACTATTATAGCGCTTATAGCTTTTAAGGCTATATTTACTATCTTTACTATATCTTTTAGTTCGCGGTTTAAGATTTTAAGTAATACCTTAATAAGGACTATAATAATCTTATATTTATAATATAATAAGACTTATTTTACTATAGCTTTATATTAAGTTAGTCCCTTAGTATTAGCTACTACTATAGCCTAGGTTCGCTTAAGGCCCCCTAAGCCTAAAGTAATACCTAGGCGGAGTTCTTCCTTAATTACCTCTTTAATTACTTCCTATATTATTATCTTAAAGCTTTTATCTATATAAAGTACTACTAATAACGCGCTACTAATATAGCTCTTTACCTTAGAGAGCTATTTAACTACTACTTATACCTTACTAAACTATATACTTAGGATAAAGCCTATAAGTTTATTATATACTACTTTTTCTATAAGGTTACTTAGTACTTAAGCTAGTATTATATTACTACTTTAGGTTTATTAACTCGCTTTATTAAGGTATATAAATTTAAGTAGCGTCTCTTTACGCTATACGCTTTAATTAAGCTTAGTACGTTAATAGCCGCTACTACGTCTACCTACCTTTTAGCCTTAGTATAGTATTATTACTAAGGGTAATTAATACTATTAAATTAATTCCTAATATTAGTTAGTATTTTAGTTATAATATATACCTACTATAAGTATATATTAGTTTTATAAGAAGTTTTTTATCTTAAGGTTAAGGATAATTATATAATTAACTATTAACTAAAAAAACGCTTATATTACTAATTAACGCTATAAACCCTATATATATAAAAGAGTTACTTTTTAAGGTTACTTTATAATAAGGCTAATATAATTCTAACTAACTAAAAATAATACCTATAATAGCTAGTATAAGATTCTTATATATTATAACTATAACTTAGTATAAAAGTAAACTAGCTATAAAAAAAGAAAGGGTTTTCTTTAAGTACTTTAGTTTTTCCCTTTTATTTAATACTAAAGTTCTAGATACCTTTAAATAAGTTATTAGTATAATCTTAATTAATATATATAAAATATAAGATAAAGCGCTTTAAACCTATTATAGTAGTAACCTTTTTATAAGGAAAGGGCTTAAAAGAAAGCGAGCCGCTATTACTTAAGCTAGCTTCTTAGTTAAATATTATAAAGTAATAGTAAGCGATTTAAGTATAGTATTAAAGAGATCTAAGGATATAAAAATAAAGTAAGTAGAAATTAAAGCTTATAAGAGAAATAATAAATAAAGAGGTAAGAAAAAGTAAGAATAAAACTAAGAAAGGGAGGTAGGTATATATATATATAAGTTAAACGTATATAATTAATAACTATATAATAAATAGTAAATATAAGCTACTATACCCTTAATTAAAAAGTTATATAGCTAAATAAAAACCGATTTTTAATTAATAAAGCTAGCTAACTAAATTTTAATTAGCTAGCCCTACCTAAGAGCGACCTATACTAGCGCCTAGCCTAATAACTAGATATTACCTACCTTACTAATTAATAGACTAATAAGCTAACGTAGCTATAGCTATATAGTAGTAATATAAGAGCTATAAGGAATAAAGGCGCCTATAAGTTAAGCCCTTAAAAAGAGACTACTACTTATAACTCTAGGCTTAGGCTAGTAAGCCTAGGCCGCGGCCGCTTAAGATTAAAGCGGCTATAGCCTAAGAGGGCCTATATTAAAATATAAACGCATAGGAGAAGCCTATAGTAGCTAGCGTAAATTTCTTATATACTACTACTAAGACCTTATTTAAGGTAGACCTATACTAAAAAAGGGGAGGGTTTTCCCTTAAGTACTTTAGTTTTTCCTTCTTATTTAATATTAAAGTTCTAAATACCTTTAACTAAGTCCTTAGTATAATCTTAATAATAATAATAATATATATACTTTTATAGCTACTACTACTATAAAGTATATATATATATCTAGAATAGCTTATACTTACTTCTAATTATATAGCTTCTAAAGTATTTATCTCTTACTAATTTATTCTTTAAAGGTATAGGTTTTTCTTTAGTAGAGAGAAAGCTACCCGATTATTCTTCACGGATAGCAAGGACGAAACGCTGTTCACCAAAATACAGGTTGCCATGTCCCTGTTGCCACCCTCCTTCTCGCAAGCCTCCATCGCATTGTTGTAGTACCTTGAGCCCAGGGAGCCGATGCCTAGTAGCTGAAACAGTCGACCGACATTGTAGAATCGCTCGGCCATGGAGCCGCCTTGTCCTTTCTGGCCCAGTTCAAGGTACCGAGACAGAAATGCCTGGCCCTGCAGGAGAAGATACTGCCGGTTTGCAGATTGCCTCTTCAAACCGTAGTGCACGTAGGCCAACCCCAGGCTCAAATTGATCATGGGGTTTGTTGGGTCAAGCGACCGGGCCCGCAAGAAGTAACCTACTCAGAGTCGTTAGAGCTCAGGTCAGTTCGGAGCACGCATATAAACCTACCTAACGAGTATGCGTAGCTGGTGGATGTGAAAAGAATATGGCCGTATAGCATCAGCAAGCATACGTCGACGCTGGTGCCTGGCGAATTGTTCGCTGCACTTGTACTACTGCTGAGCTCGGCGTGGCCTTGGCGCTGCATCCATACACTCGCATGGCTGGCATCGATGGCCTTGATCTGACGCAGTATGAACTTTTGAGCTGGCCCTGACGTATACCATGCAATGGGGGACTGGCAAAGTCTCGACAGCAGCGCAAACATCCGGTATGAATCCGTAGTCGCACCGTCTCGCATCAGATGCCGAGCTACGGTTACACATCGCTCTTCGTCGTTGTTATATATGGCGCATACTAGGCAGGTCAGAGTGACAAAGTTGCGCATATTCTCGGCTCTTGGTCCTTACCGCTCCAAGCGACATATATACTGAAGCCATGTTCAGAGGACTGAAAGACAGTCGAGTCCTTTGCCGCTTGGCAGATCTGATACGCTTCGACCCGTCGATGCGCAACCGCCAACCCAACGGCGTAGTCGAGGAACAAATCTAGCCAGTCCTCGAACGAGATGCCTCGATGCGCATTCGGATTCGCAGATGCAGCCTCGCGCCCGAGTTGATCCGCATGGGGAGCAATAGCTAGCGCGCAACGTCAGCAGAGAGCCACGCGACAGCCCGGATCTGGGACAAACCGACAGCGTGATAGGCGTTCGTACATCTGCGATAGCTCGGAATCTTCTGGTTCAGCATCCGGAGCTGGCACATGATGCTTCGAGCCGAGGAAGTACAGGTATTTGTCCCAGGTGTAGAACCTCTTGAGCGATCTGAAGTCATCTACCAGTTCCTTTGAAGTGGCCATCCAGGCTGGGACAAGATCATGGCGACCCGCCGCAATCTGTTGCTTCAGATCGCGAACAGCCTCGTATTGGCTCGACAGCTTGAAAGCACGGGCCCTCTCTTCTTGAAGACGCTTGTCGGGCGCAGCAAGCCTCCTTGGGCGGTATCTTCTCGGAACAACAGGCTTCTGTGAAGCATCTTTGGATGATCCGGATGGTTTTTCACCCGTTTGTGCACGAAGTTTGCGCCGCCTTGCTGGCCCGCCACCAAGTTTAGCCCGTTGGCTGGGAGCCGAGGAGTCCTTGAATCCCGGGTCGCCTGAAGACGACTGAACACGGGCTTCGCGCAGAGCCATGGCCTCGGCGGCGAGAATGAGGGCCTCCTCGCCTTCCCTGGCCTTCTCGTACATGTTTGCAAGTTCGATCCGAGCCTCGATGCTATCTTCGTCTGCATCAATTGCTCCTAGAAAGCATTCCTCGGCGCCCGGCTGTTCTCCTAGGGCAAGGTAACAACGTCCCAATTGCAGCAAGACGGCAGGGTCTGCGTCGCCCGGGAGCCGTCGCAACTCTCGATAATAATGGACAGCAAGAGATTGCCGTCCGCACCGGACGAGCTCGTTTGCCAGTTCGTAAGCGAGGAGGGGGAAATCGTTGATGAACTCCTGCATGTGGCCCTCATCCCAACCCAGGATGTTCAGGTGCGTCTACACAGGTTCGCGGGGACATGTCCCGAGAGGTCAGCAGCGACTACGAGCGCGTCAAAATAGGGAGGCGGCGTACCAAGGCTTCTGCCTCATGCCCAAGCTTGAACCGATACGTAGCCAGCCGTACGCGCAGATCCTCAGGCAGAGCGTTACCGTAAAGTCCTGGGTTGGAGCTGGGCCCGTCAAAGTCGCAAACTGCTGATCGGCGTAGCGCGTCAACGTCCCATTCTCGATCGTCGCCCTGCCAGTCGTCCCAAAACTGCTCTATGGCGCGCCCGATGAGCCACCGCGAGAGGGCTTTGAGCTGGCGGATGGCTTCTTGATGTTGACCAATTGATGCAAACAGTTCTACAAAGATGCCAACATCGTGCCACAAGTCGTCTCGGCCACGCTGCGGCCGAGAGCTCATCTCGAAGTCAAAGAATTGTCCATAAGCCTGGATGGCTGAGGGGACAGCCGCAGTGGCGTTCTTGCTGTCGACACAGGCTTCGGCCAGCTTCCTCACTAGGTCGAGATCGTGCGGCCGGCGCTTGAGGACGTACTTGTATTCGGAAATGGCCGCAGCAAGATGGCCCTGGCGATGACATACAGCGGCCTTGCCGAGCCTTGCTTCTATATGTGAGGTGTCAGTCCTCAGGGCAGCCGAGTAGCAGAGGCGGGCTGTGTGAAGATTGCGATCCTCGTCGTCCTCTATTGTGTCCAGAGCAAAGGTCGCACACTTTAGCCAGCCAGACACATCCTTGGGCCGAAGGTGGGCGGCATAAACCATGGCCGAGAGCGCCCGATCAAGCTCATGGCGCTCTCGAAAAATGGAAGACAGTGTGGTCCAGGCTTGGTGGGTTTCGGCATTGATCCTGATCACCTCAAAGGCGAGATCCAACGCCTGGTCGTAATCGCCGCTGAGAAATGCTTGGTTGACCTTGGAGAGGCGCGCCGTAATGTCTCCCCTCGGCTTGGCAGCCTTGCGAGGGCCACGCGCTCCTCGGCCCCGGGAACCTCCGCGAAAGCTGTGTCTCAACTCTGCGGACCCATGATGAGAAGCGAGAAACTCCCGTACAGACTCGTCAAACTTGGCGATGTCGCCCTGGAGCTCTTCCAGGTCGGAGTCGGAGTCAGACGCATCGCCAGGATTTCTTGAAACGCTTCCTCGTTAGTGTCGGCAGCAATGAAAAGCCTGGAAAGAAGCGGCTTACCTATGGAGCGGCTCATCTTGGAATCGGCTCATCGATGCCACTGTCCCACTGAGTCTAGCAATGGGCCTGACACGCCGAGCGTCGGCCTAAAGCGGGTGTTATGCTTTCGATCAACCAGAAACTGGGCGATGCACCTGGTCACTGCGAGGCCAGAAAGCCGCAGAGCATGCAATAGATGCGCCTTAGATAGTTTCGTAGCCGGACAAGTCTCTGCATGCAGTGGAATCGCGTACACGGTTTGCATCGATAGGCTGCAGGGTTGAGTAGGGGAGCCGAGTTCAGTGAGTCGCTCGACTCTGCTTAGTAAGCCGAGAGCTTGTCACTTCTTGAAAAGCCAAACAACGAACAGACATCTACGAATACGTATGCACTCGGTAAATTCAGGTAGGACGAGCGGCTGGACCATTGGTACAAATGGTTGTGTAACCCATTCGACAGTTCTGAGCGCGGCATTATGTCTCGGCAAGGGCGCCTGTCTCGGAGGACGGGCCCTTTCTACAAAGGCTGGGGCGTGACGCGTCAGAGTGCGCGTGGTATTGACAGATAAGCCTCCCACAAATGGCGTACACCCGCTGTGCGATCGCGGAACGCGTGGGCTCGAAAGATGGCAACAGCACGCTATTTCGTCCTTGTAGCGAACAACAAGTGCAAATTCGACTCCTGGAAGGTTGAAACCAATGTACACATCTCCAGTTTACAGTCTCAAACAGGCCTCGCCTTCCCACACCTTTGCCGCTTAATAGCAAACTGTTCCCGGGGTAATTGGTACAACATCAGCCGTCTCCTATTTCATTGAGCGTAAACATCTAGACCCTTGGGCAAGATTGGTGCAGATTCAACGCCGACGGACCCCGAGGTTCGTTGGCTCTTTCTATCCTAGCTTGCCCTCCGCTTTGGCATCTGCACCGTCCGTTAGATCTTGATAAATGTCAGAGGCGGGAGAAGGCTGACCTTTGACTTGCTCGAATACCTTCAACATCTTCCTGCGGGCGCCGAGAGCATTAACCCCGCGTTCCTCGAGCGCCTTATCATCCAGCTCGACAAGCTCAGTCCACTTCATGTCCTTCAAATTCTCTGTATACTTGTGTAATCGCAGACTTCGGAGCCAGCTGGGTATGTCCTGGAGCAGGGTCGGATCGGTCGGGTCCTCGGGTGGCTTGGAGCTACCCCTTCGGCCCCTTGGCGAGCGTCCTCGCACCATGTCAGAGTGGTCCGAGAGATAGCCTTCATGACCCCCGACTCCTAGCTGGCCCAGGTTGACGGAAGGCATGCTATTGTTTATCAATGCCGATGGGCCGTCGTAGGCGCTGAGGAAACCGTTGTGCCGAGGTGACGTGAAATGCGGCAGCGCGCCCATCCCTGACTGCATGGCAATGCCTGGCGAGCTCGGACGGGATCTCTGGCCGCCCAGACCGAGGCCTTGCTGCGCCTGCATTGCCAAGACTTGTTCACGGCTTAGAACCTGCCCATGCTCGTTGATCATGACCACGTTGGCGCCTGGCATATTGATGTTCTGCGCAGGGGGGGACATCTGATTGTGGCCACCACCTCCTGGCGCGTCGTTGGAACGGGCGCGGCGGTACTTGCGCACATCATCCAGCGCGAAGCGGTTGTTAACCGTCGACAGCGCCGCGAGTTTCATTGCGGTTGCATTAGCAACCATGTCGGCCTGGTTGCCGCTGGAGCTGCTCGTGTTGAAGGAAGGCGCCATTGGTGTGTTCACCATGGACGCCCAATTGCCACTGCCAGCGTTGTAAGGGGAGAGAAGAGGCAAGTCCGCGGGACTTTTCTCTGGCACCGACACTGTGGTGTTTTGAATGGCCGAGCTGCCCATCTGGGGCCGGGGAGATCTGAGTCCAGCAGAGGAAGGCGGCTGCACGAACTGGCCCATCGGTGCCTGCGAAGTAGAAACCTTGTTATTGACCTGATCACCGCCGCCGCCAGATCCCCACGGCGATGTGGAACTCGCAACGGTGCCTTCTCGAGGTTCTTGAGGACCAGAGATACCAGGGGCGGCGATTGGGGCTCGCGAATCGATGGCCACGCTGTTCCGGTTCGAGGCGGGTGAGTTGCCCGTCTGCTGTGTGAACTTTGCCTTTTCCGTGGCAATCGCCGCTGCGGCATCTGGGAACATGGCAGTGATGGTTGACGGATCCAATCCCGAGTGGCGCTTCGATGACGACATGGCCGAGCTGCGTGAGTAAGAGTTGCGGGCCGAGTCTACATTCAGCTTGTTCATTGCATCGTTGAGGCGGTTCGACATTGGATCTAGCAGTTGGTCAGTACCGAGCTGACAATCGAGTGGAGGCGCCGCCGCCCGCCTCCATCAAGACGAACCTTTATCGAAGTTTGCGGGCGACAAAACACCTGACATGGGGTGGTTTTTGCCCATTTGCTGCAGAACCTGTATGAAGAATCGGATCTGGACCTGGGTGGTCTGCTGCAGAAGAGCGTAAAGGGCAGCCGTGCGCTCGGCCTCGCTCAAAACGCGGAACCATTGTTCGATGGCACTAAGTTCATCCTTGAAGTCTTGGTCCAGGGTTGCTGCAGCCATTTCCTCCAAGGTCGTCTCATACTGATCGATGTCGGCGATCCATTGCTGGGCAATCTTATCCTGTGCGTCATGGTCCAGGTTCGCTTGACCATGGGCTTGCTGGGACTGGCCGTAGAAGTCTGACGATGGTCGAATGCGATTTGAAGAAGAGGGACCCTGGAGGGTACTCATGTCGGCGGAGGCGCGGAGGGAACTGCCGGCTCCGACAGCGCGAGAGGATGGCGGGCGGAGGGAAGACGCGCTATTGGCCTCTGGGGTGCTATTGCGATTTCCAATGGCGTGATTTCCGGACATTTTCAGCATGATATTCCCAGAGGCTTTTTGTCTTCTAAACCTGATCGGACGAAGTAGAGAGGGGGTAAGCGTCGGGGGCGTGACTTGCGATGGTGGCGATACGGGGGAACCGAGGGAGAAGACGAGGCTTATCCTGTCGACTCCTGCAGTGACCGGCTGACCTCAAAGGAGTTTCGACAAGATGATGGGCAGCAGACTATCCCATGTTCTAGGCAAAAGCAAGGACAGAGATGAGGATGGAGCTGGAGATGCGTCAGCGGACAAGGCGATTCTTGGGAGACGGTTTGCGAGGAGAGGGGAAGGGTTGGAGAGACCAGCTGGCGGGGCGTGGATCGACGACCAACTTACCCCGGGACGAGGACCGCAAATTCGATAACGAAGGTACGAGGTCTGCTTCCAGGCAGGCGACTAACGCGTTGATGGATGGATTCCGCCGCGGCAAGTGCGGACCTGGGTGTCCTGTTGGTGATGCTGGAGAGGTCAGAAGACGGGGGCCGATACGTCGGGGCCGCCATACGAATGAATAATCGAGCCCTTGGGAGCGGCTTTTGCGGTTATTCCGTGATAGGCGAGAAATGCACCAAATACATTCGATACCTAGGTGGTAGGTACCTTTACAGCTCATAAGGTGGTGGGCAGGTACTTGGGTAAAGTGTCTAAGGTACTTGATAGGAGAGCGCCGCAGCAGTGGGTGCCTCACCCCCACTTTACTCCCCTGTACGAAGTAACTTACCGAACACTGCGTCCCTAACGTGCCTGTCATGGGGCACTTGCTGCCTTGCCGCCCTTGCCCACCAAAGTGCTTTGATTTAGGTGCGAAGCACGCCGCGGCACCTAAAAATGTCCTAGAGATGAGGATCTGACTAAGGTCCTCTGGCATCGCACGTCATGCAGGAAGATCACAGGAGACCCGAGTACTGTACAATGTACCTACGAGGAAGAGTTGAGATATGGCCGACTTCACGACGAGGAGGTAATTACTCGACGCTAGGTACGATTCAGCTGCCGAAACAATTGCAGACAGGGCCTTTGCGGTCGCAGACGGGGGGGTGGGGTGTTTTCTTGTCGAACCCTGAAAAAAAAAAAAAAAACCAGTGGGCTTCAGTGGGAGCCAGTTTTTATGTAACTATTTCAGGATACCTAGGGCTCGTGAAGAAGGGAACAAAGAGGGACAGGTGTCTGGGCCCGAGTCCATCGTTTCTGTAAATCGGTTGCTTCCACATTGCTTCCCCATCGTCGACCAACTCTCTAGGAGGAGACGCGTAACCAGCCGGGCGCCGCGCCTCCACACGGCGTTGGGCAAGGCACCGTGCCTAGTGAACCTGGTTCAGGGTCGTGCAGCGTTTCATGAGAGGACAGGCGCGATCTGATCCGAGAGACAGGGGCAAAGCCAGGGGCGCTACGGCTATTCGTGTCCAGCTAAACGAGAAAAGTTGTCGCCGCGAGCGACGTGTGCCCGAGTGGAACGCAGCTAGGTACTCGCTCGTACTGAACCTTGACAACTCCGTCATTGGGTAGGTTTCAGCTCTTTCAAGGCAAGATTCGCCGGTAGCCTCGTCCCGGTGAGATGATGGGACAAAATGGCTGACCGCGGCGTCATATGCCTCAGAGCAGCGGGCACCGTAGAACGAGCCGTGCTTCATCTGATGCTCAGGTGGGTTAGCCATCATATTTCACGAAAGAACGGCAGGGCAGAGACAGTCCCGCGCCGTGACGCCGCTTCCCGGGAACTCCATGGGAACGTTCAATCATCAAGGCTGATTCTGTAGAGTTCAGGGCCACAAGTTTCAAATACTGCGCGAAATTGCGAGATAGCCACCGATTCCCAGCGGCGGCTTCCTTATTGACTTGGTCTTTCCGCCATGTCCTGTGATCGCACTGGCAGTTCGTTTCACGTAGCGCCCATCGATGCCGGCCTGACAACGTCGTCCAGACTGGACAAGACCTCCATCATGACCTGTCCAACTTTCTTCCACCGGATCAAAATCGACATAGATTCCCTCATACTGTTTCACGCTTGCCTTCCTTGGCTTCTTTCTGTTGTATGGGTTAATGTCCGTCTTGTTGCCAGGGTATGCTCGATCGGTTCCTACCAGAGCCTTGGCAGTGCCATGGAGAGCATGTCGATGGTTCCGGCGGAATTTGGGGTCGGTTCCCTTCAGCGAAGGGTATCTCGACGTCTTGGGCTTTTTGATCCTGTCGTTGCGTGAGCGGATTCGGCTCGTGGCACGCGTTGCTGCTCACTCACCCGTTACGGTGCGCTTTGCGCCACTGGTTGTGCTGCGAGGAGTTCTTGGACTCTGTGGCGTGGCTCGTCAGAAGATGGAGATCTCCGCGGGGGGTATAATCATCTCGACTCACTGGCCATGGCTGCTGATGTTTTCGCTGTCCGGACGAGTTCTCGCGACGGGTTCCTGGGGGAAGGCGAAATTGTGTGCGCCCGAAGCCGATTTGAGCCCTAGGCAATGCCGGGAGCAGGACGAGTGGCTGACATAAGCCAGCAGCGTACCATCAGTACATGTACTTAGAGTACGAATTACCTAGATACCTAGGTACTGTACCTTAGTGTAAGGTACCTTGGATAAGTACCTACCTAGGCCGACGGAGGAATATGGTACCGAAGTGGGCTTGTGTGGCAAATCACGTCCCCAATCCACGCACGAGTAAAGAGGTTCCTTTCCCGGCCTTCAGCAGCTTATGTAGACGGCTTGCCCTCACCTGTAGCAATGCAGTGATTACCGAACGAGGCGGGCGAGCAAAGCCAGCAGGGTGTGCGAATACAGCAGACGGGAAATGTCGAGCATTTTACTGTACTAGAAGCAAAGTTGAGGCTGGCTCAGACGGCTCGTCACCGAGACGGGCTGCAAGGATCGAGATATACCAACAGAACAGCCCAAATAACTCCTCTGCTACGCTTCCGTTTACTCCCCAGTGCATCAAACGACATCCCTCCCATCAAATGACACGTTGGCCCGCCAAAGTGCCGCTACAAGCCCGGCCGTGTCGAGGCGAGCGCCTTTTGGGACACCGTCGAGGCGAGGCCAGCCACTCTTTGCAGCTGCGCTCTCCTGGTCGCCTGGAGATATCGCAGGAAAAGAATGAGGAGGAGCTCGACTCTGTAGCTCGTATTAGCAAAAGACATCTTCCGAAGAGCAGGAACAGAAGCAGAGATGCCCACCTCTCCTTGGTCATCATGAGGATGCCCTGCACCAAGAAGCCCTTGAAGATCTGGGGTCCGATCCCCTTGAACAAGCCCAAGGCACCCTCATGCTTCACGATGAATTTCATCACCTCGATGAAACTTTTGAAAGGCTTCCCGCTCCTCGTGCGCGGTGGCTTGGATTGCAGGCCGACCTTGGCCACGATCAGTGGCTGTGTGACGATGGTGGCCAAGGCTTTTGACAAGGCCCCTAGTACTGCAGGCGTGTTAGAGGCGAATGATTGGCCGAAACTTGAAGGGGAGATCTGGGCCTACTCACAAAAGGCTTGCCAAGGCTTCAGCTTTGATTCGACTGGGAAAAAGATGCTGCTCAGCCGCTCATATGCCCCGTACGTGATGGCTGGATTCACGACAAGGACCAGGCTGGCTTTCAGACCCCTCCACAGGCCCGTCACGCCGTCGGGCCCGTCCACAACTTCACGAGCCGTCGCCATGAGGCTTTTGCACTCATTGCCTTTGGCAGTCTGCTGCCGAGTTGTGACGACGGCCACGGGAATGGTAAAGAGCTGTGCCAGTGCACCCGCAACAGCGCCGAGCGAGAGCTCCACGGCGGTGGAGGGCGAAAGAGCCGGCAGGCTGGACGACTTGAGGTAGAAAGACCTCGCCAGGGTATACCAATAGAAGTATGCAAAGTTGGTGGAAGCGACTCCGATGAGAGATCCATTCATGCCCATGTAGAGACCTCTGATGCCGTCGTCGGCCACGATCCGCTTAACTGCATCCCACGTCGAGGCGTAGTGTGGCTCGTCGTCGGCGCCCGGCGCCGACTCATCGAGGCGAACTTGAACTTGGAGGCGCGTCTTGACACTGCGGCGAAGTGCAGGGGGCAGTTAGCTGAAAGCAAAGGGGGCAAGAGGGCGATGCAGCAAAGGAGATGGGGCCTCACATGTCGAGCGGATACACGAGGGCATTGGCCAACACGGCTCCCGCGGCCCCGGCAGCAGCGCGGCCCCAGGGCGGGATCTCTGGCTTTGACTGCGCGCCCATGGTGAGTGGCGAGCACCAAGCACCTCAGAAGGTAGGATGACGAGTGCGAGCGACTGGTTCGGAGCCCCGAGGTGCTTGTGATTATGGACTTATGGAGGAGAAGCCAGCGAGCAGAAGGGGTGAGGAGAGGGGCGACGCGGAGATTGCGAATGATATGGAAAGATTGGCCCGCTTGATGGCCATGAGAACGAAGGATGGGCTCGATGGGCGTGCGGGAGATGTCGAGCCCGGAGGCCCGGCCATGGCCGATCGGCGAGCGGCTGCTTTGGACCTCGGCACGCCCACCAGCGCTACTGTACGGTTCTGTAATTACCTACCTAGCCCGGAGCAGGAGGGGGCGGTGCCGGGTCTGTCCACAGTACCTTTTAAAGTAGGTAGGTAGGTATTATCTAGGTATGTACATAGATACCTCGAGAGCGTCGAAAACGGCTCTAGGCTGTATGTATCTTATCCACAGTAGCTTAATGGAGTACCTGCCTACTGTAGAGAAACATATAACTACCACAATACCAACCAGTCATCTCTAACGGAGGTGCCTCCAATTTTGTTAGAGGATAATATGACTGGTTTAACACCTACCTACCTACCTGGACCTAGGTCTGTACCTAGGTAGGTATCTTAGGTCGGTACCTACCTAGGTAGGTATCTACAAGTTCGGGATTTACCTCAGACGTCCAGCATCTCTTACCAAGGTGTATCCGTCCGTACCTTGGCGGCTCCCTCACCTTACACTTCCACCATTGCCTTGACTCTCTCACCCCTGCGTCGCATTGCGGTGCGCCTGCGTGGCTGTGGTACCCATTATCTTCGCAACACACCAGTCTCCCCCAGTTGCTGGTTGCGACCGACGACTCCCCCTGGCCGTTCATCGGCGCTATGGTATCAGTAGACTGACATAATCGAGGCACCTGCACCCTCCTCATCTACGCCCCGCCAGGCATGGAGAGCAGAGCGCAGGTGAGCAAGCCCGCCGCACAAGGAGCACGCCTCGGACTACTGACAGACGGCTAGGCCGTCGAGGCTCTGCTCGCCCGCTCAAGCGGCAAGACGGCCCTCGGCCATGCTATCCAAGCCGCCGAATTGTACATGGCCGCCGCCGGCGAGGCTTCAACTAAGGCCCATGCCGCCCGGCTGAGGCGTCGATGCCACGAGCTCATTGTCTATGCCGAGAAGCTCAAGTCGCAGCAAGCGACGCTATCCCAGTTTATTGTCCAGCCCGGTATCCTTGTCCGCGCCTCGCGCCTGCACGGGAACGACTTCCCACCTTGGACCGCGGAACCCCACGACGCCGAGTTCGAGTTGCGGCCCGGTGCGGACCTCTACACGTGAGCTCCTCTCTTCCAGCGACTCCAACGTGTTCAGCTGGCTGATTTGGCTTGCCACGGCCTACCAAGAGACGCCGCTACCTTCACTCTCTCGGCGACCCAGGCCGACAATTTTGCAGCGTGGACTCGCCCAGCCAAGCTTTTCGGGCTGGACCCTGGACGCGACAAGACGAAGGACGAGGACGTCATGATGCAGCTCAGTGATTGCTGTGACCTCGTTCAAGATATCACGACCGACTGCTCTGTCGTCGCCAGTCTCTCGGCCGCCGCAAAGGTTTTGGTTGGACGACATGCCGTACGTTATGACCTCATTGTCCCAAGCCCCCACGGCATACAAGGCTGCTTCTGACTGCGGCTGTCCCAGGTCCTCTCCTCCGTCATGTACCCGTTTGACCACGTCAAAGGACGCCCGAGGCTCTCTGCTTCAGGCAAATACGTGCTACGCATGAATTTCAATGGCTGTGCAAGGCGCGTTGTGGTAGACGATCGGCTCCCGGCCTCCCGGACCGATCGCACCCTCTTCGTCGTCGACCGGCGAAATCCTTGCTTGCTTTGGCCCGCGCTTCTTGAAAAGGCCTACCTGAAAGTCAGGGGCGGTTACGACTTCCCTGGAAGCAACTCAGGGACGGACTTGTGGGTGCTGACAGGCTGGATCCCGGAGCAGCTCTTTCTGCAACGGTATGCATTGTCCTCTCCCTCGACTCCGTGGAACATAACATCGGGGAAGCCCAAGATTGACAATCGCGGAAAGTGAAGATCTTGATGTCGACGAGACGTGGGCCAGAGTCAAGGCAGCCCACGAATCCCACGATGTCGTTGTGACACTGGGTACCGGGCGAATATCGGCCGAAGAGGAACGCCTCATGGGTCTCATCGGTGAACATGACTATGCTGTCGAGGATCTCAGCCTGTCCGACGGTGGTGCGCGTCGTCTGCTCATCAAGAATCCTTGGTGCGACGCACCCCTGGTGATGGGAACGGAACGGCTTGAACCCCGAGGCTCCAATGTCCACAAGTGAGCCGCCCTTGCCCAGTTCGCAGCCTCTTACTCTGACACTCACTTTCAAGCACTACGTGGATGGCACTCGAGGACGTAGCTCAGCACTTTGAGTCAATGTATCTCAACTGGAACCCAGGTTTATTTTCACATCGGCAGGATCACCACTTCGCGTGGGAGATGCCTCCCAAGAACCTGTGTGCATCCCTGGTGCGAAATCCTCAATACACACTCGTGTCCACTGCCAAGGGGCCGGTTTGGGTTCTAGTCAGCCGTCATTTCGTGGACGCGGAGCTCGACATAGCTCGCAAAAGGCGGGGCTCCATGGCGGCCGTGGCGAGCGAGCTCGGCTTCATGAGCATCCTCGTCTTTGAAAACCAAGGCAACAGAGTCCAAGTCAGTGGCGGGGAGAGTTACCGCGGACCGTATGTTGACTCGCTGCAAACGCTTGCACGCCTTGAAGCCGGCCCCAGGCAGCGCTTCACCATTGTTGTCGACCAACAAGAATTGCCCCTGGCTAGCTATACCTTTACAGTGTCCTTTTTCTCACACGCACCGCTTGAAATCAAGGCAGCGGAGGAGAAAATGTCGCAGTTTCAGGAGCAGTCGGGCTCCTGGAGCCGCCGCACCGCTGGTGGGAGCTCCTCGTGTTCGACCTACTACCAGAACCCTCAGTACAGATTGTCCATCAGCAAGTCTACCCCCCTGTCCGTCCTTTTGTCCACGGACAACCGTGACGTCCACGTCCACGTCGATCTTGTCTGGGCTCGTGGGGGACGGGTGACGGCACTACGAGCCAGAAACTTGGTTGCCTCGTCTGGCGAGTACCGTCGAGGATGCGCCATGGCCGAGGTGCTCACGTTGGAGCCTGGACACTACACATTAGTCTGCTCGACGTTCGAGGCGGGCCAGTTGGCTGCCTTTGCGGTGAGAGTGTCGTCCATGGCACCCGTCACGTTGGATGCCCTCCCGGCTAACGCCGCGGGCATGCTTCGGACGCCCCTCACGACATTGAACCTTGCCCAGGGAGGGGGAAAGAGGCGGGCCCCGTTAAAGGCGTCGTGGTTGACGCGCGCAAGCGTTTCGATACATGGCATCTTGTTGCCCGATGCAGAAGACGGCGGACGGCAGGCATCGTCCCTCTTGATCCGAGTCTCCGTTGTACATGGCCGGGGCCCGGAGCAAGTCACCATCGCAGCCTCGGGTGAAGGCCAATTCCTAGAACCTGCAGCCGACTTGCGGACTGCCGATTTCGACATGGAACCGGCCCGCATACACCGAGAGGGCTTGTGGCTTGTAATCGAGTGCATAGGGTCGCACCACGTAGTGTGGGCCATTGACGGCGAGATCCTCAGCGACTCGCCTGTCCAAGTCGGTGCATGGGAGCCGCTATAGCGGCGGTTACGGCCGAGACGCCAAGAAAAGCCAGGCGAGGCTCTTGTTGGCAACGTGCAAGAGCCGTGTGAGACTTGCTTATGTGGTGGCCCCTTCCTATGTGGCCGTGGCGATTCACTATTAAGCAATGACATGGCGTCGCCAATTACACTTCTCCAGCCAGTGTCTCGGCAAGGCCGTGCGACGACTTTTGTCGGCGCGCTGAGCTCTCGCTTGGCACGCAACCCGCGCAACATACGTAGCCCAGCTTTTCGCGAAGATGTGGAAAACATTGTAGAAGATGGAACAAGAAGACGAAGTACTAATGGTGGCCCCTGGTAGCCTGGTATAAGAACGAACCCGAAAAAAGAACGCCAGATCTCCAAGACGCGCAGACGAGGACAAAGAGCCATCTCAACAGGTTCAAAATCATAAAAAAAACCCGACTCGACCGTGATCGCCCACGGATCGAAAAAGGTACAGCCCCGCTCCATTGCCGGAGCCACGTTGTTGGGAGGTTGACGCTCCGTGGGGGCGTAGAACAAGACGAGGATGACAACGTGGGCGGCCAACAGGTTCGGCTTAGGGGGGCACTCCCCTCCTTCGACGACCTCGGCTTGGCCCGTCTGGTCTTTGCGACAGGACGTCCCGCAGCATGGGATCGTCCTTGTCCTTATCGATGTGGTGAACTCGAACGTGTCTGAGTATACAGCGTCAGCATGTTCTGCCCCTGCAGAGTACGTACAAATCTTTTCACACCTTTGCAGGTTATCTGGTCGAGGGTATTTGTGCTCTCTGTCCGGGCAAAAGGGGCACACGTAGCCCGGCGAGTCATGAACGAGCCCGTGCCTAATCATCTCATTCTTGCGCTTGAAACCCTTGCCCCCCTCGCTTCGGGGACAACCCTTGACCGGACAATAGTGCGGACGTGCCGACGAGTGTACGTTGGCATGGGAGTTGAGGAGATACTGAGTCTGAAACGGGGGCGCATTACATCCCGAGAAGTTGCAAATATAAACGCCGACCTGCGGGTTGGTGATGCCGTCGATGCTCATTCGATCAGCGACAGATGCCGAAGTGGCCGGGGTAGAGGCAGAGTGATCCGTGCTGGGCGTTTCGCCGGCGGCGCTGGTGCTGAGCTCGACGCTAGGCCGATGGCCAAGGCCGTTCGTTTGATAGTAGCTATAGGGGCTCGACGCTGGCAGGGAATGCGGCGACGGGAGGCTCCGCTGATAAGCCTCACTGGGCGAAATAGGGGGCGAGACATGTGAGGCGGATATTGGGGGTAGCCGCGGCCTACCGAGGGGAGGGGAGCGTGCAAAGGCCGGTGCGCTGCCGTGGATGGGAGCCATTTCCTTTTCAGCGGGCATGTGTTTGATATCACCGAGGGTGGAGCGGATGGATGGCAGGCTATGGCCATTCGACTCGGACTGAGGTGAGTCCATTTGAAGAGGGGGAAGTTCGCCACTGGCCGAGTTCAACGTCGACGCGGGCGACTTGGCACTCGTCTTAAGCTGGACAGAAGGCCCGGAAGGCTGCATGGACGCAGAATAGTCGGAGATGTTCTTGTGACGCTCGTCGCTGATGGACAGTTGGCGCGTCGACGTCGAGATGTCTGGCACCTCCCTGAGCAAGGGAATGAGCGAAGACTCCGCGGAGACGGCTTGAAGAGCGTCTGCAGCCAAGTGCTGCAGGATGGGCGTCGTCATGGCCATGTTGGACGAGGCTGGGAGAGCGCGACTACGCGCAGCGGGGACGGATGCGGCGTCTTTGGCGGAGCATGGGCGGGGATGGTGAAGTTGGCCTTGGTCGTCTTCATCGACGCCGGGCAAGGCCTGGGCGCCTGCGGCACGGGCAATGTCCGGATGGCGGCCATTGTCCAGGTAGGAAACAAGCACGGCGTCACCAGAGCTGGGGCGGATCTTTGATCGATTAGAGTTGATGAAGCCGTCAGTGGGAGGAGGGCTCAGACTGACTTGGGCCAGGGGAATGTCCGGCGAGGGGCTCGGGGATGGCTCGAGTTTAGGACGTAAGGCTTGCATGAGGGGGCTGTCCCGGGGGACTACTTCATCTGGATCAAACGTGTCGGCAGCCAAGAGGGTTTGAGGCTGCTGCTGCTGTCGAGCGGCCGTCGTCATAGCTTAGGAATTGGACTGTGGCTTCTCAGTCCGCCATGGCCCGCGGGGTCCTTGCCCAGTGGTTGGAGGCTCCGTGGTCTGCAATATTGGTAGTAGCAGGCGTGCGGAGGCGGAGCGGCGAGGGGCGCGCGAGCAGGTACGGATGGAGACGGAGGAGGAGACCAAGGTTAACGGCAGAGTGCGAGGCTTGGACACTTTGCGTCGGGGCGCGACGGCTGATTTCTCTTGGGACGGACGCTCTCTCCGCTGAGAGGTGATGGAGCTGCGTCGGGGCGGCGATGTGCGCTCAGAAGCGAAGCCAGCAGCAGCAAGGGCCCTAAAAGACCGGACGCGGCTCGCAGCAATGCGCAATCGAATGGCGCCCCTTTGCGGGTCGAACGAGGAGGAGGTTGAGCTTGGGGAGAAGGGGTCGTGTTGTTGTGGGCGGCGGATCGGCGTGGGGGAAGGCCGGGAAGTGCCGATGGCTGCGTGCCGCGGGGACCGGAGCAAGCGAATGTGTGTGTATGTACTCGTACGTTTATGTACCTCGTAGGTAGTACACAGACTGTAGTGTACAGCGCAGCCTTGGGGCGCAAGAGAAGCGCCCTCGTCGTCGGCGGCGATGGAAGAAGGGGAAGCTCTTGGATGGGGGAGGGGGGGGGGGAAGGCACGAGAGAGGCAGAGAGAGGGAAGAGAGAGGGAAGAGAGAGGGAGAAGGAGAAAGAGAGTCTTCGTCTAAGGTAGAGAGAGGCCCGCGTGTGAGCGCCGGGGCGCGCGCACAGTGGGTCAGTAGGTTAAGGTAGGTAGGAGATGAGCTCGGCGGCAGGTAAAGGTAGAGCGTGTGGACGGGCGACGTTATGAAGTCAAGACGGGTGCCATTCGAGCCCTCGTTTTTGGGGGCCCTTTGGAGGATGATGGGTGGGTGGGTGGATGATGGCTGCAAGGTGATGGACGGGGAGGGGAACAAGGACCAGATCAGACGGCTGTAGAGGGCGGGGCAGCAAGAACGGCGGGCAGGTACAGTGGAGGACTGGAGGGACAAGAACAAGAGTGCAAGAGTGCAGAGCAGAAGGAACAGAGAGGGTCGCCTTTTGACAGGTTCCTACAGGCTACGGATACCATTGGCAAGTGTAGATGTGTAGATACGTGCATGTACTACAGCACCAGGTGTGTTGTGCACAGTACAGCACGCACATGGACCCGAGCCTTGGCGTCCATAGAGCTGCCTCTGGGGTCGAGGTGTTGCGGTACCTGCGACCAGGTGGGCAGAAACCTGGGCGTGAGGTGCCCGCTACTGCAGCGCTCGGTAGCAGTGCCGCCGAGGCTGTTTACCTACTGATGCTTGCAAGAGACGTTCGGCGCTCAACCCGTCTCACCGACAGTGGACTGACAAGGAAAAAGTAACGACGCGAGAAACAAGAATCAACATGTCCCCGTTGCTTGCCCTGCAAGCATTCGTCCACCAGGCAGCTACCCCTCTCGGCGGACCGAGCCTCGTGCCGGCTCGCCAACGACGACATGTCATGGAGGAAGTCCGACTCTTTGCCAATGCCCCGGAAGCGTCGCACACGACACGCACGACCATGACAGGCCATCTGGGTGACGGCGGAGGCTCTCCGCCGCTTGCTCAGCTCCAGGGCCGTTGTATCCTCGTGTAGAGATACGCCGACATGACCTTTTTGCACAGTACGGCACAGTGACGAGCAGGCCGTCTAAGCCTCAATCTGCCGGTGCAGATCGTCCAAGGCCCAGAGCCTCGCTTCGCTTGGCGTGCGCAAGCACGGGAGATGAGGGTTGTGGCATGGGGGCTGACTGGGGACGTGAGGTACCGAGCAGGTACGAACTGAGACCTCGGAACAGTACCTACCGTAGGGAAGTAGGTAGGCGCCCTCGGCTACGCCAGTATTCGCGCTCTCCCATCGGGCGCATGCGCTCTCAACGCCAGCCGCTCGTCGTCGTCGTCGTCTCCCGGGCGAGCTCCAGGGCAGAACCACCCGTCATTCCCCCAATCTTCATACCTAGGTAGGTAGGCAATATCAAGGTACGGTACAGTACAAGCTACATGCTACGTGCGACCGGCTTGTTTCCTTCTTCAACTGACTGCGTACATGGGTGTAGTGGCTGCAGGTGCCGGGGTCCAAAGCAACACTCCCCGCACAAACGTCGCCCATCCATGGATCCATAGGCCAATGGGTCGTTGCCGACCACCTGGTTCGATCCGGGCTAGCAGGCCTGTTCCCGACGACTGTTCCTGCTTTGGACAGCACTAGGAGGCTCTTGGGCTCCGACAAAGCTTCGCCCAAGTCTTGACTACGTGGGTGCCCCTCGAACTTGTTTCCCCGCAGCTTCCGATGCTGGAAGCTCGACGGGGCTTGGGCACCCTGCTCGACGGCCAACTCGGCGTCGTGCCGTCGCTTGTCTCGAGCCCCGTTCTGAGCTTGAGACCAGGACAGTGTCCTCGGTCCCGACATCGCGCGTCAACATCATCATCCACAAAGTACTTCGTACATAGGTAGTACAGTAGGGGACGCAACAGCCAGACCTGGTTCCACAATTTTGAGTGGCGGCAGGGAAGACCCCGTTTCGACGCAGCTTACCTACACGTGGACGTTCATCAGTCATCGCCAGCCCAAGACATGCCCCAGATTCACCTCTTTCTTTGTCAAACTCCCTTGCAGTGCCTTGCAGCTGCTCGACGTGCGACCTAGTCCACCTAGCCCGTCGCATCAATCGTGTCGTGGAGGTGGATGCAGTAGACAAAAACGCGGACGCCATCAACGAGTCCAAGTCACCGCATAAGGCGACACGCAAATGTTCCCTCCTTCAGGCCCGTTCCTTGGATGATCCCCGGCACTAAGAGCTGCCGCCAATGCGTTGGTGAGCTTCATCCACGTTGTAGGCGCGAAACAGATACAGGAAGCCATGATTCTCACTGGCAGCGTCGTTAGCCTACTGGTGTAAGCCCAATTGGACGATAAGACCGCCGCCTACTGAGGCAAAGGCTTATTGTTTGATTCAGGGCTTCGATGGTTGCTGCGCCGAGCACCTGCAGGTTCCTTTGGTCAGGGTACAGTCTTGAGGACATCTGCAACCATGTTTGAACGGGCCTCGCTTCTCCCGGCTGATTTGGCGTCGTCCAGGCCATGCCTCTGACCGTGCCTGTCGACAAAGTCGCCGTAGTTGCGTGTTGGCCCGTGAGCCACTCCATGACCTCTCTCTCGACCGCGGCAGGCTTCGCCCATCGACAGTAACTCGTCTTCGGGCGCTCCGTGTTGCATGACATTGACTCTCTGGCGCGTCTTGGTTTCATAGAGAGAATTGGACGAGGCTAGTTCTGGCGAGGCTTCACCATGCCTTGGTGCATGAGGTAGTAGACAACAGTCGAGTCGTTGTGCAGCGCGGCCACGAGGATCCTCTTGGCCCGGACACCTGGCTCGTCGTCAATCGAGTCAAAAACGGCGGCGAAGTTGGCGAGCGACCACTGTTCAGCCAGGTGCACGGGCAGAACCCACTCGAGCTCGGGACTCTGGTACAGCTTCTTGCCTGTGCTGCGCTCATGGGCGAGAGCAGCCACCTGATCGTCAGGATGCAGGTAGAGGCGCTTTGGCGGGAGACCTCTGATCAAGGGCCTTGGCTGATCCGGCCCGTCACGGAGCTCCAGCGCTGTCCAGTCATGCTGATGCTCGAGGTTGCTCAGGATTGTGCGCGCGACGTTGTTGATGGCGCGAAGGGTATTGGACAGCGGCGTAGAATCCTCCATCTTGCGGCGTGTCTCGTCGAGAAGCCGGGCAGCGTGGTGTCGGCGACGAGGCGCCTTTTCGGTTGAACCTGTTGATGAGAAACTGACTTTGTCCGCGGCTGACGACTAACACTTCTCTTGCCTCGTGACTTTTCCCCTCTGGCTACCTGGCCAGTGTACCTTGCTGATCCGCTACCACCGCCAGTGTCTGGCGGGCGGCCTGTCCGCAGGTACCGGCTACCTCCGGTACCGACTAGTAATACCTTATCTTGGGTATCAGCCGGGAAATGGCGTCGACATGCACCAAACAATAATAGCACAGAGCCGCCACCACGTATGGCTTACTGAGGCTGGGCCGAGCGTTGGGCCGCTGATGCGGGCTCTTTAAAAACGGAGGCTGTCCCGCCCAGACTGCCGGCCTAAGCCTCTCGCACTTGTTCAACCAAGGCAACTTCCGTACGGAATACCCGTCAGGCTGATGCAGGGCAGGTACATCCAAGAAGGTACTTCGAGGGTCCCTTGACCCAGGATCCTTCATCGACGAGTTTGGGAAAGACATTCCTTTCCTACCTGACTCCAACTTCATCCATTGTTTTTTTGGGGGGGTTTTCTCACAACCGGCAACATTCGAACCGGGGCCACCATTCTCGTGCACCCCGGCTGCATTTCCATCTCACGAGCCTGCATCTGATACTTCTCCGGCAAAGGGTGCCGTCAACAAGCAGCCGCCCAGGCCACAAGCCCAAGCGCGCTGCGTCAACGGCCCTAGCGACCGTCGGCGATGCAGACGCCTGCCAATAGCTCCAATACGGAGCCTTTCCCCGCTGTCGTCGATCCGTTCCGGCCACTCGACGCCGAGGCTTCCGCCAACGCAGCCGCCAACGGCCCGGCCGCCTCGTCGCCGCTGAGCCGAGGCCTGCGCCGTGCCTCGAAGAGCTTTGAACAATCCGATCCACCCGAGGGATGCTTTGCCGCGGCCGGAGACTTGGCTTCGTCCCTGCTGTCAGGCCAGGCCGCACGGCAGCCAGGCGCATCCTCGATGGGCGCCTCGGCCGTTCAGCCGCCAAAGCCGGGTGATATAGCCTTGCAACAAATCTCACGAGGACCCAAGAGCGACGTCAGCACCGCCTCGCAAACGACGACCGCACTGCCGGGGGAGCCTCCTGGCGCCGCCCCTTTCCCCAACGGCTACCACTTTCCTCCCAAGCATACGCTCGGCGAGTCCGTCAAGCTGGGCACTCTAGCCCTTTATAATTACTCCCTCACGCCAGTAGGGTTTCTGGTTACGATATACGGTCTCAACGTGGTTGCCTGGGGTGGGATGCTGTTCCTGCTTCTCTGTAATGCCTGTAGGTCCCGTCTCCCCCACACTGCATGCACATTTGCAACCAGAAATAACCAATTGCCACAGCGCCGGCCATGTGTTACCCAACTTGCAACGACATCGAATCACCAAGGCGAAAATGGGTCGAATACGACTCTCAAATCCTCAACGCTCTCTTCTGTGTCACAGGCTTCGGGCTGGCTCCATGGCGGTTTAGGGACCTATACTTCTTATTGCAATATCGGCTTTTGAAGAAGGAAAGAGGCCTGCGTCAGCTCGCCGGGATACACAGAGGGTGGTTTCGGCTAGCGAACTCTGACCAGCTGCCGGTCCATCTCGGACCGCAGAACATCCACGACGAGTCGCCTCAGGCTGTTCCGCAGTCGGCAATCCCGCATCCCGAGAAGAAGATTCCCGATCCCCCTCTGACTGGGATGCGAGCCCAAGCCACAAAGGTTTGGAAGCTTGACCTCGTCATCTGGCTGATGGTGTGGAATACGTTTTTCCAGTGCTGCCTGTGTGGGTTTATGTGGGGAATGGACCGCTTCAACCGCCCTAGCTGGGCCACAGGCCTGTTTGTCGGACTCGGTTGCGGCGTCGCAGCCGTTGGCGGGATCATGATGTATCGTGAGGGTCGGGCAGTACGGAGTATCGAGGGAATTGTCGTAAGCGAGAAGGATAAGGAGCGGCTGAAGCGGGACCGGGAACAAGGCATCTGGCACTACAACAATATCAAGGCCAAAGAAATTGGAGCAAAGGGATCAGGAGGTGGTTGATGTCGCTGGTGACGGGGAAGAGTGTCAACTGGCCATTTAACGGAGTTTAGGGAGCGTCTCACCGTCGGGGGAGGATGGCCATGGATAGCCGTTGCGTCAGTGGCTAGCTTAAACTCTTATTATTCAAGATTTTGCAAGGGACTATGCGCACATGGCCTTTGAAACCTCGTGCCTGGGTCACGTCGCCGTGTGCGTCGACGCCCGAGCCGCTGCCTGAAGGACTCTATCCGCCGACGAATAGACTCGATCTTGCAAGAAAGGGTTCAGGTAAAGGTGGGTGTCGATTATATATTGAGCCCAAGAAAAACACGCTTTTCCTTGTATTGGATCTTGTAGAGCGTGCGCGGGAATACAGTGCCTACCATGGACTCAACTCGTCGATACTCTTGTAGTTTGTACCTGCCCGGCCTGTACTCCGTATAACGAGGCCAGGCCATGTTTCGGTCACTCCCCGAAGCCCCCCCCCCCCCCCCACCGAGCCTCCGCTAGCGAGCAGCTGACCTTATCGAGCCTCTCAGTCCGTTCTCGTCACGTCTCTGACCTGCTTCGCCAGCTACACACACATGTTGCCCGACACCCCTGCCTCTGCTCATCCTCCTCGTCTCACCTTGCCAACGCAGAGCCGGCCAACCGACCAACCGACGAGCGCAAGACGCCTTGCACCTCCATCCATACGTCGCCTCCGTCACAAAGCGGCGTTTGCTTGACGCCACCCAGAGAGAGGGGAGAGAGGGGGACACCACGGCTCTGCCCCTCGCCGCAACGTCTATTTTATCAGATCCCCGTCGCGGCAGCCGTAGTTTGTCGATACCCATCCGTTTTCTTTTTGATCGCATGAGGGCCATATTGTTGGTTCCCAGCAGCTACCTACCAGCGGACAATCGGACTGCGGCGCAAGACGGCCTTGCCTCCCGCCGCCCACCATGGGGCTCGCATACAACACCTATCTCAACAGCAATAAAATCTACGGCTGCAAAACGTGCAAGACTCACCTCGCCAACCACGAGGACATTATCAGTAGAGTGCGCCAAGACGACCTTTTTGTCTCCTCCCACTCTTGCTCCTCCCTGCCTCCACCAGCACAGTAAGCCTCGTCGATTCTATATGGCCTGCTAACAGCTCAGAGCAGAACTTTCGCGGCCAGCATGGCAAAGCCTACCTCTTCCACAACGTCGTCAACGTCGATGCCGGCGAGCCCAACGAGCGCAACATGACGACGGGCCGCCACGTCGTCCGCGACATCACCTGCCGCCAATGCAAAGAGACGGTCGGCTGGAAGTACGACAAGGCATACGAGAACTCGGAAAAGTACAAGGAGGGCAAGTTCATCCTCGAAGCGGAGCTTCTCTGCAACGTCGCGTGACCCACATTTGCAGCGCAGCGTGCCAAGGCAGATATGACGGAGAGCTCGTTGACGCTGTGCTAGGAGCGATCAGGGAGACAGGACTACTTGGCGTATAGCATTTTCTGAAAGAGGGCGTTTTAAAGGTGCAACTCGACTTGAAGGCATAGTTATGGTTTGAACTTGATTCTTTTCCACATTTCTTCCTGCTGATGGCAGCTTTCGGCGGCGTATCTGAGGTCTGGGCATGGGTTTAAACAGGAAAGGATAACTGTTCCGGGCCCAACGCCATACACGCGGCAAACGTCCCAGCTCGGCAATCAACGTGTTGTTCAAAGACCAGTTCGGTGCAAAAGTCGCAGTCCATGTGCGCTATCTTCTGTATGTATATATATCCTCAACCAGATCAAAAGTACGAATAGCCAAAATCAGCCCAGAGAAAACATGCTGGATGCGATTCTAAACGCCTTACTGATGCTCAATCGGCTCCTCCGGAAGTAGCTCCTCCACCTCTTCGCCGTGTCGTAGGCTGCTCAGAGGCGGCCGCACAATGCCGTTGAAGACAAACGTTGAGTAGACCAACAGGGCAAAGCCGACAATCTGCAACATCTTGAAAGACTCCCAGCCGAGACCCAGAGATACGATCCAGATGAACAAGGTCCTGCATGTATCAATGGTCGACCTCGACGTCGCACTAACACTGCGTGTTACCGACAGCCCAAAGTAGTTGAAGCCACTGGAGAGAAATGAGCGGTCAGTGAGATGCCACCAAGAGTATGCCGGGTTGCTCCCTACCCAATGCTTATCATGATGAGAACACTCGAAGTCCAGATGCGCCTCTGCATCATTTGACGCAAGCCCTCCTCCATGTCGAAATATCCGTAGCGGCCGGCGTCGGTTCGACCAACGGTCACATGCATGATCACCATGACGAGGAGAGTGACGAGGAAGCCAAAGATGCCTTCCCAGCCAACGACTTTGATTGGCTCGATGGAGGAGTTCTCCAGCATCCACTCCTCCAGCACGAATTGGGTGGCTGTGAATATTTGCGCTCCGGCAATCAGCAGGACCCCGACGACGGCCCTCGCGGCGTCGGACATGGCAGCACCCGATGACTCGATGCCAAGCTGCGGTGACTTTTGTTCGTCGGGCCAAATGGCCCCAGCCAAGCCCACGACGGCCACGCCCAGGACGACACCGGCCAAGGAAAGCCACTGGAACAGGCGGAGGTGCCTGTGCAGGAAGACGACGCTGAAGAGGCCGACAAACAGGACAAGCGCGCCTCGCGTCATTTGGTAGATGGAAGCCGCAACGAGAAGCAGGCCGGCGTTCATGAGAGTGGTGCCGCAAATGTCGCAGATGGCCGGAAGCGCAAGGAGCATAACTCGCAGGCCCCGAAGAACCGAAGGGCCATCGGCATCGGGCTTCGGACAGCCGTCGACGTGCCCATCGGCCCCATCCGCGGTGTTGACAGTCTGGTACCCACGCCCAGCGGGCGACAAGCGAGAGGTGAGCCTGCGATATAGGGATAGCAGGCCGACGACGAGCCAGCAGCCCATTTCGCCGACAAACATCTGGGCCGTCTGCAGCACCGGCTGCTCGAAAAGGACGGGCCGTTCCACGTCGTCGGGCCCGCAGTGCCGGACGCATTGGTTATCCTGGCGACGGTCAGCTCACCGTCTTGCGCAGACGACGTCCGCGGGCGGACTTGCCTGGTATTTGGTTAACAGCGTGTTGCAGACGCCGGTGAGCAGCATCATGCCGACAAGGAACGGAATGGCGGCGCGGGAGGCCATGGTGAGCGAGTTGGATTGTGGATGTGCCTACGGGGCCGATGAAGAGAGCTCAAGCACCCTGGGTCGGCGCGTGCAAGATAAGATGGTTTTGGTCCTCGTCGGCGGCTCGAGGCTTTCTGTCCCGTGATCGGGGGATGTGGATTGAGGGCGGGAGCAGCACGAGACCCGGGGGCGCGTGGTGCTTCATTAGATGCATAAGATACGGAGAACCTTGTCTTGCCAAGGTACCTAGGTAGGTACCTATCTATCTGTCTGGGGAAGGCGCTAGGTATTACTTTCCGGCCCCAACTCGCCTTCAACTTTGACATGTGCTCGCTCCGTGCCTGTTATCCAGCACAGCATCAAGGACCATCCAAACCCGCGGAAATGGCACCATCTCCAAGCACCCATCCAAGATTCCATCTCCACTACGTCAAAGCAACCTGGGTTAGGGCCCATGGTCAGACCAAGTCGTCCCAATCGTCTGAGCCAAGCAGAGGCCTCGGCAGTCGAACCGATTTCCGTCCAATCTTCACGAGCCTTGATGACCATGTCGTCGGCTGGCTCCCCTTGAACAGTGCTTCTTTGTCCCTGTCCCGGTGGCGCATGCTCAAGCCGGCGCTGTCCCTCTGCTTCCTCTGCGACACTGCTACTCCAACGGCCAGGGCATTTGTCGCGTGCCAGTCAAGGGCGCCTGGCCGGCCAGCATCCCGAGGCAGCTTTTCCGTCTTGTCAGACCCTTGATCGGGGAGCACCCACTCACTGATACCCTCCTCCCAACGCCATCCAGAAAACATGGTACTGACCCTTGCCGATCCTTCGGCGCCTCGGAGGCTTTCCGCAAACGCCAGGTCTCTCAAGTCTTTGGTCTTTTGGGCGAGAACAAAAGCAACATCGGTCCGTAAGCCGGGCCCGAAGCAGTCACCCAGGTCAAGGCCATCTAGCTTGGAACATAGCTCTGTCACGCTTTCCCGCATCGACATCGCACAGCTTTTGCTGCGGTACTGCGCCAGCCAACAGAGAAGGGTTGTTGCCTGGCAGTAGTATAGTCGAATCGTGGCACTACCCTCGGCCCCTCTTGCCACTTCCTTGAGCTCCGCCGCTGCCTGTCGTTGAAGAGCTGTGTCTGCAACTGGCGACTTGGCCACCGTGAGATGACGTGCCAAAGCAAAGATGAATATTCCGTTGTCGTGTCCTAACTGCCGCCGCCGCCGCCCATGACGACGAACCTCGGATAAGCAGTAGTCCAGCATAAAAAGCACTCGCCTCCACGCTCGCCGCCTCTTCTGCGCTTTACCGACACCGCGGGCGCCTGTCATTGCCGTGGCAGCTGCCACCACACCAGCGACAACGCTGATCAGCGTCTGCTCCGTGTTTCCGCGTTGGCTCGTCGATTCATCTGGCCTGGCCATTGCGAGAAGTGGCAAGCACGTCGACAAGAATGCGGCAACCGAGGACCCCGATCTGCTTGTCGTGATGAATTCGAGGCTCGACTCCAACACGGCGGAAAATGCTTGAGTAGAGAGACAGCTCACGGGCAAGAGGCCTCGCTTGAAAAGTGACGATAGCCACTGCAACGGTACTGCGGAGGTTGTTCTACCCTTGAACGACTGCAGCATCTCGCGCAGCGGCAGAAGCTGTCTGCTCTCAGTAAGGCCATTCAGCAAGCTGCGTGGCGCCAGCAGCGGCATCTCGACTGAGGCAGCCAGCTTGCCGGCTTCTGCCCTGCAGTTGAGTTGCAGACAGAGCCGGACCAGCAGGCAGACATACTCTGGCTCGAGTAGCCCGTCTGAGACAGCCTCTGTAAGCAAGGCCATTGCATGAGCCCGTACGGCCAGCTTCATGGGACGCCAGCCCGAGCCGGGGGACCCGAGGGCTTCGAGTTGCTCGTATAGGTCGAAGGAGACATTCGATGCGTCCCACATGGTCTGGCAGCCCCGTTCGCGAGCCGCCTGTCTCTCATACGCCTCGATGTTGGCGATGCATGTCGGCATCCTTCGCAAACAAAGGCCCAAGAGCGATTTTCGATGGGGGTCTTGATTCTCTGCCATGGTCGACCGTAGTAGACCATTCAGCCAGCCCAAGATGGCCTCGTAGCTTCGATATCGGTCTTCGGAAATCGCTCGGCGAAGGGAGCGCAGGCCGCACACGAGATCCGCCGAGGCGATCTCGGACGTCCCGACCTGCAGGACTTCCAACGCGCCTGGCTCCGTGTTGTGAGGCGTATCCGGCTGCTCGGAGATCTTGCGCCACACCGGGGTGGAAAGGTCGACTAGGCCGCAGACCGGGGACGAAACGCCGAGTTCCATGGCTCCCAGAGTGCGCGTGGCCCGCGGCGGTGTGACCGCGTCCCCTGGCTGGGCGCTGGGCGCTGGATCTGGGCGTTTCCGTCCATAGGTGAAGCGCACACGTTTCGATGCTCGTGGCAGGTCGCCCGCCGGGCATGGTCGTTTGGTTTGACGCGACGGCACGGCTTTTTCCTCGATGGCGAGCTTGCGCAATCCCGCCAGCCGCGACTGCAGCTGGCGGAGCAGGCGATGGCAACGAGCCGCCGTCCAGGGCTGTGAGTCGTGTCCTGTCCCGGACCGGCAGCTAGGGGCGGACGACATGGCGAGGGAGTTCGGGATTGCGGCCGCACGGGTCGAGCGCTCGTCAAATTGATGCATTCCGTAAGGATGTGGAAAAGATTTAGTTAGCCATGATGGAGCAAAGGAATTAGTTGAAATACCGGCCTGGCTCTGTAGTACAAAGCAAAGACGGCGCGAAAGCAATGTTGCTGTTGACTCTTCGATAACTCCGGACAGTAGAATGGATCTGTTTACTTTGTTCCTCTTGCAGGCTAGCTAGGCAGGTACGTACTCCACAGACAGGGACCTCCACTCAGAGAATGCCGCGGTACCCGCGCACTACGCAGAAACTGCCAACGGCTCCCGGGCTTTCGGAAGTATCTTGATGTAGCCTGGAGCTTCGAGCCGCTAGGCCGCTATCTCGAATTTTTTTTTCTCTTACCCGCGAGACAGCTTCGTCTCATTGCCATCGTCTTCCGCGGTCAACCCAATTTCTTGCGTCTCTGTCCTGATACCGCCTGCGGCTGCTCCGTGACTGGCATCTTTCCCTCCTTGTGCCGTCTTGTATTTCCGTTTATGCTTTACTTCCTGATTTCCCCCCTTGTATAAACATGGCTGCTCAATCACAAGCACAGACTTCCACTCCGACGTCTTCTGACAAAGGTATTCTTTTCCCTTGCCTCTCTCCGGGCATGATCCCAACCATGCCGCGCCCGCGCTCCTCGCTGACAACGGACGTTCATTCTCTGCAGAAGATGTCACTCGTGGGACCAACCATGCCGTGGCCGCCCCGGCTGAAGCGGACGCCGAGGCAGATGCCGGAACCGACTGTATGATCGCCCCTTGCCGGCCGTTGCAGTAGATCCGCCTCTGACCATGTTGCAGCTTTAATAAACCTGACCGTCGCTCTTCCCGATCCCGAGGTCCAAAAGATTCAAATAATGGTAGAAATGCCTCGTCAATTGACGTCTCAACAGTGTGCTTACGGGGCATCCTAGGTGTCGTCCCAAGAGCAGGTCCACGAGGTCCGCCAATCCATCATCGAGCTGCCCGCCGCTTTCCGCTTCACCTGCTTCCACCTTGAACATGCCGGCCAGAAAATCAACGATTTCATCCCTCTCTCCGAGATCCAAGGCCTCGACGCCGACCCCGAGTTCTATTTGGTTCAGGACCCTTACACCGAGAAGGAGGCGCGGATCCACCTCGTCAGGGTCCGGGAGCTCATAGGCGCGGCCGGTGACCGAGTGGACATCTCCCAAGGTGTTCTCCCGGGTCTCTCGCTCTTCGAGAACCTCTCTCTGAGCTCTGCGTCTACTGCCGACGGCGCAGACCAGCTTCCGGTCAAGGACTACGAGTTTCAAGTGCTGCCGTCCCTCACGAGTCTCATCCCCGAACCCGTCAGCCCCCCGCCAAAGACAGTCAAGTCGATAGCCCTGTCGTCCTGGAACCCACCTCCCTGTCATCTGAGGCAGCGCGGTCACCTGCTTTACATCGTCGTCACGACCAACGAGGGCGAGCAGTTCCAAATCACCTCTCACGTATCCGGCTTCTTCGTCAATAAATCCTCCAACGCCAAGTTTGATCCTTTCCCTCGCCAGGCGCCAAAGGGTCATTTTTCCCACTCTCTCCTCGAACTCCTCGCCCTTATCTCGCCTTCCTTCTCCAAGTCTTTTACACAGCTCCAGGACCACAACATGCAACGGGACCCTTTGGCCACTTTTCAAATCACCAATGCAGTTCCCGCCGCCCCCTGGGTCGTGCCATCACCCAGCTCTACTCTCTGTGCCCATGTTCCCGACGCCACGCGCCCTCAAGAGACCTTCTTGTTATCCGGCGTGGAAAACCTCGACAGCTTGCGGGACTGGAACGAGGAGTTTCAGTCAGCCAAGGAACTCCCCAAAGACACGGTTCAGGACAGGGTGTTTCGCGAGCGTCTGCTGTCGAAGCTCTTTGCCGATTACAATGACGCAGCGACAAAAGGCGCAGTCATGGTCGCGCGCGGCGAGATTGCTCCGCTCAACCCAACCGAGTGCCGAGATGCCCAGATTTTCGTCTCCAACAACATCTTCTTCTCGTTTGGCGCTGACGGAGTGGGTACCTTCACGTCGGAGGGGGGTGACGAGGCCGCGCGCGTTGCGACAGGCAAGGATGTTGCCGGCGTGAGGCTGGTCAATCAGCTCGACATTGATGGCCTCTTCGCCCCTGCAACAGTTGTTGTTGACTACCTCGGCAGGCGCATTGTTGGCCAGAGCATTGTGCCTGGCATTTTCAAGCAGCGTGAGCCCGGCGAGAACCAAATCGACTACGGTGCGGTCGACGGAAAGGACGTTGTCGCGGCAGATGAGCGCTTCGCCCCGGCGTTTGCTCAACTTTTCAAGGCCCTCAAAGTCAAGAGGCATCCTGTTTGGGACAAGGACGGGACGAAGTTTGATCTCGAAGCAAGTGTCGAAACCAAGGGCTTGATGGGGACTGATGGACGCAAATACGTACTTGATCTCTACAGAATCACACCATTTGATATTACCTGGCTTGAAGAGTCGCGTCCGGCTACAGGCGAGGATGACACCAAGAGCTACCCTCATCGGATGACGGTGCTACGCCCCGAGCTGGTAGAATCCTTTGCACGGCTCAGGATGAAGCAGTGGGTGGACAAAGAGCTGGCTCGCCGGGGACAGACGAAACGAGACGAGACGACAAACGGCGTCAATGGACAAGAGCCAACTTCTGCCGAGGACGAAGCGTCCAACAAGGGCCCACTGGATCTCTCAAACTTCAAATTCGCCCTCAACCCCGACGCGTTCAGTGGCCAGCTCCCTCAAAGTGAAGAGGACAAGGTCCAATTCGAGGACGATGAAAAAGAAGTTCGAGAAGCCTGCAGTCATCTACGCGACCAGGTCATCCCGGATTTGTTGCGCGAGTTGTCCGATTCCGACGTCAGCTTTCCCATGGATGGCCAATCGCTCAGCCGTCTCCTGCATAAACGTGGGATCAATGTCAGATACCTCGGAATGGTCGCTACGCTCGCCACTGATAGTCGGCTGCGTTGTCTGCGCGAGATTTGTGTCCAGGACATGGTCTCCCGCGCGTTCAAGCACGATGCTGCAGGACATCTTCGCTCTCTCCCGGTACCTTTCACAACTGCCTGCGTGTCTCATCTCCTGAACTGTCTTCTGGGGCACAGGCTGAACCCAAAGCCTTCCGCCGAAATCGATTCCTCTCTGCGAATGCTGTACCCCGATGCCGACCTCTCTTTTGATCAGGTAACGCCCGAGAGTCTTCGAGCAAGCATCGCGAAGCAGGTCCTTTCTCGTTTCAGATATGAGTTGGATGAGCAATGGGACATGGGCATTCGCAGCACACAGCTGCTGCGCGAGGTGTGTTTGAGACTCGGAGTCCAGGTACAGGCCAAAGACTATGTCTACGGAACCGTCGAGAAGTTGGACGCCCCGCCTGCCGTGGATTTGGAACAGACTCAAAGTAACGGGAACGTCGATGGAGAGACCAAGAAAAAGAAGAAGAAAGCCCGTGACGGTTCGCCATCGTCTACGGCATCGGGCACGACCAAACACACTTTTACCCCCGACGACATCGTGGACATGGTTCCTCTGATCAAGCATTCCAGTCCACGTAGCGCGCTTGCAGAGGAGGCACTCGAGGCAGGCCGCCTCTCCATCATCCAGAACCAGAAGAAGCTGGGCCAGGAACTGTTGCTCGAATCCTTGTCACTGCACGAGCAAATATATGGCATCCTACACCCCGAAGTGGCCAAGGTCTACAACAGTCTGTCGATGCTATATTACCAGCTCGACGATAAAGAAGCCGCGGTAGAGCTGTCGAGGAAAGCCATCGTTGTCGCTGAACGTACGGTTGGCGTTGACTCTGCCGAGACGTTACTCAACTACCTGAACCTGAGCTTGTTCCTCCACCAATCAGGAGACAGCAGGGGGGCTCTCGCGGCTTCCAAGCACGCTCTCATGCTTTGGAAGATCATCTATGGACCCGGCCACCCCGACTCGATCACCACCATCAACAACGCTGCCGTCATGCTGCAGCACCTCAAGGCGTACCACGACTCGAGGCTCTGGTTCGAAGAATCACTCCGCGTGTGCGAATCTGTGTTCGGGAAGCAGTCCGTCAACTCGGCCACTCTCCTGTTTCAGCTGGCCCAGGCCCTTGCGTTGGATCACGACTCCAAGGGCGCCGTGAACCGCATGCGAGAGTCCTACAACATCTTCCTCAATGAACTCGGCCCTGAAGACAAGAATACAAGGGAGGCCGAGAGCTGGCTCGAGCAGCTCACACAAAACGCCGTCTCCATAGCCAAGCACGCAAAGGACGTGCAGACCAAGCGCATCCGATCTGGAATCCGCTTCCCAGCCGCAACCGTGCCTTCTCAAGCCCCAGCGGTTGGGTCGTCCCAGCGCATGGCTGCGTCGTCGCAGATTGACCCTCGCAGCATTGATGAGCTCATCAAATTTATCGAAGGCGGAGACCAAAAGTCCAAGTCGGCGAAGAACAGGCTCAGCCGCGGCAACCCCAAGCGAAGGGGTAAGAGCACTGCGTCGTGAGCAACATGGTCTCGCGTCTTGTGAGAGGCGTCGATGAATGCGCTAGAATGCATTGTCGCTGTTTCCCCCATGAGCTTCTTGACATCTATATATGGGTGTCGGATGGCTGGCGGTCGTGGATGGAGCAGGACAGTGCGGGTAGAAAAAAGAAAGGAGGGGGGATCATATACGGAACACTCACAACTTGGACCATGTAAATCTATGTACTGTAGTTGAGCGCTGACCCGGTCAGCTGCGCCAGAGGAAATCTTTGCTCATGTCTGCCGATGTCGTCTACTGTCTGGCGCCAACAAGTCGCCGTATAAACTGTGACTCACATCTATGCATGGGATCAAGTCGAGAGCGACAGAGAGAAGAGACGTTAAATCTAGCGTAAGACAGGTCCCTGCCTGTAATGAAATCTATCCCCCGACACCATGACGATACGCCTTTTCCCACGTCCAATTCATACTGTTGAGTCAGTCCATTTAGCAAAAGCTCGGTTCCATTTTGTCAGATTCGGTCAGATTCGTTCAGTTCCTCATGGTCAACAATCATAAAGATTCGCACCGTCATAACTTCAGTTGCCCTTGAGCGCGCTGGCCACGCACACACCTCTGCCCACCGGCGCGTGGTAGGAGCCTATGCTTTGGAAGCCCCTAATTCAACGTAAGCTGTGGCTCTCTTTGTTGTGGCTCTCTTTATTTCGGCGGCTGGGGCTTACTTGGTCAGGTCAAAGCCCTGCTCATCGTCCGGCTCCTCAGTGTGGACTCGATCCTGCGAGGCCCCAGGCTTCTGCGGTCTCGAGGGGCTGCTGGGGGGCGATTTACTAGCGCCAGGAGGGCTGCTGCTTGGCATGCCGCCGCCGGCTTTGGACGGGCTCATTTCGTACTGGGCCGAGGCCTGGAGGGGCGTGCTGCCTATCTCGGCGTACTTCCAGAAGGGCGCGGGCGAGCTGGTCGGCATATGCTGGCTGGGTCTCTGCGCCGTGCTCGGAGGGGCCAACTTTGGGTGGATCCTGGGCGGCGCAGGCGTCACAAAGGACGTGCCGTCCTCTTGCAAGTAGGACGAGGTGAGGATAGGAGATTGGGGGTTGAAGGTGGCCAGGGACGAGTTGGAAGCAGCCGCTGCAGAGTCCTTCCTATGGCGGGGCAGTGGGCTGCCGTCTGCATTGATGGCAGCGATTCGTTCCCCCCTTCGTTCGCCGGCGCGCTCGGGAGTCGATTGGGTGAGCTGGAGAGGCGGTCGAGAGGACGGAGAAGGCACGGGCGAGCCTCGTTTCCGGGTCGAGGGAGGGTCTCTTGTCGCCATGTCTCGAGGCCCGTGAGTGATGTAGTTGAGCTGGTTGGGTGACGATGGGGCTGAGGAGCCTCGGTGACCGCCGCGGCCAAGCTTGTACGCGTTCCGAATCATATCCTCCCTGGCCTCGGGAACAATCTGCCATTTCATGCCCTTGCCGGGTTCATCGGTCGATCGAGCCACCTTGTCGAAGGACTTGTTGAGTGAAAGATTATGTCGGATCGAGTTCTGGTGAGGGCTGATTAGCATGAAGCAGACGGATAACGCGTTCACGCGATGCCGGTATCGTCTCACCTGCCAGCCTGCCGCTTGTTGGTGGCGGTAATATGAGTAGCTGTTCATGATGAACGTGTAGATGCCGTTCAGATTGAGCTTTTCGTCGGGGGCGTTGGTGATGGCCTGGGTGATCATCTGAGCGTAGCTGTACTGGGGTTTGATGTGCTGGTTGTCGTCGTGGCTCAGGTCGACCCCGTTGGCGCCCACCATGATTGCAGGAGTGTTGGCAACAGCGGGAGACTTGGCATTCAATGCGCCGGCTCGGCGTTGGACAGAGGGCGGCGTACCGGGTCGCTTGTACTCGGGGGGCGCAGGGGCAATGAAGGGCTGGCGGCGGGGTGCCGGCGGCTGCAGTGAATCGGAGCTCAGTCCGCAGCGCTTGAGGAACATGGGGTGGACGTGAAGCGGGCTGATTTCCGAGGGCAAAACAAATATCATCTCGACATTTCCAATCTCAATGACTTGGCCGCTGGTGAGAGGGCGTGAGGCGTGAGGCTTGAGGGCCTGGCCATCAACCTTTGCGCCGTTGCGGCCCTTGACCTGGAGCAGCCACTTCTCGTCCTTGGGGTCAAAGGAGATGGAAGCGTGATCGCGCGACACCATCTTGCTGGGGCCGAGATCGATGTGGACGTGACCTTGGTCGCCGTTGTGGTCGTCGGCATGGGACATGTCGGGAGCGCGGCCGATGCCGACGGAAAGCTTTGTGATGTAAAAGGTCCAGTCCTGGGCGGCGACCTTTGCGTAGGCCTTGACCCCGTCGCCGTTGGCCTCGTGGATGGCGTTGGCATGGTCCTTTGCGGCCTGGACGGGCTGGGTCTTGAGCTGCTGGGTGATTTGCGAGACGATGTGGTCGTCGTCGGTCCTGGGCGAGTCGTCGAAATCGTGCGAGGCGGACGTGGCGGGGTCGGGAGAGCGAGCCCTCTTGCGTCGCTTCGTCGGGCGACTGGGCGACGAGTCGTCGGCGTCGGGCTGGACCTGTCTGTCTTTGCGCGTATCGCGACGGCCGCGAGGGGGCCTCTTGGCAGAGAGAGGCATTGCCGGAGAGGGGGAGGGGGGGCGGTTCGTTTGGTCAGTCCGTGCTCGAACGACGACGGCGGCGGCGACAATGAGTGGTTATGTGTGGCCTCTGCCGTCGTTGGAGGCGGCGGTGGGCACGGGGCCGGCGACTTGGTCTGTTCGCATTCAAGGGAGGGAGAGGGGGAGGGAGAGAGAGGGAGGGAGGGAGGAGGTTGGTTGTGAGGAGAGATGTTGCGTCACCAACAACTGTATGTACAGTACATGCAAAGTACAGCACACGCCGTCGGTGAAAAAGGGCGAGTATGGCAGAGTGGGAAAAAGAGGCGTCCGGCTGTCGAGGCCGTCCGTGGCCCAACAAGCAAGTCGGGATCGCGTCCGCGTTTCCCCCAAAGTGTATCCGTAATGGCTCGTTTACTTACATTAGTAGCGCGCCAGGCAGGCCCACTAACCATGTGTCCCGGTCCTTGTATGCATTGCAGCGGACACAGGTATCTTTTGCATGCGACTGCGGTGCAAGAGGGACCTGCCCGGGCTGTCAATGGGGCGCTGTCTGGCGTGCATTATGTACATAGAGCATGTAGCCCGCCCTTCCAAACCCCCGGTACAAGCATCGAGAGGGGCCGCCAGGTACAGTGCCAATGTGCATGAGCCAACCACTCTACAGGCGTACCAGGGACCCCTGGATATTCTCCGCACAGTGTCGGTCGGCGGCTGTCAGCGGCTTCACGATTGGTGAATTGACAGAGGACCAAGAGTCTCAACTCGGAGGCTCGCTCACCGTATCACGTCCCAGGGTGACCACTACCAAGGTCGAAAGGCCAAGCTCTTCTTTCGTCGTCGCCGGTTCTCGGCAAGACAGTGCAGTGGGAGCTTCATTCCAAATGTCTGGGGCATTCACAAAACACGAAGCACCAAGCGTTTACTGGGACACTCGATTGACGAGCCAGGGCGCACTGTGTTTCCTCTGTATGTCGCTGTGCGGTTATTGTGCGGATACTTTTTGCTCAACTCACACGTGCCCTGAGACTAATAAGAGCGAACCGAGAAGCGCTGTGCATTGCCCACAATAGGCACAAGTGCTGGCACGAGAGACTAGGTGAAACACAAAACCACACAGCCTTTTGCCTCTTGTCCAGGGCTTGCTTGCTATTCGTAGTAAACAAGAAGCATTTTGGGCTTGGCTTTCGAGGTACCTCCAAAGCATGTGTCCAGGCACCAGTGCTTTCTTTACCTTAGGTAAGTTACGCAGCTCTACGTAACGTAATCCACCCCCTTCCCGGTCAGACCCCCTACTCGGTCAAAAATTCCCCACCGACTAGACCCGCACCTTACGCGAGACAAACGGAGCACAATACCACGACATATTTACTCCAAGAGACAAGTAACTCGATTAGGACTATCTATTACACGTACGGGCAGTGTGTTCAAAAGACCTGCACTTACTACACCGTGGTGGTGCACGCTGTCTTGGGACACTCAGCTCTTCTATAAGTCGTTGGTCCCGCTCCTTCTTCCCGCCGTCGCTTGGCCCGCTCATCTTCCTTTGCTCTCTGTTTCTTGACCCGCTCCTCTTCCTTTTCTCGCCGTAGCTTGAACCATTCCTCGTTCTCTTGTCGCCGTCGCTCGGCCGCTCTTCTCCTTCTTGTCGTCGCTTGGCCCGCTCCTCGTCCTTCTCTCGCCGGCGCTTAGTCCTCTCCTCTTCTTCCACTCTCCGTCGCTTAACCCGCTCTTCTTCTTCTTCTCTCCGTTGCTTTATCCTAACCGTGCCCTCTGCAACCGATAGAGTACCGCCGTCGCCAATGTATTCACGGCGCTGTTCTTTCTCTGCTTTCGCCGCTGGTTTTCTGACCGAAGTTGCCGGTTTTCGTCGGCAAGGAGGGCGGCGCTGTGCATGGCCATTTGACATCCTTTGATAAGCTGGTTGATAGCTTGTGAAACTGGCGAGTCTGTATTTTGTGGCCGGCGTTGAAGAAGCCTTTCGGCGTGAGTGGTAAGCTGGTTGACGTTATGCGGAGTCTTGGCTGCTTCCAGGCTCTTGTTGGGACTTGGAGTATTCTTGTCGCCGTGATCGTTACCGACTTTGTCAACCTGAACTTGTAACCGCGATAATACTCTGTTTGGGTCAAACGGAAAAAGGCCTGTTGCCATAAATCCGCTTCGGATATTCGACGGCGAAAGTGCTTGTCGGCGAGCGTCTAAGTACATGGGAAGGAAGTCCTGCTTGTCGATATGATGGATCCCAGCGAGCATTTTCTCTTGAACCTTTCGGCCGTATATGGTTTTCAACGGCGAAAAGCACCCGACATCAAGAGGCTGCAAGAGATGTGAGGAATGTGCAGGCATTTGGAGTACTACGATGGAATTGGCCGTACAGTACTTGTCAAATTCCGGCGTGACGTGACTGCCGTGCCCGTCGAGAATAAGAAGTCGATGCGTACCAACCGTACGGCGCCGTGTATTCGGATCAAAGACTTCCTTTAACCAATTCAAAGCAAGGTCGTCGGAAGTCCAGCCATTCTCACTAACGGCGATATGCCAGTCATCGGGCACTCCTGATTCGTACCAGCTTGCTTGGTGTAACTTGCCCTGGAAGATAACCTTCGCCGGTAAAGCCCAACCTTGGCAGTTGATAGACTCGATCACAGTAACCCATTCTCGATTTCCAGGCTGCGTGAGTACTGCCCGACCTCGCCGGTCAGACCGGGTAAGGACTCTCGCCGTTGCAGCGACTCCCATTTGAAACCCCGTCTCATCAAAGTTATAGACATCCTCGTCAAGAATCCCCATTTCTGTTTCGTCGCCGCGACTCGATCGTACCATCCTTGGATCTTTTGGGGTCTTCGCATTTGGCTCGTTGGTAGTCGTATCGGCGAGTACTTTGCCTTGATTTCGCCGTGGCGGCCAACAAACTTCCGCACCCAGTTTTCCCCGACAGGATCTTTGCCTCGCTCGGAAAGCAATAAGTTGGCCATCCGACGAGTGTAAGCCACTGTCGGCGGCATCCCTCGCTCGTCCATCGACAAGATCCATTGTACCAGGGCAGTCTCTTCCGTCGCCGTCAACTTCAGGTTGTTCATCTGAGCGTCGCGTCGGCGAATGACACCGCGCAGTCGATCAGATACTGTCGATTGAGGGACGTCGTATGCGGCCGCAGCCTTGCGGGTACTTTTGAATTGGCCCTGCTGATAGGCCCTGACGGCGAGCAGGACCCGTTCTTCGCGTGGAACCGATTGGTCTCCCGTTGCCGTCATAGTGCTCGGTTTGTCTTGCCATAAGTGTGGGTCGCCGCGTGGAGACTTTTTCTGACCGAGTAGGGGGTCTGACCGGGAAGGGGGTGGATTACGTTACCCCATGCACGTGCTCATCCACTACCTACCAGGAACGGAGTACCCAGCAAAGGCATCATTTCTTTGCTCGCATCTACATCGAGCAACACCGACTTTTTAGTCAACAGCTACCATCACCGCCGTGCCGACGCCCTTCACCCTTCCCTCGCTCACAGCAACCTCTTGCTGCTGCCGGAGACGTTACCGGCTCACCAGGTCGCTCATTGATCAGCCTCGATCCCCGTGAAACGCCTCCGGCAGCCAAAAGCAGCAGCTTCTTCTCCCCCTGCATCTTTCTGCTCTCATCCGAGCTTCAGCACCACCCTCTCCTAAACATCTCTTCTTCTTCGGCCTCGGCCTCCCCTTGTTCCGCAGCTCTTCCCCTCGATCCCGCCGACAAAATGCCTGGAGACCTGAGCTGTGGTGTCACACCGCCCATGTCCGTGGCCCTCCCCACCGAGACGGAGAAGCGAGCCAGCGATGCCCTCATCGAAGAGCTGCGCCGCCAAAAGACGTTTGAGAGTCCATCCGACACACAAAAGAGGCATGTCTCCTCTCGAATCCGTCATTACCGCCATCCGTGGCCCTTCACGTGCAGCTGACTGACCTCTCTCCTTCGTCCAGGTACAAGGTTCTCGAGTCACTCCAGGCCATCTGTGACGAATTCGTCAAGCGCGTGGCCAAAGAAAAGGAACCCAAAAACGACATGCTCCTCAAGAACGCCCGCGGAAAGGTCTTCACCTACGGAAGCTTTCGCCTCGGCGTCTTTGGGCCTGGCTCCGACATCGACACCCTCGTCGTCGCCCCCAAGTATGTCACGCGCGACGATTATTTCAAGTACTTCCCCGACCTGCTAGTCGAAATGGCCCCCAACGGCGCCATCACCGACCTGACCGTCGTCACCGACGCTTTCGTTCCCATCATCAAATTCGAATACTCGGGCATCAGCATCGACCTAATCTTTTCCCGCGTCATACAGAAGCAGTTGTCGCCTAGCTTCCAGGATCTTAAAGACTCGGGCCTTTTGCGCGGCTTGGATGAGGCCGAGCTGCGCTCCTTGAACGGCACACGCGTCACGGACGAAATACTCAACCTGGTTCCAGAACAAAGCACTTTCAAGCTTGCACTGCGGGCCATCAAGCTGTGGGCTCAGCGTCGCGCCGTCTATGCAAACATCATGGGGTTTCCGGGCGGTGTGGCCTGGGCTATGCTAGTCGCGCGTGTCTGCCAGCTGTATCCAAAGGCTGCCACATCCGTCATCGTGAACAAGTTTTTTCTTGTCATGGGCCAGTGGCGATGGCCACAGCCGGTACTTCTCAAGCCAATAGAGAGCGGCCCCCTCCCGGTTCGCGTCTGGAACCCCAAGGTATGTCTGAGCATGGATTCTCCAAACCATCCTGGCACCACTTTCAACTAACCAGAATGCAACCAGGCCTACAAGGGTGACTCTTTCCATCTTATGCCCGTCATTACCCCAGCATATCCGTCCATGTGTGCGACATTCAACATCACGCGATCTTCCATGACAATTATCAACCGCGAGCTCCAACGCGGCCTGGACTTGACAGAAGGCATAATGATGGGCAAGAGACCATGGAGCGACCTCTTCGTCAAGCACACATTCTTCACCGTCGACTACAAGTACTACATTTCCGTCACAACGGCGAGCAAGGACAAGGAAGCTCAGAAGGTGTGGTCTGGCTATGTCGAGTCCAAGGTTCGGGTGCTGGTTCAAAAGCTGGAGTTACATCCGTCCATAGCGCTGGCACATGCCTTCAACAAAGGCTACGACCGGCGCCATCGCTGCAAAAATGACGAAGAAATTGCACAAGTGCAGGAAGGCAGTCTCGACTGCTTAACCACAAAGGATGACGCGGGCCTCGATACAGCTGAGAAGAAGGCGACGGGAGAAAATGGAGAACCTGCTCCTTCGACCGAAGTCTTTACCACCACTCACTACATTGGTCTACAGCTGGTAGAAAGTGAGTCATTCCCGAGTTTCAGTCCTGCTGAGAACGATGCTAACCTCCGGTCTCCACAGAGGCGAAATCTCTCGATTTATCCTATCAGGTGGACGAATTTAAAGCACTCTGCACACAGTGGAAGAAATACGTAGACGAGCTGCACCTCTTGGTCTCCATTGGCGTTCAGCACGTGCGGAGGTAAGTTGCGATGCGAGACACCGGCTTGGTAGACGAAGACTAACACCCTGCACAGCGTCAATCTCCCCGATGACGTTTTCGAGGCGGGCGAAAAGAAACCTCAAAAGAAGGGTGCTAAGAGCATCCTGAACAGCAAGAAGCGCGGCCCGTCAGAGGTAACTATCACATTCGCCATTGGCTCTCGTTCTCGGCCAGCGATTGCGCCGCCGAAGGCAGGCGCCCCAACTACCGACAGAAGAGACTGACAAGCTATGACAGGACAACCCCCCTCAGCCGGCGAAAAGACAACAGGCCTCGGTGGCAGCCGTCGGGTGAACGCCGTGCCTGGTCCGCTCGAGCCGACAGTTTGGAAACCTTTTTTGACAGGCGCTCGACGGTGCTATCTGCTCTTCCAAGGAGCGGCTTGGACAAGGCTCGATCCCATCAGGAGCCCCCTAGTACCCCGCTCCCCGCCTACTGACAAGCAGAGTTTTGACGCAGTTTGCCTCGACACGGCTGGACGATGAAGCGTCGATGTTCGTGGCCCATGTCCTGATTTGCCAAGTGGCCACTACCTGGCTGTCACCAGCTGACCGTATGGTGACGACAGGACGTTGTCGGCGACCCGCAGATGGTGAGCAAATCCGGTGATGAAATCTGCGAAGCCTCGCAATATACACGCGAGCCCTAGTCTGGATGGGCCGTGACTGTGGTCGTGGGCCTCAGCGGTTGACTTTTCTTGCAGATGCCGACGGAAGCCCAATCCCCTTCATTCGGGGCTATATATAGAAGATTTGGCCTTGGTAGGCGACTAATAGATGTGTAATTTTCCATATCTGTCTCGACAGAAGGGCCCCTGCCGTCTGTCACCGGACGACGGTCTCATGCGCAAGTAGTGGACGTCTTATCTGTTGTTTATTACGAGATGCATTTGTGTTTCACTCATCGTCTGCCGCAACCAGGCTCGGCGGCAGACGGAGAGGCGTAACAGTCGACCTCTTCGGGTTCGTGGTGTCAGAGGTCGTCGTCGCCCTCGTCGCTGCCGCTGGACCAGCCATCTTGGTAGGCATCGGCAATGTCCATGAGACCGCTGCTGAGCGCCTCCCGGTCTTCCAATGTGACGGACCGAGATGTTTGGGACTGTAGCATCTTGACCCGTGCCGACATTGAAGAATCGGTGGATAAAACAGCGCGCACTGGAATTGCGGCTTCGTCGGCCGAAGCGTCTGGGAACACCGGCGGGAAGCTACTTGGTAGGGGGAACAGGAGCGAAGAGGTGTAACTGTAGGGCGAATCAGCTCGAGCTGGGGCGACGAGGTGGACACGAGTGATGGACTTGCCTGCGAATGATGGGATCGCCCACACGGTGCCTTGGCTCCCGGCCTGACGCATCCTCGGCCGGGACCTTGTCGTCAACCGTGCCCCGACAGGTGGATAGCTGGCCAAAGATGCGGCCATGTCCCCCGGGAGCGTTGCCGCAGCCCGGGAAAAACGAGCCCACGTCCAGCGTGTCTGCGTCCGGCTCCAAAGCACGAGCCCCCACCCCCATCTTGGCGCCGACCAAGGTCTGCCGCCCGCTCGTGTTGAGGCACTCGGCCATGTCGCTCAGAGAGGTCGGCCGTTGGCCAGGCCCGGCAGCCAGGCGAGACGGCAGCGCTGCGCTTTCCATGACAGTGGATAGGAGACCGGACACGTGCCAGGGCGAGCTACGGTCGATGGCGAGGGTGGTTGAAGTCTGAGTGTCGGGGATCGTGAGGGGCACTACGATGGACGCCATGGAGCAGGATTGGCCCAGGCTCTGGGCCGTGTTGGCTAGGCGCAGTTGGCGCTGCTGGCGCGAGGCATCCAGCAGGGGCGCCTGGAGACCCCAGACCCAGATGCAGGACTTTGGATACTCGTCGCGCAGGGCCTCAAGGTACGACAAAGCAAAGCCGCCCCAGGCATCGTCAAGTGTGGTCAGCACCTGGATGCCCTGCATGGCGTCGCACTCCTCGACAAAGGGCCGCCAGTCGCGGTCGACAATGTCGTGCTCCTTGTCGAGGGATCCAAACAACTCGGCGCCCATGGCGAAGCGCTCAAAGGGCCGGATGGACGAGCCGAGCTCAAAGTCGTAGAGCTGGACGGCCGACCTGGGGTGCAGGTAGACGCGCGAGAAGTCGGACCAGTAGCGCACCGTCGACGCCGTCGGCCGCTGGGGTTCAGTGTCGGCGTCGAGGCTCTGCTGGTAGGCGCTCGGGCTCACAGCCTCTTGCTTGTGCACCGCCGGCTGGCCGGACCTGTAGGCAAGCATGAGCGGCAAGCTTCTAACACGGTGATTGCGATGATGGGGGTGGGGCCGCGAAACGTCCTCTTTCGGTGCAAGCTTGGCAGGGGAAGGGCGAGATAACTTGCCAGAGGGAGTCAGCCGCCGCGCTTGACGTCGAAGCGCCATCGTAAAGAGGATTGATCCTTCGGAGGGAGCCAAAGCCACCCTTGAGATCGTAGACGACGGTCCTAGGCAGAAACGTCTCGGTGCCGTCCTGCCCTAAGCCCGGGCGCCAGTGAACATTGTGGTCTACCAGAGCCTTCCCCTGGTCGCCGTATGTAAAGTACGACTCCTGTGCGTTCCAAAAGTGCGTTGCCAGGTAGTTGCTGAGATGACCGAGCTGGAGCGTGACGATTTCGCGCATTTTCAGCAGAGGCACGTGGCTCGTGGCCAGTTCACACCCCCCCGCCGGTATCGGGTTTGGTTGAATCGTCACCGAACCAAGTCCCACGGCTTGCCGGTTAATCCCGTGGAGCAGTGCTCTTTGTCCTCGCCGGCGTTATGTTTAGCCTCGTCTGGTGCGCAGCTTGCGTCAACGAGCGGCCTCAGCAGGGTGCAGGGTAACTAGCTGTAGCTTCAAATGCGGCCAGAGCTCGGCTTAGCTAATGGACGAAGGGTTCATAACGTCAAGGTCGGCACTCGGCACTAGTCTCGAGACCCCGCTAACTTGCTTCTCTTAGAGCCAAACAGATGTCGTCATAAATCGCCAAGTGAATTGTTTGGGAAAATGGATCCCACGATGATTAGAGAGAGAGAGATCCTGCACAGGCACATACCCCGGTGACGATCAAATGCCCACAGCAATCTGCAGCAAGCACCGAGTCTGGGACCCAATCTGGATTCTGGGCCGAGCTCGAGTCGCTCAAGACGCCTACGGCCAAGGACGTTGCGTCTGCACCCAAGATCGGAGATCAAGCGCCGTCCACGACCCTGCTGAACCCGCCGGACGGACGCAAGACCATCGTGCTCTTCCTCCGTCACTGTGGGTGCCTGTGTAAGCCCGCGCCCAGGCCCCTGGCCTGTGGCTCCGAGACCTCCAGACCGCCACCGGGGGGGTAGCATCGAGTGAGCAACGTCTCCCGCCCGCTGGCGTCTCTCTCCAGTCGCAGAGAAGACGTTCAAGACCCTGGCCACCTTCTCCGAAAAGCACAAGGATGCCCATTGCGTCGCCGTGTCGCAGTCTTCCGCCCAAGCCACGGAGCGATGGGTCCCCCAAGTCGGGGGCGCATGGAACACCGGCATCGTCGACGAGGGCCGCGACCTCTACGCAAAGTGGGGTCTCGGTATCTCTAGTACCTGGCACATGTTGAAATCGGTTGCCCTCTACTCAGTCTACCGTCTCGGCACAGACCAAGTATCTGGAATCGACCCACCGAGAGCAGGACTCGTTGGCAGACAAGCGGTGCCTTTGCCATCGATGAGACAGGCATCGTGCGCTGGGCTCATGTATCCAAAGCTGCCGATGACATGCCAAATTTCGACGCTGCTCTCGTGGCGCTTGGACTGAACCCCAATGAGTCGACTTGAGCATGAACTCGTAGTGGGTTCAAGGATAGCGAAATAACGATGAAACCAAGATTTTGCCGGCTGATTACCACGAAGTCAATCGTGCCAACACTGGCATTGAGCTCGAGGAAGTCCCAAAGGCGGAAATGATTCAAGCGCGGCGGCTGCAGCGTAGCTGAGGCAGAATGGTATTATTTGTAAGAGGCTGAAAGATTAACCAGCGAACGGGACAGTGCTGCACTCCGCGAATGTGTTGGCTGTCGGCGTACTGAGAATCTCAATCAAGATATGCATCTGGTGTACTTCAAGGGCGTGTGTACGCAGGAGTTTGAAACACTGCACAATGGCTCGAATCCGCGTCGCAGCGCACAGGCTACCTAGTGACTGATCAAAACCTGATCAGGCACCACGACGGAGGCAAGCCTGCGTCCCAGTGGCGTGCTATCTCCGGGCGGATGAGCCACATGGCAATGCAGCCGAAAACGCCCAGGCTGCTCATCAGCTCCAAGGTCAGCCTCCCGCCGTGCTTGATTCGACTGCCCAGCTCCAACAATCCCAGCGGATCTTGATGGTTCGCGTTGACCGGCTCGGCGTTGGTCTGCTCTTGGCCCAGCCCCGTATAAGGCCCTGTCTTGGCCAAAGGCATATCAAAGCCGCGCTTAGGGTCCAGTACCTGTGGCGCTCGATCAGTTCTTTCCGCCTTTAAACTTTGCTGTAGGCTCTCTGCCCAACTCGAGAGCTCCACCCGCTCCCATTGCCGCCGCTCAAAGTATAGGTTCGTCCCGGTATGAGGCACAAGGGCTCCGCCAGTACTAAGGCACCGGGAAGTCAAGGCGAACTGAGATGTGCTATCGAGAAGCTGCCGCCGACGCCAGCTCACAGACTTGAGAGCAGCAGAGTACCGGAGCCGGGAGCTTCCATCGAGAGAAAAGATGCGGTCGATGAGCTCCTCAAGGTCTGTTGAAACCTGTGACTGTAGAATCTCAAAACTCATGTGAATGCTGGCATCCGTCGCACGGCAATCAGCTTCGGTCGTACTCGAGACTGCGTATATGCTCGACGTGTTCTGTGCCGATTCGGGTCTGGCAAAAGAGAACCATTCAAGACCTTGGTCGCTCAACATGTTGACAAGCCTGTCCTTGGATAGCGCTAAATCCTCGCATGCCAATTCATCTGCCCTTGCAAGCAGTGGAATGACATTTGTTATCTTCTGCAGACTTTTGATGCATCTGATGTCAGCCGGGTTCGGACCTGGGGCTCGTGTTAATATCGAAGATCTGTGAGGTTCTGAACCCTGCTGCACGCACCCGTAAAGGGCACCATATAGAGCACGACATGAACAATCGGCCCGGCCCCGCCGCTTAGAAGATGGAACAAGTCTTCATCTTCTATTGGCCTTTCGCAGAGCCGCAATAGCTGTGTCTGAACATATCGATCTGCCTGTTTGGGGCCAAGAATACGTTAGCTGGCATCGAGAGCGCGCCTCCGAACTTGACTCGCCTCGGTATTATTTGGAAGCGCTGGACAATCGAGGAAACACAGGTTCCTGTCCAAAATGTCGTGTGTCAGGGATTGCCTCCGTCTCTTGGCGTACGCGACAGGCTCGGAACTCGCTCGCCACCAAGGATCAGGTCGAGTGCTGGCGTATATCTCCCTGATTTTGCCAGCCGAGCACGACTCGAGAGGGTCCATGTGCACAATGTGTTGACAATTCTGTCCCAGGGCCTGGATGAGTGATGTTTTGCCAATGCCTACTCGGTTAATTAGCAACACTGCGTCGGAGTTGTCCAAGGGTGGACATTATGCACCTGCTCGACCTGCCACCAGCAACCTGAGCCTTCCCATCGATTTGCCCACGTCTGAAAAGGACCGACGGCCGGGGACCGTAAGACTGGGCATCACCAGCTGCGGAACTGTGCTTCCAGCCATGCTGGCGGCAGGACCTCGGCGCGGCGCTCGACTGGGAGAAACCGCGGCGGAGCCAGCCGAGGAGGCATTGGGGTTTTCCGAAAGAGAGCAGCTTGATGAGATATCGGGAGATGATGGGCCGCTGATGGCAGACCGAGGGCCCAGCGCACCGGCCGGAATGGGCGTTGGAGGCTGCGAGATGGCGTAATCCATGTCGGAAAAGGAGGCAAGGGAAGCCGGCTGTGGTCGGCGCGCAGAACGATCGGACAGGGGTAAGCTGGACACCCGGCTCAGATCGTAAACTTGGGCTTTGGCACGAGGATCCAGTTCGGGAGAAGAAGCGAGTGAATCGAGGCCGGCCTCGGTGGTGATGAAGCAACTTAATGGTGCGACTGGCGGGTTGGGAGGCAAGACATCGGGGTCGGCACGCGCGAAGCCTCGGGTGGCCGATGCGTCCACCGGGGTGGGGACTGGCCTCATCCCGGGAGAGAGAAGCACCTGGGTGAAGTGTCGACAGGAGAGCAACGATGCGAGAGAGAGCCTGGGCGATGGTTAGGCCAAGTTGGAAGGGCCGTCACGAGCTCCTGGTGGCGTGTCGTTGTGCTGTGTCACTGACACGATGCCCACTTGGAGGAGGGACCTACTGCTAGTACATGTCCGGGCGGCTGGGCGCTACTTGGCGATGCGAGGAGATCAAGTGCCTAAGCAAGTCCCTTTCTCTCTGCCGCGGTGGGGCGTCAGAGGTATCGTGGTGTCGTAGGAGCCGTTTCGCTGGAACAGGTGTACGATTTACAGCACGTACTGTACATGCATGTACCTGAGGTCACTGTGACTCCCTGGCGGACATCATCTACCCCGCACCGTGCGCTCCCAGCTTTAGAGGGATCAGCGCGCCCCGCCTCCCCGTTTAGCGCATGAGAAAGCCGCCCTTATGATGCACAGTGGCTTCGCGGGGCGCTGTCCCTCTCCTGACGTCTCCCTTGTTGGTTTGCTGAATGGCTTTGTCGAGGGCCGGTTTCCAAGGGATTTGACGTAAATCTCTCTACACCCGACGACTCAACGCGCTTCCTCATCCCGGCTCTCATCATGGACGGTAAAAGACACCCCAGCTCGTTCCAGCAGCTGGAGAAGCTGGGCGAGGGTACATATGCGACAGTGAGAGCCCCCTCGTGTGTCTGCAGAAGTGATGCGACTGACACTGTTGCTCGTAGGTATTCAAGGGTCGGAATCGCCAGACGGGCGAACTTGTCGCACTCAAAGAGATCCACCTTGACTCGGAAGAAGGCACGCCGTCGACTGCCATCCGCGAAATCTCCCTTATGAAGGAGCTCAAGCACGAGAACATTGTCGCCCTCCACGATGTCATCCACACCGAGAACAAGCTGATGCTCGTCTTCGAGTACATGGACGGAGACCTCAAGAGGTACATGGATACCCACGGCGAACGCGGAGCCCTGAAGCCCGCCACCATCAAGTCCTTCATGTACCAGCTGCTCAAGGGTATCGACTTTTGCCACCAGAATAGGGTGCTGCACCGCGACCTGAAGCCCCAGAATCTTCTCATCAACAGCAAGGGGCTCTTGAAGCTGGGCGATTTCGGTCTGGCACGCGCCTTTGGGATTCCCGTCAACACCTTCTCCAACGAGGTCGTGACCCTGTGGTACCGAGCCCCGGATGTCCTCCTGGGCAGCAGAACATACAACACGAGCATCGACATCTGGTCTGCCGGCTGCATCATGGCCGAGATGTACACGGGCAGGCCTCTCTTCCCCGGAACCACCAACGAGGACCAGATCATCCGCATCTTCCGCATCATGGGCACACCCACTGAGCGGACTTGGCCGGGCATTACGCAATATCCCGAATACAAGCCCACGTTCCAAATGTACGCAACGCAGGACTTGCGCAACATCCTCCACGCCATTGATCCTACCGGCATCGATCTGCTCCAGAGAATGCTCCAGCTGCGGCCCGAACTGCGAATAAGTGCGCACGACGCTCTGCAACACCCCTGGTTCAGCGACATTGTGCTACATCAGCAACAGCAGCAGCAGCAGCAGCAACAACAACAGGTTCTGCATGCTCAAGCGCGAGCTTATCAGCAGGGTGTTGCCGCCCAAAACTTTGACAACTACTAGATGTAGTTGGTAATCTTGCCTGTGGCTAGATGTCGGTTGGTTGGGCTAAGGGCGACCTATTCTATTGCGATGGGTGGCTCTCTGTTTCGCGGTTGGTACAGGGCTTTCTTTGGGAAACAGCGATGTTTGTTTGCTTGTTCTGGTCCGGGTTTGTTAAGGGAGTTGAGGCTCAGCATGTTAATGCTAGACGGGGAGAAGCGTGCATCGTGATCACGGGCGCTCGATGCTAAGAATTTGATCACGTCAATCAAGCGTGGATAGTGGACAGTGAAATACCAACACACGATGAGATATTGTGATGGCCTCCCATTACTAGAACCCTGCTTCGGCGACTAGTGCCGAGTGACCAAGCTGCCATCGACGGGACTCTTGAATCTGCGCTTGTTGGGCTCCTTGGACCAGGTTTCTGCAAGAGCTGCCGTCTCGTCTTCCTCACGGGGCAAGCCAATGCTGTCGCGCAGCTTCTGGACCTCGTCACGAACGGACTTGGCGACCTCGATCCTCAACCGAACGGCCTCTTGGTCGTGTTCCAAAAGCTCGGCGTTGCCATTGTCAGCCAACCGCTTCCACGCAGCCCGCTGACGACCAAAGAGGGAATCAACATGCTTTGGCTCTCCTATGACCACCTCGACGCGGTTGCCCACCCGAGGGAGCCATCGCGGCCAGCCCCTGTCCTCGGGCATGATGGCCTGGGTGCCGTGAATGAACATGGGTATGAATACAGGGGCCGGATCACTCTCGAGGATGAGCCGCGATATACCCCACTTGAAGTACCGCAGGCTACTGTCTGGACTTTGGTGGCAGCAAGCCTCGGGAAAGACATGGACCCAAGCATGGCGTCTGGCCGTGTATGCGGCCGGGGCGGGGAAGGAGTCGGATCCGTCGGTCGAGAAGAAGCGTCCCGGGAGAGTGGAGCCCTTGGCTGGTCCGGATAGGATGCTGATGGCTTGTGCCATGGTAGGTTGGTATAGGCCGCCCAGGGGAGAGTGCCACAGGCGACGTGTCGGCAGGACTTGGCCCAGGCTGAAGAAGGTGGACGAGAAGCTGGCAGGCTGTTAGGTCATGTTGAGAGCCGCATTGGCGTCGTTGGTACGGCCGGGCGTGACAGACCGGTTCTTGAAGCATATGTCATGGGCTCCCAAACCCCATCTCAGATTGGCGAGGTCGGTGGTGTAGCGTAGAGGAAGTATCCCCCACATGAGGGGATCATCAAGGCTACCAAAGCGAGTCAGTGGCCAGACGTCGTGCAACGGAACATGAAGAGAAGAAAGGCGCTTGTACACTCCGACGTGGTTGCATACGGTCAGGAGGCCGCGCTCGGGACCCCAGGTCCTCCTCCGGTCGAGGGCTCCGAGGAGATGGTTCAGCCCTGTGACCTCGACGTGGTTGAAGCCGTAGAGGAAGCACCTGGACAGGGTCCCGACGGTGCCCATGACGGCCATGGAGGCGAGCCGCCAGGGCAGGCCGGGGTGCGCTGCAGGAGCCGGGGTCGACATGGCTCGCGGTTTGTCGGTGTTGTACTACTGGCGACGGGGATTCGGGACGTGTTCATCCCGTTGCCCGGTGCGCCGTTGCGCGGCGTCTTGGCGAATCCATGGCTAAACCGACTTCGAGATGCTTTTCCTCCTTCTAGAGTCGAGGTGGACGCGGGAAAGCTTCGAAGTCCCTATCTTATCTTGCTTAGATAAGATTGGAGTATTCTGTGAGCGAGCAATCCTCCGAGAACCGTTAGCCTATCGCTCCTTATCAAGCATCTACAATTAATTACACCCACGCCTCACTCGTCGAAGCTCCAAGCTTCATCTCACATATCTACGACTTGCGCATTGCATCTCTCCTAGTTGAACTGTAGCGGTCGAGTTGGTAGATCCAGAACGGCCACTCGCAACACAATGGCACACAGTGAGTCCATTCATACTGTCGCCGTGCCGCGGGCCTCCTGGCGATGCCTGGACTGCTCGAGGAACCTTCAATTCAGCTGACAGCCGGCCGTCCGATGATGCCTAAGGCAAACGAAACACATCTCGAGCCGTCTTCACATCCCACGAGCGGGCGCTGGCCAAGTCCGACTGGGCCACCAGCTCCGCGCGCCTGAACCGCGACTCCTTTCTGCCTTTTGGCTCTTGCGGCCTATGTCTCGGTATCGCGAGAGAGCCCGTTGCCTGCTTGCGCGGCGACGTCTTCTGTCGCGAATGTGCGCTCGCCAACATTCTGGCCCAGAAGAAGGAGATGAAACGAGCGGACAAGGCACGTCGCGGTGCGAAGCAGGAAGCCGAACAAGCTCGGGCCATGGAGGACGAGGAGGACCGAGACCGGGCTATTCGCGACTTCGAGCTGACGCAGGCCGGCCTGTCCTCTGCTAAGAAACGAAGCAAATCAACACCAAAACCAACACCAACACCAATTACGCGAGACAAGCCGTCTAATGCTCTTGTCCTTGCGGGGTCGAAGCGAAAGTTTGCCCTGGACGAGGACGAGGTGAGCCGCATTGCACAGGAGGACAAGACTAGGGCGAGAAAAGCCATCGAGGAAGAAAAGGTTGGCGATACTTTTCGCTTCTTGCTATCCGAGTGCCAGTTGCTGCCTCAGATCCCTTACTAAGAACCACCCTGACAGGCTGCAAAACCGACGCTGCCTTCTTTCTGGACACCATCCCTCACCCCCGATGTCCAGGACAGTAAGCTGCCACCCGCATCCAGGAAAGACAAAAGTATACCCATTTGTCCCTCCTCGCCCGCCGACGACCTGCACCCGATTTCGATGCAAAGCCTGGTGACCGTCCACTTCAACGAAGACGTTGGACAATCCAGCGAGACAAAGCTGCGCACCTGCCCCTCGTGTTTGAAGGCACTATCCAATTCTTCGAAGCCGGTCATGGCAGAGCAGTGCGGCCATGTTCTATGCATGTCTTGCGTCAAGCTCCTCATGCAGCCGGCCGAGAAGTCGACGCCACAATCCGAGGCGCCCATAACGTGCTATGTATGTGATGCACCTGTGGTCTCCAAGAAGTCGAGCAAGAGAGCAGGGCCCAAGGGCTCATTGCCTTTCGGCCTTGTTGCCTTGAGATCGGAAGGCACGGGATTCTCGGCGCGAGGGTCGAACACGGTAGAGAAGTCTAGCATCGCATTCCAATGTTGAAGGGGCATGCTCGGACTATGTGGTCGAGGGAGGAAGTCGAGGTACATGTGAGCCATGCGAGGTGCTTAGCCAGAGTCGCGGCTTGTGCTTGTACCAAATAGGAGTCTGTACTGAGTCGAGGCCGGCAACCATCACTTGGTCTGTAGTCTTTTGCGCATGTGCGGTCGCGACAGGAGCCAGAGGCGAACGGCTAGACGGAAGAACAAGCCTTTCATGAGCATGGTCAAGCCATGGCTAAGGAAGCCCTTGAGGAGTTCACCCTGGAGGCCGTCGTAGAGCGCGCGACGGCCCTCCTTTGTGATGATTTTGAAGATGATGCCTATGACGGACTTGTCGAGTAGTCTCCCCAGCAGGGAAAGGAGGCCTTGGTGGTCCTTGGCGGAATCGTTCTTGTCGCTCTTGGGCGGCGCATCGTCGGCTGCTTCGCTTGCCATCTGGAGGCGTAGTCTGCCCGTCTGGAAGGGGTAGGTCAAGGCGGTTGCGGTGGCCTTGCTGAGGGCGGCCAGCAGAAAAGCGACCCATGCGACGGGGATGTCCTCTTCCTGGAGGGCAGGCAGGATGCGCTTGGCCAGTCTGCGGTTGACGAAGAAGGTGATGCTGGGGTTGAGGGTGAGGAAAATGGTGGCCGAGTAGCCAGACCACAGACCCAGGAGGCCCCGCCCGTGGTAGACATCGGCGAGCGTCTGGCGCAGCGACATGGTCTCGGACGCCATCTGCATGCGGGTGACGACGGTGGAGATGGGCGTGGTGAAGGCGCGCGAGCAGGCGCCGGCAAAGGCGCCCATGGCGAGCTCGACGACGACGCCCGGGTGACGGTTGCGGGAGCGCAGGTAGCTGTAGAAGCCGAAGAAGAGGAAGCTGTCCAGGACCGACTTTGCCACGTCGGGCCCGAGGCCGTGGTACAGCGCCGGCAGGCCGCCCTCGCGCTCGACGACGGCCCGCAGCGCGTCGGCAATGCCCTCGTACCGCGGCTGCGAGGGCTTGCTGGCGCCGCGCATCATGCGTTGCGCCTTGAGCCGCGTCGTCACCAGGTCGAGGGGGAAGATGGCTGCCGTCGACACGGCCGTGCCCGCTGACCCGGACACGGCGTGGCCCAGGGCCGTGAGCGTATTGTTGAAGGACATTGGGCTTTGTTTCCTGCCCTCTTGTTATGAAGGATGCGCCGTTGACGAGTCCAGACAGCGGAAGAGGGAGAGGGCTGGAGGTTGGTGGAGAGCTGAGCTCGGTGCACTAGCTCACCTCACATCTCCCTTGCAAGTCCCGCTGGAACCGGACCTCCGAGGTCCACTACGTCATGTACGGGCTTTGGCCGGGTTGCATGTGATGCCTCGCAATTTGCCCATAATTATCAAGGCCATCTACCAATATCTTTACATACTCCCACCCGCATCCCAGACCGAGGCAGACAGGCAAGGCAGACAGGCACTGCCTAAGACACCCAAGACAAAGACATCTGGCACAGTCTCTTTCCCGAATCGCATTGCTGTGTCACCTCGTATACGTACAACTAGTTGAACACGCTTCTCGCGCCAACGCTGCCAGTTGTCGCCGTCGCCCACTTCGACCAGAGACGGAAACCCCAGCCGTCCTTCCTATTCGAACTCCAAGTCATGAAATGTCAGTACCATGGTATTTCAAACAATCCCCCAACGCCCTGCGCTTGTGCTTGTCAAGACCCCCTGGCGAGCCATACAGCAACTCTCCCATATGCCAAAATGCGCCAAACAACCAAAAAGGATAAGGGAACAAGGAAGAAGGAGCATATCTCTCTCATCCGCGACTTGTCGCCGACGACCTGCGTTGCGGCGCAGCGCTGATGCCAAAACTCGAGGACCGCGCCGACCCAGGCATGGTCATGCTGCCCAGGTCTGGCTCGCCTGGCGCGTCCTCTCCTTCTAGCGTGCCCGGATGCCCATCCAGAGGCCTCCGCGCTCCGTAGCCCACCACCTGGAAGATGTTGGTGCGGCCGCCGTTGGTGGCCATCTGCAGCTGCTCGTGTAACCTGGCGAGTTGGTACTGGCGCTTGATGGGGGCGAAAATGGGCTGTGGGAGTAGTGGCTGAGGATTCCAGTGCGCCAGCGCACCCATGACAGCGCCAGTCTCCTCGTCAGAGTCAACGGGTCCGTTGTTGACTTCATCTTCGTCCTCTACAGGCGCATTGGCGTCCAAAGCAGCTTCTGCAAGAGGTGAGATACATTGTCAGCGGGCTCACGAGCCAAAAATGGGGGAAGGGGGACAGGAGCATGAAAAAGGTCTCACTCTGCTGCTTGGCCTGGTTTTTCTTCTGGTAAGCTGCTAGGAGCATGTCGTAGGGGAGCGATCTGCCGGCAACGGCACGCTTGGCGCCCATAGAGTGGCTCTTGCACGTCAAAGATCGGGCGCACGGTTGGCCGTTGGCCAGGATAACACCACACTGCCGCTCGACATCGACAGGTCCTAAAAGGGTCCAGGTCAGTGATAGCTGTGCGAGAGGTGGCGGCGGGAGAGCTGATACCTCTCGGCTTGGGTACTTTGGCCTTGGGCTCATCCTTCTTCTTTTTGGCCTTGGGGGCCTTGTCGAGGTCGCCGTCGGCTTTCCGCTTCTTGCCCTTTTTGTCGTCCTCAGGCTTCTTGCCGGCGGCCTTTTTGCCGCCGACGCTGCCCTTTTGCTTGTCGTCGTCGCCGCTGTCGTTGTCGCCCTTAGCTTCGCCGTTCTCCTCATCTGCCTTGCGTGCTTCCTCTTCTCTGGCGGCCTCCTTAGCCCTCTCTCTGGCCTCTCGCGCCTCCTTCTTACGCTGCGCCTTTTCCTTCTTTAGTCTGAGACATTGCGCGATGTGGGCCTTTGCGGCCGTCTTGAGGACGCTCTTCCTACAATGCTTGCACTGCTGCAGGTCGGGGCTGTCCTCGAGGGGACGTCCCGTCGCAAACGTCTCGCGGGCTATGTCGTCGAGCTGGTTGACGACGGGGCCGGGTGAGGCGACCGATGCGGACGGGGAGGCAACGCTCTTCTTCTTGTCGTCTGCCGTGGAGGCGCCGGGGTCAGCGTGGGCCGGCGAGTGCAGCGGCCATGGCTTGGGGAGACGCACCTTCGACGACGCTGCCATCCCTCCAATTTCCCGGCTTGCTGTGCTTGGGGGGCGGCTTCTTGAGCTTTATGATGCCGGCCTTTGCATCCTTTTTGGAGGCGACCTTGATGGTCTGCTCGGATTCGGGGGCCATTGTGGTGGGCCGTCGGTCGGTTCGCTACTTGCTTTGGTGACGCGGCGACAGGCCCGGGGCAGGGCGTCGCTGCCCGAGGGCGTGCTGGGGACCACCTCCGTGGGTCAGCAGCGGCCTTGGTCTGGTGCGCAATCGGCGCTTCGCCGCGAAGAGGAGAGGGTGGGAGGCGCGGCGAGCCGAGGAGAGGTGAGGTCAGGTGAGGTGAGGTTGGGTTGGTCGGTCGCGAAGCCAGCCACGGAAAGCCACAGCACCTTAGCTAATCAACCCGCCTGGCATGTGCTTTGCACGTGTACAGAGGCACAGGTTGGAGGTGCGCCGGTAACAACGATAATCCGGTCTCGTCAAAGAGGCGGTGCGTAATGATGACCACCGACATTAATTACCTGATGAGCGTGCAGGTCACTTGCCTGCGACCTTTGGTGCGCGGGTACCTCTCTCTGGCCCGGAAGCTCTCCCTCGTGTCTCTCGCAACGTGCCTCGCAGAGCAACGTGCCTTCGGGAAGACAAATCGTCTCCAGCATTCCTCTCTGGCCTCCTTCTGCTGTGCTGTGATGTGCCGGAGACGAGCAAGAATCGATTCGTCATGCGCCACGGCCCCTGTCCGTCCTCCTTGTTCGTCGAGAAAGCAGCAGACGAGAAGAGGGGGAGCCCCATCTGACGTCACCAACAGCCGCCTACATGCTGCATCATCCTCGCTTGTCTGACGGACCTTCAGCTTCGCTTCTTCGCCCACTGACTTCGCAAGCCCGTGTTTCGCCATTCGCTCTGTGGGACCTGCAACCCTGACCTTGAGCTCGGCCAACAACAACGTCATAACCCTGCCCGCGATCGATCTGCCGCCATGACACTTTCTCGGAACCGCCGTGCCGCTCGGCTCTATCTTCTCCAACCCCCACCCTCTTTCTTCCCTTTCGAGTCTCAAGGCCTGGAATTCTTGCTGCTTCCCCGCCATATCGCAAGCTGCCGCCTCCAAAAACGTCAGCGCCTGCTGTGTCAGTGTCAGCCTCGGCGCACCTGCCCACCTTGCCTCCTCCCTGGCCTCGCGACATAAAAAGCACCCATTTTCCCGTCAAAGTCTTTGTCTTTCTTATCCATAAACCCACCTGCCTAGACCCTTTGTCAGAGCTCTACATCTACCCCCATCATACACTTGCTCATCTCATCGCTACTCTTCATTCTCACCATGGAGGCCATCAGCAACATGGCCACTGACGCTGCCCGGGCTGTTTGGGGAGACAGCACACACGGCAAGGAACCCATATCTGGTGCCCAGGGCAATGTACCCAGGGGCGAACCCTTTGACGCCGGCAACCTGAGTGAGATTTGGCTGCCCCCTGTTCCAATCTGCCTCGCGGAAGCTAACCATACCCATCGGCCTATCAAGGTGATGCAGCTCAGCAAGAAAGACTTGACAGGACGGTTGGGAACCCCTCGTCCACTCACCCAGCCTCGACGCAGAATGAAAGGCTGGACGACGATGCCTCATCCCCCAACTACCGCCACGACTCCGGCATGTTGTTTTCTGGAGGAAATGGCCAGGAGCAATTTGACAAGACACCTGAAACTCCCTTGCACAAACCCAGCCATAGCTCGACGGGAGACCAAGGGCTGGATGCTACCGCCGCCTCTTCGAACCGGACACGTCATGGCGCAGAGAATCATTCTTTGCCAACTGACAGGGAGGGACAAGCTGTGATCGGCCCCTCTGAACAAACATCTCACAACAGCAAGGAAGAATCCTTAGGAGGGGCCGGGGTTGCCGCCTCATCTGGTAAACTCCCTGGCGATGTCGAAAAAGAAACATCAGCAAGCGACAAGGTTGCCGCCTCCTCTGATCGACTCCCCGGCGACGCCGAGAAGGAGACTTCAGTAAGGCATGGTGATGGGCCTGCTGACGCTCCCTCTGCTGACAAGCCCTCCGACTATGCCAAGGAAAAGTCCTCTAAGAAGAAGGATTCAGGAGTGGGCGAAGCAGAGGGGGATCCGGAAACGAGTGTCATGGGCGAAGGACCGAAGTCTCTCGCCGACGTTGCCAAGGACAATGGCGGTGATGCTGGTAACAGTGGTGATGCAGCCAAAAAAGATGCCGACAACTCTACATCCGAAGCTGGTGGTTCGGACGGTAAGGAAAAGAACAACGAAACCAAGGGCACTGGGGAGCAATACGTCCGGACAACTGGCCTCGCGGCCGATGGCGGCGACTTTGATGCCACCAAGCCCGGCGCCGGCAAAGAGGCTGATCGTAAGCTCATCTCAAACTTGCCCTTTTCTCGGCACCTGCTAATAGTGCCTTGCAGGTTTGATGGAAGAAAAGGGCATGTCCCATGAAGGTGGCGACAACAAAGGCGGGAAGAAGACAGGAGGTGGTGATGGTGACAAGCCCAGTTTAGGTGAACGTATCAAAAATAAGCTGCACAAGCATTAGATGCGCTGGGTTGGGATTGTACGTGACGAGTTGAATGGCGGTTTATGGAATCATTTGAATACCTAACGGCTTGTTGGCGCTGAATAATGGCTCGGTGCCTTAACTTGATGCTCGTGTGCACTCGTGGCATCGCCAAACTTTGCATTCAGACCCCAGACCTTTTGCAAGAGTCTTCTACTACCTCCATGCTTTCGTCGCAAACAAAACATCCGCAACTGCCCCCCATGTCATGATCATGGTGTACACACACTTCTTTGTTAACCAAAGACTCGCCGAAACCCTTCTTGCCCGTCATTAATGCATCTCAAGCCAAGCATCACCTCTCTGTGTAATCGTCATCATCCGTTAGGTGTCCGTCTCCCGCCCGGGGTGCCTAGATAGATTCGCTCACATCGCATCAAGACATCATCCCCCACCTCATCCATTTCACCAATGCCGGTCCCTCATGACGTGTTCGTTCTATTCGGCGGGAACAGCATTCCTCCTTCCATCGCATATGTGTTTGACTGGCTCTCATGGCGTTTCTTTCCAATTTCGAGCCCTAAGAGAGCTTGAGACGTGAAACAACGTCTTGAAGGAGTGGACACAATGCCCCAATGCTTAACGTACACCGCACGGGCGTCATCTCTTCGTCGGTTGTCTTGTTCGGGCAAGTTGACGTGCAGGTCAACGGAGTCGGCATAACCCTTAAACCAGGGGAAAACGTGACCAGCTTCTGTCTTTTGTTCCGAATGGATCAAATGTCTTTCCCTCATCTCCTGGCTGTCAATACGGCACGTTCGATGGCACGAGTATCATGCTGTGCCGCTCCTTGGATCGTTCGGCAACGCCACCCGCGCTTGTCGTGTCAAGCTCTCGATGGTTCTTCTTTTCCTCCTGCTCAAGAGCTACAGGTCGCGCGCCACTCCGACACCGGAATTCGGCTCTGCTGCCTCCACGTTCTCATTCTCAACACAGCCAACGCGGGATCCAAGAAGGTTGATGCGCTTCAACCTAGGTGCCGAGCATGTGACTCAAAGGAAGCCCGATTCTGCCAAGACCCTGCGAGTTAGAGGGAGTAAGCAACTGTACTCGAAGCAGTGCTTTGGGGTTCGTCGGTGGAGAGCATTGAGATGTTGGATTCGCCCCTCCACCATCGTCCTGGAGGTAAAAGGCCGCGAGTTGAAGGGCCAGGCACATACCTCACAATTTTCTCGTCCTCACGCTCGCGTGGCTCTATCTGCAAACTCTTGTCGTACATCTCGTGCACATCTCCCGCGGCCTGCATGTTGCTGAGTATATAGTCCTGCAGCTCGGCAACCGGCTGCAGAGAATAGCCCACGTTCTGGTACTGCTGAATGTCGCGTATCACCTCCGCTGTCTTGGCCCGCTTGGCAAAGTTGACTAGATTGGTCTTCTTGATGATTGACGGGATGCCATCCTCGATAAACGTGAGGTCGGTCAAGTATACACCTAACAGCTGGTCAGCATCGCCTGTGAGGCGGGTCGAACACCCCGGAGCTGCTCATTCATACCGAAAAATGGGATGCAAGGTGGGTTTGCGGCGTGCAAAGCCTCGCGATATTCGCCAAAGTTTTTGGTGCTGGCCATCAAACGACGCATTGCCTCCAAGACTGCCTGCGAGCGTTGCGGAACTTGATCCCAAGTTCTTTTCAGACGAGCGATCGGAGCCGTGCCAAGGGCGGATATAATCGACGTCAAGGTTGAAAAGTTGTTGAGACCTCGGCATTTCTGCACACGGTTGGTTAGTATGGGCCGACAGCCCGGAGAGGTTGAAGGGAGCGGGCACGAACATCGGCAACAGCAACAAAGTGCTTAATCACCACCACCCGCTTCTTGACGTCCATCTGAGCAAGAATCATCTCAGCAACCCAGTTGGTCATCTGATTCGAGTGGAGGATGAGGGCCTTGACGTTTGGCGCAGGGTCCGGATCGCCTTCGCCAACCTTCTTCTGCCACGTCTTATTCAGGCACTCGGCGGCCTTGATTTTGCCATACAGCCGGGACTCGATGATGGTCAGCTGGCGCGCAAACTCAGTCACGTCAATGTCGAGGAACTTGAGCTTCTTCATGTTCTTGGGCACAATAGGCGTCGGGGTACTCTGGTTCAGAGTTTGGATCATTCGCCGACCCCCCGCCTCCTTGCCGTTCATTCTTTGATCGAGAACAGCCATCAGCGGGCCGGAGCCTGGTGTTTCGCTCGACTTGACGGCTTCTCTCGCGAACGCGTATACGTCGCGGATCAGCTGTCTCGACTCTTCGTTTTGGTCCTCCATCCAGAAGATGTCGAACCAACTCTTGAGAATGTTGACGACACGGAAGCGGATCAGTTTCTGCTTGCGATCTCTCCACGCCTCGTATTCCGATTGGGTCAGGCCCTCGGGGGGTTGTATTCCGAATCGTTTCACCAGGAGCTCAAAGAGTTCGCGAGCAGACGTCAAGGACCTATAAGTCAAGAGAAAGGTATTGTTGAAGTTGGAGTCGAGCTTATCATGCCGGGTGAGCTGCTCCACGAGCGCGAGCAAAGTCCCGCCTTTGACGGTTGGCGGCGTAAACTTGGTGTCCCACGAGACGTCGTTTTCGTGGTCGAGCCTCAAGTAGTCTGGAGTATCGTCGTTGCCCTGCATGATCGCTTGCGGCGACGGATCCTCGCCGAATATCTTCTTCACCTTGGCATAATCGCCCTTTCTCAAACTGCTAGCCGGCGGCTCACCTTCGCTGAACGAGTGCGCCGTGATGATTGACGGCCGCAATGCTGCTGCTCTCGACTCGGTGCGTATATGCGGCCGCTCATATGCCATAGTCTCGCCTCGTTGCAATTTGCCACGTGACATGTGATCCTCCCGGGACCGAGACTCGCCCAACGGCTGGTGTTGCTGCTGCTGCTGCTGTTGGAGCTTGATCTGCACCTGCTCCGAGAGCAGCTGTAGGGCAAATCCAATGTGCGACGAGTTGGTCTCCAGGGCTCTCGCGCACTGCCGCACGTACTCCAGGCGGTTTTCTAGTGCTTCACCCCGAATCTCGCTCCATTCGTCCGCCAAAGGGCCTGTGACGGCTTGGCAGCCAAGCAGAAGATCCGAAATGTTGTCGTAGAGGCTCTGCTTGTTGGTACTGAAGTCGGCGACTTGCGGCGTGTGGAAGTTGTCCCCAAGGAAGCCCAGGTCGATGGACTCAATCATTGCAATCCAGGGCTTGAATGAGTCGACGACTTTGCCGCCGGCAAAGCAAACGTTGTTGCCAATGACCTCATGACGATATGGCGTGACAATCGTTTCCGGTGCGACGAGGCTTTTGCCGAGTTCCCGAATGCTGGAAACCAGTATCCGTTTATGCTCGTCCAGCCTCTCGAGGAGCTTTGCGTCCAAAACGGCCGTGGACTCGATCGCACCGTCCTCGTCCTCCAGGAAATTGGAGGCGATGGGGTCCCGGGGCCCTAGGCCATTGCTCTGCCAGCATCCGCCAGCGTTGCTGCCGAGCACAAAGCCGGGGAATAGACGCGGAATTTCCTCTCCCCGCTGCTGCCTGGCGACCTCTACATAGCTGAAGACACCGAGCAGGACGCCGTCTGCTTCCTGCAGGCACTTCTGGACGGATTCGGCGTTGGGCCAATCGGCAGCGGCAATATGAGAAGAGATTACTAGCTTCGAGAACTTGGACATCATGTCTCGGAAATGGGGATATAGGGCTTTGTTGGTCGATATGATGGACGGTTGACCCGAGTGGTTGTCCGTCGTGCCCGACCCCGCGGCCAGCAGCAGTCGTAGATGATCGGAAATGTCCTCGGCCCTTGCAACATATTCTGAGCGGCTGTTGTTTGCAATGGCTTCGCGATACCGATCGATTGCACGCTTCATGTTGGAAACTAATAAGCTCCATGTGAGGGCAGGGGTTGCGCCGTCATCGAAGAAGGACCGAGGCACCGTGGCAGTGGTCGGAAGATGATAGGTGGTGCTGGTGAAGGAAGTGGCCGACGCCGCATTTGGCGGCTGGCCGCCAGTCGACTTGCCATTTGCGAGGGCGTCGATTCTTTTGGGGCGCACCGGGGAAACGCCGTTCATTGAGTCCATCGAGGTGGAAGGAGACAGAACGCCGCTGAACGAGGTCCGGTTCCGAGACTTTGTAAGCGTCGAAAGTCAGCAACGCCACAGGTCAGGATACAGATGATTGGATGGGTGGAATCCGCACTGTATATGCTCGAGAAACGAGCCGCAAGGACTCTCCCTCGGCCTCCGAAGCCGACGTCACCGAGTCCTCGTCCTCGTCCTGCGTCAACCCTCGAGCCATCATCTCGGGAGGGGGCCGGGTCTTGTCGGGCACTGTGGCGTTCATGCGATCGCGGGGACCCGTCTCGGTGAAGGAGACTGGGGATTCAAGCGGGAGTTCGGCGCGGCGATCCCCCGTCATCATGTTGTAGTAGAACAAACGTCCATCCGGAGTTGCCTGCGGGATCCAGAAATCAACCCCCGACTTGTCGCCGGTAGCAGTGCCCTCGAGGGGCAAGTCGCTGGACCCATCAGCCTCGGACTCGTCCTCCGGGCCGAGCCCCCCGTCAAGGGCCTCGTCGTCATCTCCCTCGTCGTCGATTCGGCCGGCAGGACCGTTTTGGTCGTTATCTGAAAGGTCGTCCGGGTTGTCTACGATTTCGCAGTAATTGCTGGGGAACCAGCCGCGCACGTCGTTGATGACACCGTCCCACCAGCCGCTCTCAAGTTGGGTGATGACCTGAATGACATCCCCTCTGTGAAAGCTCAGGCTGGTCCGGTCGTCTGCCTCGTAGTCGTACAGGGCGCGCACATACATGGTGCCGGATGGCGCCGTACCGATGACGCCGTCCATGATGACGGCAAGGGGCAAGCGGTGGCTCACGCCGTGCCAAGGCGGATCCGGCCTCGGATTCCAAGAGGAATGACCAGCGCGGGGTTGAGGCGCGTGCGGCAAAGTATGGCGACGGCCGGTCGACAGCGAACGCGTCGGCGCGGAGGTTGCAGAGGCAGAGAAAACCTATCAAAGATCAGGATATGCGGCTCAGGACATGACCTCGCCGCGGATCAGTCGTCATCTCGTGCCGGAGGCGGCACACGTTGGATTGACGATGCTCGAGAGCATGCCACTCGTATCAGTGTTTCGCGTAAGGCGCCGAGTTCATCCAGAGGCGGAGTGATACGGTCTTTGGTCGCGAGAATCGAGGATCGCCGTCGCAGCAGAGAGCAGCGAGGCCGGAGGGAGCGTTGGCGACGATCAGTGAGAGTGGGGGAGCGGCGGCGGCGGCGGCGGCGGCGGCAGGGGGGGCGTGGCTGGTGAGGGGGAGGCCGTCAAGAGCAAGACTGCGATGCCGTCGTCTTCTGCTATCGCAAGAGGGAGTGGTGCGGCGCCAGGCCACGGGGCGTTCAAAGATCGAGCAGCAGCAGCTGTATCTGGGTCCGCAGGAAGTTTTTTGAGATGGTATGGCTGGCCTCGGATGGTGGTTGGCCGATGGTGAACGGGTGAGTGGCCGGAAGAGGGGGGACGACCAGGCAGGGAATCCAGAGGCTTGTGTGGTGTCTGCGGAGATCCACCTCAGCCCTCTCTGCGAGGCATCTGCACTCTAAAGAGGTACAAAGTACAACCTGGCCGCGATTTCTCGAGAGGCGAGATGGCTAGGGGATCTGAGATAGTAGGGCGGGGGGCCGCGAGGTACCGGAATGCGTGGGAGTGCCAGGCGCGCTACCTGGGGCAGACGCCGAGCGCTATCTGTAGACTGGACTGAGCTTGGGTTAGGTATCTTCATGCAGCCTGGCACAGCAACGAACGACACGACACAATCCAAAGGACATTCCCCGGCTGTTGGTTGGCGACGGCTTCGGAACAAACAAAGTGGTCTACCTCCGCGCATACCGGGGCCGCTAGGAAGGCGCCCGCCGCCCGCTGATAGAGCACACGATACCAGCTAATGGCTGAGCAGGTTGGCAGACGAGCACAAGCACAGGAGCATGAAGCAGCGTGACCTTGGTAGCTGGCCAGATCGCGGGCCATCTGCATGCGCGCTTATGCAGATGTCATCATGGATGCCAGTTTGGAACCAGATGCTCTCGTCTTCGCCTCTTTAACCATCCAGGCGAGGCACGCAAGCTCTGCTCAAGTCGGCGGGAGGTGTGATGCCTTGACCAAGGGTCTGTCCGTCTCCCTGGGCGCGATAATGGCTTACAGTAGCAACGAAAATGCAGCTTGTACTTCGTAAAAGCAACGGCGTTTGCCATGGATTGCTGCACGGCATCGCCGTCGAGCGCCTCAAATCGCCCACCCTTGCGTACCCTGATGACTCTGTTGTGAGTGTCTGCAGTAGAGAAACCGTTTGCGGGCAAACTCGCGCGGTCTCGTGCCCGACTGACGGTATCGGCAAAATAATACGCCCGCGAATTCCTCCCAGAAGGAAAGAGGAAGAAGTTCCCAAGGCCCGGCAAACCGGGACGAGGCTTGTGCGGACGAGCATTTGACCATGACCCCTCATTGCCAACGACGGCTCTTCGCGAAGACTGGGCATGTCTATCGGTTGCCGCGGTTGGCCACTTCAGCAAACCGATATGTGTGGCCAGGCTGTAGCCGTTGCCAAGTTCACCGCCGAAGCTAGCGGTCCTCAAAGAACGACCGCCAACTCCGTTTACGCTTGCCTCCGACAAACTGCCCCGACCCCCTACATCTCACGCGGCCATCTTTCTCGCCTTTAAGAAAAGAGGGTTTATAGAGCTTCTCGAGAATGGAGGCTTCATACTGCGGTTGCAGGTCTCCAGTACAAAAAGAGTGATTAATACTCTACTATTACTCGCTCGGAGCCACTGATTGATTAGTGGTGACTACTCGTCTTTTGCCGACATCAGTTGCCAGTGGAAAAGGGCCGCCTTTCGAGGCACTGCAAAGGCCAATTATGGTTCGTGTTTCTCGGTCCTTCCAGTCCGTGGAATGCGCTCCTCGCCAGCCATTCCTCGCCAGACATGTGGCTTCGACAGTGTCTGGTGACTAGCACCAGCGAACCGCTTGGCCCAGCGAGAGCAGACGCCAGCCACTAGGTGCAGTACATCTGGCAGCATCGCAGCATACCTCTCTGTACTGTAGAGATGGGCACCGTGTGGCCCAAACAAGATTGGCACTTTGCTGCCCATTCGTTTAGCTGACCGGTTTGGAGCATGAGGCCGCCCTTGACAGAGGGTACAAGGAGCTACTGCCGGAAGGCAGGTACTGTAGCTGCAAGCTGGCAATGTGCCCAGCGCACAAAGGTACCACAGTACCATCTCGAGCAGCGCAGAGGCGGCAGGGTAAAAAGAAAGGTCATCCGACCCCTGCATGGAAGAGGTACAGTAGAGAGGGAAAAAAGGGGGAAGACGCAAGGCCGAAGCGGTGGTCCGTGCCGATGCTTTCCATGGACGGTACTCAGTAGGGTGGAATAGCCAGGCTCGTACAGTGCGCTTCGTAACGGCATGTAACTGCCAGGGAGGAAAGGGGAAGCTCCAGGGAAGCAAGCCAACGGCATCGAATCCGTCTGGGGAGACTGGGCTCCGTGGTGGGGTTGCTGGCACCAAGATGCAAGGATGCGACGACGGGGGCGTGGCTTTGCGCCGATGCGCTGGAGGCGGGATCGCGGCGTCCAAACCGCAGCGTCCTCTGAGCTACAGAGTCCATCCATCCAGACGTACAGTATCTGCCCGTGATGGCTCGGCGTCTCGATGGCTCGATGGCTTAGAGTGGGTGGCCAAGGACATTCCATCTCGTCGGTCGCTCTGATTGTTCCGTCCCGTGGCTTTAGCTGGCCTGTGCTTTAACGGCAGCAGCTCTGCAAGCTTTGCTGCACCTGGGGGCGGGTCGACAAGCTAGACAAAGCAAAAAGTAGTCCCAGTCAGGGGATGCAGGTACAGTAATACGTACCTCGGGAAACGACGTGACCGAGCGACAAGCCTAGCAAACAAGAGCATGTACAGTAGCCGTGTGTCCCTTGCAGAGAGTGCATTTTTGACCGTGGAAAAAATAAAGAGAGAAAGGAAAGAAGAGTGCGCAGCGCAGTGAGGGCACAGTGCACACATCTAGTGTACAAAGCAAAGCAAGGCAGGTAAGGTACTTCGTACTCTACCTCATCGGCAAAACCACATTGCCCACGCAGCTTAGAGCGCCGTTGCTGGCATGCATGTACCTTCAATCTGTCCTCACCTGCTATTACTCCGTACCACTACTCTTGGTCCCAGGCGCGTGCTTCTTCTGGCGCTCGTCTTGGGGCCGTTTGACCGTCAAGGCTCTTTAAAAATTTTCCATTGGCAGCGGGAGCAAGGGTCGGACGGGAACGAGCTTGTCCCCTTGTCCACTCGGGGACTCATCCTGCCCATTGTAAACCTACCTAGTCTGCACAGTACTCACCGATGCCTGGTGCTAGGTACCTACTGGATAATAAGTAGCACAGTAGCTGCGGGCTTGAGTGTATCTTTAAGTGCTGTCCGCCGGACATGGATGACAGTGACAGGCACCCTGAGGCCCTCTGGTACCGCTCGTTCTCTTGCCAGGAGTCTGCCACTGACATCGGCTCGGCAGAAAGGACGTTCAGCAAGAGTGCAATACCTCCACGAGGTGCTATTTGCTACTTGCCTTTCTAGGCAATTGTGCGGTTATATACGGAGTACTTGAGTGGAGACATGCCTGCAAGTCCCACCGCCCGCCTTCACCTCCTCCGCCTGCGCTTCTCTACCGTACGGTAGGCCAAAAACCTCGTGTACTGTACGGAGCGCTCCCCACACCTCGCCGTACCTTGCTTGTACTCGTGATGGCAGCTCCAACCCAAGGACGGGTGGTAGGGTAGGAAGCTGACTGCACTGTGCCTGTCTTTATCAAGTCCTGCTAAGAAGTCGGGATGTACGCTGCTGTTTATACCTTGACAGCCGATTTGCTCGCAAACGTACTCCGTGCACGCGAGGACGCAGCATAGCATGCACATGCGTACATAAATAGGCACGCACTTATACAACCTTGTATCGCGCATGCACGGGTCCGCAACGCCTTTCCGTTGTGGCCGCTCCAAGCCCGCCTACTGCGTTCCGTCAGCATCTCGTCACGGCAGCGCCGAACCGCCGGCGGCAGCAGCACTTGCTTCTGGGCTCTCCCACTCTCCAGTGGCCTTTGCGTTCACCGTCAGTCGGTAGGTACTGTAGCGGGGGTGGGTGGGTGGTCCAGGGTTTGAGTCCCTCGAGGGGAAGACGGTGCGTTTGTTGGAGAGGCTCAGGTACATGCCATCGCGACCCCACTATTAGTAGGCACCTACGAAGTATTGCGTATACTTGACCAAGCAATGGCAGGAGCTTTGATTCCTCGCCTCGTTTAAAACGTGGGTGCGTCTTGCTCCGTGAAGCAGCGCCCAAGCATGCAGAGGAAGGAGGTAATGCACTTAGGTAAGTAGACATGCGCGCAGCTTACAGTAGGCCCAGAGGGAAGCAAGCACCGAGGCAAGCAGGCAAGTCAGTACTCCGTACTAGGGATGCGGTCTTTCGTGCTGTGTTCTTGGTGCAGTTGGTACCGACGTATTCCGTTCATGAGCGTGGGCACAATCACCGCCACACCCACACCCCGGGCCAGCCAAGCAGAGCTTCCGCACCCCGTCAGCCACACAGCCCCTCCTTTCTTCCCCCTCCTTTTTTTCCCTTCGCCTCCTCCTCCCACCACCACCACTCTCTCCTCTCCTCCCTTTGCGCTCTGCAGACCCCCACCCCCTCCCATTAATCCGACCCCCCCGGGACCCAGCTTCTGGCGTTCCCCCCCCCCAGACTCAGATCTTTCCCCTCTCCCCTCTGCTCGCCGCTCGTGTTGCTTCCTTCCCCATCTCCCCGTCTTTCCCCTCTCCATCTCACCCATTCGAAAAACGGCCTTCGCATCGCCCGCCATCAAGACGCTTTTCATTTATCCATCGCGGCCCCAATCCGGAACTCGACTTTGCGAGAACCCTCCGGAGTCTCTTGACCCACACCCCGAAATATACAAACTCTTTCCATGACCAGGATACAAGCGCTTCCAATGACAAACTTCACGACCGCCCTCACCGCATTCACACTTTAAACCCCACGGGAGCGCGTGCGAGCGAGGAGTCAGGAGTCGAGAGCGACAGTGCACATCCAGACGACACTCACCCCGTCGTCCTGCCCAAGGGCTTCTTCTGTGGCCTCCCCTCGCCAACGTCGCGTTTGCTGCCGCACCGCGCAGTCTGTCCGCCCCCCGGATACACGCGACTAGGCCTTCAACATGCCCGGCGCCAGCGTCGCAGTCCTCCCGCCGGCGGCAGCCTCGACTTCCTCCTCGCGGAAGGCATCTCTTGCACCCGAACGCAAATACAAGTGTCAGTTCTGCAACAGAGCCTTCAGCAGGAGTGAACACCGAAGCCGACATGAGAGATCTCGTAAGTGCTTTCCATAAAACACCACCTCAACCATCCTACTTTGCACCACCCACTTCAACTTAATGTTGTACCTTTACGATGCTTAATTCTCGCTCTTCCATGTTTCCCCCCCTGATACCCCCCTCCTCCTCACCACGCCTCCATATACGTGGCCTTGCTGACGAGCAATTTCAGACACCAAAGAGAGACCCTTCAAATGTATGAAGTGCAGAAGTACCTTCGTCCGCCGCGATCTTCTGTTGAGGCATGACCGGACCGTCCACGCCAAAGACGGCGGTGTTCCCTTGCACAGCGATGGCAAGCGTCGTGCTGGCGGCCCCAAGACTCGAGCGATTGGCGGGCCTTCAAAATCCTCCATAGCCCTCGACACCTCGACTCTGGAGCAAATGGAAGCCAGCAACGATGCCAACTTTGATGTAGAGGTGGAGACTGCCGCCATTCTCGTCGCACATCTTCATCACAAGGCCACGGCTGCCATGCGCGGAGACGACGGCCCCTACGAGGACGGCCCTTCGATTACATACTCTCCCCGTGGCAGCTCCGTCATGGAGTCGACCGTCACATACCCATCCGGCGCCATCGCCCTGCCTCAGATGCAGTGGGAGAGCTTCATATCTCAATCCGCTGTCGAGCCGAAAGCTCACTCAATTACGTCGAGTGCGTCAGGCTCGTTCGAGTCGCATCAATCGTTTGCGAGTGGCAACACCATGCAGCCCCACGTCAGCTCGATGCCATCCATGACCAACCAAAACGTCAATGGTTTTGTCCCAGCACTGCAGAACATGATCAAGGCACTCCCCGACTCGAGCCCTGGGACTCCCGGCCCCCAGAGTCCATCAACGGGCGACGCGCCTCACGCCGGCTTCAGGGCCCCTCAGGTCACGAGTGACGAGGAACGCAATGCCATTCTCGACACCATTCGCAGCTACGATCGTGAACACGCTGTTCCCGAGGGGTTCCGCCTTCCTGGTCTCGGCTCACTCAACCGCTACCTGTCAACGTACTTCAGCATGTTTCATCACCATCTGCCCTTTCTGCACCCAACTTCGTTCGCCCCCGCACAAGTTTCGCCTCCCTTATTACTAGCGGTTCTGAGCATTGGCGCGCTCTACGCCTTTGACCAAGACCAGGCTTATATGCTGCACATCGGATCCAAGGTACTCGTCAATCAGTTTTTGCAGAACAAGGAAAACTTCAGCTCTCGCAAGTGTCCTCTCTGGACCATGCAGAGCTCTCTGTTGAACATGATCTTTGCTAGCTGGAGTGGCGATCCCAAGGGCCTGGAGTGGGCGTGTTCGATCAAGAGCCTTCTGGCCAACATGGTCGCTGGAAACAGGTACGAGCTCAAGCTTCGCCAAGAGGCTCGCGCCAGTGCCCAGCCTACTCGTCCGGAATGGGTTGAAGATGAGGGTTGCCGCCGTACCTACTACGCCGTGTACATTTTCTTCGGCCTGCTGACCCTGACGTACAATCATACGCCGGCCATCAGCTTCAATGAGTTTGAGGATCTTCAGCTGCCTTCGACAGAAGGCCTGTGGAATCTCCAGGTTGCGGATGGAACGGCCTGGCTAGAGCAGCTCAACAGCTCGCCGTCGGTCACCTTTATGGAAGCTCATGACAATCTTTTTCAGGGTGAAGCGCTTCGGTACAGCGCGTTCGCCACACGGGTCATGATCAACGCCTTGTTCCTCGAGGTTTGGTATCACAAGAGAAGCCCCGAGGCGCTGCAGGACGTTGTCACCGAGTACAAGCTGCGGCTGGCTCTCGAGACCTGGGAGAAATCTCTGGAATCGTGTGAACCCGAGTCGATTGCTGTCCCGCTCAGTGCTCCGCACCAGGGCCACCATCCCCTGATTTTCAACGCAAGGGCCATGTATCGCAATGCCAGGGCCCGGCTCGAAGTGGACTTGAAAAGCGTCCAGGAGGCTCTCCGGTACCATGACCCTTACGAGGTGGCGGCTGCCATGTCCCACGCTCGGGACCGCGTAAAGCGCTCGAGCGAGACGATCAAGGTCATCCAGGAGTGCTACAACTGCATCGAGACAGCCGTCTCCCACGGCATTCGATGGGTCGCTCGGACCTCACCAACCAACTGGAGCGTGGAGCATCCGCTTTGTGGCATGGACCTCATGATCATCCTGTCGCTGTGGCTCTACCGTCTGGAACATGACGAGGAGTCCGCCACCCAGGAGGAGGTTGACATGTACAACAAGGTGCGGCAGCTCTTCAAGAAGGAAACAAACGATGGCTACGCGCCTCAGCTCAGCTCAGTCGTGGCCCGTCTCTGGGGCTCGACTCTCGACGAAGTCGTGGTTTGGGGGTAAGTGTGTCCAGATACTTGAGCAGCGAGGACGGGCTAACTCGACTACACAGGATCACGCGCCTGATGGGAGAGTCTTTCAAATTGCACTCGCAGGCCCTTGTCGGCTACGTCGACGACCCCGAAGCTTCCTCGAACGTGTCCACTCCCTCGATGACTTCACAGGGAGCGGACGAGGATAGCGTGTATTAATCTATCCAGCGATGATTGAAACGAATTTATCTCTTGCGCGCGACTGGGTAACATTGATTTTGTCTCCATACTCACCCGTCTATATTTGCACGGCACGCTTGTCTTGCTTTTCGTGTCTTGGAGGGCTTGCTTTCAGGCGTGAAGGTCTTTGAGTGGAGTTTGAAGCTTCGTTTCTCATCTTTTGATTTGGGTTTCCTTGGGTCCAAAGCTGCCATGACTTGTTTCGTTTCCACTTCGGTACAGAAGCCTAGCCGTTGGCGGCGTCTTGATTGCTGGTCAGCCCGGAATGAGGGACGCGAGTCGCCCGACTGAGAAGGACGGTGGATCGGGACACGGGACAGAGAGACGTTCCGGAGCGTTCAGAACTTGAAGGTCTCGGGCTGGCAAGATGGAATGTCGGCCAGAGCGGCAGCGCGTGCTCCTGGGCTGAGCCGAGGCAGGTCGACTGGCTGGACCACGCAGCAATGCCGCCACCTCTTCTCGTCTTGCCTGGCTGTGTTCGACTAGCTTGGGCACTTACCTGGTTTTAATATTCTCAACCTTTATTTCTTATTCTCGACTTTTGTTTGCCGGCTTGCCTTGGGGCACACCTCTCAATGTGTCGCGCATTTCCTTTTTGCCTGGCTGCTTTTCTCGTTTCTCAGATACCTTGTTCGATATACAGATTGCCGCCCTTTGTTGACTGATCTGAGGCTCCACTTGGGAGCGCGTGAGACAGGCCGGCACCCACGGAAGCGGGCACGCGCCAGCTCAATGGTCCGGCCGTTGACGGCTGAGCGGTGCTGGCGAGGGGAGGCCAGCCGGTTGGCACGTGAATAGATAACTCTTCCTTGATGAATAATCGCTACTCCATACTTGATCTTTTGGCGCAAGCGGGTCGGGATGTGGATGTGACGTCTGATATTTTCCCGCCGCCACGGAAAATGAGTACGTATGTGGTGTTTAGAGACTGGAAACCCCCCTTCCAACTCGGTGGATGCCTGAGGTAGCAGTAGGCCGAGGTACTTGGGCCGAGGCCAAAAAGTGTCGTGCCTGGCCGATGCAGCATGTACTCGGCGGAGGCGGTACGCCGAAGGCTTGTGCTTTATAACAACTTTATAACAAAGCACAAACAGGCTGTGGTGCGAAGCGAGGGCCACGCCAAGATCGTGACACGCCCCATTCCTCCTCCCCCGGGGTCCAACATGAAGGGATCTGCCAATGGCAACTTGGTCGCCGGGCAAGGCCAGCAAGAAAGAGCTAGCTCATGGCAAGCACGCGCATCTGCCTCGCTGACAGATGCACATCACCCTGAAGACGCCCTGCCGCAGTTGGTAGGTCGAATCCGACGACTCCTTCGCGTCATACCTGTGAGCCGCCCCTGACTTTTCAATCGTCGACGAAAGAGCGAGAGACACAGACGCCTCGAGGCAGGCAGGACGTGGCTGGTGGAGCCTTTGTCCACCGTCTACGCAGGGCCATCTCTGCCTGTGGTGATTGATTGATTGATTATTCTTGTTCCTTCTCCAGACGCGCCGCCAAAAATCGTCCGTCTCTCATCTCCCAAGCCTGGCCGGCGTGGTCCACCCCAATTGTCCGTCACTGACGCCGATGCGCACACAGTCCACCCGAGCACTGGCCCCTGCGTCTGAAAAGGATCCCTTTGCCTCGGGGCCCGCCTCCAGATGCGTTTGCTTTGCCACTTCCTGGTCGCCATGCCGCGCCTTGCGGCCGCTCTATGCGAGTGTGGATACTCTGCCGAAGGATCCGAGGATGATAATGGGCCGTGGCTATTCACAGACATGCTGGAAAGTGACTTCACAAACGTCCCGAACGTCTCGGGGCTTCAAAGCTGGGTTCCGCAGCAGTTTAACGTTTCGGCAAAGGCTGGCCGCGGCAGGTATGGAAAGGCTTTTAGCCCAGGCAACATAGCGTCCCATCCCAAGGCGAAGCTCGGAGAGGAAAAGCCGGCGGCCGCAGACGCAGTCGGAGTTGAGCTACGGGTCGGCAGCGCCGTCGCAAATGGCGCCATTCCGGTCGCCGAGATTGACTCGGCAGCCTTGGACATGCACTATGGATCGTACCGCGCGGGCATGAAGCTGACGGCCGTCCACGGGACATGCGCCGCCTTTTTCTGGGTATGTACTGTGCAATTGCGAAAGGATGCCAAAAGCCTAATCTCGGGTGCTTTCTAGTACTTCAACGACACGCAAGAGATCGACATGGAGTTCTTGTCGCAGGACTATAATCACGAGAGGCGGCTGTACCCGGTCAACCTCGTGATCCAGTCGCAGAAGTCGATGAAGGCCGGATACGACGCCAGCAGAACAGACAGTTTCCAGCGTGTCAACCTCACGTTTGACCCGACGGACGGCTTCCATGAGTATCGGTTCGATTACCTTCCTGGGAGAGTCGTCTTCTACGCCGACAGCAGCAAGTTGGCCGAGATGGCAGGGCACGAGATGCCCTCAAGCGCTGGCCACCTTATCCTCCAGCACTGGAGCAACGGGGATCCGAAGTGGTCAGGCGGACCGCCGACACAAGACGCCCTGCTCACGGTCAGTTACGTCAAGGCATACTTTAACACGTCGAGCAGAGAAAAGGTGTCGAGCTGGGCGCTACGTTGCGCCGAGGCCCAGGGGGGTGCTGTCTGCAGCATCCCAGACGTCTTGGCAAGCAACGCAAGCACGGGAGGCCGCTTTTTCACCGGCGAGGGTGCTCGAGGGTCGGACAAGGAGGGCGAAGAGAATAGCGGGCGTGCTTTGCGAGAAGTGGACGGGAAAAGAGTGCTGGCAGTTGTGCTGGTGGCCACGGCCATGGCTGTAATGGGAAGCTCGGGGCTGTGAAGTACACCCACCGGGTGCATGGTGCATGCGAGAACTGGCTGGCATTGTGGCTATGGGATAACATGGGAGGCCTTGATGGGAGGGCCGCGTAACGTTTGCACTCTGGGTCTTGATTGGCCTGTCTGTCCCTTGCTCGCTTGTCTTTGTGTGTTTGCCTGTTTGCCGGAAATGCCAAGGCGCGCGCGCGGGCATATGCACATAGTTTAAAGCACGCGACGAGTGGAGCATGGCTGCTGTGTGTTTGTGATTGGGGTCATGCCGAAAAGCAGCTCTGCAGGCAGGTGCTCGGTCAAGTGACGCGGAACTGTCAGATGGGCGACGGAAATGTCATCATGTCGGCGTGCGAGGCGGACGGATCGGCGGCCATCGGCCACGCCGTGGCCCCACCAGACCCCACCGACCACGCGGGTGGCGGGGCGAGGGAGGGCGGGGGCGGACGGGACGGAACGGTGGTTGGACTCGTGGGGCGAGTTAAACTTCACTCCTCACTCCTCACTCCTCACTCCCTCGCTGCACGTGCCCTTTCGGCAACCGGGTCTCGGGCTTCGGATCAAGTGCGTGTCTGCCCTTTGGTTATTTATTGTTCGGGGCTCGCCCAGGAGGAGGATGGAATGTTTGGGTTTCGTTGTTTCTTCCTTCTTCTTCTTAGACCCTTCTCCTCTTCTTTGGTCGCTTTTTCTGAGACCATATCCGGCCGTCGACTGTTTTCGCTCTCAGCATCATCCCCTCGGACCCCATGTCTCGAAGGCTCAGCCATCTCTGGTCCAAGTTGCGCACAAGACGGAAAACCATGACGGCCGAGCCAGCAACGCTCGACATTGTGCTGCGCAACGACACCGGGGCGGCGCAGCTCTACGCGCACATTACGGGCTCGGACAACGCGGGCCTCGTGCTGATCGGCGCCGACGGCAAGAGCGCGTACCGCCCCGTGTCGCCGGCCAGCACGCTGCAGCCGCTCGGGGCCGACTGCTCCATCCTGGTGGGCGGGCCCGGCAGCTCGCGGCGGGTGCAGGTGCCGCGGATGGCGGGGGCGCGCATCTGGTTCTGCAAGGACAGGGCGCTGACCTTTTTCGTCAACCCGGGCCCGGCGCTGGTGGAGCCGTCGGCGACGAACCCGACGGACCCCAACTACAACGTCGACTGGGGCTTCTGCGAGTTTACGTGGAACCAGCAGGAGCTGTACGTCAACGTGTCATTTGTCGACTTTGTCGGGCTGCCCATTTCGCTGCGGCTCGCCACGGGCGACGGGCGGGTCAAGACGGTGCCGGGACTGCCGTCGGACGGGCTGCAGACGGTGTGCGGCAAGCTCGAGGAGCAGGCGCGGCGCGACGGCAAGGGCTGGGACAAGCTGGTGGTGCGCGACAAGGGCAGCGGGCGGCCGCTCCGGGCGCTCAGCCCCAACGCGGGCGGCGTGCTGGCGCCGGGCCTGTTTGGCGGCTACTACCAGGCCTACGTGGACGCCGTGTGGGTCAAGTACGCGGGCGAGGACCTGACGGTGGACACGCAGTTCAAATGGGGCCGGGTCAAGGGCCGGGTCAACGGGGCCGACGGCAAGCTGACGTTTGCGGGATCCGGCAAGGCGGGGAGCAGCGGCGGGACGTTTGGCAAGCCGTCGGCGGCCGACATCTTCAGCTGCAGCACGGGCCCGTTTGCGGGGGGCGCAGGGGTGACGGAGGAGCAGCTCAACATCGGGGCGCGGCTGGCGGCGGCGCTGAACCGGTCGACGCTGCTGGGCAACGCGGACCAGCCCGAGGGCGAGAAGGTCGAGACGTACTATCAGCAGCCAGTGACGAACCACTTTGCGCGCATCTGCCACGAGACGAGCGTCGAGGGCCGCGGCTACGCGTTCCCGTACGACGACGTCGGGCCGGCGGGCGGCAAGGACCAGTCGGGCTTTGTCAACGACCCGAATCCCAAGGAGCTGACGGTGTGCGTGGGCAGGCCTCTGACGGAGTGACGCGCCGCGACGGGGTTGGATGAGGGATGGTCCGTCCGGTTTCTTGTGTAACATATATATTGCATGTTGTGGCTGCTGCAGCCCCCAGATTGTACACGGCTGTCTGTTGATAGATTCGCTCTGAATGAAAGTACTGTACATAAATTTCCACAGTGTAATTAGGTAATTACAGCTAATTACAGTGAGTGTGGGTGCACGATGCACTGTATTCGTATTCGTACTCCCAACCCCCACCCAAGCCAAGCCAGGCCAAAAAAGGGATTCCAGCTCTGCCTTTACGGCTTCTCTGTGCACCACCTTCTGTGAGTTATCGGGTAACATAATACATCATCCTGAGCTCTCGGCAAGGCTCACTCAGCCCTCACGCATGCCTGGTGCCTACGGATACCCCCACGTTGTGCCACGGCCTCCTTCTACTGTACAGCTTCTAATACTGTACAGTACCTCCGTATAGCCTGGCTGGTGATTTTCCCGCGCCAACCACCAACCCAACCGCCAACCACGATTCACCTCCTTCAGCTTGGATTCGCCGCGCCTCGTCGCAGCAACAGGACAGATCGAGCTGAACAAGAAGCGGAACTTGCCGTCGGCGAGCCCCAGCAGGGAATGTCGCCATAGACCAAAGCCATAAATCATCTAAACAGCAACGACCCCCATGTCGACGTCGACGTCCCGGGCCTGCGCCGGAGAGCGAGCCTTGCCGAGAGACGCCTCGTACACATCGCCTCCCGCGTCATCCCGTCGTTGAGAAAGGGGCATGCTTCTGCGCAGACCTCACCTGCCATCATGGTCTACTGTGGCAAGCCCTCCAAGGGCTGCTCCAGCTGCCGCGAGCGCAAGATTCGTGTAAGCCCGTCCTGACCTGTCCTCGTTCCAAGCCGAAAAAGAACAGTCTATTTACTATGACTGCCTCGTTCCCAGTGCGACCAGCGGCTGCCATCCTGCGGGCAGTGCGACAAGCGCCAGCAAGACTGCCCCGGCTATCGCAACCTGGTGGACCTCATGTTCCGCGACGAGAGCAACCATGTCATCGAGAGAGCAACCTCCGCCCGCAAGCGGCCCGCCAAGCAGAGGCATGGCGCTGGGCCTGGCCCGTCGACGGCCCCTCCGTCTCCCGCCCGATCCTCGTCGGCCACCACCCTGATCCACCATCCAAGGCCTTTTCTCGACACCTTGGACGCCTGCTCCGACACTCCTCGCCAGCAAGACTTCCTCGACAGTGACGACATCCCCTACGCCCTCGTCCCCTCCCTCCGAGAGCGCGGCGTCGCCTTCTTCTTCGCCCGCCATGTCGCCACCGACCACGGCTGCTACCAAAACTACGACTTCATCTACGACGTCTGGAAGCCTCCGCCGATCCTCGACAAGGTTGACTCCACAGACCCCATCCTCGCCAGCATGACCGCTGTCGGCCTCACCGGCCTCTCCAAGCTCACCCGCTGCCCCGAGACCATGCTATGCGCCCGCCAGAGCTACGGCCGCGCACTCCACCTCGCCAACTGCGCCCTGCGCGACCCGGTCGAGGCCGTCAAGGACAGCACCATGCTCGCCGTCCTCATCCTCGGCACCTACGAGTTCGTCTCGGGCCGCACGCCTCAGACCATTCGCGCCTGGCAGGTCCACGTCAACGGCGCCGCCGAGCTCGCCAGCATGAGGGGTGCTGCCCAGTTCCGCACCAAGGCCGGCGCCCGCATGTTCATCATGCTCTGCCACACCGTCCTCATCAGCTGCATCCGGAGCGGCCTGCCCATGCCCCAGTCCATGGTCGACCTTCGCAACCAGCTGTGGTACCTGACCGACACGGGCGGACCCATATGGCGCGTCGTCGACACCTTGTACAATGCGCTCCAGGTCCGCCACGACATTGCCTCTGGAAAGGTGGTCGGTCTTGACGCCATTGTCGAAAAGCTGTCCCAAGTCGAGCTTCAGTTTGCCAACCTCGTCGAGAGCCTCCCCAGCGCCTGGAAATATCGCCAAGCCAAGCTCGCGAGGCCGCACCCGGCAGTCCTCGGCGACTCGTGTCATATCTACCTTGGACTCACGCAGGCCACGACCTGGAACGGCATGCGCACAATGAGGATGCTGGTCCAGGAGACCATCCTCGACGTCTTGTACCACAGCGTTGACGATGCCACCAAGTTGCCACTGCATCTCCAGTTGCAGATGGTCAAGGCCATGAAGCTGATACAGATGCTGGGCGAGGCCTTTGTGGCCAGCGTCCCCCAGCACTTTGGCATCGTCAGCTCCAAGGACGTCAAGCGCGACGAAAAGGGACACGGCACCGTGACCCCGCTGCCGACTGGTAAGCTGCCCTACAGGATCCTGTCGACGCCCTCGGCGCCCAAGCCGCTCCCCCAAGGCCCCTCGGCCACGGACATGTCCGCTACCGCACGGAGTCCCACGCTTCTCGACCCGACCCAATCCTGCGGCCACGAAAAGGGTCACGAGCGCTTCCTGACCCTTGCGACCGCCAGCCACACCATCATCTGGCCGCTTTACACGCTCGGCATGTCGTCATCATGCACTCCCGACGTCATGGCCTACGTGCTCGACCGGCTGGATGCCATGTACAAGGAGACGGGCTTCGAGCAGGCCCGCGTCGTCTCCAACATTGTCAAGGGAAAGGTGCACTCCCTGTCATGGGACAACATTCCCACCGCGAGCTTGCCGGGGCTGCCGGAAGGTGCCCTGCCCTTCATGGTCTAGACGAGATCGGAGGTGCCTACTTGCGGCCCTTTGCCCTCATGACGGGCACGCTAGGGGTCAAGCATATGCACAGACGGTAACTCTATGGCTGCCCCATTGTTGGTATTGTCTGGCCAGGTGCCAACTGCATGGCGCGACCAGATTCATGGGCCAGTGCCAGTTAAGAGGATGCGACTTCAGGCTAAGAAGGCCCGCGTTAGCTGGTGAGGAACAAATCAAGTGAAGGGTCGATACACGTACCTTTTACTTCCTTATGTTGCTCCCGCCCATCCGACCCTGTTGCGGTTGTTTGACAGCGTACTGTCCTCCACGCAATCCACTACATAGGTATCTCCCTTCTCTTTGACTCCTCGACTCCAGCATATCATGCCTACCAGCCATCAAAGTTGCCAAACCCGCCGGCCTTGAACTTCTTCTTGACCGGCTCCTCCCAAGTGTCCACATCCTGGCCCGCATCGCCACTGCCGTCAGGACCCACGGCAGCTTGCAGGTACTTCCCCACGGCCTGCCTCGCCTCCCCCTTCGTCTGCGCGCCACCTCCTCGAATCCTCTTTCCCGTCCACGTCAACTTATCGTCCTCGGTGCCGCCTTGCCTGACAATCTCCTCGCGCCGCGCCTCTCGGCTCTGTTGCTCGCGGTGCTGCGCCAGGAACTCCTCAAACGGATCAATCAGCACCACCAGGTCCTTGATGAAGATCTTGTTGAGCGGGCGATCGGAGCCGTCCGTGGGGACCGCCTCCAGCTTGGTGAGAACGTCGAGGCCCGAGGTGACGCGCCCGAAGATGGTGTGCTTGCGGTCGAGATGCGACGCAGCCGTGTACGTGATGAAGAACTGCGACGAGTTTGTGTTTTTGCCCTTGTTGGCCATGGAAACTGCATCTTCTGTCAGCGAAATGACGCTTTCCTTGAGCTGTCCCTCCCGGCTGCTTTCTTCGGTTCTCTCTTGAGGCGGGGTAGCGGCTCACTGATTCCGCGGGCATTGTGCGCCAGGGGCCCCTCGAACTCGTCGTTAAAGTTCTTGCCCCATATACTCGAACCACCTTTGCCCGTCCCCGATGGATCTCCCCCCTGGATCATGAAGCCGGGGATATTCCGATGGAACGCCACGCCCTTGTAGTATCCCTTTTGCGCCAGCCTGATGAAGTTCCACACTGCCTTTGGCGCCGTTTCCGTCTGCAGCTCGATTGTCAAATCTCCCAGGTTGGTCTCCATTTTGGCGTACCCCTTTGTCTTGACGCGCCTTGGCTTGAGCATAAACTCCTCATCAGTCAGTAGCGCACGCTCGCCGCTCGTCTCCGGGGTCAAGCCCGTGCTGGTAAAGCTCGCCGCGGCCTTGCCGGTTGTGTAGGCTGCTGAGTTGGGTGCCAGCGTCTTTTGCTGTATCATGGGTGTCCGCGCCAGTGGAGCTGCCGCGGCCGCTCGCTTGACCACGGCGCCCGCGCTGTGGTTGACGTCGGCCCCGGCCTCTCGTGCCTTGCGCGCCTTGTCCACGGCGGCTTTCGCCTTGAGGACTTTGTTCCCCATGCTCCCCAGAGCGGCGGCATTGATGTTGCCGGCTTGGCGGGCTTCTTGCTGTTCCCTGGTCAACTGCGCCTCCTGTCTATCCTGCAGATACTTGAACTGATCCAGGTTGCGGCTCGCGGAATTTTGGGGATCCTGAAGGGTGATGATGTCGGCGCGCGTAAAGGGCTCGTCGTCGACCAGATCCTGCCACAACTTTGCTTTGATGTTCATTCGCTGGACCGTCTCCCACGCAAACACGTTGGCGTAGGTCCCATGGCGGATGGCGACGATGTGGGTGTTGTCGGTGAAGACCTTGTACGTGACTGGATCAATGAGGTCGCCCTTGGCGTCGCCGAAACCTGCGTCGAGGGAGCTGGACTCTGAGTTCTTGGCAAAGTTGAGCTTGATCAGGTCATTTTTCAGCAGCGTCTGTCCGTTGACCGGGTTCTGGTCGGGGTGCTTGTCGAGCCAGGCGCCGATAACCTCGACGTCGAAGATTGTGCCTTCGGGGGTGCAGACGGGGTTCTTGAACGGCTGCAGGCTGGCGGCGCAGAAGTTGTAGGGCAGGCGGCGGAAGGACGCGCTGTGGTTTTCGGCGCGTGAGGAGGCATTGGCGCCGGCACTGGCCGAGTAGGCGTCGGACGAAGACCATTCGGAGTGCGTGATCTGGAGGCTTGCGGTCAGTGCTGGGGGAGGAAGGCTGGCATGAAAAGGCATACAGCACTCGGAGGGAGGACATGCTTACATAGAGTTTATCGGTGCCTTTGCCCATTATGACGATGTTTGGGAGGCAGAAAGACGGAGGCAGGGGGAGGACGGCGATGTTGCTGGAGCCGACGAAGGCTTCGATCGAGAGAGATGATGATGGGCTGCGACAGCGGCTTATCTTATCGCTCCCTAACACCTCTGTACAGTACTCCGTGCTGTGCTTCGAAGGTACCTGGGGTATGTACTACCTACCTAGGTACCTAGATACTGTACGTACTTGTGTGCATATACGGTACATGCATATGTGGGAACCCCTGCGAGTTACAGTGCGAGTAAACGCAGGGCGAAGTTTCCGTCCCCTCTTCCGCGCCTTCCCTTCCGCGCGCCCGAAAGGTACGTACATACGTCCATCATACGGCAGGTACGGAACGGTACTGTACCTATGGACGGACGCTGCCCGAAGCTGCCACCTCATCTGCGGCAACGCGATTCGTTCATCCATCCACCCTCACAAACTCCAGCCACGGCCAGCCAGCCAGCCAGCCTCAACCGCTCTCCCTCGGATGCCAGGCGCATCTCCTCCTGGCTGCTGCAGACTCGTCCGTCCGCGCCCTCGACCAACGTCCCCAGTGACCTCGACACCGAAATGGTCGTCTAGCGCACACTATCTCCAGAACACCAGGCTCCTGAGCCGCTCGAGGCCGCCAAAGCCTTCCACGGACATTGAAGCTCGCTCTTGATTTCGAATCAGCATCATCCCCGGCCTTGCCGTCGCCTCACGGTCACTATCCACAATGAGGCTCCTTCTGGGCCTCCTCGTACTGGGCCTGTCCCTTTGGACCGCCGATGCGCTCGAGGTCGGCATGGTATGCTCGCTCCTTTCCATCCCTCTCTTGCGATTTCTGTGCTGACGCCTTCTCGTCACGCGCCATCAGGACCAGTCGGAGACGAATCGCCAATACTGTTCCGGTTTGCCCACCCGAAATCCGGACTCGCATCGCGGAGTGGCTGACGCCTTTCCCAGGCATGTACAGCCGAACTACGTGGGGAGGACCGGTCGACCCTTTCATCCTTGTCAAGTTTCTAAACTCGAGTATCGCACCGGACAGCGATCCTGTGGCGAGTCTCATCATCTTCGAATGGCGCGATAAAGATCTGGTCGGCGTCCCGGATCCTAACTTCCCCGGCATGGTGAGTGGTCGTGCTTCCGGACGTCCGGCTTACACCCTGGCTGATTCCTCTGTCCAGCAACTCGAACTATGCCACGACGAGTCCGTGCAAAATGGTCGCTGCAACTCCACAGACCTTGGCCAATTTATCCTCGCCCCCAATGCCACCGAAAAGTCCAACGCTGTGATACTCACAAAAGCCATCCACCTCAATGACCCTGCCCCTGTAAAGTACGCCATCAAGAAGACGGGCTACTACTGCGTCATCACCGATGTCTTCACTGCAGAGACTTATGGACTCGTAACCGAGTTTCGCAACGCCTATGGAGAATTGCTCGCGACCCAGATCCCCAAGCTGCCCTTCTATGGCGGCATGACCATCCTATACGCTCTCGTCTGCGTCTTCTGGGGTTTTCTTTACTACCAGCACCGTCACGACATATGTGAGCCAGCTGCTTCTACTGCCGGCGGCACATTCCCCGCTAACCAGCCTCAGTGGCTGTTCAGAATTACATTACCACCATTCTGGTCTTCTTGGTCGTTGAAATGCTCATGACATGGGCATTTTATGGTTCGTCATTCCCTTCTGTCGCCAGGCCTTGTGCTGAGACTGCGAGCAGATTACCAGAATCGCATTGGATCGAACGCGGGATCAAAGGTTTTGCTCATCGTGGTCGGCATATTCAACGCGGCTCGCAACTCGTTCTCCTTCTTTCTGCTGCTCATCGTTTGCATGGGCTACGGCGTAGTCAAGCCGACGCTTGGCCGCACAATGATACACGTCCGCTGGCTCGCTGCTGCTCACTTCGTGTTTGGACTCGTATACGCCATCACTAGTCTGCTGATTTCACCCGAGAGTGCAGGCACGTGGAGCAGCTGTTGCCCCGACCCCTGACTGGATGCTGACCGTTTGCTTTAGGGCCCTTTGTTCTGCTCATCGTCCTCCCTCTCGCTGGAACGTTGACGGCCTTCTATGTGTGGACGCTCAACTCGCTCAACTTCACACTCAAAAACCTGAGGGAGCGCAAGCAGCACGCCAAGGAGGCTATGTACAAGAAGCTCTGGTGGGCCATCCTCACCAGCGTCCTGGTCATCTTTGGCTTCTTCTTCTTCAACAGCTTCACATTTGCCTCGGTCAACGACCCCGATTTTGCCCCGTTCCACTGGAAGACCAGGTGGTTCGTCCTGGACGGGTGGCTGAACATTGTTTACTTTGCCGACGTCGTTTGGGTTGCCTACATTTGGCGGCCAACAGCCAACAACCGTCGCTTCGCCATGAGTGACGAAATCGCGCAAGACGATGACGGCAATTTTGAGATTGGAGACCTAGGCTTTCCTGGAGACTCGGACGACGACGAAGAAGCTCAGGCCGGGAAAAGCCCGACCCACCAGCCGCCTGCAAGAGGCGCCTCGGGTGCTGGACCGACGGCCAGGCCCCAGCAAAGAAGCGAGGGGCGCGACATTCCACGGGAGTCACTAGAAGGGGAGACGATTTTCGCCGTGGGCGAGGACGGAGACAGATTTTCTGAAGACGGAAGCGATGAAGAAGGCATGAAGCTTGTACGAGCCAAGTGAGAGCGGCTCGACGCATATGCATGCTCCTGAACCGTGTCTCCCTCGTCGTTGGGGTCAACGAGGCCCGCAGGCCTTGTGTTTTATTTTGAATTCGGCCCTTTCGGTCGTCAAAGACGACCTGTCATGCTGAAACAAGCATGATGAGGGGTTGAGTAGGGGGTCGTTCACCAATTGAATGGGAAGGAATGGCGGTAGAGTGTATTTATACATAGATCTTGGCGTTATTCGGCACATGTCTCCGCCCTTGCTGGGCACCTGTTAAAACAATTGATCAAGTCACACTATGGTGGTGATTTGTTCTTGACTTCCTCCTTGTCTTTGCTCCTTTTTCGGCCACATCACACCCGCACATCCCCTCCAAAGCCGACGGGACGCCGCCGCCCGTCATTCTCGGGGAGAATAGCCAAGGCCTTGTACACCTTGCCCATGCCGTTGGGGCCGCGGTCGACAAGACGCCTCCAGGCCTTGTCTATGTTTTCCGCCGCACCCGTTTCCGCACCTTGGGTCAGCATTTTGGTGCGCTCACGTATGCCCATGAGCTCGAGAAAATCGGCTTGCGGAACGGGCCCGTGGACCTCGACGCCGCGGCTGGCGCGCGTGGCGCTCTCGGCTATAGCGGTGAAATCGACGTCGGCGCTCAGGTCGACGAGGCCCGGGCTGGAGAAGGGGCTGACGAGGCGGTGGTGGCGGATGCCGCGGAGGGAGTTGACGGGGACGGTGTCGGCGGTGCCGTAGTCGAGGACGAGGGCGGCGCCCTTGGCATCGGGCTTCGGGTGCTTGGGTGAGCCGCCGATGCGGGTTGCGAAGTCGGCAGCGTGCAGCGATGCGTCGGGGCAGATTTCGATGACGGCGTCGGGCGTCTGCTTGAGCTTGCGGTATCTGGGTGACGACTCGGGGAGATATCTGGAGTGTCTCGTGGTTCCAGACGACAGGATAAGCTGAAACTCGGCAAGTGGCTCGGCCCCGGATTTGGAGGCGGAGTCGATGGCGGCAGGAGACGTCGGCGAGACCATCATTTCACGCCACTCCAGGGCCAGGGAACTGACATTGGCGGCCCCTGCTGGAGCCCCGTCGGACGTTGGAGACGCCGCCGACGGCCGAGGCGCCGGCGCCGACTGGAAGGTGTGGATGGGGAGAGCGTCAAAGAACTCGTGGGCCACAATCAGGGGCATCTTGTCGGCCTCTGCGAACGAGGGGGGACCTGCTGTTAGCCAGCTGGCGGAAAGACGGGGCCGTTGTTCTGCAGGGAGGTCACGCACCGATCGGTATCGACTTGATGGTCTCTGTCCAGACAATAGGGGTTCCGAGACGCTTGCCGGTGCTGTGGCGGCCGACGCGGGACTCTGTGCAGGGGGCGTCGGGCCCGCAGAGCAGCGTCTTTTGCGCCTCCCTGAGGTCCGGGCTGGCTTCGACCATGAAGACGGAGTCGATGGCGGCGGCCATGGCGGGGAATCTCGATATCGTCTGCAATGGTGAGCCCGTGGACGACAAGGACCAGGGGAAAGTCGCCTCTTACCCGCAGCATGTCGTCCATGAGGGTGCCCCGGCCGGGCCCGACCTCGATGAGCTGGACGCCGCGGGAGGGACGCGCCTGGCTGATCCACTCGGCGACGAGCCACAGGCCGACGAGCTCGCCAAAGACCTGCGAGATCTCGGGCGACGTGACAAAGTCGCCCTTTGCGCCAAACTGGTCGCGCCCGCCGCCCTCGCGCCCGAGCAGCGCGCCGCTGTAGTAGCCTCCCACGTCGCCCGTCAGGCACATGCGCATGTAGCTGGCCAGGGGGACGGGGCCTGTGGTCTATGGCGGATCCGCGCCCCGCCCCCGAGGTGGTAAGCCAGGCACCTGTCTGCGTCTGGACAAGGGACGCTTCTCGGGGGTGCGTACCGAGATTGCTTCAGAGAGCTGCTTGGCCAGCGGCGTCGTCCATTTCCTCCTCTGGTCGGTGCATCGCGGGGCCGTTGCTGCGAAGCTTCGACGGGCGCTGTGGGGGGACGGAGAGCCTGCCGCTGTCCGGGCGAGACAGCGGGGGCCGCGCGGGGCGGGCGAAGCTCTCGTCAGGCGTCTCATTTGCGTTGTTGTGTCGTCTCTCGGTGTTTGACGCTGCTCCTCGACGGCATCGGAGGGGCTTCCTGCTGTACCTGGCTTATCAGTTAGGTCATGGTTGCGATAAGCGTGACGGCTAAACACTTCCAACCAGACCATTACACGCGGACTCTTGACTCACCAACGCACTCTTACACACGCACGCAACACGAGCTGCTACCGAGCAATTTAGAGTCAATCTCCGAGTGTCATCAAGGCATCACCCATCCACCCTTCCGACCGGATTGGCCGTGACCTACCCAGCAGCCCCCATGACCGGCAAGGGCACGTCAAGATGGGCCGACACCGAGGAAGACGCAGAGCTCGAGGCAAAGCGCAGCAGCGAGAGGGAGAAGAAGCGGCTGAAAAAGGCGCAACGTGCTCGCCAGCTCGAGGCACAGGAAACAAGCCTCGCCGCCTCGCAGCGCGGTGACGCCGCACCAGCAGGTCAAGAAGAGGAACAAGGCGACGGCGCCAGGCCCTTGAAGCGGCGCAAACTCACGCCCCTGGCTGACGCAGACGAGGCGCAGGCGCCGCCGACGAGGCTGCTGCCGAGGCTCGAGGCCGGCAGCTGGACCAAGAGCCGGAGTGTCGACAACTACGACAAGCTCAACGACATCGAGGAGGGCACCTATGGCTGGGTCGCCCGCGGGTCCGACAAGGCCACCGGCGAGGTCGTCGCCCTCAAGCGCCTCAAGCTTGAGCCCCACGACAGGAGCGGCCTGCCCGTGACGGGCCTGCGGGAGATACAGGTCCTGCACAATTGCAGGCACCCCAACATTGTCGCCTTGAAAGAGGTTGTTGTCGGCGACGACCTCTCCAGGCTCGACAAGTCCGTCTTCCACACCTCACCCTCTTCCCCTGCCTGCCTTTTGCTAACTTGGCTCTACAGCTCCATCTTCCTCGTCCTCGAATTCGTCGAACACGACCTGAAGGGAATCCTCGACGACATGCCCGAGCCCTTTCTCGCCTCCGAAGTCAAGCGTCTGCTGCTCCAGCTCACCCAGGGCGTGGCCTACCTCCACGACAACTGGATCCTCCACCGCGACCTCAAGACGTCCAACCTCCTCCTCAACAACCGCGGCCAGCTCAAGATTGCCGACTTTGGCATGGCCCGCTACGTCGGCGACCCGCCGCCCCCGAGGCTCACCCAGCTCGTCGTCACCTTGTGGTACCGCGCCCCCGAGCTGCTCCTCGGCACCCGCTCCTACGGCGCCGCCGTCGACATGTGGAGCGTCGGCTGCATCTTTGGCGAGCTCATGACGCGCGAGCCCCTGCTGCAGGGCCGCAACGAGGTCGACCAAATGTCGAGGATCTTTGAGCTGTGCGGCGTGCCCACCGAGGAGTCGTGGCCCAAGTTCCGCCGCCTCCCCAACGCTGGCAGCCTCAAGCTGCCCAAGACGCCCCTGACGACGGGCTCCGTCATCCGCGCTCGCTTTCCCAACCTGACGACGGCCGGCGCCGCCCTGCTCAACAGCCTGCTCGCCCTCGACCCGGATCGAAGGCCCACGGCCGCCAAGATGCTCCAGCACGAATACTTTCGCCAGGACCCCAAGCCCAAACCCGAGAACCTCTTCCCCACATTCCCCAGCAGGGCCGGCCAGGAACGCAGGAAGCGGCACGAGCCCCACGCGCCCGTCCGAGGTCGTGCCGCCGCCCTCGGCGAGGTGGACCTGAGTGGCATCTTCCAGGGCCGCGATAGAGAGGAGAGGGGAGCTGGCTTTACGCTGCGCATGGTCTAGACCAAGCGTCATGCATAACAGCAAGGAGACGACGACGCATGCTAGCACGAATGAGCTGTTCCCACCGTCACGGCTCTTGACGGCCGAATACAGGAGACTCCAGTCGAGCACCGCCAGCCATACGATACGAGGTCAAAGGAGCGTCAATGCGTTCAAGTTCATTAAACGAGCCTGTGCTGCTCAAGTTTTCAACGCCCAATCCAAAACACCGCCAAGCCCAAAGTAGCTGGCCCGTTTGCCACGAACCACCCTTCCGTTCCGCATGAGAAAAATCCAATGTGCCACTGACAACGCCTGTGCGCAAGACCCATATTTATTATTCTTCCAATCTCTCGTCGCCTGGTAGGACCCATGTGGAAGTGAAATCAACGGCAAGATGTACGTGGCAAGAAGTAAAGAGAAGGTACCAGAGTCAATCAGCGCAGCCCAAGGCCGGAAACAAACCACGTAAAGCTGAGGAATGTGATGACGCTCATGCTGACAGCGAGACCGAGGGCTTGGTTGTCGAAGAGCGACGAGGCGCCACTGCATCCAGTGCACTTCCAGTCCGCGAACGCTGTGGCAGGCTTCCCCGCGTAGAGACCAAAAGTGAAGCCCTTGTAGGTGCCCAGGTAGCCGGGCTGTGGAGGTGCTGTGATGGCGGCTTCAGAGTCCTTGACAATGAGCGTGTACAGCTGCTCCAAGAGGGGCTTCTCGACGGAATCGGCCTCCTTGTTAGTGTCCCAGACGTACTCGACCGATGTCTCAAAGGTCATGTTGGAAGTCAGGGTCCACGTTTCGGACGCAACCGAGCAGCTGACGAGAACATCGACGGCGGTGGGGGTGCCGAGCAGCGAGGTGTAGTTCCAGCTCCACGTCACGTGGTCCCTGATCTTGTAGAGGGGAGTAGGCTCGAGATTGGTAGCCGGGCTCAGCATGCTGACGCCGCCTGGGGGCGCGTCAGGAGGGAATTCGGTATGTGTGGCCTCGCTGCCGCCGTCCTTGGTGCGGGTGCCGCTGGACTTGCCGCTGGACTTGCCGGTGGCCGTGGGCTCAGCTGTGTTCTGACCGGCGTTTGTTCGGGACGCTGTGCTGTCCGCGCTGACAGCGCTGCCGGGTGTTGCACTGGGCGATGGGGAAGCTGAGCCTGAGGGACTCGAGGCAGCTGGAGCCCAGTCAGTAAAAGGCGGCTTTCACGAGCAGCGAGGTGAGCAGAGGAGACGGGGCGAGCGTACGTGAGCTCGAAGATGAGTCTTGACGAGCAACGAGGTTGCGGATCTCGGGGAGCCAGTGCGAATTGGGCCATGCGACGGCAGCGGCGGGGACGACGATGGAGGAGAGGCAAACGGCCAGCGAAACGAGCGACTGGGCGGGACGCATGGTGACGGCAGTTGGTGAGGAGGGACTGCCGAGGTCGACGTGATGGGCCGGTGGGAGAGGTTGCGGACTGGAGAGCGGCGCCGTCAAACAGAGGCTCGAGAGTGCGGCTTTGGTTGGAGGGACTGTCGGCTGCTGGGGCGGTCAATCACCGCCGTTGGCGCGCGTTTGACTCTGTGGGCTACACGAGATGGCAATGAACAAGTTGACAGCCGCCACCCGAGTCTCAAAACATTGGATGTACTGTATGTTGTGAGTGGGGAGAGGAGGGCGGAGCGGTGCCACTAGCGAACGACGTTTGGGGGTGGCGCCAAGAGCAATGGATAAAAACAGAGACGGAAACGGCGGGTCTTGCGGAGAGGCCGACGAGTCAGGCGCCGGAGGATGTGGGAGCGAGGGAATAGGGGAGCGAGCGTGTGCGTGAGAGTGACAAGTGAGTGAGTGAGCGAGAGAGAGAGGCAGAGAGAGGGGGGGGGGGCTCGGGGGAGGAGAAAAGGGTCAGATGGGAGACGGAGAATTGGGGCCTCCGCTCCCCATCTGACAGACAGGCTGACGAGGAAAACACACGCCAGGTATCGCGAGGTAGCTTGGCTTGACGGCAGGCGGGGGGACAGAGCCATGGAGATACTCGAGAGATACCTGACCGGTCGCCTGCATACAAGCTTCGTATACGGACATGGTCCAGTACAAACACTGTACGGTACAAACAACTCCGTCCTCCGTACCCCTGCAGACATTGGTTGGCCAGCACGAGCCGAAAAAAGAAAGCTCGAATACGAATTCACGTGGTCTCGTGTTGCCTGATCAACACGAAGGCGCCCTGTCCAATCCAAGCCTCGGCCACATTTCTCTCGCACGGCCCAGCCTGTGCGTTCCATTCCTCGCCTCCAGCTGAAGCATTGTTTCCTGGTACTGTACGTACCGTATGAACCCGCGCTTCAACCTCGCGAGTCTGGGTACTGCTCACACGCCAAAGGTTCCAGTTCATTCGAAACCCGCCGCCCATGTGCCTCATGTCAGCCGGCCTGATGAGTTGTTTGTTCCATGGTCATTCTCGAAACTACAGTAGTCACCACTCTCACTCCTGTCCACAGCACTCATTCGTCGTGCAACTACACCATGTTATGTCTCAATCCCGCATGCCACCCCCTTCCCTCCACAACCTAGTCGCACTGTTCCAGTGCCCGCAACAATCAACGTGATGCGTTATTCGTCACCGTCTGCAGATACTCCAAGAAGAAGCTCTGCTCTGCCGGAGACATCGGTGTCTCGGTGCCTCTTCGAGACCATGTCGACGATGCGCCACCAAACGGGCCCTCGCCGCTGCCAGATGCCGTGGAAACAACCCGGGGCTTGATTGCTTCGCTTCCTTCTTGCCCCTTGTCCATCAAGGGGCCCTGCTGCTTGCTGAACAGCGACAAAAGCCGTCTCTTCTGCTCGTCCGAGCCTCCAGCCCTGCCGCTGAGCTCACCAGGCCCTGTCATCGTGCTCGCGTGGGAACTGCCGGCCTGTCCGGGGCCCGCTTGAGCTTGCTCGCCATGCGACGATACTGGAGATAAAATGTGTCCATCATCGCCAAACGTCTGCCCCCGCTGAAGAATGCGAGTCGGCTGCAGCGGTGCCTGGCCCGAGACTTGTTGAGGCGGTGCCATATTCTCCCAGCCTTGACCATCCGGCGCGCCATGCTGCGCCAACCTGGTTCGCGCAAAGACTTGATCCAGAGAGAATGCTCGAGCTTCTGGAACCCGATCACGAAGATTTTGAGATAGCATCGCCTCCATCTTCGCACCTTCTCTAACTTGCACGGAGCGCGTCGCGTCGCCCTGACAGCCGCCTTGCGCTTCTCGACGTACCGGGGCGGCTTCGGCCTTCTTAAACATCCCCAGTAAGGCTGATCGGTGATTGTCGCTGGGAACATTGGCGCCGGATCCGACAAGCTCCGATGAGGCCTGGGGAAGTGATACATGCCTTACCGAGTTGTCGAGCAGTCTCGGGAGTGCCCGAGGGACAGCGTGACTAGCATACGGAGACAAATTTGGGGTAACATGATGACCTGGCAGAGGCAATCGGTTTAGCCCGCCATTGGCATCTTGCGCCGGGGGGATGGTAGGGGTCGTATCCCGCTTCAAAACGTTGAGCAGTGCCATTGAGTGGCCATTGAGTTGTACAGGCCGGGAACCCTGCATGGCCTGTGGTTGTGCTTGGTCTTGACCTTGAGCAGGTTGCGTCTGGGCGTGCCCCGTTTGATGCGCCAACGGCGGTCCATGGAGCGCGCTCTTGTTGAGAACGGCTCTCTGTACATGAGGCGGCAGTGGCTGTGCGTGAGCCAGAGAAACCTCTTCTCCCGTGGAATAGAGCCGTTGTGCCATTGCCGCGGCGTTCTCTGAAGCGCTCCGAGGGCTAACGGCGTGCCTCGGCGGCAAGATCGACGGGTCAGTAGTAGGACACGGGGCTAATTGGAAAGCCGGGGGAGGCTCATTTGCGTGTGTATCTGGTCGAGCAAGTTGCTGGTTGGAGTGATGGTGAGGGTTCCGTGGCTGTGGTGGGTTTGAAATAGTGAGGTCCAGAGGCGTCTGCGGCATACTGGTTCCTCCCCGTTGACCACCAGCTTGCAAGATGGAGAGAAGAGCACTGCCCTTGTCTTCGTGAGGAGGAGCCTCCAGGCCCTGAATATGAGGCTGCGTCCCAAACAAGCGCTCAACGCGTTGCTTGGCTCCGTTGAAGTCCTCCATCGCTGGAAAGTGGTTGGGGACACTCCCTGGTGCCCACGTAGCATCCCCGGAACTCGGGGCCTGGTCAGCGTTGTTAGCTGGCGTCTCACTTGAAACCACTCTCTTCTCGTCCACTTTCTTCTGCGAGGCGATCCATTTCTTCAGTGGTACCAAGAACGGCGCAACCATGTAGAATTTGCTGCCGCCGCCTCCGGCCCCAGCGTCGTTGCGGTTTTGAGCGCTCTTGTCGCCTCTCTTGCGAAATGTCGGGAGGTCAGAAAGCTTGTACCACTGGATTTTGCTGATCTCCTTGCGTGTTCGAGGCTGGAAGTCAGTAGCCATCGGAATGTCACGGAAGACGTAGAGGCGAAGTTGCTGCTCTCTCATGGAGATCTCGATATACTTTGGCCTTTTCTCGGTTGGAGCCAGTCCTGCGGCGCGTAAGTCCAGGCCAGTTTCTTCGTAGACCTCTCGGATAGCGCAGTCCAGGTCATCCTCGTCCTTGTTGATCTTTCCTCGGGGGAAGCTCCAGCTGGCGCCCTTTTTCCAGCCCTTGACCAACACGACGGAGTCCATTGCCTGGTTAAGCATGATGGCGCCGCGGACGGGGACTCGCGTTTTGTACTGCAGAAACTCTTCGAACGCCTTGGTGTGGTGTTCGGCGGAGAAAGAAGCCAATAGCGGACAATGCTGGAAGATTCGCAGGCAAAATATCCGCAGGGACATAGATGGTAGAGTTGGATCAAGCGGGCGGATGAAGTCTTCGTAGAACCATTGAGCTTCCTCGACCTGGAAGCATATTCGGGCGACCGACGACAAGTCTTCCTGGGGAAGGTTGATGATGAAGCGGACGCAAAGATCGTCCAGCCCTGCCAGCAGTGGTCAGCGAGACATGCCCCAAACATGGTTGGATGGACATCCTTGACGCACAATCTTCCAACTGCATCTGGGTTCCGGCCATTGCGATTCTTCCACTCAGCCCATGCTCCGACGTTTCTCTGTATTCTGAGCAGCGCACGAGGTTGGCGATCAGGACTTTGCCGGGCAGTACTCGAGGCGGAGATGCGAAGGGATGTTGGGCATGGTTGACTCCAGGGAGCTCGGGAGGGGAAGTTGATTGTAGCTGGCGCACAGTGTCTGCGCGGCTCTGCAAGCGAGGGTGAACGCAGGCGCGGCGTCGAGGGGGGCGGTGAATAGCACAGACAACTTGGAGAGTGAAAAGGCCGCAGTCCACGAAAATCGGTGCATGGACGTGAATCAAGCAGCCCGGGGGTCGTTTGGAAGCGGAGATGGAAATGAGATAAGCGGTGGGTGTGAATGCTGGAAGGAAAACTGTGCTTGGGTGCCCTGTGTGCAGGGCCGTAGACTGTGTGTGTGAAAACACTGTGCTGAGCCACATGCATCAGCCGTCGACTGAGCTCGCTTGGAGTGGCGGTGTGTATCTGCCTGGAGCACTGTAGAAGCTCCTGTGTGGCTGGGCTGGGCTGGGCTGGGCTGCCTCCCAAGAGCCAAGCCGCCACAAGCAAACAGCTCTCTCTGTACAACCTGAGATCCCGTCCCAAATTAACTGATTCTCATTCCATGTGGCAGGGTAACTAACCAAATCAGCCATAGCATATTCACCACTAGGAGCTCTCTGAAGGTAGATAAACTCATTCAACGGCGCGTCTGCCTCGCGGCGCTGTCAAGCCAGTAGGTTCTATGTCCCATTAATCCACCGACGCCGCCGAAAATGACTTTCCTACTTGCCCTGTCCGTAACAGTTCCATCGGTCTTCGCGTGGAAACCGCCTTCTGGTTAACCATCCAAGTCTCAAGACGGTTTATCTTCTCTCCTTCTCTGTTTTTGCAAAACGCTGGTCTCTTGGCAGAACCAGCAATCAGTCCAAGTCATCAGCTGACATAATTTGTTTCCTTGCCTCGTGGATTAGCCAGCAAGGTTATGAATGCTTCAGAGGTGTCAACCAATAGCCCCAACTCAAATGTATCGTAGGCAGTCACTTACTTGATATCCTCTCGGTATTCCGGGCTCGTCAAGCCGCTCCCAACAGCATCACCCTCTGATGCCGTCTGTTGGCCCGTGGCCACATTGACAGGCCCACCACTCGCAACCAACATTTCGTCCGCGTCTTGCTTCTTCTTCCCCCGTAGCTTGCTGAGGTGCTCAAAGTAGCCGTCGGGCACCTCCGTGATGTATTTGCCCGAGAACACCCCACCTTCGAAATTATGAACCTTGCTTTCGCCTTCGGCCGCCTGGATACAGGCCGCCTGAAGATCATTGATGTCCTGGTACACAACTGCGTCGGCTGCGATGTGCTCGGCGATTTCTTGCGAGGTTCTGCCAAAAGCGACGAGTTCTACGATGCCGCGAGTCAGTAGACTATAAACGATTATGTCTCGCGGGGATTCTCACCAGCAGGGTCGGCGAGATCTATGCCGTACTTTGGATAAAATTAACGCTGTCAGGAACTGATATTGATAATAGACGGGGAAGAAATTCCAATGGTGAAGCGGAAATGCCGTGGTCTAGGATCATACTTACAATATGTGGATTTGCGATTGCCGGAGAGCATGAGACGACGTAGACGCGAACAGCTCCCGCTTCCCTAGCCATTTGAACCTAGTATTTGAAGTCAGTCATCTAATTAATGTCAAGGCAAACAGTGCGTCGTTTGGCTCCAGCTGGCAAGACGGGGCTGTTCATGGTCAAGGGGCCAAATACAATTTCTCGAGAGGTCGTTCCTCTTACGATTGAATCGTCTACTATGCAAACGTTCTTGCCCTTGAACTCTGATTCGATAGGCGAGAGCTTCCGACGAACGCCCTTCTTCCTCGCATCTTGCCCGGGAAGAATAAACGTGCGATAGACTTTATTGCACTTAGCAATGACGCTCATGCCATAAGGGGTCTAGAGCTTACCGTAGCGATTCTTGACGAATGCATTCGAGTACGGCTTATCTAGATATTTCGCTAGAGTAGCCGCCGCAGTATTACTGGTCTGATTGTAACAGTTAGCAGTTAACTTCCAGTTCCAAACTCTGTCCCATGACTGAAAGCGATGGACCGGGGAATCTCTCACCTCTGGAACCGGGATAACTGAGGTACGATTAGTCGGCATATCTCGTTACCTCTTCAAAGGTCACGTTACGTACCGACATCAATCTCCTTGATCACCTTTTCACTTAGTGCTTCCTTCATCTTCTTTGCCAGCTTGACTCCCATGTGTTGTCGACTGCGATGAATGGAAATGCCGTCCATACAACTATCAGGCCTTGCGAAGTAAACGTACTCAAAAAGGTCTGGCGTGTAGGATCTTCTCTCCACGATTTGGCGGAAGTGGACGATGCCACCTTTCTGGAGGAAAACAGCTTGTCCGGGCAGAATGTCGACAATGTCGGTAAAGCCGAGCTGCCTCAAAGCAATAGATTCCGAGGCGATGAAGTAATCTTTCGCTCCTTCCAAGGTTTGAGATGGTCGTGATCCGAGGCAGAGAGGGCGAATACCGTTGGCATCCCTAGAGTTAATCGTTTAGTCAAAACCCTTGACTGTAGACAAACATATCAAGCGCCGTACCTGAAACCCAGAATACCAAAGCCTGTGACCATGGCGGCGCACGCATAACCTCCGATGCATTTGCCATAAACCTCGCGTAGCGCAGTGAAGATGTCATCGACGTTGACTCGAGTTTTGTTAAGCTCATTCAGAGCATGTGCAAAGACGTTGAGCCTAGGAATTTTACAGTTAGTAAGGCCTTTGAAAAGCGGTGCTTGGCCATGTGGATTTACAGTAGCTCGGAGTCTGAATCAGAGTTTACATGGCGACGGGCCTCTGTATCCAAGAACTCGCGAAGGTATTCGGGGTTGATGAGGTTTCCATTGACGCTTAAAGATAAGCCAAACGGCGAGTTGACGTAGAATGGTTGCGCTTCGGACCTATCGTTTCGAATATTGTTAGCAGATGGTTAGGACAAGTCCTCGCGAGGAGTAGCGCGTACGCAGATGAACTACCAGCGGTAGGGTACCTCAAGTGCGAGATGCCCATCCATCCAGGAAGATTTTGGATCAAGGCGCTTGCGTTGGCGAAGTGACTGAAGACTTTCTGAGCCATTCCATTGTTCTTGCATTGGTAGACTCTGCCCCCGGTGTTGCAAACGCTGATGCCCGCGGCATCCTGCCCGCGGTGCTGCAAGTAGAAGAGCGATTCGTGAAGGTCGACGGCGGCCGTGGTGGCTTTGGGATCACCCAGCTGGAGGTTGGAGTTAGCACAGCTTCATGGATCGTTTTTTTTTGGTGAGTGGGGGGGATGAACCAGTAGACCGGTGACACCGCACATTTCGCCGCGATTGAAGCGAGTATGGCTCGAAGACAAGACGTGTGCGACGCAACGGCGCGTTCTGCTCGCGCGATGGAAGCTGGCCGTGAATGAAACGCAGAAAAATGTCCAGTCCCGCGATTTGGAAGAAATTACACGATGGCGCCGCGGGGCAATGTGGGGGTTTCTACTCTGAACAATGCCCCGCCATCCGCCACAGCCATTCCATTCGGGGCAGCTGCAAACGCAAAGCCACAACAACCTGCATATGCCTCTTCGATCCGGAAGAACGGAGCATTCAGCTGGTATGACAATAAGCAGGTACAGCCTCAAGTCTGGCCTAGTCCAGTAGTCCAGGGGAGTGGAGCCCTCCTCTCCCTGCAGTCAATGCCAAACTGTTGAGTGTGTCGTACCGCAGTGGCCATGACTCTCCCAGAGATATCGGGAGCTGCGCCGTTTCTATCACGGACACAAGAAGATGTACTGTTCCTTGCGTCAAAGACATCTTCGCCGCCGCCGCCGCCGCTGCTGCTGCTGCCTCCACTCTTGGTTTGATATTGGATCTCTACGTCCAGAGGTCAAACGTCCTGAAATTCACCACGGAGTAACACGCACGCTAACAGCAGGAGGAAACTCGGGGCACGTAGGTAGGGGGGTAGGGTCGGAGGCCCCCCGGGTCTCGCACGTGACCCCCGCCTTGGGGCGAATCCGTCAAGTCAGTGCAACTGCAACAAAGCAATTACTGTACCTCTGATGTAATTACAGTATGCGCTGCAGACCGCCCGCGGCAAGATTGGGTCGCGTGTGCCGCATTACATCATCGTTGCCGGCCCGCACCACCGGAAACAAGATTTCCAAGTCGAGTTTCTTTCCAGGTCCAGCGCCACTCGATGTGGCGGCTGCTGAGAATAAAGAGCGCCTGCTGCCTTGTTGTTCCTTAGAAGTCCCCGGGTCCTTTCTCTACCCTTTCAATTGCCCTTTCTCCTGCCTGGCCGGCTTTGTGCTAAATCGAGCAGGCTACGGCGCCTCCTGAAACAAGTACCCGCGACTGCTCCGCCAATCGACCAGCCGGCGGCTCGTCAAAGGCGCCAGCACCGCTCTCCATAAATACCCTTCACCTCGCTGCTCGTCACATCCAGCCTGCACACAGCAGTCATGGCTTCCCTTGTCGCAAAGGTCGTAAGCAAGAAGATTCTGGGGGAGGGCCTGCAGAACAAGTTTGGCACCGAGGTAATTGCGCCTCCGACTCGGCTCACGCGACTCCTCTGCTAACCGACGCTTCACGTCTCCAGGACCCTTATTTCGAGCATGTTCCCGCCACTCGACTTGATGGGAGGCCCACGGGCAAGTTCAAGAAGCGCAAGAAGGCTCTGCCCCCCGGCATCTCGGAGCACGATGGAAAGGTCTTGACCAAGGTCAAGAGGCGAGCATACCGCCTTGATCTGGCGCTATGCAGTTTCCTTGGCATTCGCTTCGGCTGGGGCAGTGTCATTGGACTGGTTCCTGCGTAAGACTTGTTGACGCCCACGTCCCGTACGGTTGCGCTAATAACTTGTCAGCATCGGAGACGCCTTGGACACCTTCATGGCCCTGATGGTCTTCAAAACTTGCTGTCAGGTCGAGGGAGGCCTCCCAAACGCCACCAAGATGTACATGATCTTCAACATTGCCCTTGACTTCGGCATCGGCCTGGTGCCCTTCCTCGGCGACCTCGCTGACGCCGCCTTCAAGGCCAATTCTCGCAACGCCCTGCTACTGGAGCAGCACCTGCGCGAGAAGGGCAAAAAAGAACTGCGAAAGAGCGGTCAGCCCATCCCCGCAATTGACCCGAGCAGCCCCGAAGAGTTCGACAGGATGCGGCAAGAAAGTCCTCCTGGATACCAGACGAATCCCCCGTCTCGCCATGGAACTACGGTCGCGGCGCCTCGGCCCAGTCGAGACGATCGCATGCCCCGCGCTCCAGAGGAAGCCCGGGTTCGCGGCGGCGGGGGTGGCTGGTTCGGCCGCAACCAAACCCGCCCTCACGACATCGAGAGGGGACCGGACGACGACAGACACGCCAGAGCGCCGGCAACAAAAGGGCAGCGCAGGGGCGCGAGATAAGTCGTCCCACAGGTGTGCAAGGAGAGGCTCGACAGGACCCCGCCGGCGTCTCTTTCCATGGGAAGGGGGATGCAGGCTGGTGGGCCGATTGCTTTACATATGATACCAAGGGCTGAAGCAGCATGTATGGAGTATATAGTTACCGCACAGATGATTTTGTTTTCCGGGTTAGAGATGGGCAGTCTGCCAAGGCTCTCGGCACAATGGTTTAGGCATAATGAAGATGGCTAGTGTGTTTTGGCAGGATCTGATAAGAGTCATAGGGTCATCTCGGGATATCCGAATGTTCATGGTTCCACATGCAAGGAAGGGGGTGTGCTTTTACTGCCCATTGTATGTACGAACAGTACTTCGACGTACGAATATACAGGGTAGAATCATACCTAGGTGCCGAGCATTTGTGCCCCTCGTCCTGGCTTTGCATTCCTCCCTTGACGGCGATGGGCAAGTTGGGCATCCGCGTCTCCCTGATTAGCTTGCGTCGAGGTGTTGAGCCGAGACACAACAGCCCATCTCCGAGCTGCTCTCCGAGGTGGCGTTACGACTGAGATTTGGCTCCACAGCGGAACGAGAAACGGTGTTGGCCCTGCTGATTGATAAGTCGGAGCTCTTTACACGCCCTGTCTGTGGGGCATCATGGACGCGTCGCAGCCCATTGACGCGTCTCCCACGGCTGAGCGAAGTCGGTGGCTGGTACTAATTTTAGTGATTTGGCGCACAAAGCAACCCTGGCTGCCTAACAAGTACACGGTGTTTGCACTGTATACGGCGAACGCGTTACCCGAGCATCCCCAATTCCTCGCCAGCCTCTTCAAGAGCCTTAATTGATCGCTCCAGTTAATTAAAAGGAGACTGGTCCACCCTGAAAACACGCTTCCGACGCGTCGCGGCTCACGTGACAGCGCATTGCTCCCTCATTACAAAAACCTCTTGACACCACCTCCCTCCTCTTTCCACAATCGCGTCCGCACACCAACTTGCAGGCCGAGCAGAAGCTGAATCACTTTACGCGTCTTCCTTGCCTCATCAGCCTTTCTCTCTCAACGCTTGCAATGGCCTCTCAGATCACCCCATCCAAGCAGGTGAGTTCACCTTGTGCCACTGCCCCTTCTCGTCGCCAGTTGTTCTATTGCCCCGTTCACGACTGACCGCCCTGGGATTAGGCCGCTTCTGCCATCGAGTCACTCAAGATGGAGTCTCCCATCAAGAAGCTGGATTTCACCACCACCACCAACAAGGAGAACCAGCCTTTCGATGAAGCCGCCGTGTCCGCCCTGGCCGACCAAGTCGATGCCAGCCCCAAGTCCGCCCCTGAGGAGAGCAAATTGGCCACCAAAGAGGAGAAGCCTGCTGCTTCTGCACTCAAGCCTGAGGAGGCCGACGAGCCCCTCTTGCAAGAAAATCCTCAGCGATTTGTCCTGTTCCCAATCAAGTATCACGAGGTATGTCACGCGTCAAAGACGCGTAAAGTGATTCGCGGGTGTGACGTTTTGGCTGACAGCTGCATCTGTCTAGATCTGGCAAATGTACAAAAAGGCCGAGGCATCCTTTTGGACGGCCGAAGAGATTGATCTCTCCAAGGACATGCATGACTGGAACAACCGCCTGAATGATGACGAGAAATACTTTGTCTCCCATATCCTGGCTTTCTTCGCCGCCTCTGATGGCATCGTCAACGAGAACCTCGTCGAACGGTTCAGTGGCGAGGTCCAGATTCCCGAGGCTCGCTGCTTCTACGGTTTCCAGATCATGATGGAGAATATCCATTCCGAGACGTACTCTCTCCTGATTGATACCTACATCAAGGAGCATGCTCAGAGGACCTACCTTTTCAACGCCATTGAAACCAGTAGGTCACTCTGACATGCATCACAATTCAACGGCTACTGACAAAAATTCTAGTTCCTTGCATTCGCAAGAAGGCTGATTGGGCCCTCCGATGGATCCAGGACAAGGATTCATCTTTTGCTCAGCGTCTGGTGGCCTTTGCTGCGGTCGAGGGCATTTTCTTCAGCGGAGCATTTGCATCCATCTTCTGGCTCAAGAAGCGTGGTCTCATGCCTGGCCTGACCTTTTCCAACGAGCTCATCTCCCGCGATGAGGGTCTGCACACCGACTTTGCCTGCCTCTTGCACTCTCACATGAAGCACCGTGCCAGCAAAGAGGTCATCCAGGGCATCATCACGGACGCCGTTACCATTGAACAGGAGTTTTTGACTGAGGCTCTGCCATGTGCCCTGCTTGGCATGAACGCCACTTTGATGAAGCAGTACATTGAGTTTGTCGCCGACCGCCTCCTTGTGGCCCTTGGCAACGAGAAGGTGTACAAGTCATCTAACCCCTTTGACTTCATGGAAAACATCTCTCTGGGTGGCAAGACCAACTTCTTCGAGAAGCGGGTGGGCGACTACCAAAAGGCCGGTGTCTTGGCCAGCGCCAAGAAGAACGGCGATGAGGGCTCCACTCCTGGCGGGGAAAAGACCGAGGGCGGCGACTTTTCCTTTGACGACGACTTTTGATGCAAAAGAGATAACCCCCCTCCCCTCTCCGTTTTCGTATATACCCTTCCACACTGCTTCCCCTCTCTTACAATGTACCTTGGAAGAGGTTGGTCAGGTCTTACGGCCAAGACAGGGGCGTCTTTTACTCGGGCGTTGATGACTTGTCCGGTTGTCGTTGGATTCTGAGCCCAGGCTCAGGTATAAACAGGCGTCATGGCGTTCTATATGGTTGGGCATGGTAATGATGGCCTTGGAAATGGCCTTGGATTGGATGGACCATGATGTATTGTAGCACGTTGGGGACGACGATGAAAGAACCGATCCGACTGAAACCAAACGAGTTTTTACCGCTTGCTCTTCTATGTGTGACCAGGTGATGACCATGCCGAGATCCATCCGAAATCGCCGAGGCCGCAACAGTCGTCTCGCCGCTGCGATGCCCGACGACGCATGGGCCACACGATTGAGTACGGTTGCAGTGATGGGGGTGGCTCATTTCCGACCCTTTCTCTTTCTTTTCGCAGTTCCTCCTTGTTGGGGGGCCTGCGCGGCGGCCGCTGACTCGGGCCTGTCCTTGGCGGCGACGTCGGTGCTCGCCGGAGCGTCCAGCATGGGCTCGTCGATGTCCTCGGCAGGTACGGCGGCCATGACCCTCCCGAGCCGGCCCAGGGCCGAGTAGACGAGGCGGGAGACCTCTGCGGCCTTTGCGGTGCGGTACTTGAGCGTGACGCCGCTCACGGGGTCGTACGTCTTGAGGACGAGGCTGCCGCGGGGGGGCTTGGCTGCCGCGACGTCCGTGTCCGTCGAGGCGGCGGCGTCGCCTTCCTGCAGCTTCCTGGCGCCGGGCCGGGCAGTCCCGATGGAGTATCTAGTCGTGATTCGGGTCTGTGGTTTTTTTTTGGCGACAAGGTCAGCGCGCGCGAGCTCGGATGCAGGTGAGGATTGACCGGGGGGGGGGGATTATGTTTGGGTTGGTGAGGAAAGGGCGGTGCGTTGCGTACGGTAGAGGGGCGGGCCTCGAGGAGGAGGACCGACTGCTCGACCCATTCCTGGCTCGACTTGAAGTAGGGCATGGTGATCACCGCATCGGACTGCTCCGTCGTTGCACGTTGGTGGGTTGAGCCGCGAGTCTGCGGTTCGGCACCTGCACGTAACTACAGCACGGTGGCTACGGCACGGTGGCTACGGCGCGGTGGCTTGCAAGGCTGGCGCAGGACCACCTTTCCGCCCCGCCTGGTCGGAGCTACCCTATACCGCCGCCACCGGGGGGTTGCGATCCGCGACTACCTCCAACGCCTATCCAATTGTATAGGAATGTCGATTCCATTGCGCTGTTTGCATAGGCAAACCGGTATTGACCAGCCCGCAGCTGCGTGACCGATATGTGATGAGTAGTGCTGTCCTACTCGCCCGTGCCACACCTCGATCAGGTTGCGAGCATGCTTCGCTCCGAGACCTCACTTCTCCGGTATTGATTGACGTGCATTCCCCTGACAAGACGGAGTGTCGCTGCAGCCGTCGAGTGGCAGCGGTCGAAAAAAATACAACATTCACCGGGTATCTGCCTCGACTCCCCAGATAACCTACAAATAATACACAGGCGTCGTGACGTCGTCAAAGCCACCCGGCCCGTCAGCCCAAGCACGGACTTAAGCGTGTCGATCCTCCACCTCCTAGGCATGGGGGTCTGGCAGCCAAAGCACCAAGTCTTGGTCCGCAGTGGCGAAGAAGTTGAAGCGAGGATTAAAAGCCGCGACGGCCGCCTCTCTCTTATCGGGCAACGTCCAGGCGGGCTCCAGTATCCTGCTCTCCGGTGGCGAACCAAGCGTGTCCCAGACCAAAACATCCTGCTTGGTGCCACTGATGACGAACCGGCCGTCGGGTGCAAAGCAGCAGTCCCCGCTGCTCTCCATGCACGTGGGGTCCGTCGAGGCGCTGCCATTAGCCACAGCCGCAGCCTCCCCAGGCGCCTGACGTCTTGTCCCCCCCGCCGGTCTGCGAAGGTATGCCTTGAGGGAGCCTTCAAAGGCGTCGACGAGGAAGTGGCCGTTGCCCTTTGTTCCCACTAGCAGGGACTTGCCATCGTTGGAAAACTCCAGCTTGGTCCATCCCTTGACGACAAACTGCGAGTCGATGCCGCAGCATTGCCCCACAATGTCGACAGTCGCAAAGGGAGCCTTGTCGTAGCCGCGGACGTCGTAGAGGAGCACGGAGCCGCTGCTGGGGCAAGCCACGGCAAAGACCATGCCCGAGGGATCATAGGCGGCGAGGGTGGGGTTCCTGAGCATCAATTGACCCTGCCAGTGCTTGGTCTGGGTATCCCACAGCCGAACGGTGTTGTCTTGAGAGCAAGATATGAAGTTGTCGCTGCCCGGGTGGACGGCGAGGCAGGTTACGTCGGCCTCGTGGCCTTCGAAGTAGCGGATGAAGGAATTGTCGTGGGTGGCAAGATATCGGATGGCGTCTGAAGGGGAGGGAAGAGCTGTCAGCCACCAGAGAAGAGTGCCATGGAACGGTGGTGTACCAAAGGGAACGCCCACTGTTCTGCTTGGTGCTCGCGTATATTATACTGGAGCCTGTATGCGTGAACTTGGCGAGCTTGACGCCGTACTTTTTGCTCAGCAGGCTCTTATCGTGGCGGCCGTCCCTGACATTGTAGATTTGGATCGTTTCGTCGCTAGCTGACGTCATAAGTAGCTCGCCTTCGTCGTCGTAATCTATCGAGAGGACATGAGGCTGGTGGCGACCGTCTTTGATGTCGTCGCGCCGCAGCAGCTGAGAAGTCGCCGAGCCTGTCAACCGGGTGCCGTACGTGTAGGGCGCGCACTCTGCGGGAGCTCAGCGTACCTTTGTGGGCCGAAAGGTCGAGATGACATCGCAGAGGTTCGCCATGGGCGCGTTGCCATGGATGTTGAGAGAGGCTCGCTCGGGACGGTCAATGTCCATGGGGGTGGGCGGCATGGCGTGGATCGAGGCTGGGGGGCGAGGGCCAGCATGAGCCGCTGTTTGTCGGGTGCAGTCCAAGCCACAGTATATTATGGCGCTGCAGGTATGGCTTGATTGACGGATGAGGTGCAGGATGCAGAAACCTCGGTGCTAGGCCAAAAGTCGATGAGCAAGTGCCGAGGAGGTACTGTACAAAGGAAAAGGTACCCGCCAATGCCGGTCGGCACTGGAAAGCCCGGCTTACATAAGATGGATATATATGCTCAGTACCTACCCAGGTACCTCTTTTTGTAAGGTATACCAAGTTCATGAGGGACTAATTACCTTATTACCTAGGTAGTTAACAGTTGGTTTCTGGCAAGGATGCTTGCGAGAGTCAAGGCTGATGGAGCTGAGATTACGGATATTGACCCCCAATAAATAAATAAAATGCTCCTTGTAGAGTACTCTGTGCAGGGGCCGACGTCGGCGCTGGAAATTCGTGCCAAGTCGTCATTTTGCACCCTTTCCCACGCGCAGCGCTAGCCAAGCCCCGATCTCTCCGCCTGCTTTCGCCATTTTATGCTTCCTGCTGCTGCGCACCCTGCTTTGCAGGAACAATCAGCCACTCGTCCAAGCCTTGGCCACGCGCGGCCCCGATTCCCGCATCGTGCGCGCGCGAGGTCCCCGGGTTCCAACATACCTAGTCAGCCTGGCCAACGAGACTGCTGAAACTCTCCTTGACGAGTCGGCGATACCTCGTATAAGCGTTGCAAGGCTTCAGGCCCTACGACTCTTGCTCCCCCTCCGCAGCTCCTACTGCCCTCCTTCTCGAGCTCCCCTGGCCTGAAGCGAGATCTCCAACGACTCGCGCTCTCTGCTTTCCGTCTTTGCGCGGAGGGCTGGGTGCCATGTCGACGACACTGGGGTAAATCATGCCCGCCGCCTCGCCGTGACAGAGCCACGCCTGCTGACGTCTTCTTCTTCTCCTGCTGCTTCAGTGCCTTTGTCGCCGGCGGCATTGCGGCCTGCGGAGCCGTCACCGCGACGCATCCCTTCGAGACGGTCAAGATTCGGTAAAGAGGCACCACCCAGAAACTCTTGTTGATGCCCAGAGTCTAACCGCTCGACTCGCCCCTGCAGCATGCAGCTACAAGGAGAACTCCAGTCCAAGGGACACCAGCCGCATCACTACCGCGGGCCCCTGCACGGCGTCGGCGTCATCGTCAAGCACGAGGGCTTGCGCGGCATCTACCGCGGCCTCGGCAGCGCCTACATCTACCAGATACTGCTCAACGGCTGCCGGCTGGGATTCTACGACCCCATGCGCAAGGGCCTGGCCACCCTTTTCCTCAAGAACGAGAATGCGCAGAACCTGGCCATCAACATGCTGTGCGGCGCCTCGTCCGGTGTCTTTGGTGCCGCAGCCGGGAGCCCCTTCTTCCTCGTCAAGACGCGCCTGCAGAGCTACTCGCCCTTTCGGCCCGTCGGCACCCAGCACCAGTATCGCAACGCGTGGGACGGCCTGTCCAAGATCTACGGCGCCGAAGGCGTCAGAGGGCTTTACCGCGGCGTCGGCGCGGCCATGATCCGGACCGGGTTCGGCAGCTCCGTGCAGTTGCCCACCTACTTCTTCGCCAAGCGACGGCTCGTTCGGCACGCGGCCATGGACGAGGGCCCTGCGTTGCATCTCGCGAGCAGCGCCGTCAGCGGGTTTGTTGTCTGCTGCTTCATGCACCCCCCTGGTAAGAAACCTCATCATCGTATCCGCTGGGAGCGCGACTCATGTGCAAACTTTTCTCCAGACACAATCATGTCTCGCCTCTACAACCAAAATGGAAACCTGTACAAGGGCGTCTTCGATTGCCTGGGCAAGACCATCCGCACCGAGGGTTTTTTCGCCATTTACAAGGGCTTTCTCCCGCACCTGGCCCGGATACTGCCGCACACAATCCTTACGCTCTCGCTGGCGGAGCAAACCAACAAGTTGATGAGGAGGTTTGAGGGCCGTGTCTTACCCATGGTGGCCAAGGCCTGAGCCCTATCCCGCGCGAGTTGGATAGGACGACGAGATGTTTGCGCAATCCTGGACAAGTTGGTTAGATGTTGTTTTTCAAAGTGCGAGGGCTAAATCTGGGCGATAGACTAGAGGCGTATTTGTGCCGCCAGGACGTGGAAACGCGAGGCCAAAAGATGGTTCCGGGGGCGGTTATGCGTCATACCAGGTAGGGAGTTCAAGTCGACTTCGACGACAGCTTTTTCTGTTCGAGGCTCCCCTTTCCTCTGGCCCCCCCCGGCCCCTCTGGCCCGGGTCATCCACCCATGGTCCGCTTGCAGCCGTAGCACAGCCTTGTCCAGCTACCCGGCTTCGCGTCGTCGTCCCCGAGCTCTCCGGCCCACCGCGAGTCTCCTTGCTCATCTACACCCATGCCACACATTGGACAGCCGTCCGATCCCGTGGCCCTGTCTAGCTTGCCCGTCGTCCGCACGACGTTGGTCACTATGCCCGAGTACGGGCCTTCGACGCCGTCAAAGTACCTCCGTATGACCTCGTCGATGCTCAAGTCCTTGTGCGAGACGACACTGGTGGACGAGGCGTCGTCGGCGGGCACGAGGTCACGCAACGACGGTACCAGGTCTAGATACAGCATGATTTCGTTTCTCAGGATCTCGCGTAGTGGATAGTAGACGTGCATCTCGGCCCATCGGGTGTCGCTTCCTTCGGGGGAGTCTGGGGCTTGCGCGTACAAGCACACCCTGTACGGGCCGTCGTTGATTTGCCACGGGATGGTGAACCCCCTGCCGTTTGCAACCTCGGAGAGAGTCAGCGAGGCGAGTGCCGTCGTGCTGTGCCCCAGGAGAAGAGCCGAGGAAGACCTGTCGAGCGCCATGTCCAGCAGCAGGTTGCGGACCAGAAGGCGCAACATGTCTGCCCTGGACGTCGCCGACGGCAAGGAGTCGAGGAATGCTCGCAACCGGTGAGTGTCGTGGTCGGCCCTGTCCCCGGCTCGTAGCAACGAAGACCAATCCATGGACTTGATGCGTAGCGCTTGGCTCAAGTGCACATACTCAAACGTCACGTTGGGGAACCGCTCACGGTATCTTGCCAGGAGTTTGTGAGCAGTCGTGTCCTGTGCAGGGCCAGCGTGAGACAGATTGGTGTCGACATGGACGACGAGAGGCTCAAAGGCAGGCGAAGACTTTCTTGACGAGTGAAACCTTGCGCTGCCATCGAGAACGTTTGTCATGGCGGTGGACGAGGGCCCAAAGGACAGGCCGGCCAGATACTTGCGGGGGGCGGGCCTGGCAGAGGTCCTCGTGTCCCTGGCCAGGGCGCCGAGACGCCTGCCCGCCTTGGCTTCGACATAGTCGACGTAGCAGTTTCTGCGCCTCGGGTTAGCCAGACGGGGACTGCGGCGAGGTTGCGGCGAGGTTGCGGCGAGGCTTGCGGGTCGAGGCATACCGGCAGGTCGGGTAGTTGCGCAGCGTATGAGGCGCGGCGGGGTCCTTGCAGCGGTTGCAAGGGGCGCTGGTTGCGTTTCCCGGCGAGCTGGCCATTTTGTTGTCCGCCCGTTCCCCTCTCCCGGCCGTGAGAGAGATGAGCTCGTGGTGGTTGAGATTGGGCTTGGTTGGCAGTCGGATGGAGGCACTTCAAGCCTGTTCACCTTGTGATGCAGTGGGTCCAGGTGCCAGGCGGCCCACTAAGCCTTGCCCCCCCTGGACGCTAATTATAGAGGCTCTTCAGTGACAAGGAAGCTGGAGTGGCGGCAGCCGGATTCGTTTAAAATGATTCGACGACGTCGCATCGGGCGCTGAAACATATGCCCCCGTTAAACATATGCCCCCGTTCCCCGTCCCCCCGGCCGCGTCCATTTGGTGGTGCCTACGTAATTATCGGTGTCTCTCGCCCTCTTCCTCTCTCTCTTCCGCTCTCTCTGTGTCTCGCTTCACACACACACATACACACACACACACACACACACACACACACACATACATACACACCACACACACGCCTCTCCAGCAAGCATTCGCCGCATCCCACCAGCCGTCATCCAGCTCTGCAAAAGCAAGCACGCGCATCATCGCATCTGGCGGCGCCCAACTGCCGGAGCTGCTCGTCCTGGCCCACGCGGGCGGAAAGCTCGGCATCGTTGGTGTGATGTGATGCCCCTTCTCTGCCTCAGGTGTGCGCAAGCAAAGGCTTTAATGTGCGGTCCGGCGCCACCGCATCACCACCTCGGCCCCGAAGCCTCGTCCCATGAGATATTCCTGCCCAAGAGGGCCCCGACCATCTTCATCGCCATCATCGGTGCCGCGACCATTGAATCGCCCGCCACGACACCTTGCAGCCTCAGAGATCGACAACAGCCTGTGCGCACGTAATACATCTAAGAAACCCTCGACTCTTTCCATCTGGACCGCGCCTCTGGTACCCGTCGTCGGTCCGTCACCCCGCTATCGATTCGGAAGAAGTCCCAGCGCCGTACGAAGCGCGCAACCGCCTCCATCAGCTTGCCCCCGGCCACGGCCCCCTCTCCTCCCCGACCATGCCCGAGGCTCAGGCCATCGACGTCGCGCCGCGACCAGTCACCGACGCCAAAGACGTGCGAGACGCCGCCGGTCGCCTGCCGCAAAGTCGCTCCAAAAACAACGGCCTCGCGGCGAGCGTCAACGAAAACGGCTGCTTCGAGTCTGACCGCGTCATCAAGTGCGGCTACGTCGAGAGGCGAACGCAGAAGACGAGGGTATTCGGGTCCCTCGTTCCTCGCCTCGCAAACCCCGTCTGTGCTAACCCGACCCTGCTTGCAGAAATGGAAGACAGTCTACATTGTGCTCCGTCCAAACACCCTGTCCGTCTACAAGAACGAAAAGGAGACCAAGCTCCGCCACCAAGTCTACCTGTCGGACCTGACGGCCGTGGCCTTCCTCAAGGACCCCAAGCACAAGCGCCAGAATGTCTTTGGCCTCTTCTCGCCTTCCAAGAACTTCCACTTCCAGGCACCCACGGCCCAAGATGCCCAGGAGTGGGTCGACCTCATTCGCAAAGAGGCCAGGATCGACGACGACGACGACGACGAGTTTCTTGCTAGCCCCTTGGCTCGCAGTCTGTCGCCAAACGCATTGGTGACCCTCGGGCCTGTTCGTCCCGGGCGCGAATCCTCCGGCTACGAAGGAGACCACGTCATGCTGTCGAGCTCGCCCGAACCCAATGGGCCTCCTGGGCCATTCTTCGCCGCTGCTGGTCGGCGCGAGTCCTTCAACAATGTGGACTGGTCTGGCAATGAGCTGCCCTCGCACTCGGACCTGTCCGACAACGAGGGCCCGCTGCCACTCGGCGCGTCGCTCGAAAGCCTCACAATTCAACCGCCCCTCGAGGCGAGCTCGTTGCCCAGGGGTGGGACACTGGCCTCTCGTCCGCCGGTGAACCGCTCGCTCAGCCAAGCGAGCGTCCTCAACGACAAGAGCAAGAGCAACAAGAACGGCACCAACAGCAACGCGGACGCGGATCCAGAGCGCGTCATCTGGCACGGATGGCTCTGGATGCTCCGAAGCAAACGCGGCGTCCGGCAGTGGAAAAACATGTGGGCAGTGCTGCGACCCCGGAATCTCATCCTCTACAAGGACGAGTCTGAGTACGCTGTCCAGTGGCTGGTGCAGCTCTCTGCTGTGGTCAACGTCGTCGACATTGATCCCCTCAGCAAGAGCAAACAAAACTGCCTGCAGATCATCACCGAGGAGAAGAGCTACCGCTTCTGCGCCCGCGACGAGGAATCTCTGGTCCAATTCATCGGCGCTTTCAAAAGCCTGCTGGCCAAGCGTCGGGGGTTTGAAGTGCGCGGGCCGCCGCCTGCGCGAGCGACCCCATTACGCCTCGACGACCAGGCGAGAGGACAGGGAAAGACGGAATAGAGCCGCCCCAGTCGATGCTTCCGTCGACGTCAAAGCCATCGAGATAATCCTCTCGCCCCCCTCCCTCCCCCTTTCCAACGTGCCCTGACACGGCTCTCCACCTGCCCTGGCGTGACCTTGCGTTGGCTTTTGATTTCCATGCCGCATATTACCTGTGAGAATTAATTGTCGAAGACCACGAAGGGGAGTTGACAGCACGCCTGCACATGACGGCTCCAAGCACATGTTTTCTCGGCCCAACAACCGAGAGCGTCGTTGGCTCCGTTTGTGTATAATTTTAATCGACCGTCAAGGACGTTGGCCATTTGGCTCACTCAGCCCTCAGTGACACGAGCAGTCACCAGGACGTCCATCATCTTTATTGATCACTCCAGCCGGTGACAGATGCGTGCCGTCATCTGCGGCTGCGGCTCCCGCCCCGGTGTCGCATCGTCGCGAATCGCATGCCTTGGCCATGTGCGCATCTCGATGCCTTTCCCGCCTGCAGCGCCACGGACCGGACATTATGGGCTCCCAGCCCGGCCACCCTTGACCGGCCGAATGGCGGCCAGAGTCGGAGGCAAGATGGTGCTGCACGGGCCGCTGAGACAGACTGGGGGCGCACCTCCAAGAGGGGAGGCGGCACATTCTCTCTTATTAGTGGCCCGGGCTAGACGTCGCACGCGCTCATTTGCAGATGGCCAGGGTCGTAGCGCCGCATCGTCCCCGGACCCTCGTCCCCAGCATGCGTCGGGGTTCTTTTGACGGCCGTCATTTGACCGGCCTCAGCTTTTCGGGGTTGCATGCTCAGGCGCGGGTGACCACGGCCGCTGTATGCGAACAGATGGACAGCTGAAGGGGATTTGCGACTATGTCCTCATCGGAACTTCGCACTGGCATCCATATCACATCGGCCGACGCTAATGGCCAAAGAGGCCTCGCCGGCTCGCCTGGCAAGCCAGCTCGGGGTGACTCGCCCGTCTCTCACATGCCCTCGGCGCCTGACGATGCTGCTTCGGCGACCAGGTATATAGATGCCGCCAGGCAGGCGACGGCAGACTGGCCGTCGCAGCCATGTCAACGGGTGGTTTCGGTAGGCCATTCACTCAGCGGGCGAGACAGCTACAGACCTCTCGTTGGAGAGGCACTCGACATCTGAAGAAAGCCTTCTCTACTAAAGCTAGAATCGAACGCGGCCACAGTCGCTGTCGTCGCCATGAAGTGCGCCGTCATTCACCGGCTCTTGGCCTTGCTGTGCCTGTCTCTCGGCCACGCAGCGGCGCGGGCGAGAGTCGACAAGCCCAAGGTCCCGCTGAGCGCCTCGAGCCGCTGGATTCTCGATGCCGCCGGCCAGCGTGTCAAGCTGCGGTGCATCAACTGGGCCGGGCACCTCGAGACAAATGTCCCCGAGGGCCTGCACAGGCAATCCATCGAGCACACGGCCAACTGGATCGCGTCCCAGGGCTTCAACTGCGTACGCCTCACCTACTCGATCGACATGGCGCGTCACCCGGACGTCAGGGTCGAGGACTCGTTTCGCAGCGCAGCCAAGGCCGCAGGGGTCGACGAGAAGGCCCTGATGCGGCTTTACTCCGCGGCCGTATCGAAGAATCCCTTCCTCGCCCACGAAAACGGCACCTCGACAGTCCTCGACGTGTTCGACAGAGTCCAGTCGGCGCTCTGGGATCGCGGCGTCATGACGGTGCTGGACAACCACGTCAGCCGGGCGGGCTGGTGTTGCGACCTCAACGACGGCAACGGCTGGTGGAAGGACGCGCGCTTCTACATGGCCGAAACCAGCCGCTTCTTCGACACGGGCGAGTGGCGTGCCGGCCTTGGGGCCATGGCGCGGTGGTCCCGGTCGCGGCCGGGCATCGTGGGCCTGTCGCTGCGCAACGAGCTCCGAGCGTCGTTTGCGCAGATCCCCTTTGCCGCCGAGACGTGGCTGAGCTACATGCCACCGGCGGCGCAGTTGGTGCACGACGCCAACCCGAACGCCCTCGTCATCGTCGGCGGCATCAATGGCGGGACGGACCTGACGCCGCTGCGCCTTGGCCCCATGATGGACCTGGGCACGTGGGGCGGCAAGCGCGTATGGGAGGCGCACAGCTACAGCTTCACCGTCACGACGCCCAACTTTGGCTTCTGCCCGCTGGCCAAGGCGCAGTACGGCGGCCTGTACGGCTTCGTGCTCGAGCAGGGCCGGTCGTACACGGGGCCGTTCTTCCTGTCCGAGTTTGGCGTCGGCATGACGGGCGGGCCCCATAACGGGCTCAGCGACAAGGACTGGCGCTACCTAACGTGCCTGGCCGAGTACATGGCGGGCAACGACGCCGACTGGGCGCTGTGGGCAGTCCAGGGCTCCTACTACGTGCGCGACAAGACGGTCGACCACAACGAGACATGGGGCGCCCTCGACTACGAGTGGCGCGACTGGCGGAACCCAAAATTCAAGGCCATGCTGGGCACTATGGTCAACGTGACGCAGGGGCCGTAGTCGGAGAGTCTGTCTGTCTCTTGGAAGACGAGAGGGAGAAGCTAAGGGGCTCAGGCATCTTGCGGTGCCATCTAGGCATGAGAGGCCCCAGCGAAGCTACGGTTCTTGGTCGACATGGCTGGTCGACATGGCTGGTCGACCACATGTAGATGTTGAGAAGAATATTTTTGTACTTTGATCTGATGTGCTCCTGCGTCGCCAGCCAGTTGCGCCATAAGTCGTCCCTTTCATACGGTCTCTTGCGTGCTCAGTGGCTTCCGTCGCCCTGGCTTTGGAGCTATATTTGCCCACGTATCCAGCAAGACAGCAGCTTGCGGCTATGCAATACACCCGAAATCTCAACCAGCGCCTGTCCCATGTCATTCCAGTCATTTGGCCCGCTCTTCCCGATCATGAGCCCATGGCTGCCTCGTATTCATACCGCCGTTCCCGGGCCAGCCGTTCCCGGGCCAAGTTAGGTGCCATCCGTCTTGTCGATGCCGAAAAAGGTCGCGTCAAAGTCCCCGTGCTCAATCGTGTTGAAGGTGTTGTCGCGATCATTCATGAGATCGTCAAACGTATCCCCGCCCATGCCGCCGTCTCCGAGGCTAAAATCAAAGTCCATCCCGTCTGCCTGACCATCGCCCGTGAAGATGTCCGCAAACGCCGAGTCTTGCACGTTGTCATTGTTTCTGTTGTCGGCGGGCTTGCTCTGGTTATCGGCGGTGTTTGGCTTGCTCATGGCCCCGCTGAGGCTGGCGGGCAGCATGCCGCCAAGCGAGGCCATGCTGTTGCTGTTGTTTCCATTGTCGGCACCGCCGGCCGGAGCGAAGGATGCGAGGTCAAAGGAAGACTCGGCGGTGGTGTTGAGGCTGCTGGCGGCGTCTCTGTTGAGCTGATCCTGGGCATCGTTGTTGGACGGCGCAAGGGTAAACTCCATGTCGGTAAAGTTCAGGCCAGGGTTCATGCTGAGTGTGTCGTCGCCACCGGGGCCGTTGGGTTGAATCCCAGCAGGCTTCTGGTGCGCTATTGACATGATGCCGCCAGGAGCAGAAGAGGCACCGCCCTCGACCTTGAAGTCGGGACCGCCAGGCGTGGCAGATGGTGCCTGCGTCGGTGTGCTTTCTTCCTTGACGACCGTGGCCGACTGAGCGGCGTCGGGCAGACTCATGCCCATGTCGGGAAAGGGTGCGACGGGCTTCATGATGGGCTCGGTCTTGATGGGATGATCCCTGGGCGCGGCGGGCGGGGACGAATGCGAGTCAACGACCGTGGGAGACTGCGACTGTGGATCCGAGGGGTGCGAGTGTATCTGTTCGAGAGGCTTCGACTGTGCCCTCTGCGATCGCAGCTCGTTGAGGTCGCGGAGCAAGACCGACTTGGCCCGGACCTGCTCGTGGGTAAGCAGGGAACAGGCAACGACAAGGGTGGAGAGGGGGGTTGCGTACAATATCGCTGTCGAGGCTGTCAAGAGCGCTGTGGAAGGACTTGATGGTCTCTGGCAGCCTTGCCTGGATAGAGCCATGGGGCGAAGGGCCGTTGCCGTGACCGTCTTTGCGCGAGGCACGGAGAGCCTTTCCGGTATGTACAAGCTGGGGGCGAGAAGAGAAAGGCATGGAGTTAGGCGAGGCACGCACATGTAGGGCCAGGGACAATGGCACCTACCACATCGTTGATCATGTGCTGCAGAGCGTCGAGGGGATCCTTGGGCCTCGAATGCGCAGAGGCCATTGTAGCGAGACGCCTGTCTCTGGGGAGGCGTGCGAGGATGGAATCTTATGCCTGGATGCCTTTTCGGTACCTTTGCTGTGTAATGTTGGGCTGGGCGATTAAACTGGCGACGAGGAAGCGGACAAGATGTCGTCGATAAATGGGCATTCCAAGATTCGATGGGGGAGGAGAGGCAGCAGCCTTGGGGGATCCAAAAAGCGGTACTAGCAACGTACAGATATGGGGCGGACAGCGGAAGGGGCAGGCGGAATGTTTCAAGACGGAGCCTGTCGCGCGGTACCTGTAACGGCCCCTGGCGGCGGTCCGGCACGGGGTACAGATACGAACATGATTATCTTCCTGACAGTGGGGTAAAGGCGAGGGACCGAAGTACCCCGGCAGATGTCTAATGAACAGTTGATAGGTGGGTGGGTACTTTCTACTCCGGAATCCATACGGAGCACCTCGAGCACAAGTCTCTTTGGCAGTGGAGGGGCAGCCCATCCAGCCTTAGGGAGGTCACGGAGCCCCAGTACAATAGATACTTACGTACGTACGTACAGGGAGGTACGGATAGATAGGTAGGTACACATTACATAAACGGATTAACTTAAAGTTGAAGAGGCAAAGAAAGAGGCAATCTAATACCACGCTGCCTTAAGAACAGTATCGACAAGGCTGACGAGACTTATGGGGGAGCTTGAGTATCGCTGTGAGGACGGCACTCTGATTGGACAACTCCCCTGTAAACGACATGGGGGCTGCTCCTCCACTGCCCAAGCGAAGTTCGGTGGCGACGCGCCGACCAAGGAAACGAGGGAGCCCTATCCGTACGAGTATATGTACAGTAATTACAGATGGCCGCCTGAACCATTAGATGAGGTGTACCGTATGTATTCCGGCCTTGATTACGTAACCCGAAGGTAGAGAGGCCACTTCTCTGTGCCTCGGAGCACGCGCATTATACTAGGTTCCTACCTAGGTAGCTACCGCCTTCGATACTTGGAGCTCAGCACCACAAGGCAGATGGCAGGGGAAGATGCTGAGACGACAGCATCTCCGAGGCCAAGCTGGTGGTGTCTATCCTCCTCAGGTGTACTGCGCCGAGAATAGCACTGCAGAAGGTACCGTTCCTTAGCTCCCGGATTTGCACGTGGCCCAGACAAGACGCCAACAAGCGCCTCAAAGCTTGCACCCCCAAGAGGCCTGCTCATGACACGGCGGCCCCGAAATGAGGAGAGAAACTCTCTGTCAAGCACTAGTATGTAGCGTCCCTCCCGTCAACCAGTGCCTGCGAAGAATGGAGCACCTCATGCTCTGCCGCGAACGCGAACCAGACCATCCTGCTGCGGACCGATAAACCACCACATGGACCAACAAGTACGACTTAGCATAGCAAGTACCTAGGTACCTGGACCCTAGACCCCGCGCCTCTAGGCTGTCGACTAAAATATCCTATCTTCGAGCTGCCTTTGCGGTTGCTCATAGCCCTTTGGTCATCCGCCAAGGATAGGAGGCACTGGTCAATCTCTCCCCGTACAGGTACTTAGGTAAGGTAGCTACCTAGGTAGGTAGGTACCAAGGAAGGTAGGTACCTACCAAGGTAGGTGGTACTCGGCAGCACAGAACGCCGATCCAGTGCCGTTCGCCACCCCTGGGGCATGGGAAGGCGCCTTGGGTTTCCCCAGGCCCTCCGTATCTGTAGGTACCCACAGGCTTGTAGGCACCGCACCAGGTACCTCACTAAACCGCCCAGCTAGGTGGTCCCTTAGGTAATTAACTTCCACTCTACCCAAGCAAGGTAGGTAGGTTCTTCTTTTTTTCCCTCCATCCTCTCCAAGCAGCATAATTTCGGTCGCAAGGGGGAAAAAAGCTCGCGAGCAAACACCACCGAGACGGTTTGTTTTTGCCATCTCGGGACCTCTGGCAGCCCTTGTCCAGCCCTCCTCTGCAGGTCTTGACGTTTCCTCCGACTTCGCACTCCCCTTTCTTCCCGTTGCCGTTGTCTTCTCCGCATCTCGTCTCGGCCGCGTCTAACTACTTGCCAACATCGAGACGCCTCCTGTTGTGGCCGATCCGCTTCTGTCCGCCTCGGCCTCGTCCCTCCTGACTTGCTGGCGTCTGTTCGTCCCGACGCCGCACTGATCTCTACATACTTTCGTTCCTCCCGGCGTCCTGTCAACGTGCAGCCACGGTACGCAGTTCACTGCCGAACCTCGTCGATTTCTTCCCAACAGCCCAACCTGCGCACCTCTCTTCTCCTACCCGGCATCCACCTGCCGCTCATAGTCGGCGTCTGGAACACCCGTCACCAAACCGACCTCCCGACCTCCCGACCTCCCCACCGTCGGAAATCAGAGCGCTCTTGAATTCATCATGGCCATGGCTGACATCGGAACCGCTCCCCACTCTGCGCAGATGCCAGCCCAGCCCCAGCCCGGCGGCTTTGAGGCAGCCCAGAATGGCCAGTCGACTGCATCTCATATGCCCCCGCCCCCGCTTCACATTCCTCAAAACACGAATCCCATCCCGACCGCCATGACTTCTCCAATGTCCGGAGGCGACCAGAGCGGCCTGCTGTCCCCTGGCGGAACCAGCTTCCGACGAGCGGCCCCCGAGCCCAACAAGCGCGCCCTGTATGTCGGCGGCCTGGACCAACGCGTCACCGAGGATGTCCTTCGCCAAATCTTCGAGACGACTGGCCACGTCCAGAATGTCAAGATCATTCCCGACAAGAATGCACGTTTGGCCGCCCCCCGTTCTGTACGCCTCCGCAGGTATGCTAACAGGTCGAACGGCAGGCCAAGGGCTACAACTACGGTTTCGTCGAATACGACGACCCCGGCGCTGCTGAGCGTGCCATGCAGACCCTCAACGGACGAAGGGTTCATCAATCGGTATGGGCCCATCCCGCGATATGCACCGTCCAATGCGAATCACTGCTAACGATCTGCCTAGGAGATCCGAGTCAACTGGGCCTACCAGTCAAACACGTCCAGCAAGGAGGACACGTCGAGCCACTTTCACATCTTCGTCGGCGACTTGTCCAACGAGGTCAACGATGAAATTCTGCACCAGGCCTTCTCCGCCTTTGGCTCCGTCTCCGAGGCCCGCGTCATGTGGGACATGAAGACTGGCAGAACCCGGGGCTACGGCTTCGTCGCCTTTCGAGATCGGCCGGACGCTGAGAAGGCCCTAAGCTCCATGGATGGGGAATGGCTCGGGTCGCGAGCCATCCGCTGCAACTGGGCTAACCAAAAGGGCCAGCCGTCCATGGCCCAGCAGCAAGCCATGCAGGCAATGGGCATGACTCCCACCACGCCCTACGGCCACCACCAGTTCCCAGCGCACGGTGTCGCCAGCTACGAAGTCGTCCTGAACCAAACGCCTAACTGGCAGACGACCTGCTATGTCGGCAACCTGACGCCCTACACGACCCCCAACGACGTCGTGCCACTCTTCCAGAACTTTGGTTTCGTGGTCGAGTCCCGCTTCCAAGCGGATCGAGGGTTCGCCTTCATCAAGATGGACACGCACGAGAACGCGGCCATGGGCATTTGCCAGATGAACGGATATAATGTCAACGGCCGGCCCCTCAAGTGCAGCGTGAGCTCAGGAATTGCCCCTGGCCAAGGTCCGATATGCTGACGAGTATCGTGTAGTGGGGCAAGGACAAGACACCAACCTCCCAGCAGAACTTTGACCCTGCGCAGCACTACAGCCCGCAAAGTGCCCAGACCCCCGGTGCATATGCTACTGGCACGCCAACATACTACCCACAGTACGGCGGTGAGTGACAGAGGTGTGCGTTGATGGTGAACGAGGACTGGGACTGACCTTGACTCTGCTTACAGGCCAGTACGGGAACCAGCATGGCAGCTTTAATGGCCCGCAAGCCGCCTCTCCGGGAGGCGGCTACGGAGGCTCTCCCATGGGATACGGCGGGCCCCCAAGCTCGGGGGGCTTTGGGCGCGGCCAGCAGGCCCCCAACGCGCAGTGGAGCCAGCCTCAGCCTGGACAAACCTATAACAATGGGTTTGGCGGCTATCAGTCGTGACGAGCCAGCAGCATGGCCGCGCCAGTCGGAAGACGGTAGGGTGCGGCCGCCAGGGCGCCGTCCTCGGGGGCCGGAGCCACGAAAACGCATTTGTCTCCTAAAAGATGTCCGTACTTGTCTTCATACCCCCCACTTTTCTCTCTGGCGATATTTTCCATCTTCACTGTGGGCTTCCCTGGGACGCAAACCTGGGCTTCTTCATCTCTCTTCACTTGTTGTCTGTTCCTCGCCATGTTCTGTTTGTTCAAGCATCTGGATTCTCTTTATGACGCGAAACATTTATCCAGTGATTCCCATTGTCATAATTTCCAAGGTTGAATGTTTTGACGACCCCTTTCCAATGCTTTGCGCTTTTGCCCTCGACGGGCGGGCAAAGAAAAAGTGGAAATGACTAGTCCTTTGGAATACCCTTTTTGAACCATGCGATGCTCAAAGCTCAGCGTGGGCATTTTTAACTATTTCCTATCATGACGTTGACGAGTTTCCTATGTTTTGTCTCCATGGAAGAGCGAGCATGGGATGCGGCGTCGATGGACCGCGGAAAGACGTATTTCTCGGGCGGAGGGAATGGAAATGGCGAGGCCTAGGCGTGGAGAAGGCATGGACAGCCAGGTTGTTGCCCTGTGGCTTTGACTGCGGTTGCGTAGCAGAGCCGGGGCAGGGCGCTGAGCACCAAGGTGCATTATATTCGGCCCTGGTGCTCGAAGCAGTGGCGAGCATGGATGGCATGTGGAGGTTTACAATACAGAGGGCTCCGGCCCAAGATGCCTCTGTCCACCCGTGTTGTACTGGCACTGTTGGGGCTTGAGTCTCGGGAAACGTTGGATTGGCAGCTGAGTGCGGGGCCTGGATGCCGTTGGAGCAGAGGCATTGGGATGCAATGTCCTACGAAGTTGTACAGTACATGTATGCCAAGCAATCACTTGAGGTACGAAGTCGGCTATGTACCTCTTTGCATGCAAGCCAAGGTGCAGTACCCAGACGCGAACGTCTTGGACTACATGTCCGAGTAGGCCAGATGGCAAGCAGCTGAGGCAGTCTGCTTTGTACCTACTGTACGATGCTGATGGCCAATTCCAGCGCGAAAATGGAATACCTGGTTGCTGATGATGGCTACACTGAGCCCTCCGACCGCGCATCAATTGGTGCGTGTCAGGCTAGCGTTGGCTTTATCTCAAAGGCAGGTACCTAGGTACCTACCTACCTACCTAGGTACCTTAGGTAGGTACGTACCCTGGTATGTCTGGGAAGATAAGTACCTAAGTACCTATGTGCCTCAGTGCCGGGCAGGTGGGCCTTCCTCTCTCCAGGCTCTCCACACTCTGGCCGTCCCAGCTCGACTCATGGGCAGCCTCTGACCTGGGCTCTTCATCTGAGGTACGGAAAACCCTGTCACGTATGTACAATAGCTGGATGCAATGGATGGAGACTCAATGCCGGGTGTCTTGCTTGTCGGCGGCATCGGGGCGAGGCGAGTCCCTAACCTGGAAATAGGTATTCGTAGTAGCTAGGTGGGTACAGTATAGTGCATGCAAAGTCACTCGATAGGTAAGGTAGGTACCTACCTTACCTAGGCAGACATGTGTACTGTACGTCGCCAGGCGGGCGCTTGTTATTCAACCTGCCAAGAAGAAGCAGACTCGCAAGCTTCAGCTGCGGATATCTTGCATCCAACGTACAACGTGTGCTTGACAGTCGAGAGTCTTGGCCCTGTGCAAGCATTCCTCGGTCCCCATCATGGCCCTGCGAGGCCGGTTCAGGAAGAGGAAAAGGCGACAAAGACGGGTACCTACCCCAGGTACACACTGCCGTAGCTGCCCACGTACTCTGAACCTGAGCCCTTACCTCATCACCTCTCCCGTAGTTACTCCCCCCCATTGCCCTCGCAACTCCAAAAAACCATCCGCTTCCCTCCCATCGCCTGGACTGGGACCGCCTGCCAACCCCTCACACTCTTGCCGCGCCGGTCACGATGGGCATCTGAGAAACTCGCAGGCACCACAAGCGACCACCTCGCGCCTCTCCGCCTCGGGATTTGGGCCGCCGTCGAGGTGCCCAATTCCCCAGCGCCCGTCCCATCTCCAACCCGACTCACGTTTGGCGCGACAAATTCTCGGACAACCAGCGACACCGGAACTGGCCTTCTGACCCCCGGCCTCGACCCAGCCAAAGCAGCTTGCGAGCGAGCCCTTGCACGAGACAACGACTACGCTGTCCATTAACAGCCCCGGACCCAGTCCGCAGCGCCCCCCCTCGCTCGCCCGTCGTTCGTCGTCGATACAAGGCCCAGCTACTGTGTGGTCGCTGCCTCGTCGTCCCCGCCGCCATGGATCCATCCTGGCCGCAGCCGTATTCCGACCCGGCCGGCGCCGCGAGGCGACACAATGGCGGCTCGCAGATTCTGCGAGACTACACCGGCCAAGCACCGGCGCCAGCTGCCTCGGGCTACTCCTATGACCATGCCCAATACCACGGTGGCGCTTCGATCCATGGCGCTGTCCACAACGCTGCCAACCCTGCCGCGTCTCCGCCCATGGCAATCGCCTCCGCCATTCGCGACGGCAACGGGGACATCCCCATGCACGACGCCCTCGACGCTCACGCCGGCATCAAGTATCCCATGAGACCCCATCACCAGTCTCACATGTCGGGCGGCCGCCCCGCGAGTCTCCACTCCCCGCAGGAGCAGCCATCGTCGGCAGCCCAACGATACTCGCCCATGGACACCTTGTCGCCCACGTCGCCCTACGCCCCCAAAACGAGCCAATTTGCGCACCCGCCGACTCACACACAGTCTCCCACCGGACAGCCTGACTACCCCCAGAGCTCGTACTTCCCTGGCCGCCCCTCCGGTCAACACTTGCCGCCCATCACGCCATTCGCCTCGTCACAAGATGGCTATCCTTCGTCGACGGTGTCGGCCCTCGACGGCAGCTTGGTCAACAACCCCAAGTCACCGCATCGCCAGAACCCACCCGCCCTGAAGCCTGTTCCCGAGTTCAGGAAGGTGAGAGCTGTGTCAGACTTGCAGCCCAAGAAGAGCCGGCAGCCGCCGTTCCGCCGCGCCAACCCTGAAGGCGGCTTCATCAGCGTCCGTACCTCCCCCTCTGCTACCGCGTCTCGACTCGTCAAGACTAACGTCGACTCGCAGCCCCTGCAAGCGCTGACCGCTCATTTGCCCGCAACGTACCGCATTTGCAACCCCAGCTTCAAGTACGAGACATCGCGGAATCCCCGCAGAGTCTTGACAAAGCCCAGCAAGGGGGTTAAGAATGACGGATACGACAACGAGGACAGTGACTATATCCTCTATGTGAACGATATTCTGGGGTCTGAGGAAGCAGGTCACAAGTAGGCAGTCCGGAGTGCGCTTTTTCCTGCACAGCGATGTACTAACTACTGTCCTAGGAACCGCTATCTCATCCTGGATGTCCTCGGCCAGGGCACGTTCGGCCAGGTGGTCAAATGCCAGAATCTCAAGACGCAGGAGGTGGTCGCAGTCAAGGTCATCAAGAACCGGACGGCCTACTTCAACCAGAGCATGATGGAAGTATCAGTGCTTGACTTGGTTGGTCCCGCCTCCCTCTTCAATGTGCAAGTCAGGTAGCTAATCATCCGCCCTCTGCAGCTCAACACCAAGCTTGATAAGAATGACGACCATCACCTGTTGCGTCTCAAAGACACGTTTATCCATCGGCAGCATCTTTGCCTCGTATTTGAACTCCTCAGCGTCAACCTCTACGAGCTGATCAAGCAGAATCAGTTCCGTGGACTCAGCACCACGTTGGTGCGCGTCTTCGCCCAGCAACTTCTCAACGGGCTTGCTCTGCTCAACAAAGCACGGCTGATCCATTGCGATTTGAAGCCAGAAAACATCCTTCTCAAAAACCTGGAAAGCCCAATCATCAAAATCATCGATTTCGGCTCGGCGTGCGATGAGCGTCAGACAGTGTACACCTACATTCAGTCGAGGTTCTACCGCTCACCCGAGGTGCTGCTTGGCTTGCCATACTCGTCTGCCATTGACATGTGGTCCTTGGGCTGCATCGTGGTCGAGCTGTTCCTGGGACTCCCCTTGTTCCCGGGGTCGTCTGAATACAATCAAGTTTCTCGCATCGTAGAGATGTTAGGCAATCCACACAACTGGATGATCGAGATGGGCAAGCAAGCCGGCGAATTTTTCGAAAAGAGACAAGACGAATTTGGTCGGCGGACCTACCACCTCAAGAGCATGGAGCAGTATGCTCGGGAACACAACACCAAGGAGCAACCCAGCAAGAAGTATTTCCAAGCCAACACGCTTCCAGAGATCATCAAGTCGTACCCCATGCCCCGCAAAAACATGAAGCAAAGCGAAATCGATCGAGGTAAGCAGCCCTACCGGGTTACAGTCTCACGGAGCAGCTGGTCGACTGACTGGCATCCAGAAATGAACAACCGGATCGCCTTTATCGACTTCGTCAGGGGCTTGCTGACCATCAACCCTCTGGAGAGATGGTCGCCGCAGCAAGCCAAGCTACATCCTTTCATCACTCAACAAAAGTACACGGGTCCCTTTGTGCCCCCCATGAACCTGAAGTCAAGCTCCCTCAACCGGTCGCCAGCTCCGGGCACGCAGCAGCAGCAGCAAGCCGAGGCTCTGAGCAAGCAGCGCGCTCAGGCGGCACAGGCTCAAGCCAGCTCGGCGGCGCAAGGGGCGTACGCCAACATGGCCGCTGGGCAGTATGCGCAGTCTGCCCACCCCCAACAGCCCATGTACAGCAGCAATGCCGTTTACAGCCCGGGGCAGCCCCACGGAAACATGGCACCACCATATGGACCCCAGGCTGCCCAATACGGCCAGATGGTCATGCAGCCCACGCAGCAGATGGCCACGGCGCAGTACAGCAGCGTCTCTCAGCCGAGCATGTATCAACAGGGAGGCCCACGAACTAGCCGGCAAAGGGCATCGACCATGGAGCAGCAGCAAAGCGGAATTCCGGCTGCCATTCAACGAGTGGCAAGCCACCTCGACCCCAGTCAACCCATCCGCTTGCAGCCGAGCCCTGCGTATTACCCGCCGCCGGGTGATGGCATGCCAGGCGTGGAAACCACGCCAGGTCGAGCAGGTAGACGCGGAAGTAGGCAGCAGCAAGGCGGCCGGGGAAACCGCGACTTCATCCGCAACCTCGAGGAGCGTACCCTTGAGGAGGGTTTCATGGGCAGCCAAAACCCTTGGCATTGAACCGTTCGAATCTAGACGGTCATAAGCCTTCAGCACATCCGACCCTGGCTGGCTGCAGGGGGCCGACAATCCTCGCTCTAACCCGGAGAACCTGAGTCCCGAGGTGCAAGACTACCATGCAAAATCCATGATGGCGGTTCGCGGAATGCTCCGTCTCGGCTTGACGGGGCTGCTTGGAAGCATCTCGTGGGCAGAACGCCGGTGTCATGCCAGTGCTTGCAGGCCCGGAGTGGCGATCGAGAAACCATCGCTATTAGTACAATGAGAACGGAGGGGTGGGTGGTGTTGGAGGGCTCCTGAATTTATTTGGACGGTGGATACGGAACTGGGAGGGTCAGTGGCTGGGTTGGGAGACACGGAAATCCGTGCGTCGCGGCGTGTATCGGTCGAGGGCCGAGGACGCTGCCGACAAAAACGGAGGCGGCAGGGTCGAGGAACGGTTTTCATTTTCATACTTTGTCGGTCGAGCCCACGCGCGCCCTCCATGAAGATTCTGGCCTGGCTCGCCACGCGCGTCCGATCTCGTGGAGAGAGAAGGCAGCAATCTTCCATTGACTGTCGAGTCACAGAGGTCCAGGAAAGAAGACATTGGCACATGTACAACGCACGAGGCTGGGCCAAGGGCGATGGGACTGTCTATGGGAACGGGAAGGGGGGGCGAGAAGAATGAGTCCCCCTTACAAGAAAGAGGATTGCTATTCATACCCGCCAAATTTCTATTTGTACCCAGCAGCCCGTACACGACGCACTTGTTTTTGTATGAATCCTGCAAATAACATGTATTTTAAAAAAAAATCTCCACGGAGTATGTGACGGGGAGATTGCTTCTCAGAAAGGGCTGGACGGGTGTTGGTGTTCGCTGCAAAGCATGGCGCGTGAACTGTGTGTTTATATGGATGTAAGAAGCTCTGGTGCTAATCAAGTCATGTCTCTGATTTCTGTTCTTTGCTCCCTCTGCCCTCGGGAGTGTAAAGCCATGGGGCTGTGGGCCCTGTTCCAAACGCCGGGTCCTTTTCCGCAGCCAGCATCGCGACTCGTCAGGGTAGAATACATGGATAAAGAAAATATTTCTCGAATGTCCCTCCTACGGTTCCCACACTGGCCAAGATCGGCTTGCCAGGAGGGGAGAGGATGTGAGAAATAGCAAAGCTAATGGAAGAAAGCCTCATCGACCGCCCTGGTACCCCCTGCCCCGGCGGCCTCGCGCAACAATCTTATCGCTGTACAGTGGGCGGCTGGAGCTGCTGGAGGACCTGCTTTCGGCGCCCATGAGGTCTCTGTCTCCCGAGAAGCCCATGGTGCCGTCGACAACTTGCTCGGTGGCGCGGGGGCCGTTGGGAGGGCTTGCCCGGGACGAGTGATGGCCGCCAATTCTGGGATACAGCTTGAGGAGTCTGCCATCGGCCTGGAGATAAAACAGACTCGTCAGAGCCAGGGTCGACATGGGGAAGAGACGGCGGAAAACTTACCGTCTTGTCGTTGAACGTCTCAATCACCCGCTCGCCACCCTCGCGCGAGACAAAGACCATCTCGGCCATGAGAAAGGGGCTCGTCTTGAGGATTGTGCAGCTCACCATCTCCCCGCCCACCGGAGTCACGGCACTCTCAATGTCCGCGGCCGTGGTGCCGGGCGCAAAGTTCTGGCCTATGACGACAAAGGGCCCGGCGAGTCCCCTGATGGACATGCCCATGCCGCCAGCACCGGGGGCCCTGACGACGTTGACCTGGTCGACGTCCATCCTGTCCACGGCCGAGGCGAGCCTGGACCTGCGCTGGGAGGCGGCAGCCCTCTTGGGCCCGGGCTTGGGGCCGGGATGGCTGGTGCGGGCGTCGAGGGCGTGGGCGCGGTGGTTGAGCGAGTCGTGCAAATCGTGGGTCCATTCGCCGTTGACATTGCCCGAGCCGGCCTGCCTGCTGCTCCAGTTGCCCGAGGAAAGGCGCTGCTCAAGAGGTTGGCATTAACAGGCCGAGCAGGCATCGCAAACCGTTTGAGGAGGAAAAGGCACCTTGTTGATGCCGACGCGGCTGGCAAAGGAGCCGCCAGGCGTGTGCTTCAGGTTGGAGGGCGCGCTCTGTCTGCGGCCGCGGGAGAAGATGGCGTTGGCGAGGGCCTCATTTCTCTTGCGCTCGCGGGCTGCACGTCACACCACCGTGTCTGGTCAGCAAAATGGGCGTCGGGGGCTCGGCAGGAGAGCGCTGGCAGCCGAGAGATCGCACCGTCGGAGATGAATTTCTGGAAGTCGGGGACGGCGGCCGCCATGACGATTCGATGCTCTCGCTGGGCCCCGTTTCGCCGCTGGTTGCTGGGTAAGGATGGGAGAGTTGTGCAGGGTCCAAGTTGGGAGATGGAAGAGGGCCGCCGTGAGGAAGCTTGGCTGCGGCGCCTCCCTCGAGGTTCCAAGCTTGGGCTGAGACTCCGAGGTACCTACGTGTACCGGCTACCCGAATCTACCTACCTCAGTAGGTACTAGGACTAGTACCAACTTAGGTGCTGCTGCTCCAGGCACTGTGACTCTGGCAGTGCGCCCCACAGCGACAGGCCCGCCAACCCGGGAAGCTGCGGGTTGGATGTAGTTAGAGTACCGAGTACCTGTACGGAGTACGTGCGAAAGCTTCGATACGATACGGGTAGGCATTTGCCCAGTTTTCCAAAAAAAAAAAAAAAAACATCGTCACCACCATTCAATGTGCTGCCCCCTCCTCCCCCCTCATCCACATGTTCTATCCCTCTCCTCCAAAGTTGGACTCTGAAAAGACTGGCTCGGCATGGCCGGGAGTTTTCTGAGCTGCGCCGCGTGCTTGCGCAGGACTGTCCGGGTCGCCGCCCACGGCAGCCTCGCCGCCGACCTCATCACGACGCGCGCCCTCGCAGCCCTTGGCCAACCAACAAGACACTATGCCACAGCTGCTGCCGCCGCGCCCGTCGATGCCCCGCAGGCCCTGGACCCCGAGCCGGCCGATGCCGAGGCAGAGTTAGATATTGCAATGAAGAGGGAGAGGGCGAAGCTGCAGCGGATCGTCAAGAAGCACCTCACTTACATGGACGACCCGTGGAAGATTGGCCACCACGTCGAGCAGACGCTGGCAAAGGATCGCTTCGACGAGGCTCTACTCCTGACGCAAACGGCGAGCAGAGACCGCCAAGTGGTGGTGGCGTGGAACCACCTCATCGCCTATCAGCTGGACAAGCAGAAACTGAAGAGTGCCATCAAGCTCTACCACGACGTACAGCCTCCCTCCGAACCGTGTGCCGCGCAGTCTTGTAAGCTTACTCGCGTGCGATAGATGAAAAAGAGGGGCCAGCTACCTAACGTGAGGACATTCACCATCATCTTTCGCGGGTGCGCCGGCTCGCAGCACCCCAAAGCCGCCGTCGCCGAGGCCGTCAAGCACTACAATGTCCTCCTCAACGACCGTCGCTTGCAGCCCAACTCGATCCACCTCAACGCCGTGCTCAACGTCTGCGCCAAGGCCGGTGACATGGACTCTCTATTCCTCATCGCAAACACCGTCAACGACTCAACGCGCGCCCCGACGTCTTTTACCTACACCATCCTCTTCAACGCGCTTCGCTACCACTGCCTGATGGGCATCAAGGAACTGCCGCCGGAGCAGCAGGAAGCCAACTTGCAAAAGACGATTGACCGCGCCAAGGCCCTATGGGCCGAGGTCATGGAAAAGTACAACCAGGGGCGGCTACTCATTGACGAGACTCTCGTGTGCTCCCTGGGTCGCCTGCTTCTCCTTGCCCCGAACCGCGAGGACAAGCGCGAGGTGCTCAATCTCTTGCAGCAGGCCATGAACATCCCCAACCTGACGAGACCTCTCGCCTTGGACCCGTTCAAGGACCCCGGAATGCGCGACATTGCCCTCGCGGATTCGCCCAACTCACCCCCCAACCCACCTGCCAACCCCAAGGCCGTCTACGCCGTGCCGGGACAAAACACGCTCGCACTCGTGCTCACCGCGCTGGCGTCCTCCAGGCAGACGACCATCGGCATCAAATACTGGAACCTCTTGGTCCGCCACTACGGCATCATTCCCGACCACGACAACTGGCTTCGCATGTTCGGGATGCTCAAGGTCGCAAAGGCCAGCGCCCACGCCGCCGACATTCTCGACATTCTGCCCAGCAAGCTCGCCGACGCCAGGCCATACCGCGTCGCCATGGAGACTTGTGTCCGCGATAACATCAATCGCAACGCCGTCGAGAACTCGAGCAAGATCCTCCGATCGATGCTGAAGCGCTTCGATGTCCCCGACCTGCATACCCTCCGTCTCTACCTGCGTGTCGCCCTCGTCAGCCACTATCAATTCCGCGCCATGGCCCAGAAAGGCCAGGAAGTGAGCGCAAAGCGCGCGTACGGCGTCCAGATCAACGGAGCCCTAACCCAGCTCTGGGGGCCGTATAGGAAAGCCTACTACCACTACTTCGAGCACACAAACGCCCCCGACGACGACGACAAGGCCAAGGCCAATTTGTACAACAGCAAGCGCGAGGTCATTGCCCTGGGCCGGCTCATGTTCAGTGCCGCAAACAAGGTCATCAACGAGGGCATGCTTAAGGAGAGCTACCTGGTGCAACTGCGCAAGGAAGGCGCCAGGATCAACCGTGGCATCCAGGCCTTTTACTCTGCCCGCGAAACGGTGGAGCCCAATCTCCGTTCCGCCGGCGAGGAACTCGAAAAGATGGGTTCTAGACTAGGAGGGGACTTTGTCTGGGACACGACAAAGTTTCCACCGCGCGTCCCGTCGAGCAAGGTCCGCGATACCGTGGCAAAACGCTTCCACAGAAGTCCGCTTGACGCCTATATGTGATCGAAGGTGTAAGAAAAGGAAGGATTTACTATGCCAATGTTGATTATAGACGAGTAATCATGAACGGAGACGTTGAACATGATACAAGACATCTGTCGCTATTTGCATCCTCAATGAATGGCGTTGGGGCTTGGGAAATTCGAGCATGGATGGGCGAGCAGATAGATTTGTTTCCATTGCGTCGCCTCCATCAACATGGCAAAGCCGGAGCTAAGCAAAAACCGTACAACCATTTCCGCATTAGACTTGGTTTATCCTGCGCAATAATCATGTTTTGCGATAATAATAACCCGCCATGAAGACCTCTCAAGTTCTGCCAACTACACATGTTGCTCAGGTTCCCTTGCGGCAGTAAGCGACTGACAGAGTATCATGTGCCTGCCACGATGCAATCCTGGCTGGGCATGTCGAGGGCAGAATGAGGTTCAGCGTCTTCAGCATTGGAAGCCAGGGCCGACGTGTCCTCGGAATCGTCAGAGAAGCGACTGCGACAAGTGCCAAACGTCCCAGCCTTAGTCGACGCAGCGTGGAAATCCGCGTTGCCCGCAATGCTCGCCCGAAGATTGCTTGGTGGCGACTCCATGCGCCGAAATTTGCTCACGAGCTCAGAGACCGAAGGGGCTCGTTGCTGGGACGCGGCGGCGGTGTGCTTGTCGTCGTACGTCTTGGGCCTGTGCAAGGGGGCTAGTTCGGCCTCCGAGTAAGCCTCCGAGCTCTCCGTAGTGCTGTTGACTCGCTTCAGCGCGACAACCTCAGCCTCAACTTTGGGCGGGACAATTTTTTGCGGAGAGCCGTTAGTCTTATCGATGCGGGACGCTGGAACCGGCGCTTGGCCGTCCATATCCTGAGGAAACGTGCCGGGGATGGCGTCGACGATGCAAGGGAGAGGAGACGGAGCACCGACGGAGGTCGCGCCGTGGTCCTCGAGTCGGCGCGCAATTCTTCTCAAGTTGGGTGCTGCGTTCTCGTTTGCCCCAGAGCAATCCTTTTCTGAAGTAGCAGACGACAGGCTCGACGATAGCCTTGAGCTAGACGATGTCTTGGAATGGGTGTAGTTACTTTTCTGATAACAATGCGTCTGCTCGCCGACAAATGCTTCCATTGAAGAATCTGTCGGCCTGGATGTTTGGTCAAGTGTTTCAGGGTCATGGTGGTCGGGGAATGGGCTCCCATCGCGGGCTCGACCCGGACGTCTAGCATCGCTGGACAAACGAGGCTGGGCTTGCTTGAGCTCGCTTGCTGCGGGCTGGGAGCGAACTGGCGGGATTTGTACAAGCTTGGGGAGCCGATATCGAGGTTGAAAATTGATTCGAGCATGGTGTGAGATAGAGTGGGTGCTGGTTTCCATATCGTCATCGCTGCTTCCGCCGATTTGGCTGTCCGGAAGACGTGTTGGTGCAGAGTTGCCATACTTGTCGTTGATGTCGTCGACGGCCTTCTCAAGGCAAGCCCGAAAGGTGGAAGACCTATGGAGCCCATCCGTGGGCAGTTCGGACAAAACGTCCAGCTGGGGGGGAGGATCGGCCACATATCTGGAGCTCGACATGAGGAGCTCGGCCGTGCTCGAAGACGGCCTTGATCTGGTGGCACAAGTTGACTCAATCCTGCTGTCACTGTCCGAGAACTTGTCACGAGAGCATCTGGCCCTGGCTGTGTGAAAGGCATCGGTCAGGCTCCTGCGACGCTGGGCAACGAGGTGACCTAGAGCCGATACATGTCAGCCATCGGGTGAGACGAAGAGTAAGGCAAAGGCAACGCACAGGACGTCTGGGCTGGGGAAGCATGATGACCCGAGCTTTCTTGGTTGCAGGGACGCGAGAAATGGTCGGACTCGTCGTCCTTGACATGATGTCCATGCCTTGGGAGGCGGATGGTGGAGAACCAGCGCCGGCCCCGAGGTTTCGCAGAGCCATCTTGGCCACCTCGGCTGGTGCTCGAGGGGACGCGGGATCGCGTCTTCCACAGCCGCTAGCTGGTAACGCGGGCATTGTCAGAGGACATTGGCTCGAGCGGCTTTGGCTTGGCGCGTGCTTTGCCGAACAACATGCTGAGAGCGGGACGGGCTTATGGCGATTCCCAGGAGAGCAGAAGCCAGAGCTCGACGACAGAGGGCGATTGTTTGTCTGAAGTTGAGGCTGAGGCGGAGAAGGAAGAGGAAGGGGAAAGGAGAGGGGGAAAGGGAAGGAAAAGAGAGAGAGAGAGAGAGAGAGAGAGGAAGAGGATCTGAAAGGACTGGATTTACTTTCCTTTCCTACCCAGGCCGGGAATGAAGAAGGAGGAGCAAGTATAGCAATGGCCTTGTCATGATGGTACAGTTACAGTCCTATTATTCCTTGTGGTAGTAGGGAGTACCCAAGTGCCAGGGTACTGTGCGAGTGAGACAGTGCAGGCACTGGCGTGTCACTTCCCTTTCCATCTTGCGACAACAACCTGGACCCTTGTTCAAGCAAACGTCCTTTTGGCCAAAGGCACGGTAGGCAGAGGCAGCAGCCGCGCGAGCATTTATTAGGTAATTAATCGAAGTTGATCGAGCGCAAGGCAGCGCCCCGGCAAAGAAAGGTAGAGCCATGTACTGTACAGCACTGCACAGCACTGTACTCGGTACGGATACGTGCGTGCTACCTACCTTAGGTATCATTGGCCAGATACAGACTTGGTGGGCCTGCAGCCTGGGCCAATCAAGACCTTCCTTCTGAAGTGCCTGGCGAATTGCGCAGCGCGTAAATCGGCAAGCGCGCAACGCAAAGACGCGACGCGACATTAAGAGGTTTCGTGGGGTACCTTTGCGCGACTGACTCCCTGCACGGCCGCCCTCTCTTCCTCCACCACGACTGCTCCTCCTCATACCTGCACACGCGCATGCAGAGCTCTCTTCATGTTCGTGGCTCTCCCATCGTCAGCCCGCCATGTCCAAGATCAACCGCCGGGCCAAGATGGCCGAGCTCCAGGCTCTTCGCCAGTCGGGCAAAAAGACCTTTGACAACTACCGCGTCGACGAGGCGCACAATCTCTACGACGAGGTCGACGAGGACAACTACAAGAAGATTGTCCGCACCCGCCTCAACCAAGACGACTTTGTAGTCGACGACAATGGCGAGGGCTACGCCGACGACGGCCGCGAGGAATGGGATCGAGTCCACCAGTACGACTCGGACAGTGAGGCCGATGACTTGCCCGCACGAGGCAGGCCAAGCAAAGCAGGTACGCCACCCCACAACCCCTGCCAATCGCCTCCGTCACTCTCTCATGCCTTGACCAGCCCAGGAGAGCCGTAAGGAAGAACAGGCCAGGCGTGCTGCCAATGACCGCAACATCAGCGAGTACTTCACAAAGGGTGCTGCCAAGTCCCAGCCAAAGCCCAAGGTGAGTCGATGCATCTTGATCGAGCAAGCAGCTAGCCAGCTAACACCTAGGCTTAGGTCGTCAAGACAAAGGCCGAGTCCGACTTTATGGCGGGCCTCCTCGACGAGGTTGACTGCAACCCTCATTCCCCCGCTCCGGCCCCGAAACGATCCAAGCCCGAGGGGCCTGGCCAGCCGCGCAAGTCGAGAGCCCTGTCGCCTGCCCCGGAGCCCATGCACAAGAGGCAAAAGCGCGTCGACACTCGCTCTTCGTCCCCGCCAGCCCCCTCCAATCGGGACAGCGACGACGGCTTCTTGCAGCCCATGGTCGACGACGAGCCCTTGTGCACCAATGATGCCTTCATGAGCGACCCCGCACCATCATCTCCTGCGGCCAAGGTCGCCCAACGAAAAGCTCAAATGAAGCAGGAGTCGCAGAAGCCGCAGGAACCGCAGGACGACGACGACGACGACATGATGGAAATCGCTCACGCTGGCACGGCCAAGACCTCGAGTGTCAACATAGCCGGATCTCGGCCCGTCCAAAAAGTGGCGAAGCCCGATCCATATCCCTCACCAGCCAGCTCGTCACCTCCAAAGCCTGCCCCGGAAAATGCCATTGACCCGGCATCTTGGAACGACCTCACCGAAAGGCTCAACGTTGTAAGCAGCCCTCTTGCGGAATCCAGGGGAATCGGCAAGATGGACCCCAAGGACGCTGTCGAGGCCGACGGCAGCCTCAACTTTTTCTGGACAGACTATGTCGAGATCAACGGGAGCCTCTGTCTGTTCGGCAAAGTCTTGGACAAGAAGCTCAAGTCTTACGTCAGTTGCTTTGTCAAGGTTGACAATATCCTCAGGAAGCTCTACTTCCTGCCCCGCCCACGACGCGTTCACGACGGCGAGGAATCCGGCGAGGAAGTAGAAATGACAGATGTGTACGGCGAAGTGGACGACATGATGACCAAGATGAATGTTGGCATCTACAAGATCAAGAAATGCTTCCGCAAGTATGCTTTCGAGCTTCCAGACGTACCTCAGGAGGCCGAGTACCTAAAGCTTCTCTACCCGTACACAAGTCAGTTCGAGCCTGCCTTGCCCTGCGACTCCTCCCGATCCGAGATGCTGACCGCGTCGTAGAACCGCAAATTGACATGAATGCCAAGGGCGAAACGTTTTCTCACGTCTTCGGCACCAACACTGCTCTCTTCGAGCAATTTGTCCTGTGGAAAAACATCATGGGCCCCTGCTGGCTCAAGATTCAAGACGCCGACTTTGGCGCAATCAAGAACGCCTCACATTGCAAGCTCGAGGTCCTTGCCGAGCACCCCGATATGGTTTCGACGGCGAGCGAGACTGACAACCTCGACTGTCCCCCCCTGACTCTGATGAGCGTTGCGCTCAGAACCGCCTTCAATGCACAAGAGAACAAGCAGGAAATTGTCGCCATCAGCGCAAGAATATACGACAAGGTACAGCTCAGTGACACAACACCGGTGGAAGAGATGGCGTGCCGGACTTTCACTGTTATCCGCCCGCACGGCCAGGGCTTTCCGTTGGGTTTCGAGCAACTAGCTATGAAGAGAAAGAGAGGCCTCATCGCTTTGAAGAAGCAGGAGTCTGACCTTCTGAGCTTCTTCTTGGCTCAGATAGACGTGGCTGATCCCGACGTCATCCTTGGGCACCAACTCGAGGGCGTGGACTACAGCATCTTGCTGAATCGCCTGTACGAGAAGAAGACTCACCAGTGGTCCAGGCTCGGGCGGTTCCGGCGCACGCAGTGGCCGCCATCTCTCGGCAAGGCGGGTAGCAATGTCTTTGCCGAGCGCCAGGTCATGGCTGGCCGACTGCTATGCGACATCGCAAACGACGCTGGAAAGTCGGCAATGTACAAGTGCCAATCTTGGAGCCTGACCGAGATGTGCAGTCTCTATCTTTCAGGAGATAACCGCCGGCGAGACATCGACAACGACGTTGCGCTGAACACGTGGGCCAAGCAGAAGCAGGGCCTGATGGACTACATCGCCCACGTGGAAGCCGACACTCATTACATTACCGCGCTGGCCCTCGGTGTTCAGCTGCTCTCGCTCACCAAGGTCCTCACTAACCTGGCTGGAAACTCTTGGGCCCGCACCCTAACTGGTACCCGCGCCGAACGAAACGAGTTCATTCTCCTGCACGAGTTTCACCGCAGCAAGTACATATGCCCTGACAAGCAAACCTTTCGCGGCCGCCAGAAGCCCGAAGATGAGAAGCAAGAAGAAGAGGGAGTGGAGGGGAAGAAGAAGGACAAGTACAAGGGTGGTCTTGTCTTCGAGCCTCAAAAGGGCCTCTACGACAAGTTTGTCCTCGTCATGGACTTCAACTCTCTGTATCCGTCCATTATCCAAGAGTTCAACATCTGCTTCACGACTGTCGACAGAACTGCATCGGTAGGGTCTTGTCCATCCCACTTTTTGCGACAAATACTGACGTAGTCTAGACCGAGGACGAAGACGCTGTTCCGATGGCGCGGACGAGCCAAGATCAGGGAATCCTGCCCAAGCTCATCGCTACTCTTGTCAGCCGCCGTCGCCAAGTAAAGTCCCTCATGAAAGACAGGACCGCCACTCCAGAGAAGCTTGCAACCTGGGACATCAAGCAGCTGGCCTTGAAGCTTACCGCCAACTCCATGTACGGCTGCCTGGGATACACCAAGTCCCGGTTTTACGCTCGGCAATTGGCCGTCTTGACCACCTACAAGGGTCGCGAAATCCTCTGCAGTACCAAGGAGCTTGCTGAGAGCAAGTCCCTCCAAGTCATCTACGGTGACACCGACTCTGTCATGATCAACGCCAACGTAAACACCGTGGCCGACGCTCTCAAAGTCGGCAATGAGTTCAAAAAGGCAGTCAACGACCAGTATAAGCTACTGGAGATTGACATCGATGCCGTCTTTCGACGCATCTTGCTGCAAGCCAAGAAGAAGTATGCCGCCATCAGTCTTGTTCAGAAAGACGGCAAGTTCATCGAGAACATGGAGGTCAAGGGCCTGGATATGAGACGACGAGAGTACTGTGCACTATCCAAGGAGATTTCCAAGCATCTGCTCGACGAAATCCTGTCCGGAGAGGAGACCGAGGTAGCGATTGCGCGCATTCACGAATATCTTCGCGAAACTGCCGGCAAGATGCGCGAGCAGACGATCCCCACTGCCAAGTACATCATCTATACGCAGCTCGGCAAGGGGCCAAAGGAATATCCTAACGCCGACTCGATGCCTCAGGTCCAAGTCGCGCTGCGCGACATCGCCCGGGGCAAGACGGTCCGCAAAGGCGATGTCATCTCCTACATCATCACTGGCGACAACAAGAGTTCCGAGCCCGCGCCAAAGAGAGCCTACGCTCCGTCGGACCTCAAGACCGACGCCAGCCTGCAGCCGGATGTCGAATGGTACATTGGGAAACAAATATTTCCCCCTGTCGAGCGTCTTTGTGCCAACATTGCCGGCACGTCCACGTCACAGCTCGCTGAGCAGCTAGGACTGTCCATCCGGCGGCACACCTCGCACCAGACACAGCAGGATGGCTCGAGCAACGACATGGAGATCCACCCACTCGAATCTCAGATCCCAGACGATGTTCGCTTCAGCGACTGCGCCAGGCTCTTCCTGCAGTGTCGAAAGTGCAAGGCCAGTTCAACGTTTGAGGGCCTCGCCGCCTCGCCCGACCGCGTCTCTGCCTCGGGCGTTCTGTGCGCCGGCTGCAGGACCGTCATCCCTTCCCTGTCCGTCGTGGCCCAAGTCGAGCACGCGATCCGCACCCAAACAGCCCTCTACTATGAAGGCTGGCTCATCTGCGACGACGCGCAGTGTGGCAACCGAACCCGCCAAATGAGTGTCTATGGCACCCGCTGTCTCGGTCCCAAGGGCCTCGCGCGTGACTGTCTGGGGCGCATGCGCTACGAGTACACCGAAAAGGCCATCTACAACCAGCTCCTCTACTTCGCCAGCCTTTGGGATGTCGACAAGGCGCGCAGCAGGGCCGACAACGCCGACGGCGAATTGTCGAGGGAACATCGCGAGAAGATCCTGGCGCTGGCGGAGCATAATCGCGTTCGCTTCGGGACTGCCAAGGGCGTTGTCGACAAGTATTTGGACAAATGCGGGAGGCAGTGGGTGGCCATGGATACGCTGTTTGCGAAGCTCGGGTTCAACAAGATGTTTGCTGCCAGTTGAAGCGTTTGTCGTTCTGAATAATGCCGAGGGGGGCTGGATCAAGGCGCAACCCGGCGTTTGTTTGCCTGTTGGCCGTTGATTAGGTTTTGCATGGCGTTGCATATGTACATGTCTTCTTCGCGCGTCCTTACTTGCACCCAAACCCAGGAAATGTGTGGACGGGCGAGGGCCGATGAGGCAAGCGATGGGTTAGTTGAGTCTATAATGCTTATTTACGGCAGAATCTGCTCTTCCTCTCGCGATATGTCCACAAGCACGGTCCGTTTGCGAGGGTCCACGTCCCATGATAGGGCGTGTGCTTTATGCATAAAAAGACGCACGTCCATCTGCCCGTGGGACAAGGCGTGTCGATATTGCAGCATCGCCGCCGTCTTGCGCCGGGAAGGGAATTCGACAAGCACGTACTTGCGCCGACTGATTTCAACGGGCCCCATGACCATTGTTCCCTTGAAGTATTAAGATGATGTACAACAAGAACAGCAAACACCTCGTCTGCGCAAAATCGGCCCTCACTCATGACCCAATTCACACAAGCCAGCAGCCGAGACGGGGGCACAGAAGCACCGTGGGCGAGCGAGCCGTCCTCCCCTTTTTCTTAACGTCCTGCTTCAAAGACACCTCCTGGGAAGGGGCATCGAGAGCGGACGAGCCACGACTCTAACCATCAGTGTCATATTGCTCGATGTGATCGACTCCCGGGGGAGAATCGTCCACCTCAGAACCACCCCCTCTGTCTCCTTCGACTTTTCCCCGCAACTTCTCCAATTTCTCGTCTCCTCCCTCCTCCCTCCTCCCTCCACTCCTCGTGGGCCCTCCCGGCAACCTCTGGAATCTCGACAGGGCAAAATACGGCACCTCTCCTCCTCAACAGTCTCGCTTCCGGCCCATCGCGGGTTGGCGGGAGAAATAGGGGGCCATGACCAGTCGTGGTCCCTCCATCACATCGACCAGAGGAGAATGCAGCATCGTGCCAAGGGATGCATCAATAGCCGAATGAATAAATGAACACACTGGAGAAAGAGATCCCTGATCCGAGAGTTTTCCCATCTGACGAGAGGCCGTCTCTCCCTGTTTGCCTCATCAAACTAATCTATCGGCGAGGTATCGTCGGGTCAAAATGCGTGTGCAACTTTTCTGGGATACGTCGCACGAAGCCTGTAAAAGCAAGCAAAGGAAATGAAAACACTGCCCCACCGAGTCTATCATCCGGAATGCAAGACGCTGAAAATTAAAGGTGGCTCACTCGCCTCCCTTCTTGTCGCCATCGGGCACAACCTTGGACATAGAGGGAGAGGGTCCGGCAGACGGGGGGGAGGCTGGATGCTCCGTTTCCATGTTCGCCAGCAAACTGTCGAGGTGGATTAGCGACGTGGTGCGGCTAGACCGTTTCCCAACGTCGAGGCAACTTACCTAAATGCGTTCGAGTTTGTGTTGCTATCTCGAGTCGGCGGCGTGCCAGTGCGAGAAGAGAGGCCAGAGTCTTCGCCGGGGCGCCCCAGGGATCCTCCAGGCCCAAGACGCCGTCCGCTATTGCTGCGAGACGAGAACATCGACGTGGGGCCGAGGGTGACATTCTGGCTCGACGTCCTGCTCGCAGAGCCCTTCAGGCGCCTCAGATCGTCTGCGCCAACGTGGTTACTCGTCTGCTGGGCGTAGCCGGCCGAGAAGTTGCGAGCGTCTCCTCGTCCGACCTGCGGTCGACCGCCGCCGCCTCTCTGGCTGTTCCTCGCGGCCTCTTGAGCCTTGGCTGCCTGAGCCGCTTCGGCCTGCAGGAAAACAAGTCAGAACACGGAAACAGTCGGGGCTGTCGTAGTTGCTTACCTCTGCGCGGACTTCGTCCAAAGTCTTGGGCCCCTTGTTCGCCTCCTTGGAGACCCAGTTTCCTCTCCGCAGATCCAATACATCCATGAGCATAAACTGCATTCGGCTTTGCAGTTCGGGGAGGTCAGCCATGTTTTGGATCCGCTGGAAGTAGGCGTCCATCATCGGGCGACCCTTCTCGGTTTGGTCAAGATTGGCCCCGATCGTCCTGAGAAGCTTGCAGAGCGACTCAATCTCGGCCTCGTCGGGAATACCCTTGTAGTCGACGAGCTTGTGCACACACTCGTGCATGATGCGCTCCGTGAGCATGCCGAGCTTGTACAGCTCACCAATGAATTGGACAAGACCGAGTCCTCGCCGCTTCGCAGCCGCAGCCGCGTAGTACTCGTCGGACAGCATGACCGCCTCGCCGGGCTTCTTGTCGGCACTCTCCTCGGCCTCCTTGGGATCGGGTAGATTGGTGGTCCAACCACGCTCAAACTCCTCCTGACATCTGTTGAGGAGATACTTGCGGAACAGATTGCCACCGCTGACGACGTTTCCGGTCTTGTCCTTGATGCGCTCGTCGCGGACATCGGGACTCATCGTCTCCAGCATGCGCTTGCAGAACTTGGCATACATGGAAGCCCAGTGGGCCTCGTCAGTTGCCTTCTCAAAGGTGAGCTGAATAACCTGGCGCAGTGTCCGGCCGTCGGATTCGTCCTTGGACTGCGATGCAATCTCGAGGATCTGGTCCGCAATCCGGTCAAACTTCTCGGGTGTCATCTTGTTCAGTGCGGCCTTGACCTTTCTCTGAACCATTTCAGGATCAAGGTAGCCAGTGGCAGTAGCGCCGGGCTGCGCGCCTCTGCCGACACTGATTGGCTTCCAGCCACCAGAAGATACCGCGATGGGCTTGATTTCTTGGCCAGCGGTCAGAGGCATGGTTTTAGCAGCCTGCGCTTCTTTGGGGCCGCCGCCGAAGTCGTTGCGTCGACTTCCCCGAGTAGAGCGATTAGACTGGCGAGGAGAGTTGGGCATGTTGCGCATGTTGGACTGCGACGAAGTACGCGACATGGGCGTTGATGAAGGGAAGGGGGCACCCGGGCGCTGAAAGGAGCCAATTGAGTTAACCGAAGGTCGCGGCATGGTGCCGCTAGCCATTGCCATGCGCTCCATCGACGTCGTCCCAGGCGGAAGAGTTCGTCCAGGTGGCGCGTTGAAAGCGCCCATGGCAAAGCCGGAGCTACCACCGCGAGAGCCCTGCCTGGCCGAGCCTGGGGTCTGGGCACGGGCGGAGCGGCTGCCATCCCCGTCGCCGATCAGAGACTTGACCTGCTGGTGGAACTCGAGCGATGGCTGTTCGGTGAAAAGCTTCTGGAACTGGAGCAGGAAGTTGGCGTCGTACTTGAAGGTCTTGCCCTTCTTGGTGACGGCGGCGTTCAGGGCCGGGTTGGGAGAGTGAATGCCCGCGGGATAGATGTCCTGGTCCATGACCTGAAGGAAACGCGCCGACTTGAGTGACTGAAGTGCCGCGCTTGGCTGTGCGGGCTCAACAGGCTTCGTGATGAGCGGCGCGAGGTTCAGAGCAGCTGGCTTCGAACCGCGCTTCTCCGCCGTGGTGGGTTTTTGACCGCCAACATCCGCGGGCGACGGCTGCTTCTCGCCGCCCTCAATCTTCAGGTCGGCCAGCTTGTCCGCGACAGCTTCCAAGCCCGGCTCAGGCGCCTTGTTGGATCGCAGTTGAGCGAGAGCGTCGGCGACAGACAGAACCTTCCCGGACGCCTCGGCGTCCTTCTGCCTCTTCTCCTTTTCCTCTTCCAGGCGCTCCATTTCACGCTCCTGCTCTCGAAGCTTGCGGTCATCATCTGCGGCCTTGGTCTTGCGGTCTTCCTCTTCCTTCTTCTTGGCGGCAGCCTTCTCGAGCTCTCGTCGCTGGCGATGCTCCTCTTCTTGCTTTTCACGCCTGGCATCAGCCTCTTCCATTTCGCGGATGGCTCGCTCCATCTCGTCCTCTTCAGGCTCATCACTCTTGGAGGCCTCGGCAGACTCGACTTCCTTCTCCGTCTTGGTCTCATCGGGTTTGACGCTAGCCGCAGCACTGTCTACCGTAGGCTCGGGTGCGGCAGCGGGTTCGTCCCCATCAGAGTTGGGCTTGGCGCCGGATGCTGCCGCGTCACCAGTCGACAGTTGCTCCTTGGAAGGCGCGGGCTTTTCCTCCTTCGGTTTGTCTTCGGCAGAGGCCTGGTTTGCCTGAGTTGCCTGCTTGATCTTCTCCTTGAGCTCGTCCTGGATCTCCTTGGCAGTCTTTGGCGTCGCCTGGCTTTCCGTTCGCACATGGGCCGGAGTCGAAGGCTTGGGGGGGGGCGTGGGAGTAGAAGACACGACGGGAGGCGTCTTGGACTGCTGGACGCTAGGCGCGGGGGAAGCGGGCTGCTTGAACGACGAGGTGTCGACAACCTCGCCGGCCGCGTTCTTGATTTGAATCGCGGCACTTTTCCTGCCAGGCTTGATGAAGTTCTTGGCTGCCGGGTTGGGCTGCGCACTCTGAGGCTGGGGGGTGGAGGAGACGATGACAGGCTGGCTCTGATGGTTGGCGCTCGAAGGCCGCTCCGGCTGGGAAGGGCTCCGGGACATGCTGTGACCTTGCTGGTGGTAGGGAGGCGGGGCATATTGCTGACCGTAGCCTGTGGTGTTAGCCTGCGAGGGGCCCATGTAGGGCATGTTGTTGTAGCCATAGGGCATGGGCATGGGGCGGCCGAATTGGTCCATCTGCTGCGGGGGATACCCAAAGTTCTGATTTCTCATAGTCAGCCATAGTTCGAACCCTCCGTTTTCCGGAGACAGGTCAAGAGAAGTAGGGGTCTGTCTGGGTGGAGCGAGGACGGGGTAAGGATCCTGCGGCAACAAGGGCCTCGAGGAGCCGTTAGAACCGGCACGCCTGCTGTCCATGTCATGCTCACGCCACGTCTGATCCGCACGTTCTAAGCAACGGCGTGAGAGGTGGCGGAAGTCGCTGCCATGTAGCTCGCGCGCAGATTCCGACGGGCGTCTCGACTGGACAGGCCTGTCGTGCTCGCGACGTCCCTTGCTCTTCTTATGGGGTCTAACGGGCATTTTGCTGAAGGAGGCGACGGGGAAGGGGGGATGTACTTGATGTTGAGGAGCCATGGGCGGCGGGTAGTGGTATTGCGGCGGCGTCTGCATGGCCATGTTGGGCTGCATGTTTGCCTGAGCCATGTTGGGTGTGTTTGGCATCGACGGGACGAGGGCGGGGCTTCGGCTCGGCTGCGGAGAGTTGGGGTAGGGCATGCTTCGAGGCTGAGGCTGGAACGACGGGGGCATGCCGCGTCCCTGGCCAGGGCCGTTTCGAAACTGGTTGTTCGGGGGGTATCCCATCTGGTTGCTGTACGAATTTCCGTGCGGGTTGAAGCCGCCACGACCACGGCCGCCCTGGGGAGGATAGTTGCCTCTGTTGGGGGCACCAGGGTTGTCGCTCTGGACCGAGTGGCCGGATTCGCGTCGAAAGTGGGCGCCGGGCTGTGACGCCGCGACATTGGGATTCGAAGGAATCGAGCCCTGCCTCATGTGGCGCTGTAGGCAGCAACAGGTAAGCGCTTGTCACAGAGGAGGGAGACGCGGGGAGTCGGGGGTGGAAAGCTAGATTTTGCCTTCAAGGCGGACAGGAAACTTACCTCGCCATCGCTACTCAAGCTTCCGAAGGTCATCTGGCCCGTGGGCTGCTGGAGGCCTGATGGAGGGCGGCCACCACTGGCCGAGGGCTGCGGGATGGGAGAGGGGGAATGCGCGGGAGAGGTGACGCGCGGGTTACCGCCCGGGATGGGAATGGGGACAGAGCCGGCGACGTGGGGCGAGCTGTGGGCCATGGCGGGCGAGTCAAAGCCGAACTGGATGCCAGCCTTGGAGCCGCCGACGGGACCGCCATTGGCAGCAAAGCTGTTGGGGCCGCTGGCGACCATGGTGACGGAGCTCTTTCTGGTGTGGTCCGAGGCGGACCCGTTGCTGCCGCGGGCGACGGCAGGGACTGCGGGAGTGACGGCTGGCTTGCCGTTCACAGGAGATGGCGAAGCGCCTTTGGCATTCTGCGAAGGAGGAGCAGAAGCACCGCCAGCCACGACGGGGGGCTGGGAGTTGATTGCGACTAGGGGCGCCTGGGCGGGCTTCTTTGGCGCACCTGCAGCGGAGGCATAAGAAGCAGCCGTGGTCGCGGAGGTGGTGGTCGCCGGGATGGGGTGCTGCCGGTTCGCAGGCGACGTCATATGGAGGTAAGCGTTCGCGATGGTAATGGGCGGCGGCGGCGATGAGGCGAAAGGCGACGGGCGGGCGAGGATGGCGGTTGGGTCGACGAGTATGGCCGACCAAGGGGGAGGGGGGGTTATCGCTTCTTTGGAGGCGAAAAAAAAAGGACAGCCAGCAATGATGCTGTCTCACACTCTCTTTATCTCCTTTTCTTCTTCGCTTGAGAGACGCGACAACAGAGACGTCTTGTCGATGATGGCTCGTCCGATTTAAGATGCGGGCTGGCCAAAGGAACGACGTTGCTGGGAAGGAGAGGCCGGTCGAGGGCAAGCGATCGGTCGGTGGGTGAGGGTGCCAAAGACGAGCACGAAGCGTCCGATGCGACACAGGGCCCGAAGAGAAGACGGGCTTGACGAGGAAAAGTCTTCTGAAGCTGATGTGCAACAGAAGAAAAATCCAATGCCGATGAGAGGGGAGAAGGGGCCTGGTGAAGGGGCAAAGAAAAAACCACCGGACCAGTGGCGCTGACTTTTTTGAGGTTGGTTGGTGAGGGTTTGGGAGGAAGTGAGCAGGAAAATTTTGGGCAGCAGAATTAATACCACCATGGGCGGGTGGGCGAAGGGGAAGGGCCGGGGGGCGCGGCCTGGGGGCGCATGGGATGGATGGATGGGCCAGCGAGGAGGTACTGGGCACCTTTTCCGCACGCAGATTTCTTGGATTTCCTGTGTACTGGATACAACGAAGCGAGAAAGGGATATCAGAGGTACTTCTGGGTACATGTGGCGCTGGCAAGGCAGTGTCGCCGAGCAGGATCTTACTGATCCAAGGATACCTTTTCCTCATCAGGTTCCTTTTTGTCCATCTACCAGCCCGGGACTGGTGTGGCGGTACTTGGGGCTACTTACCTAGTGCGAAAGCTTGGTTTAGTGGCTGCAGGTACCTTGCTAGATAGCGCTCCAAGTTCCCCAGGCAGTCTGAGAATTAAATAAAACAAAACTGGCCAAAGACGAGGACGTTGAAGACGATTGCCTGGTCGCCTGGTCCGCAAGGACGAAAGCAAAGACGAAGGCAAAGGCGGCAGGGCAGCTACCTAGTCGGTGCAGAACCACATGTTACAGGAGGATATGATGACCTTGCGAGTGCGCAGAGCGTGGCGCGTACTGTAGATTCTAGGTACCCCCTACCTGAGCAAGGTACCTGGGGATAGCTGAGCTCTCTGTCGCGCTTGGCACGGCTCGCTTCGGAGAGGCTCGGCCATGAAACACACAGTCGGAACAAACGCCTTGGAGAAAGGAACAATGTGCTTTGATTGCGCTTGCGGTTTGCGTGCGCGCCCGATGATGGGAAAAAACCCTTTACTGAGCACCGACGCTGATAAATCTGCCACAGCATCAGGGCTGCAAAGGCTGCCTCGATTTTGGTGTGGCTTTTTTGCTGAACAAAGTCTGGAGTGACGCATGGGCAGCCGGTGGACTCTGATCAACTCAAAAGGCACCGGCCGTCACACGCTGTTCAGGCCCGGTGACGGACCCGTCGCCTCAAGGTTTTCCTTGTCAAAAATGGCAAAACGCCGTCTTTGTACGTACTGGAGGTAGGCCCGCTGGCATGTCCTGCCTGTACAGCAGGCCAAGCAAGCCGGGCAAGCCTGCAAGCCTATTTTGGGGTTCAGCATGCAGGCTGTCTAGACACTGTGCAGCGGGTTGCCCAGCAGCATCCGCCAAAGTCAAAGGCCACTCACTCACTGATTCCAGAGGGCCATTCATCGCCGTTTCCTAGTGCACCACCGTCCAGCTCCCGCCTCCCTTGCCTCCTCTACTCCCTCCGTACTGTAGCTGTGGCATCCAATGTTCCCCCTTTTCCGTTTCTTTTTCTTTTCAGACGTTTTCCTTTTCCATGTGCACGGATGACTTGGCTCTCTCGGCGGAAACAGTAGAGGAGAGTCTGTGGGAAAAGGGGTGGCTTCAGGCAGGCAGTCAAAAATGAAAAATAACCCAATTTTTTAAAAAACTGGTTTCCAGACAAACACCGCCATTCATCTCGACCTCGTCCTTCTTTTGTTGCCAAGGGAGGCGCGCGCTATTCAAGGTGGCCCACGTGCTACTACTATTATTATTGTTGTTGTTATGCCTCTCCCGAGGGTCGCCTCCCCCGAGGGTCGCCTCTCCCGAGGGTCGCCTCTCCCGAGGGTCTCTCCCGAGGGTGAATGAATGAATGACATGTCTCGTCAATCAGATCAAACGAGGCGAAATGGGGTTCGGCTGACGGGCCAGCCCGTGCAGGCACACCTCTTCTCCCCCCCACTCTACCCATCCCACCACCCCTTGGAGAGAGTGAGAGAGAGAGAGAGGGAAACACCTGCTGTTCGTCCCAAGTGCCGTTGTCGTCATGCGTCGTCCCCGTGCATCAACCGTACCTACGTACAGTGTATACCGCTCTACCGGTATTTCTATCCACGTGAGTCTTCGTACCCACGTAACTACAAAGTACCGCTAGGGTTCTTACGCGGTGCACACTTCTTCAGAATACCCTACAGTCACCGAGCGACAGGGATGCGCCCGAACACCATCCATTCCATTGGCGCCCATCATGCCCATTCCATCGCTCTTGTTTGCAGATGCAGCCCTGTACTGTAGATCGCCAGGCCTTCCGCTCCTCCTCGGCCTCATTGGCCCCTCTGCCCCCATAACCGGGGGGAACAATGAGTCAATCGTCACACGCAAAATACTCATTAGTCCTTCACGCCTACATCCGCCCCCCCTCGCGCACATCCAGAATGTCTGGCTCCAACACCCCCTCATCTTCATCGTAGTCCGCAGCCTGCCCCTCCGCAGCCTCTTCATCCACCGCGCCGCTGGTTTCCATGGCTGAAAGGCCCTCTTCTCCCTGCAGTTGCTTCATCTTGGTCTGCGTCATCTCAAACACATACTGCCCGAGGTGCTCCACGCTCTCCATGGCAACCTCGCCATCCACGCTCGAGTCCTCCTCGCTGTTGAGTCGCTCCGTCGGCCACAACTCCCTCGTCACCAACATCAGCTTGTCTGGTCTCGCGAGCAGCATGTCAAACGCGGGCCGCAGCTCGGGGCATGCCTCAAACACCTCGCGCCGACCCAGCACGTACAGTCCCAGCCTGGCCCGCGACATGGCCACCGTCATGCGTCGCACATCGCGCAGATAGCCCACTCGCGAGGTGCGGGTAAGCGATAGGATGATGTCTGCAAGCAAATCGCACGTTAGCCAACGTCCATGCATCGCCAACAAGGGATAACGGGGACCACTGCCTACAATCGTTCTGCTCGCCCTGGTACTTGTCTACCGTGGCGACGGCCTTGGGCAGCCCGAAAATTGGGTTTCCGGCGCAGCGGTGGGACAGCACATCCTTCACCAGGGCCCTTTGCCCGGCATAGGTGGTGAGGATGCTAATCTTGTTGGCCGGATACCCCAGCAGTCTCATGTACTGATAGAGCGCGACGGCGTATTCTGCCTCGCCCAAGTTCTGGATGAAGTGCGGCGTCGGCTCCGCCTCGCCCTGTCCCTTGTAGGGGGGCACATTGATGAACTGATAATCAAACTTGAAGCCGGCATTCGCCTTCTGGAACTCGGCCTGACTTTGCACATCGGCAAGGTTGTCTAACCTCGAGTATCGCCATGCATAGAGCTTTGCAATGGATGACCGAGCTCGCCCTTGCTGATCCAGCGTAATCGTCGGAACCCCCAGGCGGACCAGACGGGAGAACAACGACTGCTCCAAGTTGGCATAGTGTCGGAATGCCAAACTCTGGATAACGGGCGAGTTCTGGAAATGATCACCGCACAGGACCACTCTCTGGAGCCGCATCTGACCATTGACCGGTTTTTGCATGGCAAGAGGCATAAACGTCTCCACCTCGGTGATCTGGGCTGCCTCCTCCATGATAACATTGTCGTAGTGGAAGCCCAACGAAGTGATGTCGGTCCTTCTGATGGCAGCATGAGTCGTCGTCATGGCAATGATCCGAGCCTCGTTGGTGAGCAGATAGTTTGCCTTGTCGCGCTCGCGCCGGAGAATCTCAAAGGGAAGTATGTCGGCCAGCTCCGAAAAGATCCTGGAGATGTGACGATGACACCCTTGCGCAATGTCTAGCACCTGCGCCCGGTCGGCCTCTGGCGGGAAAAGGGGCTGAGGAGCGTCGGCAAAATATCCGTGGAAAGGAAATTCTCGTACAAGGTCCGGCGTGCTCAGCTCGCCCGACGCTACAGCCTGCGAGAACCTCATCCATACTGGCTCCACATACACCTTGTTGAAATAGCCTGCTGTCTCGGCCGAGTTGTCATGGGCACCCGGGGCGCCGAGGCTCACGGCCAGCTTCTTCACTTCTTGCAGGAGCCGTTGTCGGTTGTTCAAGAAGGACTCGACTCGGCCGTGGTTGCCAAAACTCCCTTCCGTGTCTAGATCTTCCTCTCCATGCCCCAGGCGAAGCAAATGCCTCTCGTCGATGTCCAAAGCAACAATCTTTGCAAACAGCTGGTTCAGGGCCTGGTTGCTATGAGCTATGAGCAAAGTCTTCTGCTCTGGGAAATTGTGGTAGATGTTGTTGATGATTTGCGTGGCGACGTCAGTCTTTCCCGTTCCAGGCGGGCCAACAATGACGGTCAAGCCCGGTTGAGAACCGGACATGATCGCCTCTATCTGCGCAGGTGTGAATCGCACGGTGTTGGTTCGCGGCACATCGGTAGGATATGGTCCGTTGTTTGGAGGCGTGTATGTGGAAACTTTTAAACTCTCCACCTCGGTCTTCAAAGGGGGTTCAACATCGCGTCGACGTTTCTTGGATGGCTTTGCGGTCTGAGGCTCCCCCGACTCGACGGCTTCCTCCAGGACATAAGGTGGACCGAAGCTCCCCTCAACGTTGTCACCGGGCTCGATGGTCTTGCCAGGTAAACTTTCAACAAGGTGTTGCCAGTTGAGAAATGTGTCACGGTAGTCGAGCCTTTCGATCCGGTTGCCGAGATTTTTGTAAGTCGCTCCCGCCGGGTCCCCGTACCCAAGGAACACCTCGTGGAGCCACATTGGCAGAGGCGTTTCCGACAAGACGAGATTGCGGATCGATTCCAAGACGGGCTTGAAGTTGTTCTCTCTTCGGTTCCGCCTGAGGAGCAGATTCATGCGCCCATACACGTCCGGCTTGCCCGCTGCTGCACGCTCAGCGTCCTTGGCGTATGCTTGTGCATCGAGCTTGAGCTGGATACGCCGCTTATTGTCCAGATTTCCGCCACCATCCCTAGCATGGCGGCCCTTTTCGTCCGTTATCTGCATTATTTCTGCAGTCCGCACAGAAAGCACTCCGAGCTTCGTGTTTTCCGACTCGGGATCGTCATCATTCGTCGCCGACGGTCCAGCAGAGGGCTCGACGGCAAGCAAGAACACAACGTCGTCGGGCCGCAAACAGTCCCACTCTCGTCGCACGTTTCCTCCCATCCGCTGCACGTCGATGGAAACCTCAGCCTTGACCAGGGACGGCTGATCATCACCAACGAGCGGAGGAACAGCTTCGAGCACGCTGCGCGGCGTCGTTAGCATTTCACGCTCGAAACAAGCACTTGGAATGGGTTACCCACGCTGGCTTAGAAATCGGAATGGCCATTTTCGAGAAGCCCGTAAAGTGAGTTTCTCCTGACTCTCTGAATTCTGGGCGCAGACGGCGCAGGGCCGTCTCAATGTCCTTGCGAATTCCATAGAATGACTCGCAGCGAAAAAGAATCAAGGCTCTCCACAAGAAGTCGCCGGCGGATAAGTACTGCAAGTTCAACTTTGGGAGGGCGAGGGGCCGCGATCCGTCGTATTCATCAGCCCGCCGGAAGCCTCTGTCAAACAGCGTCTGCTCTGTTGGCATGACTGTCATAGCCTGGGCGAGGTCTTGGAAGGTTTTGCAGCGCTCAAATCTGCTGATGACCAGCTCAATCAAGAGCTTTCGGTCAACAGGCAGCTTCAGGCTTTCAGGATAGCTTGACCGCATGCCCAGCAAGGACACGAGACGAGCTATGTCGTCATCTGCCAAGGGCTCCAGTAGCGACTGAAGCTCATCCCTTTTGTCGATGGCGCCGTAGTTTGACAGGGCCAGAACGGTGAGCTGATCTTTGAAGTGTTTCAAGGCCACTCGTTGCAACTTGCTCAATGAGGCGCAGTGCATGTCGTAGGCTTCGGTGCGGGTGAGCTGGATGCCCGATTGGTCGTTAATCGTGAAATGGGTGTAGTGGGAGAGAAGGCCATGGAGCTCCCGCAAGAGCGCGTTAGACTCGTCATTGTAGAGGGGCGACAGCTTCATGACAGGGAGGAGGTGCAAATCTTGTAGCAGAGCATTGACGTAGCGCCTCGTTGGCAGCTGGCTCTGCAAATCCGATATGAACTCGGTAAATCGTTCGCAGTAGAGAGTTCCATCTGGCAAAGGGTTAGAAGACGGACTGGGGCGGACAGGCAGTTGCCATGACTTGCCTGATCGACGGTCACTGTCGTAGAGAACACTCATGAAGTCGAGGAGAAGGGAATAGAGCCAGGAACGCTCAAAACGCAGCCGCGCCTTGGTCGCCTCGTCTGCGGCCTCGTAGCGCTTCAGGGAAGCTCTCCAGGCTTTCCTCAGGTGCGGGGCCTGGTCGAGAAGCGTCTCCCTCTGCTTTTCGCTCGAGGTATTTTGCCAGATCCCGATGGAAACCAGGGGGGCGCATTCTTTTCTGACAATGGCACAGTCGAGGCTTTGAAAGGCATGAATGAGGAAGCAAACGAGGTGGGTTCGAACGGCCGAGGACAGGGTACGGTCCAGCATCAAGGAGAGGATGCGGCGAAACATGGCGGAGAAGTCGTCGGGTCTGTCCTCGAATACATCTTGAGCCAGTCAGTGGCTGGTCCCAGCCAAAAGGGGGTTCATACTCACTCCATGTTTCCAAGTGCTCCCGCCTCTTGACGTTTGCTATCAAGGCCATCAACAGGACATGGTAGTTTGATGAATCGCCAGTGTAACCGGGCCATAGATAGCTGATGCAGTCGGGTCAGCAATAGTCGGCGATGATGGAGAGGGGGAGCTTGCGCACCTTTCCAGAGCCTGTAAGCTCTCGAGGAGAAGCAGTGATTTGTACTGGAAGCCGTCCTTCTCCAGGACGTCCCATATGCTCTGCTTGAGGACATCATTCTTGACCTTTGGCCTGGTCGCCCTCTTTCCAGGTTTGAGCCAGTGCTTCCGAGCCAGCTGCACAAACTCGTGCTCCTCTTCCTCGACCTCGGCAGGAGTCGGGCGACCATCCTCGGCCTGCGGGCCGACTTCCTTGGGCTGCCGGGCCTTGGCAGCGCCGCTGCCCTTGAGCCGCTTCGCGTTAGGCATGCCCGAGTGGTGATGGCGTCATGGGTTGTCGCAGGTTGTGCACGGCGGTGACGAGATGCAAGGACCAATGTTCTTTGCAATGGACGCGGTGGGTGAGATGACGCGAAGCAGCCTCCAACGAGGCAACGCCAATCGCCGCAGCACATGGCCAGGTACAGTTGGTAGCCTGGTGAAATTTCAGCCTTGCGTGGGCCCACAAAAAAAAAAGCACTTCAAGATCCACGGAAGGATTTGCCTTGGTATACCCGAGCTGCCGAGGTCCCCCACCACCACTAACAGTGCTGTGACTGTTTTCAGGGCGTCATGCAGCCCAACCCCCCTCCCCCCTTGGAATTTGAGATTCAAGGGTCGACAGGGGACGCCTTGCCTTAGTCATCCGCCTCGGAGCCCATGACTTGCGAAACTCGGCTCGTTCCAGAACGCGCCGCCTTGGATGCCTGAAGGCACAGTACCTCCAGGGACTAATGGTTTACCCGACAAGCGCCCCCCTCTCCTCCCCAAAATCTCTGCTGGGAATCCAGTCCGCACAACGGCTGTTCTTTTCGCCTCCTTCCTCCTGCTTCCTCCCTTTCCCGCCTCCCTCCCGCTTCAAACTCCAACCTCCTTTGCACACCGCTGTCCAGACACCTCTGGCCGCACTGCTCTTGCACCTCACTTGCGCTCTCGAAACCCCTGCTGACGACTGTCCCATCGGTCGCAGCGTCCATTTATTTGCATAACCCTCCCCCCCGCCGCCGACGCCGCATCGCTCCGTCAAACCCACTCACTCTCTACGCCTTTCGACTCCCTCCACCGAGCGTCTTCTTCCACCTCTCCGCACTCTCCCACTGGAAACCCTGCATCTAGGATTCGTCGGCGCACATTGCTGTTTATGTATCAGCACGATCAGCTCCCCGTGTGCTCACACCCTTTCAAGCTGCATTTTTTTCGCATACCGCGAAAACCGTGTAGCCCCGACATCAGCTCTGACGGCTGAAGTTGATGAGCCTAGAGTTCATGCCTGCCCTACTGCCTCTCGCGACGCCCTTCGGTTCGCCCCATGTCAAGCAAACGTCCTTTTGAGCTCTGAAACCTCCCGTCTTCGACGCTCTCTCCAGGTCTTCATGACGCATTCACCGTCGCCTTAAGAGTCCCTCGGAACAGCCCCGATCTAGCCCTCCTCATTCAACGCCAGTCACTCTACCCGCCGTCCATACGAAACCGCCGGCATCATGTCTCTCATCAATGTCCGCCGCGATGTCAGCGACGCCTTCTATCGCTACAAGATGGAGCGCCTGCAGACCAAGATTGAGGGCAAGGGCAACGGCATCAAGACCGTCGTCGTCAACCTGCCCAGCGTTGCTGCCTCTCTGGCCCGCCCGCCTTCGTACCTCAACAAGTACTTCGGCTTCGAGCTTGGTGCCATGACAAACAATGACCCCAAGGACGATCGTTGGATCATCAATGGAGCTCACGAGTCTGCCAAACTCCAGGACCACCTAGACGGCTTCATCAACAAGTTTGTCCTCTGCAAGAAGTGCAAGAACCCAGAGACTGACGTCAGTATCAACAACGACCACATCATTCTCGATTGCAAGGCTTGTGGCCAGCGCACTGATGTCGACCTCCGCCTAAAGCTCAGCGGCTACATCCTCAAGAACCAGCCCAACAAGAAGGGCAAGATGGACAAGGCTGAGCGCCGAGCTGCTAAGAAGGCTAAGCAGCAGAACGGCAATGCTGGCAAGGAGAATGGTGCGGGAAGTCCCGAGGACGGGTCCGAGCACGGCTCCAATGAGAATGAGGAAAACGGTGACGCAGCCAGCGACGACGAGTTCCAAAAGTTGCAAGCCGCTGCACCTGAAGATGCCGACATTGAGGTCAAGGACGACGAATGGGCTGTCGACATGAGCGAGGAGGCTGTCAAGGCCCGTCAGGCTTCGCTCCCTGGCGAGTTCAAGCAGAAACTCAGCCTCAACGACGATGACGACGAGGATGGCGAGGGAGGCGGCAACACCCCCTATGACGACCTTGGGAACTGGATCCAGGCCGAGGCCGATGCCAAGGGTGGAATTGACAAGATTGACTCGATTCAAGTCTACCTCCAGGCCAAAGCACTAGGCATCGAAGGCAAACATCGAACCGTCATGGTTCTTGCCCAGACTCTGTTCGACAAGAACATTTGCGATCAGATCTCGAAGCTCGCCAGCATGCTCAAGCAGGTACGTGGTTTTCTAACCCGCATGTCAGGTCCCGGAAGAAACTAATTGTGTCTCAGTTGATCACCTCTGAGCGCCACGAGAAAGCATTCCTCGGTGGGACCGAGCGCCTCATTGGTAAAATCTTCAGTGAGGATGATTCGGGAATGTCGCAGCAGGTTGTCAAGATCTTACAGCTCTACTACCACCACGATCTCGTGAGCGAGGATGTCATCAAGAAATGGGGCTCCAAGGCCAGCAAGAAGTACACGGACCTCTCCACGTCGAGGAAGATCCGCAAGGCTGCCGAGCCCTTCCTCAAGTGGCTCGACGAGGCTGACGAGGAAGAGTCTTCGGATGAGGACTAAGGCCGGACTGGGTTTGGACGTCTTGCTTGCCCAAGAAAAATCTCCACATTTGGTACCATTTTGCGTTGCGTGCCTACAGGTGGCAACATGATGTTGGCCCGAAAGGAACCAAAACCGGAAAGAAAAAACTGCCTGTGCCGTTTGTGCTTTTACGCCGTGGTAGAAGAGTAGATTGATAGTCTAGCTTGCATTCAGATTGCCATGCGTCGAGTCCCGGTCTGCTGCAGCCCGTGTCATTCATTGTGTGATGCTCTCCACAGTCTATCCCTACCTAAGCCACGGTATTTCCCTACCTAAGCCACGGTATTTCCCTACCTAAGCCACGGTATTTCCCTACCTAAGCCACGGTATTCATGGCGATGAACCATTTCGCCCAGGCTCGTCATCCATCGGCAGGTAATAAGATAATAGTACAATACGCACGATCTGGCGGGCCGACGAGCTGGTCCTGGCGGGCCGACGAGCTGGTCCACAGGGTACTCATTCGTCCTCCTCGCCCGTTACGTCCTGACCTCGATACACCTATCCTCGGTGCGGTCGCTTCTCGCATCGTCGTCGGCCTCTTTGGCTGTCTCTTCTGGCGGAGCGTCAGCCATGCTCGTGTCTCCGTCCTCAAGGCCAACCTCGGCCTCGACAGGCGCGTTGCTCTTCTCACCCTGCTGCGACTGCGAACCTTGCTCGGCGAACACGTACGCCCCGAGGTCCTCGGCCGCCCGCTCGAGGTCCGACTCGGCCACAATCTTGTCGAACAGGGCGGCCGCGTCCTTGGCAGCATTTCCCGTCTCGTCCCGCGGCTCGGTCACGGTGGTCTGGACATCGCCCGCGGACTCGGAACCGGCCCCTTGGGGGACGGAGGCCGTCGGAGGGTCGACGAGGACGTAGCGGGCTGCGAAGTTCATTTCTCTGGCAAATTTCGCAGCCTAGTGGGCCGAGTTGGGTCAGCAAGCACGGCCCCGACGGGGGAACGAGGGGCGCCTTGGTTGTGCACTCACCTCGAGATCCAACTCAATGACTGGCACTTTGCCAGACTGGGCGACGGCATCGATGGCGTTGGTGCTGGTACCATACTCGACGCCGTCCCGCGTGCCGTGCTCCACCAGACGATCGCCGTCGCGAAGCTGGCCGAACTCCCGGTCCGTGACGAAATGGAAGCTCTGGCCCCTGACCTCGTCGTCGCGAGGCTCTCGCACCGCGTGCCGGACCACCGTCGCAAACACGCCCTTGTGCCTCTGTTTCAGCTGCTCCACCAGTCCCGTCCTGCTGGTACCCTTGAGGCCCGACACGATGACGGGCTCGCAGTTCTGCGGCATGTCCTCCTCGTCTGCCGCGTCCTCGTCAGGGGCGCCGTTGATTTCGACGAGCTCCTCGAAAACGCTGTCGATATTTTTCGAGTCGTCAATCCTGTCAAAGGCCGCCAGCTTCGACCGTCCGCCTATCCGAAGAGCTCGCCAGCTTTTGCTCGCCTTGCCCGCAACGGCAGCGGCCTTGGTCTGCTCGTTTGTCGGCATTTCTATTTCGAACTCGTCGTTTGCAATGGTCCTCTTGAAGCCGTCCAGCTCGGGCAGCGCGTACCTCTCTGCCTCCTGGAGGTTATCCATGGAGAGCTTGCGAGGGTCGTCGCGAATGAAGTCCATCGACACGGCACCTAGCGGGTTCGGCCGCAGGCGCTTGCTAGTGGCCATGCGCTGTGCATTGCCTTTGGACTCTTTGAAGGTCTCGGTGGAGACGGGTTTCCGCTGAATGGGCGGGCAACTGGCCATCTTCCAAAATACCCAGTTCTTGTCCCTCGCAAGCACAGTCTCAACCATCCTATTAAAGTACGGACCGTCGGGCCCCCTTTTCAGATAGTCTGATATGGTCGTCTTCATTTCGTTTGCCCACTTTGTCTGCTTTGTGTCAATACAATCACTTGGTCGGAATTGTGGAAAGCCACTCACGTTTTCCTCGTCGAGCTGATCGTTGTACATGACCGACTTGTTTGAGGCGTTGAAGCCGGCTAGCTTTTCTTTTGCTCCAGAGGTCAGGGAGAGAATGAAGTCGATGATGATGAGAGCCTGGACAAGGACATGACGTCGAAAAGATAGATCGCTAATCTGGGCCAATGTTAGTAACGGTTGGGTCGGGAGCGGGAATTTCAATGAGCGTACCTCCAACTCAAACAGGTCCTTGCTGGTGAGATATTTGGGGTTGAATGTCGCTAGACCATCACCGGCCTCATCTTCTTCTCTCTTGCGCTTCAAGTCCCGCCTCATGTTCTCCATCGACTTTGAAGACTGGGCGCCTTCGCCGTTGTGGATGGCCTGGAAAGCCTTCAAGGTAGCGCCAAGGTTGTTCTTGAAGTGGGCCATGTGCGTCGGGACCAGGAGCTTGAGTGGCTGGCTGAAGCACTCCTGAAGCGACCAGAATGAGGCGTAAAGGGAGTCGGGATCAAAGGCCTTTGACGTCTTCTTGGGCACGGCTTTGTTGCCCGCTTTGGTGTCTGTCGAGTCCTTTGGCATTATCTGATCATCGATGACCATTTTGGAATCTTCCTCGGAAGCCCTCGGGGGCTCAAAATTGGTGACGTTCTCGACGTGATATTCGCCTCGAAGGTTGACAGAGCTTCTGTCTCCCAAGGGGAAACTCTGGAAGAGGAAGATGAAGACCCGCCCGCAAAAGGCCGTGTCCTCGGCGCGGGATAGCCGGCGGAGGAGCTCGTTGCAACTTCGCAGTATGACCAGGTTCTTTTGCTTAAAGTGCTTGGATGTAATGCGCTCGCGACGCGACTCGAGGTAGTCGAATATCTTGCGGCAGCCAGCTATGGTTTGGCTGTCGAGCAGCTCCTCGACCAACCAGAACAGCAGTGCGGGATCGCATTGGCCCATGTCTGACAGGATCGAGAGTATGTCGAGGAGATTCCACATTTTGACAAATTCGGGAGAGTCGATGGAAGTAGTGGCCTGGAAATGTTAGCGAGGATCGCAGGGCTGGTGAGAGGACTGCCTCTTACGATTAGCCGACCGAAGAGATCTCTGGCAGCAGTTTCGAGAATGGCGAAATGGAGCGTCTTGGCAGCCTCGAGGTTATTGTCCGTGTCCGAGGCGGCGAGGCTGACGAGAGAGGCCGAGATGCGACCTTCGAGGGAGCCGAGATCGGACGGATTCAGAACTGGCTCGAGGGCCGACGTCGGCTTTGCGAGCTCGGCATCTTGGAGAAGATCGGCCAGGAGCGCCCCGGCGCCTGCTACGGCAGCGACGCCTGGGTTCTGGATGTCGAGAGCGGGCATCGCGGCGGGCGCGGCGGGCTGTTCAGAGACGGACGCCGCCTCGCGAGCCGTCACGAAGCCTCGCTCGTTGGAAGGCAAACGCAGGATCGGACCAGGCGCGAAACCATGCGGTCTGCGCAGGTGAAAGAAGGACGGACAGATACTCAGAGGCCACAGCCCAAGTCTCCAAAGGCAAAGGATGGTTGCTGTTGGGCTGTGCAGGCGGCGGCGGGCAGAGCTGGAGTTGCAAAGCGAGGATGGTCGATGAACAATGGGAAATGGGCGGGAGATTCTCGGCGGTAGCCCGATACCTTGGATAAGCCGCACAGGGAGCTTATCTTAGGTACGAACATGAAGTACCCATGTATCAAAGGTACCTGCCTCTTGGGACAAGTTGAACCACTTCTGGCACGGCGTCCGAACACGAGACCTGAATCCTTGCAGATAAAAGGCTCCTCCTCGTCGTGGTTTCCATTTCACCTTTCCGTTGTTGATCGAACGAACTATCGCAGCCACGCGTGTTGAGCCTCCAAAGTACGACACGTGACGGGTGGTCGACCGCCCCGGCACGGGCCATCAAACTCCTCTTCCAACGGCACGGGGGCACGACGACAACCTCGGCAGCGTACGTACTTGATGACCTGTGTCGCCTCTATCTTGATATTGTGTATGAAGCCTATGAGCCATCTGCCACCGCCGGAAACAGTTCCTTGACATGTGCACCCGCCCTTTGCCGTCTTCTGGCAACCAACGCGGCCAATCGCTGATCCGTCATATCAAGGCCAGCGCTTGTCATCCCCAAGTACAAATACAGGGCCTTTCCGCTCATATCTCATCTTAACGGCTTATCAGTCTCCCAGTCGTTTTCTTCTGTGCCGCCCTCGACTGTATCCTCCAACGGGTTGAACTGCAGCAAGCACCTCTGGCCCAGCGGCCGCGTCGAGATGAGCTGATCGTACATGGCCATCGACTCCTCATTCATGGATGCATCGGGCGTCGTGCCAAACTTAGAGTAGACGTCCCGTAATAGCGTCTTCATCTCGGCCAAAGCAAGACTGTGACAGCGAGGCGACGTCAGCCATCACCGCGTCAGCCCACGTCTCTCGCTCTTCTCAGGGGACGCGCAGACGTGTCGCATCGAGGCTAAAAGACCATGGCGTGGCGGCAACTCACTGCTTTCCCACACAACCTCTACCGCCGTTGGCAAACGCGAAGAGCAGCCGCTGCCTGTCGATTTCACCGTCAGATCCCAGCCAGCGGTCCGGGTCGAATGTGTCCGGCTCCGGAAACACGTCCATATTGATGCGGTGCACAGAATACGCCTGGCAGCTCACAATCGTCTGCTCTGGCAGCCAGAAGCCATCAATTGTGCGACCTCCCGGAGGCACGAGACGCGGCAGTGACATGGGGATTGGCGGATAGCATCGCAGACCCTCGTGTACAATGGCGTCTAGGAAAGACAGCTGGTCCACGGGTGCTCCAGGGTTGTTCTGCAGTTCTTGCGTCAGTCTGCGTTGGTAGGGGAGAGACCGGGGCTGCGACAGCTCCCACATGAGGAAGCACAGGGAATCCCCGGTCGTATCAATGCCCGCGACTACGTGATCAAGGCACTCGGCGGCCACGTCGATGGCATCAAGCTCCTCCTTCTGCCCCAGGCGACTCAAGAGGGTGAAACTGGCGGTGTCTCTGCACTTGCTCGTTTCCAAGATGTAGTCATCAACCAGTGGTACCTCTCTGGGTTTCACAAACAGGGTGAGAAAGCTCGCTAGTAGCCGATGAAGGGTGGGACTATAATGAGAAATGAGGCGATCTGGCGGGATATCGTTGTCAGCCCCTGACGTGTTGATCTGTCTTTGTTTTCCCACTGACTCTGCAAGCTGTCGTCGGCTGTCGACTGATGCATCATGTCTTCATCCACTTTCTTCCCCAAGCAATTCGAGCCATGTGGGTGGAAAATGTGATGTGTGATGCAGTCGCAGGCGTAGGCATGCAGGGCTACGGCGATCAGCTGCCGGCGTCAAACATTTCGATTGAGTACCTGGCGTTTACGAACCCATCTGGCCTCGACGTGTTAGCCTCGACTTGGAGTGTGCGTCCGGCACCTCCCAGAACCTACGAAAACCTCCGAGGTCTTGCTTTTCGAGACCGAAGTGCAGCGACGGAGGAAAGCTCGGGAAAGCTCTTGGATGCCTTGCATGGGGGCGGCTTGCATGACGCTCGAGTTGGCATAGCGGTCGGCGAGAAGCCTCTTCCGTCCAGCATGCTAGCTCATGTCAGCAACTCCGCGGGGGCATGAGTGAGTAGGCGTTGACGCTCACGTCTGTTTTGTTCAGCATTGTGAACATGGTCCTGTGCCATCGAGGGTCAGATGAAGAACGCCTTGTGGGCGGTGCGCAACCGCTCACCTCCTGCCATAGACTTTGAAGAGATCGTAGAAGCTGGACTTGTCGTAGCCGCTTCCTCCCGAACAGTATATCTCCTTCAACGCCGGCCAGGACGTAAACGACACCTCGTTGGGGGCAATCCGCACGACGGGGCCGTAGCGTTGGTGGAGTTTGTGTATATAGGCGGTTCGACCGGCATTGAGCTCTCTCCATCTGAGCACGAGCGACGTCAAGAGGGACGAGGGCGGCCCTGGTAGCCTGCGGAGTGGCGAGCTGAGACGGCGGACGAGGCCGACGACGACTACCAGGGACAGTGCCGCGAGGGCGTAGGGCAATGAGAGTAGCATTGGGGGCAGATTGTCCGCTACCTCGACGCAAATCGAAGCATGGTCGTAGGATGGAGGAGAGAGACGACGCTCCCTCTCGCGTTTGATGGTAGCACGGGTTGCCCTAAGGAGAGAGAAGGTCGTTCTCGTGACCCTGCCTCCCCACCCCGCACAAACGACGGCCAGATGGCGAGGCATAGGAGGTTAACGCATAGGAGGTTAGCCTCTACTCCGTACCTCGAGGGTCAACGTACTTTGTACCTGCCCTATCTCCAATGGCGGTGACAGGCTCGAGTATCCGAGACTTGGTGTCTACACCTTATCCTGCCCGCCACGCACTGCAACTTGGCTACCAAGACATGCAATACTACCTCAGCAGTACCTCAGCAGCCAAGCTGCTTCTGTTTTCATCATGTCCTGCACTCCTCATCGATGCAACTGACTGCATACAGTACATACACACTCAGCCCCCGTGGAAAGCAGCCGACTGGCTTGTGTGGAGCCAAGATGAGCCCACGTAGTACAAGACGAAGCTCTGCATCCGCGGCTCCTGTGCACTCCTTAGCTGATGTCTTGGCTTTCTCATTTTCTCAACTAATGCCAAATGCTATGCACACGTAGTAAGCATACTTCGTCCAACAGACCTGGACCGTCCTTTTCTGACTCGTTCTCACCTCCTAGAATGCACTCTCCATGTGGTTTGGCCGCATAGTAGGTTCGATATCCTGTGTACGCCTGGCTACTGCGTGGTCGCCTGTTCCGCCAGACGCGTCAGTTCACCCGTTCCTGGCTCTGTCCTCCTAGTATACCACTATGCCCGACTTTTTCTTGACGGGATATAAGCCCTTGGCTGGGTATCCTCTTCCTGGCTCCCTGGCGGCTTCAGTGTGGCGGGTCAGATCCGAATCACGCTCGCTCTCCATCGTGTCGGCCGATTCCTCCGCCGTGAACTTGACATTGCTGCCAGAATCATCGACGGAGACTTGACCCGCATCGTCTTCGAGGTTGCTCTCGGAGCCTTCAAGTTCGTCATCGCCCATGCCGGCGACGAGTTGCGTGTCTCTCTCTTTCATGTGCTTCTCTCGCTCGAGATTGCCGACATGATTCATCATTGTAACCCCGCGCCCGCCAACTGGCGGAGCTCCGACAGCAATGCTGGCGAGGCAGCCCAGGAGAGCAGCAGCAATGCTCAACTTCATCTTGTATATGTGCGCGCAAATTAGCAGGGAGGTCGCGACGACAACCAGAGATGAATATGTACTTCCGGCTGTCGAGCTTTGACGACAGAGCGGAGCATCCTCCCGCCAGAGCGACGTAGGCTCGCGATATATATACAACTCCTCTCTCACAAGTTGCTCGACCGTATACTGGAGCGTGCTGTCTCGGCCTGCGTCAGTAGGCCATCCTCTGGTCCCTGAAAAGCTGGAGAATCATCAGAGGGGTGCCTTGGAGGACACGGAGAGCCGAGCAGAACAGTAGATAGACGACGAGACACATGTGCAACTTGTACGGACGGTCTCATGTTGCTCCGCCCGGGAGAAAAGGGCAGAGGCACCATCGGGGCCGCAGACGCGAGTTCCTTGCAGTGACGCAACTCGGCTACCTGGGTGGGTTCGCCCAGCATACCAGCTCAGAAACAGCGCGACCAAGCTCTGATGCTATGCGCACGCCGCCCCGCCAGCCCAAGGATGGTCAGTGGGCTCGCGGGGACTAACGGAAGGAAGGGAAGAAGGACGAAGCGGGGAAAACACGAGCAGCGACAGAGGTAAGAGGTCGGTTTCACGTCTTGAATTTCAGTTGGGTCGATCCGAACGGCAACATGACGGGGGCTGAGGGACAATTGGCCGTGAGTGACAGAGGGCCTTGGAGCTTGGCCGCGGAAAAGCAAATTGGTGGGCATGACGTGTGCTGGTGGATGACTTGGGAGTCGTTTAATTATGCCGACGGCTTTTGACGATTGAGGCAGGGAGGACACAGCTTTCGTACGCAGATTACATAAGACGCCGTCACTATACCGCAATTGGGAAAGCTCTTTAGTTAGCGGACATCCATTTGGCCCACCGCGTCTGTCCTGTAATGTGTACAAGCTCGAGCCCCGCCACATAATAGTACCGGCACAGTACAGCCCGAGCCAAGGCCCCATTGCCGACCATCAGCTTGGCTGTCTCTGTCGACGCGGCGGCTTCTCCACTGTACCTACTGTACCTACGTACTGGTACTTGAAAGGCAGGGGGGGATGGGGCGCTTGACGGCCACGCTACGCAATGTACTGTACATTCTGTACTGATACCGTGGACGACAACGTGGCGCGTGGAGCGAGCCACGCCATGTACCTCGCTTGTAATAGCCTCAGGTCGGCCATCCCCCATCATGGGCCTCTTCTTCCCTCATCCACCACCGCTGGACGGTACCTCCTTGCTAGATAGAAATAATTGGGCTGTGCGGCGGCAAAGATTCCCTGTCGAGGCCTTGCTGCGAGGACAGTGATTCGTCAGCGCTCTCGAGCTTCGGGCGAGAAGCTAGCTGAGAGGCAATCATCATCTCTGGCGTACTCCGTACATACAACATACATACCTACGTACATACAGTACTTGCTTGTGCATATCACCCCCTGTGCGTTACAGGGAGGCCACTGACATTTCACGACGACGACGACGAGCACCGACGGCGGTGCGAACCAGCCTCGTCCCGCATCCCTCCCTCGGCTCGTCAGCGTCGGCGGCATCCAACCGGCACGGCCCGACCGACAAGCCCCTCCTCAACCCCTCTCGCCTGGCTTCATCGAGTCCTTTCTCTTCTGTCGCTCGCTCCGAAAAGACTGCTCGTTCCTGGCTTCTCTACGAGGCGTCTGGCACGCGTCCGGGCTGATGAGCTGGTTGGAGGAAAAGGCGCCCCGAGATAGCGCCGGCGGTTCCTCAAGAGACTGTCCAAATCCCCGTTCCCGATCTACTCACCCTTCTCCGTCGCCGGCTCGCCCAGAATTCGAGGATGCCGAGCTTTGTTGGTCGCCTGAGCAAGCCCAGCAACCGTTCGCAGCCCGCAATTGCTGAGCAGCCGCTGTCCGTCTCTGGCCCGGGCTTGGGCGCTGGAAATAGCGGTCCAGGCCTGCTAGCCGACTCGCCCGCCGAAGCAACCCCCCCGTCAGCCAACACGGCCCTCAGCTCCAGCGAGTCCTTTGTCGACGCGCTGCAAAACCTGGCATCGCAACCGCCACCGCACCTCAACAATCCACAGTCGGCGGGCCCCAGCCTCAATCCCGTCCCGTTACTGATCCCGTCGCTCGGCGTCGCTGCCGACGGCTCGTCGCCGGCCTTTAATGGTCGCCAGCGGTTCCAGACGCCTCTCGAGCAGCAGCGGTCGCCGCCGCCGCCACTCCTCCACCTCGCATCTCAGCGCCAGCAACCACAGCAACCACAGCAACTACATCAATACGACAGCGCCTCGGCCGACCGAGCCCCCGGCTCCGAATTGTTCCAGCAGTCGTCGACGATCACGGGCGCCCCCGAGAAGCGGTCGACACGCAAGCTCATCAAGGGCATTTTCTCCAGCTCGGCCCGCACCTCGCACGACCCCCCTCACCAGCACAAATCCTCCCAGTCGCATGGCTATCAGAGCTCTTACGACGACACCGCAAGCCTAGCACGACGTTCGTCCAAGAGGGTGAGCTTTTTTTTACCCCCTTTTTTCCCACTCTCTTCCCCGTAGCACCTCAGTCCCCCAACGACGCCGGGGTTCATGCAGATGCAGCTCGCAGCTGTGTTGCCATTGCGGGACATGGGCGGGGCTGACCATCAACCCCCCCCCCTTTTTTGGGGCGAGCGAGGCTCTAACGTCGGTCTCCCGTTGCAGGACTCCCGAATCACTCTTCCCAACGCCACCATCCGCTCGGTGCCCGGCGAGCAACTCGAGCTATCGTCGTACGAAGACGACCGCTACCAGCCACCAGACCACCCCCCGCCTCAGCAGCAGCAGCCGCAGCAGCCACAACCCCTGCAACGTCGAGGAACACTGCACGTCCACGAGCACCAGATCCTTCACGAACCCCAGGCACAGCAGACTGCGCCTTACGACCAGCACTTGCCACAGAGTCGTCCACAGGGGGTCCAGCATCCGCACCTCCACCACTCAGGCCCGCACGAGCAATTTTCCGAATCACACATTGTGTCCAGTCATTCGTCGGCAGTGCTGCAGCAGCAAAACCCCGAGACCATTTCCCAGCTTTCCTACGACTCGTTGATTACCGATTCGGACCAACCGTCTCTTCACCAGCAACACTCGGTCCAGACATCGCCCGCAGACGCCTATTCTGCCACCTTGGCCCAGGAGACGGCATCCACGATCCCAAAGCCGGCTCCGATTCAGAATCCCGATAATAACCAGCAGCCCGCCATGGTTCCGCCTGGAGGCGTTCCCCCGCCGAACCGCAGGATGGACGCCGAAAAGGCCCTGCGAGGGCAAGCCGAGCCGCCGCTCGGTCCAGCCACGGGTTATCGCCAGGGCAGCATATCGACGAATCCTATGAGTCCTCTCCCGCCCACGCCTGGGCAGAACCTCGGCTATCGAAGCGATCGGGCGTCGCAGTACGAAGGCTCGGCGGGCGTCGACCAAGGTCGAGATAGCCCTCAGCCATCGAACCCCGATCAGGAACTCAGCATAGAGGTCAAGTTCAAAGAGCTACGTGAGGCCCCCCGTCCCAGAGTTTGTGCGGCGTAGAGCAGCCAATTGACCGACGTTGAGATAGTGGTCAAGTACAAAAACGTCAAACGGCTCTATTTCGACAACAAATTCCACATTACACAATTGACTGGCCAGGTTGAGCAACTGCAAAATGCCGTTGCCAATCAGCGCATGTCGCAGTCACGAACTGCTTGGGACGACAACGAGTACTCGACCAGGTTCAATCGGCTCAACGGCGCCATCAACAACCTGTCGTTCAACATACGAAAGGACTGGCGCTGCCTGCCCCTCTGGCTCGAGAGCTTCGTCAGTGCCGATGCGGTCAAGACAGGAAAGCAGGAAATGACGGCGGTCGGGCGGGCTATTGTGTCGAGATGGATCGTGGAGGAACTCTTCGACAAGTGTTTTCACCCCGGGCTGGAGCCGCAACTGAGCTGGCAGCTCAAGGAAATTGAGCTCAGTATCCGGGGCAACGCATACACGATGCACAGCCAGGAAGAGTTCGATGCACTGACGACCAAGGTTGTCAACTGGAGAATGGCCACCCTAGACGGGTTGCAGCAGAAGCTCAACTCACCTGAGATGAGCGAGAACCGGGCGAAGCTGATTAGCAGGGCCACCAATAACCTGACAGCTTACCTCTACCAGCACCTGAACAACCCGCCGCCCCCGGGGGTGGAAGGCAGTACGTCGATGATCGCGGAGCTTGCCGTGGCGATTGCAACGAACCTGCCGATTGAAAGCCGGGACGTGGCCATCATGTATCCTTTGCCCGGGGACGCGGTGCAGACCCACCTCATGGAGATTGAGAAGACGGGGCTGCCGACGCTGGACTCTCAGAAGTCGGAGGTTGAAGCAGTTGACGAAGAAGGGGAGGTGGAGCTGGAGGACGAGGCGGACAAGGACAAGGACAAGGGCGCGAGGGCTCGAGGAGACAAGATCAAAGCCGGTATGTTTCCAAGCAAGCCGCCGCACAACGCGCCCCGACCCAGGAGAACTGGCAGCGGCGCCTCGCGGGCATGTGCTAACAGTTGACCCTGGTTAGGCTTCCCTAGGGACGCCGGCACGGTGCGGTTCGCAGGATTCATGGCGCTCGAAGTCAGAGGGCGTCAGGTGCTAATGAAGGCTCCAGTATGGACTGTCTGAGCGGCCGGGGGATTGGCAGCCGGCCCTGGGATCTTTTGTTTGATACCAGTCTCTTCCACTGATGGCACGCCAGAGGCATGGTGTCTGGATGGTAAAGAGCGAATTGTTGACGGGACACGAGGGGAAGTAACAAACGGGCTCGGCGTGTGCAGAAGAGACGCGCCTGGCTGTGCGTGACTGAAGTTGAGATGGCGAGGATGTAGAAGGTGGGCATCGATGCCATGTCAGATGCACAATGTCCAATACAGAGCCTCTGCAACCGCTTCAGCCAACACAAAGGCAGCCGGCGTCCGAGACAGGGCGTGTTGCACCTGGGGAACCATTGTTGAAGCTGAAAGGTGCACGATGAAGCTGAAGAGTGAGCGTGACTAACAAGGTGACTCGAGGGCGATGCCAGGCGATATTGATGAGTCTTGATGGCACAGCCGCCGTCGCACGGTCCCGAGGAAGCATGTCTGCCAAGCCTGCCCACCTAGACAAAGTGGCGAGGAGTCAGACAGCAGTGTAGGAGAGCTGGATGCTCCATTCGGACAGCCAGGGGTGTTGAGTCACACTGGGGAGGGACGGAGGGACGGAGGGACGGAGGGACGTTCTCCATCAGCACAGTCATAGGTGCAGTGCAGCATTGCGGTCGACCTTACTAAGCTGATAACGGGAGGGACCTGGCTCTGCTAGGACCCTAGCAGGGGCACCGCACGTACCCGGGCTGGCGAGGCCAGCGGCCCACCTACGGTACATAAACCCATCACGGGGCCGCCAAAGGAGGGGAGGGCGGGAAAAAAAGAGCAAGAGCAACAAAGGCCCATTCTCTGCCATCGCCACTTTTGCTCGAGATCCTTGCCTCTGAAAGCGCACCGTCGAGAAGAACCTCTGCTTGATACCCTCGGAAAACGTCGAGAGCTTTACAAACATGGCTGTGCGAGCACAGTTTGAAAACTCCAACGAGTAGGTTTCCTGCGCGCCCCCTCCCGCCCGCCTCCAGAGGCCCCGCCATCGCCGTGCCCCGCGCCCACGGCCTCGTTTCCTTGGTCGTCTGAGACTGACGCAGGAGGACAGGGTCGGCGTCTTCGCCACGCTCACCAATTCGTATGCGCTCGTCGCCCTCGGTGCCAGCGAGAACTTCTACAGGTCCGTCCTCCTGACCCGACCGCAGCCTCCGCGGGATCCGAGCTGACCGCTTCGCGACAGTGTCTTCGAGGCTGAACTGCAAGACATCGTGCCCACTGTTCGGACAACCATCGCCGGCACCCGCATCATCGGCCGCCTCACGGCTGGTAATCGCAAGGGCCTCCTCGTCCCCACGTCCACCACGGACCAAGAGCTCCAGCACCTGCGCAACTCGCTGCCCGACTCGGTCCGCATCCAGCGCATTGAGGAGCGCCTATCAGCCCTCGGCAACGTCATTGCCACCAACGACCACATCGCCCTGGTCCATCCCGACCTCGAGCGCGAGACGGAGGAGATCATTGCCGACGTCCTCGGTGTCGAGGTCTTCCGCCAGACCATCGCCGACAATGTGCTCGTGGGGAGCTATATGAGCCTGTCCAACCAGGGCGGCCTGGTCCACCCCAAGACGAGCATCCAGGACCAGGACGAGCTCTCCAGCTTGCTCCAGGTGCCGCTCGTGGCCGGCAGCGTCAACCGTGGCAGCAATGTCGTCGGCGCCGGCATGGTGGTCAACGACTGGCTCGCCGTCACCGGCCTCGACACGACCGCCACGGAACTCAGCGTCATTGAGAGCGTCTTCCGGTTAGGAGAGGGCCAGGGCCCCAGCAAGATCAACACGAGCATGAAGGATACCATGGTGGAGAGTTTCTACTGAAGGCGCGCGCGGTTGCCTCTTGGCATCAGGCCGCCTGCTTCGCCAAAGCGGCAGGGGCCAGGTGTTTGGAATGACTTGATGACTATGGCGTCTTCCTTGCCCTTGTTATCCGGCCTGTTCCTGCCTTTTAGCAGCGGGTATTTTCGTCTGGACATGAGCAGAAAGAGAAGGCAAAGGGCGGTGGGAGCAGTCGATCTTTGTGGAGAGCGGGTTCTGCATCGTCGGCGTTCCCTTCCACGACGTGTTGTCGGCACGCCATGACGCGCTCGGTCAAGCATATCTTGCAGGACTTGCCTTTTGTATTATTGCCAATACCTTGGAGAAGGGCTCAGGGACGGAGTTGCGTGGTGACGAGCGACCATTGCACCGTGACTGTCAGTCACGCCGCTCAAGGGTCGCGGATATTGCCATTGTCGCTCAACAGAGCGGGTAGAGAAGTATGTGGTATGTGCGCTTACATCCACAATGCGCATCACTCTTGCTGGGCAATGCATAGAATGCGCGCTGAAGGCTCTCGTAACCGGTCTTGACGTTGGTAGACGGACGTTCCACTTGACCGCCTGCCACTTCCGCCCATGGGCCCCTCCACTCCAGGCAGTTGAAGGATGCACACGCCATCGCCGTCGAGGAGCATGGATACGCCGTCACGCGTCCCTGTCCGCCTCTTTCTCGCCCAAGTAAAAGGGACAGGTCCATGACGGACAAGATGTCTGCCGAGGGAGATCGACCCGCCCAGCTGGAGCCGTCCGATCTCGGCACAAAAGAATAGTACGCTCGTCGCCTGCCTGCGCTTTGCCCTTGACTCTCTCTGTCTCTGTCTGTCATTCTGTGTCGCGCGACGGCACACAGGCAAGGGGTTGTTGGCCAAGGAAGAAGCAGACGACATGGACTGACCAGAGACCTCGCGCGGCGCCTCACAGTTGGGACCACCTCTACACGAGCGAACTGCGCAACCACGCCGCCGATCCGTCCGACATTGGCACCGTCTGGTTCGACGACTCGGACGCGGAAGCCAAGGTAGTCGACTTCCTCTCCGACCTGGCGTCGTCGTCGTCGTCGTCGCCGTCGTCGTCGCCCGACGCGCCATCCAAGCAAACGGCGTCGCTGCTCGACCTCGGCTGCGGCAACGCCTCGCTGCTGTTTGCCCTGCGCGCCGCAGGCTGGACGGGCCGCGCGCGCGGCGTCGACTACAGCCCGCAGAGCATCGCGCTCGCCAGACAAGTAGCCGCCTCGAGAGCCGCCGCCTCCTCCGCCGCCTCCGCCGCCTCCGCCTCCCCCATCGAGCTCGCCGAGTGGGACGTCGTCGCAGGCCCCCTCGACGCCTTGCTCGACGGCGCCCAGGCCCGCGGCTGGGACCTGGTCCTCGACAAGGGCACCTTTGACGCCGTCAGCCTGTCCGACGAGCGCGACGCCCACGGCCGCCGCCGCCCCTGCGAGGCCTACCGCGACCGCGTCGTGCGCCTCGTCCGCCCCGGCGGCCTCTTTGTCGTCACCAGCTGTAACTGGACGGAGCCCGAGCTTGTCGAGTGGTTCGCCGGCCGCGACGACGAGGGCGACCGCCACCAGCTGGGCTTCGCCGTCGCCGGCAGGGTCCAGTATCGGACCTTTAGTTTTGGCGGCGTCAAGGGTCAGACCATCAGCACCGTGGGCTTCCGCAAGCTCTGACGGCCACCTGCCCGGGACCAACGAGAACCTGCAACTCCCCCAATCTCGGAGGGGAGAGTAAAAACACGAAAGGATGGGACGAGGGAATGGGAAAAGAAAAGGTGCGTTGACAAGGACGGGCCGGGGAGCGCAAGGCGTTAGCTATACGAGACGCCGTCGACGTCCCTCGCTCGTGCACCCTGTGAGCTCGAGAATGCGGCACGCAGATAGTCGGAACCAATCAAGTTTCTGTCTGTATCATACATCTATCCGCCACGGCCCCCGAGTCCGCTTCTCTCTCATCTTGGTTTTCCTCTTGTTGCTTTTCCTTTCGCTTTGCCCTGCTGCTCTTCCGGTATTTGTTCTGGGTACACAATGTAGTAAGGCAAGAACATGATATAAAAGGGACGTGCTACTCTGCCCTTGCTCGTCAAGTCCATCGACGCGCCCTTTGCATCAAGAGCCCACGCAACAAGACGACAGGCGAGATCATGTCTTTGGTTGGATGGTGGCAACGAATGATTGCTTCATTAAGCCTGTTTTCTCTTTTCCACCCTTGTTTATGCCTCTCCCCGTTATCTATGGCGACGTGCTCATTGGCTCCCCGCCTGTCGAGGGTCCCGTTGCATCGGCCGCCGCGCTCGTGGCAAAGTAGCGGACATCCACATCGTCATCCTTCTGCAGCTTGCTCAGGTTCGGCACAATTCGCTGCTGGATCAGTTCGTTGCCCCGAGGAGAGGGCGTGTTTTCGGCCCCTTCTTTGTCCAGCGAATGCAGCGTGCCCTCGTCCGGCAGGCGGCGCAGGGCGTCGATGAGAACCGAGTATGTCTTGGCCACGTTGAATCGAATGTTGGGGATGTCGTCGTCGACCATCTTGTCGAGCATGGGCAGGATCGACTTGGCAATGACGTCCATGCTGACAACCGTCGCCAACGTCTGTACTCTCTGTCAGCCAATGCGCCTGGTGAGCGGATCCAAGTGCCCAACTTACCGAGATGGCGAAGCACGTCGTCATTCTGTACAGGTAGTTGGGGTGGCTGCCCATTCCCATGACCTTGGGGATGATCTGCTCGCTGGCCCATTCCACGCCAAAGACCTCGGTCAACTTCTTGAGGTTGTGTGTTGCGGCCTCTCGGATGGAGAAGACGGTGTCGCCCAGCCAGCCCATGCACAAGTCGCTGAGCTTCTCGTCAAAGAACTTGACGCCTAGCTGGCTGGCTAGGAGGGGAATGTATTCAATGATGGCGAGCCGCACTCGCCACTGCTTGTCCTCGGCCAACTGCACAATGGCCGGGAGCAGGGACTGCGAGAGGAGATCGATGCCGATGACTGCCCTCTGTTAACCAAGGATTCCAGATAACCTCGGCAGAAAGGATGCGTACCTTGATTCACCAGTTCAAGCTTCGAGATGATGTGGAGCCTAACCTCCGGAAACTCGTCCTTGAGCATTTGGAGAAACATGGGGAGCAGGTGATCGATGGTTCTGCCAAAGACATGCGTTAGGTCAAGGCCTCCTAATTGTCGGCTCCGAGGGGGATTACATACTCCTGCTTGCCGAGGATTGGGGCCAACCCGCTGATCTGAGTGCCAAGAGCCGCCCGGACGTGTTGCGAGTTGTCCGACACGAGATCCTCGATGCTGCCCATGATGTCGTTGAGGAGGGTGGCACGGTCGACGAGAGCACAGAAGCCAGGGATCTGACCGGCAATGGCAGTCCGGACCTCGGCCTCGTTGTCCTTGAGCAGCTTGACAAAGGCGGGGACCAAGTCTCTCGAGACGACCTCGTCATCGACGGCCTTTGCAATCTAGAGAGAGGGAAGCAAAATGTTAACATCACGTCATGGAGGCGTGCAGCCGTCAGGCCATACCTTTTCGAATCTGTCAGCAATCATGTACCGAACCCTCCAGCTCTTGTCCTCTATCAGGTTACGCAGCGACGTTAGCAGGACCCCATGGCTGGACTGCTGCTCCTTTGGTACGACCTCTGCAATGGAGATGAGGATTTCGACGGTCAGCAACCGCACGCTGTCCTGGTCATCCTGGACGAGGTGTTGAAAGAGGGGTATCATTTCGTCGATGACGACGGGAGCAGGCATCTCCTTGACCAGCTTGGCAAGGTTGGCGGCGGCCTGGCGGCGGACCATGGGCGTCTCGTCGTGGACCAGCAGGCCGAACTGTTGGCGGAGCTGTTCTTGGACCGGCGCGGAGACCTTTTTGTAGGGCGTGGTGTAGAGACCGCAGCCCGAGACCTTGGACGTGAACCAGTCTGCTTTGGAGAGTCGGATGGTGAGAGGAATAAAGTACTCTTCGACCTGCTGAGGCGAGAGATCGGCGCAAATCCTGTTGAGGGATTCAACGGCCTGCGAGGAGTCAGCAAGACGCCTTTCCCGAGGGGACCGGCATTACCTTGTCTCGCACGACGGGCTCCTCGATGCCGGCCAGGTTCTCGAGCGGCGATAGCAGCACATGGCCCCATTGGGGCCCCCCAACATACTCGATGAAGCTGCCGAGCTCCTCGCTTAGGGCGACCAAGACCTCGTCCTCGTCCTCGACCGATTCTGCAACGCACGCGTTAGAGGGTGATGCGAGGCTGGAGGTGGGGGGCTACCTACCGTCAAGGAAAGGGATGAGCTCTTCTCTCGTGCGCTCGGCACCGAGGGCGAGGGCGATGGTCGAGAGGCGGTGAATGGCGTTGAGTCGGAGCAGGACGTCATCGTGCTGGAGGAGGCGAGATCAGCAGAGCCAAAGGGAAACAAAGCATAGGGAGGGCGTACCTTGAGCTCGTCGATGAGGACTGCGATGGGATACAGCTCATCGTTGGTGTTGGGCGCGTCAGCCATGGCGGGGGGAAGGATAACAAGGCGTCTTCAGCCGAGATGGTGCGTCGCTTGGAGAGGAGGAGAGGCAGATGGATGTCCTGGCTGCGGTGGGTCGCAGGTGATGCAATCGCTGCTTTTGCGCACCCGGTCGGATGCTGCTTGGGAGCAAGTCGGCCTGGCAACCAGCCAATGCGAGCAAATCAGCGTTCGCAAGACCGGCAGCGCGACGGCGGCCAGGGAGTCGGCAAGGCGAAGGGGGAGCGTGATATCGGGGGGCGCGTTGGCGGGAAAACCGAGGAAATGAAAAGAGGCATGTACCAGACAGACAGAAGGGACTGATGCGTGATGAGGCTCTGGGCGAAGCTTGAGGCTGGCCGGTGGTGGACGAGGTCCCAGTGGCGGTGGGCTTCGGAGGGGGGGGGGGGGGGGGGGGGGCATGTAACCAATAGCAAGTATACAGCGCGTACTTTGGCACCCAGCTGGCGAGGGGGGAGGCGCAGATACCTGGCCTCATCCGCCGTGAGATCGGTTGCCTTGCCCGCCTAGCCCTGTATCTCTGCGGTAATGGTGCGGCGTCTCCTCGGTTGGGTGCCCACGGCGGACTCGAGAAGATACTTGGCGGGTACTTCAAATCTGGGACCCCTTTTTCCAACCATATTTGCGAAAGTACCTACCTACCTAAGGTACGTACTATATGTACCTCACACTGACCGCGCGCAGATGCAAAAGTTGAACAAGAGGGGGGGCGAGGGGGAGCTCCTGGAGCATCGATATTCCGTTACCCCGCCGTCAACCAGCCTCGCCCGGCTGCCCAACACCAAGCCGTTAGCAGAGTACCTCGCCTGCCGAGACCGACGCCGCCCGAGGCAAAGTCGCCATCCATCTCGATTCTTGGAAGCTCTCGCTGCTAAATTACCCCGTGAGTCAACACAGCATCGCTACGTCGTTGCCGCAAAAGAGACAAGGGCATCATCACCCGGGCGAGGCTGTGACCTCCAGCTGCTCATCATGCCGACCATCTCCGTGGACAAGTACAAGCTCTACGAGGCCCTCGGCCAAAAGTACGTGTCTGCCTTATCCCACTGCGAGCTTCGGCTGACCAACTGCGGCCTCCCCAGGTTTACAAAGGCTGAGTTCGAGGACCTATGCTTCGACTACGGCATCGAGCTCGACGAAGACACCGAGGAAGACGAGAGGCCCGTCGTCAATGGCCAGCAAGAGCCCCCCCAGCTCAAGATTGAGATACCCGCCAACCGCTATGACATGCTCTGCTTCGAGGGCATTGCCCTCAACCTCAACGTCTTCCGAGGCCGCATCGCCCCCCCCAACTTCAAAGTCGTCTCGCCCAAGGACCAAAGCCAGCAAACAATCACCGTCCGGCCAGCCACGACAAAGGTCCGGCCCTACGTGGCCGGCGCCGTCCTGCGCAACATCAAGTTCACCCAGGACCGCTATGACTCCTTCATCGCGCTGCAGGACAAGCTTCACCAGAACCTGGCTCGCAACCGAACCCTGGTCTCGATGGGAACCCATGACCTAGACACCGTCCAGGGTCCCTTTACATATGAGGCGCTGCCCCCCAAGGACATCAAGTTTACCCCCCTCAATCAGACAAAGGAGATGAATGCCGAGGAACTCATGGCCTTTTACGAAGCCGACAAGCACTTGGGTCGCTACCTACACATCATCCGCGACGCCCCCGTCTACCCCGTCATCTACGACGCAAACCGCGTCGTGTGTTCCCTGCCCCCCATCATCAACGGCGACCACTCCAAGATTACCTTGAACACCAAAAACGTCTTCATCGAGATCACCGCCACCGATCTCACCAAGCTCCAGATTGTCACAGACATGCTTGTCACCATGTTCTCCATGTACTGCGCGGAGCCCTTCACCGTCGAGCCCGTCAAGATTGTCTCGGAGCACAACGAGCTCACCCGCGTGACCCCTTCTCTCATGCCCAGGATCGCACATGCCGAGGTGGACTACCTGAACAGCTGTACGGGCCTCAACGAGTCACCCGAGACCCTCTGCAAGCTTCTCACAAAAATGGCCTATGTTTCTCGCCCCTCTGACAAGGATTCTAACCTCCTGGAAATTGCCGTTCCCCCCACTCGTGCCGACGTGCTCCATCAGTGTGACATTATGGAGGACCTCGCTGTCTGCTATGGCTTCAACAAGCTTCCCAGGACGGCCCCGACGCGAAGTGCCACGATCGGCGCCCCGCTCATGGTCAATAAGCTCAGCGACATTGTCCGGGTCGAGGCCGCCATGGCTGGCTGGAGTGAGGTCATGCCACTCATCCTGTGCAGCCACGACGAGAATTTTGCTTGGCTGAATCGCAAGGACGACGGCAAGACGACCGTTCGCCTGGCCAATCCCAAGACGCTTGAGTACCAGGTTGTGCGGACTACCCTTCTGCCGGGACTCTTGAAGACAATCCGCGAAAACAAGGGCCACAGCGTTCCGATCAAAATCTTCGAGGTGGCCGACGTTGCCTTCAAGGATGAGTCGAAGGAGCGCAAAGCCCGCAACGAGCGTCACTTTGCCGCTGCGTGGTGCGGCAAGTCGAGTGGCTTCGAGGTCGTCCACGGTCTCCTCGACAGAGTGCTGCTGATGCTGCGCACCGCCTTCCTGACGCACGAGGAGGGCCTGACGGCCGGCGGCACTGTCGACTATCAGGTGAAGCAGAACCCGACCAAGCCTGACGGCTACTGGATTGAGGAGCTCAACGAAGACACCTTCTTCGCCGGCCATGCGGCGGCCGTGTACCTCCGCCTGGGAGGCAAGGAGCAACGCATTGGCGAGTTTGGAATCCTGCATCCCACGATATTGGACAAGTTTGACCTGAGGTATGGTGGCCCCGTCCACTCCTTGCCGCGCGTGCGAGCATGTCGCTGACTTCCCATGCTTGCATAGATACCCTGTCAGCGCCCTGGAGATCAACCTCGAGGTTTTCCTGTAGATCCCTGTCCCTCAGGGGAGACCGGGGAGCTACAGGTCATCGTGAACTCGAGCAGACAGCGGCAAAGGGGCAGGGTTGGTAGAGTAAGGCTGAAGCTGGGAGAGGCAACTGCGTCGTCTTGTAAAAGCCGGAAATCTGGAAATCTGACAACGGACTCCGGACCATGTGTCCAGGTCCTCAACACGACGCGACGAGAAGAGATATAGACCAAAAAAAGTAGAACCCGTGTAGGAGCAATTTAGATGAGAAAAGGTCGGCTCAGACAACAAGCCGTATCTGCCGACTCGCACGCTGCATCTTCATCAAGGCCGAGCATATCTTGTACTTGGCTCACGGTGGAGGCTCAACCCTGCATTGCTTTCATTTCGTACTCGAGTTCAAGGCCCACTCCAGAAAGCGGGTAGCGTTTCTATCTATATATACAAGACACGTGCTCCGCTTTGTTCCAAAGACGCTGGCATTGGGGCCTCTCGCTACCGGCCCCTTCCGAAATATGACGCTGTAATCTGGTGCTGGTGATCACGCCGGGGTTCCATCGCCCGAGCCAGTCTTACGGGGTGCCGGAAGGCTCAGCCTGCGAGTCCTCCAGATCCTCGTCTCCTATTGATGGGGGGGACCGCGTGTTGCCAGGACCGGCCCGCTCGGCAGCGTCGAGGCTGTACGACGAATCGGGAGAGCCTCTGAGCGCCACCTGCGGTTGAACAAGGGCCCATCCACTGCCAAGCTCGTCCGATGACGAATTGGTACATTCTTGACTGCTCTCAGACTCGGAGCACCCATTGTCTGGCACCAACTCAGTAAATTGAGGGGACTGATTCGCATCCCGAGTTTCCAAGGTCTTGGGGTCTGCGGAATTGTCCACGCCTGGAGGCATGACCTCCTACGTCATCTCTCGCAGCTCCTGCTCGTTGCGAGGCATCGCCGAGTTTCCAGCTTCATCAGCCTGGCCGATGCTGGGAATTGCGCCTCTGCCGACACTCAGGCCGGCGAGTCCGTCTCGAATGGCGGAAAAGGCACCGGGTCCCTGGGCGGAGGTGCTGTGGCGCAGCGAGGATTGCAGGACACCAGGTGTCAGAGTCTCATGCGCAGTCTCCACAGATGCGAGGACGGACTGGCCAGGTCCGGCAGGCTGGGGAGTCGAGGCGGCGGATCGAGAGACGGTCGAGTCGTTGAGGTTGGACACTGCTGCTTGCCGGTCGTTCTCCGCCATTGCTGCGGCGATGAGGGAGCCGTTCATCTCGTCATCTGTCCGACCAAATACTTGGTGCCACCACCTAATGTCCTTTAGGTTGGGCAGCATTATGCGCTCGCGGCCTCTCTCCCGATCGTTGACAACGGGGTCGTAATCGGGGTTCGTGAACTCGGGTTTGCGGTGGAGGAAGTAGTCCCAGACCGACGCAGTCCGCTCGTAGACCCTAGCTTCCGTTCTCTGCTTCTCCGAGTTGTACAGAAAGGTCCCGTATTGACAAGAGTACAGATGGTACAGCAAGCGGCGCAAGAAGCGCTCATTGAACTCGAACCGATTCTTGTTTTGGCGCAAGAGCTGATATGTGCAGTCCAGGAACTGGTGGAACACAGGGCTGACCATCTTGGGCGTGGTCGCTTCATCATCGACTACCTTGCCCGGAGCCGCCTCACTAATGGCAGACAAGTCGGCGTCGTCCTTGTTCTGGTTGAAGAAGCGCTTCGCGCCACTCAGTACGTTCTGGAATGCGTCGTTGCGCCCGTCGTTGTCCCCAGGTTGGACCCTCGAGCCGGCAAAGGCATCTTTCTGGACAGTGAACCAGTCCTCGTGGTTGAGATGGCCAGATCGCAGCCTAAACATGTGGCCAAACGATAACCAATCCTTTTCCACCAAGACGATGAATCCCTCGAGGGTTCTGTAGTACGGATCCAGCATTATCTGGGCCAGGGCGCTGAGCTGGCTCGTGCGGTCCCAGCCATCGGAGCAGTGGATGAGGACGTGGGAGTGCTTGATGCCGATTCGGCGCGCAATGATTGCCGAGCCGTCGAGGACGCTGTATACATGCCGCAGCCAGCCGCTCTGTTGCAGCAGCTCTCGGTTGGGCGGGAGGGGAGAGACGTCGGCGTCCTTGAGTGCCTCGACGACCTTGTTGAGAGAGTTTCGCATGACGTGGATATTTTCGATACTAAGAAAAGACTTCCTCGCGAATGGATACTTGTCCATGTTCTCCGAGCCCATGCCCTGGACCTGGTTCACCATGGCATTGATTGTGGGTCGAGCGTCGACAATCATGTTGGTCTGTTGGCGGCCGTACACCAGCTGCTCCCCAGTCTTCTCGTCGTAGATTGCGGCCGACCTCGATATGAGCTCATCTTCGTAGCGCTCGGTTTCGGACAGCTCCGGCTCCACGATGCCGCTCCCATTCGAAGTCTCCGGCTGGCTTGATGAAGGCGTGGGCTCCTCGGATCCGCCGGGCATCCAGGCGGAGAAGGAGGCAGCGACAAGCTTCTCGTCCTGGACATTGGTCTTCCTCGTGATTCCGGCCAACGGCTGGGAGCTTCTCGTAATGGTGCAGTTGTTGACGGGATGGATGTAGGACAACACTGGCACTCGGTTCCGAGATCGAAACTCCCTGGCGTACTTGAGGACGTTATCCGAGATCTTGGAAGGCACGACCAAGACAGCGGGGTAGGTGTCGCAAAAACAATAGTCCTTGTTGATGTTTGTAATTCTCCAGCCTTTGTCGGGGAGCTTTTCGCTGATGCCCTGCCTCCGAAACTCTGCCTTTGGGTCGTAGATTTGCCAGCCGTTGGTTCCCTGCTCGTTCTCCAGGGGCTTGTGGTTGAAGGCAAAGAGCCTTTCCACGGTTCCCAGCTTACAAGTCCGCGCCCTGATGAAGTCGAAGGCGTCACGGGCAGCATCGTTGTCCGAAAAGTTGAAGGTGACGAAGGTAAAATCGCGGCAGCGAATGCGAATAGACGGAGCCTGGCGGGAGACGGGAGGAGTGGGCCGGAACGCGCAGTACGACAGCATCGGAAAGGTAAGCCATCGCTCGCGCGTCTTAGGCGGCGTGGCCAGGCCGGACGAGGCGCTTCCAGCCGAGTCCACAGGGGCACAAAACACCATGTGAAAGTCTGTCAACCGCAAGGTGCCGCGTGTCGTTTGGCCGCCGTAGATGCCCTGGACATGGTGGATGATCTGAAGCGCGTCAGGCTGTTGTCGCCCAGGGGCGAGCCGGCGTAGAGGAGCCAGATGGCACATACCTTTCTGGGCTCCATTACGTCCGGGCGGAAGCAGCGATGAGCCTGCGACCGCGGTGGGCTGCGTCGGAGAGTCCTGGGCTGCTAGGAGCGCGTTGACAGAGAGGCTATCCGGAAAGCCCGAGTATGGGGATTCCAGCCGTCGTAGGGTGGCTCGGAGGAGCCTCGACGGAATCGATTGTTAACGGCCAGTTCAAAGGGGGACCCGTAACATGACTTGCTTGATACAGGGAAAGACGATGATAAGCAGTTGCGTATGCCACGCATCACCGTAGCGCACGTCGGAGGGCCCAGGATAGCGCAAAACGAGAGCAAAAATATTACAGCGCACTAGTCCAGAGAGGAGAGAGGATGGCCGAGTGGACGAGGCAAAGGCAAGGCAAAAGACGGAGAGTCAAGGTAAGAAGAAAGGCCGCTGCCCGTCATCGTCGTCCGTTGAGCTTGGATCACAGGCCAGCCTTGCCCCACAGTGGACCCAGCGTCATGGCGCAAGGTACAGATACTCCGTAAGTTACATGGGCGCTTGCCTCCCGGTGTTCGCCGGAATAGTTTATCCGTGCTGCCCTCACCACATCAGCTCCTATTGGTCCATCGGGTCCCCAAAGGCAGACATCGAGGTACGTACTCCATACCGTCGAATTAATGCGCAAAGTGCACCCAGTGGTGGTGCCTTGTTAGGTCATTAGGGCTCAACCCACTCCCCAAAATTGTGACTTTCCGAGCCTCGCCAATTCTTTGCCAGCGCCGACAAACTATCTCGACCAACCCTCAGCGCCCAAACTCACCTCTTTTCGCCGGTCGCCGCTGCAGCAGACGCTTCCCCGTCGTTTCCCCCCGAACACTCACAACATGGCGCACCCTGGCTCCCAAATGTCAGTTCCCTCGCTGTCCTTGACTTTATATACCTCGCGCAGAAACGAGGGGGAACGTGGATCGAATGGCTCGCTCTGCGTGCGCAATGGCGAGAATTGCTGAGCTGACGAGCCTTGATTCCCTAATAGCTCCAAGCGGAGAAAGTTCGTCGCCGACGGCGTCTTCTACGCCGAGCTTAACGAGTTCTTCCAGCGCGAGCTCGCCGAGGAGGGCTACTCAGGCGTCGAGGTCCGCGTCACGCCTACTGTCACCGACATCATCATCCGCGCCACCCACACCCAGGAGGTTCTCGGAGAGCAGGGTCGCCGCATCCGCGAGCTCACCTCGCTCATCCAGAAGCGCTTCAAGTTCCCCGAGAACTCTGTCTCCCTCTATGCCGCAAAGGTCCAGAACCGCGGCCTCTCCGCTGTCGCCCAGTGCGAGTCCCTCCGCTACAAGCTCCTCAACGGTCTCGCCGTCCGCCGCGCCTGCTACGGTGTCCTCCGCTTCATCATGGAGAGCGGCGCCAAGGGCTGCGAGGTGGTCGTCTCGGGCAAGCTCCGCGCTGCTCGCGCCAAGAGCATGAAGTTCACCGACGGCTTCATGATCCACTCTGGCCAGCCCGCAATGGACTTCATCGACTCGGCCACCCGCCACGTCCTGCTCCGCCAGGGTGTCTTGGGCATCAAGGTCAAGATCATGCGCGGCTCCGATCCCGAGGGCAAGGCCGGTCCCCAGAAGTCTCTCCCCGACGCCGTCACCATCATCGAGCCCAAGGAGGAGCAGGCTGTCGTCCAGCCCGTCAGCCAGGACTACGGCGCTAAGGCCGCCCAGGCCCAAGCCAGCCAGGACGCACGAGTTGCCGAGGAGGAGGGTGGTGAGCCCGAGGCGGAGCCCGAGGCGCCACAATAAACCCGTCGCCTGATGGTTTGGTCAGGAGAGAGTCCCGGAATCGGTGATGGGTCAGGGGCAAGGCTTAGGGAATGGCGGTCTACTCAGGCGTCGATTGATGATATTTGTACCTGCTTCGGGGCATCGGACGGTTTCGTCTTGTTTGGTAATGGTAGGCCCCAACCATGAAAATGAAAAATGAGACCCCGTAGGTAAAGCCCATGATTGACATTTTCGGCTGACAGACAACGTCACCACCACGGTTCATACCCTCGCGTCCACGGGAACAAAGCGCACGTGTGATGTGGAAGTGGCGAGAACGGAAAGGCTACCATGTTCGCTGAATGTATTACATCAACTCTCTTGGGCGGGTGGCTCGGTACGCAAGCGTGATTGGACTTGCACGTCCGTCCCAACCCTTCCGTCCGCGTTATCCTGTCCCATCCCTCCTCTCCCAACTGTGTCCGTCCACTGCACGCCCGGCCCATCCTGCGAGCCGGCGCACGAAAGGACCTTGATGCAGCTGCTATGCCTCTCCTTCATGCGCCCAGATACTTCAGAACTCTTCTTGCCCGGGGAAAACAAACCCGCAGAAAAGAGATGAGATCGTGTAAATAAAACCAAGAAAAACGTAACAAAACGCCGAGGCCGCCTTTCCGTAGTATCCGTCCTTCTCCTATCCTTTTAGTACTCCTCGTAGCAAGACAAACATCGCGAGTCATCTGGCCGTCTCCATCCGTGCTTCGTCTCCGAGTCCCGAGCGCGGTTCGGCACTGCGGGGTCCCGAAGAGGCCAGCGTCATGCATGCGTAGCTCCATATGTCGGCCGGCCAATCTTTCATCACTTCAAATGGCATTCGAAAATGTACAGTTGGGGAGCTCTGCCCCAGGGATATGCGACAAACGGGGACGAGGTTCGGGTATATCCTCCACGGCACTTCGTCCTGGTGGGAATTAAGGCTCGGGTCTCGGTCTCTCCTACCTCTCGGCCGATTTCCTGTCTTCCAGCTCAATGTCGTTTTGGTGATGCTCCTTCTTGCCGTTGAGGCGACGGTTTGACCGTCTCGAGTCGTCCTCGCTGTCCTCTGCGAGATTCGTGAGGCTGAAGCCTGCAGCCTCTTCTTCGTCATAGGCTCGGATCAGTCCTTCTCTGTCACCGTGAAGGCTGCTGACGCTGTGTCGCCCGGGATCACCACTCCTGCGGGCTTGCATGCTGCGGCGAGTTTGCAGGCTCGAAACCATATCGGTGGGCGTGGTGTCGTGACCCCCTTGCCCTGCAATGAGCTTGTGTCCATTCGGGTCACCTCTGGAAAGATTGAGCAGGTAGACTCCGGCAAAGGTAACGAGGAAACCGCAAATCAACGACAACGTGTTGACGGGGTCAGTGGTGTTGAACCCGCTAAAGAGGATGAAGGAGGCGCAAAGCGTGGCTGTGGTAAACGTCACGTAGTACAGGGGGTTGACGCTAAAGGGGTCGCGAGAGTCAGCAGTCTGAGGAAGCGCGGGAGGAAGGGTTTGCATAGGCAATGGACGTGAACGTGCCACGGATGAGCTGAACTCACATGTTGGCCGGGAACGATGCTAGTGCCTTGTTGAAGTAGTTCATTTGCGTGAGAATGCAGACGGTGGTCAAGATGATGAAGACGTAGGTCGACGGGTGGGTGAACTGGTTGTTGCCGGCGAGGGTGAGCTTGAGCGCGATGCCGAAGGCCTTGACGGACATGACAGAGATGGAGCCGACTGTTGAGCAGATGGAGAGGTAGATGAGCGCGTTTTTCTTGCCGTAAGCGGGAGCAATCTTGTAAATCATGAAGACGGCAAAGGCGACAACGGCGATGGCGTAGAGCAAGAATCCTAGGAACGGAGGTCAGACAAAGGCACAGCTGCCACGGGGCGGCGAACCGGCTTGGTACCTGGCTGGATAGCATAGTGCAATATCTGGTCAGTGGTCTCGATATCCTCATCGGGAGGCGCATGGAGGACGATGACAACAGCGCCGATGAGGCAAATGGCGCTTCCCAGCTTGCCCAGCGTTCCCAGCTCTTCCTGGAGGAAATAGGAGCCGAGCACGGCGCCTATGAGGACGCTGAGGGCTCCGAGGGGAGTGACGAGGATGGCCGGTGCAAACGCGTAGGCGGCGAAGTTACATACTTCGCCGATGCCAACTAGGGAGAAACGTCAGTAAGGCCCGTCGCCGTATGGGAAATGTCGATGCTCACGTGTAGCGATTCCAGCCCACCACATGGGGTTCCTTAGATAGACAAAACCATCGCCTTCGAAACCGTGCCGTTGTTCGGCTTGTAACAAGCCCTGGTAATCGAGGTCAGACTTGAGCTGTGCGGTGTAGCGGCGTACTCAAAGACGGCAAGAGGAGTTGAGTAGAGGATGGTTGACGAACCTTTTTGGTGATGACGAAACTGGTGCCTGCAAGACGTCTGTTAGAAGCGGCCAAGGCCGAGAGAGGGGCGCGCAAAGAGAAGACATACCAATGGCTAGGGCCGATGACATGGCCAGCGCAAGGCCGACATATCTGATGCGCAACTTGTTAGCAAGCCGCCCTTTTCCATTCTTGTCGAATTGCATTGCTGGTGTGCATGAAGCGCAACGTACTTATCTTCGATCATGGTGGCTGTGGTCGCCGTCGCCGTCGTCGTCGTCGTGGAGGCAGCGAGCGCAAGGCGGCGACAACTCCGGGCAGCGCCACAGTCGACTTGAGCCTACGGAGCCTCGGGACAGAGTCAGGGGAGGCGAGCGCTGGGTTGGCAGGCAGAGAGGAGCGGGCGGGTGTCGGCGGGCGCGCGGCGACGGTTGAGGGTGAAGCGAACAGACAAAGCAGGCCCAAGACTAGCTTTTCCGGTTTGCGGGCGTAGAAGGCTTGTGACGGAATTGGAAACCAGGGTAGAGCGAGTGACGGGCGACTGCGAGGTGGGCGCGATGGCTGGGGAATGGCGTCTCGGTCGGAAGAAAGGCCTCTCCCCCAAGAGAAGGGACTCTGGGAGAATGCGAGCCGAGGGCAAAAGAGAGCGAGAGAGAGGTGCTCGCCAGGAAGACGGAGACGCAGCAGGACAAGAAGAGTCGGAAGCGGGCGAGCCGAGGGCGAGTGGTGGTGGTGGGTTGTTGTCGTTGCTGATACGAGGAGACGAGGATGAAAGGCTGCGTGACCAATGGGCAGGCAGGCACATGAATCCGAATCAAGCCATGTTGAAAGGCGAGGCAGGTACCTTACCTAAGGCGGGAGGTACTGCAGTGTACCTACAGCAGTAACATGCATACTACCTAGTCACCTAGCACCTTAGATACTCCGTATAGAGGTACAACCTAGGTAGTACTGTACGAGGTGGCTGCGGCAAGCTTTGGGCGCCTTGGCGCCACACCAAGGCTCAAGCACAGGGGGTGATACCTGTCGTGGCGGGGTCCATGCATGTTACCGCGGGCCCCATTTTTGCTGATAACGTCTGGCCTTTTGCAAGCAGCACGGCCTTATCTAAGCAATGGACTGTGGTGGGCACGCCGAGACGGGAGCATGCGAGCAGCTGCCATACCTCAAGGTCAAGGATTCCTTCCGTACGGTACTCTTCAGATCAACAGATCCACAAGGCACATACAGCAGCCTGCACTGCACAGGCACGGCGGTGATAATCCGTGACGAGGCGGAATAGTTATAGAGGAACGGTAATTACGTTCCAGTCCGGAGGTACAAAGAGGTACAAAGAGCAAAGAGAGGTAACTCACCTCCCTGCTTGCAGCAGACAGACAAAAGAGAGTGACGAGTACGGCCAGCCATGGCTCAAACAAGCTCGATGCAAAACGCCTTGCCAAACCACACGCCCCTTCGGCACCTGGCCTCTCCTACGGGGTTCGGAGGAGTGGGCGAGCCCGATGCGAGTGTGGCTAAACCCAGGGCACTCCTGTAAGGTACCGCAGCCGTCAGTGGTGTCAGAAAGAGCACTAAAGAAAAGGGCCACAGAAGAGGCGCATGCACCAGCCAAGGGGCTGAGCCTAGAAACGCAAAAATCAACCACTTTTTGGCATGCAACAACCTTGCAGCTCTCCGTAGAATTCCACCACGCCTCATGGACTCACTTCGAGGGCCCACCATTCGTCTCGTCCCACGGGAGGGGACACCGAGGCTGGATGGACCATGTCCGGTACTTTGGACGTGCCGCGATCTAGGGCAGGCCCGGTGCATTGGAAGGCGTAGGGGAGTCCGTGCGCTGCAGCAGAAAACAAGTGATACCTACCTAGGTACCCAGGTACCTATCTGTACCCAGTATCTCAAATGCCATATTTGGGATATAGCCGAGGTACCTTGCCTATACGCAAGGAGCCGTGCGTGGTGCCTGCCTTCTTTGCCAGAGGCGTCGTTTGCCAAACAAAGCATGCCGAGCCTGGCCAGGTACCGAGCACTCGTCTGTCCCAGCAGAGGCACATGCGTCATGCACCTTGTTGTTTCTCGGTCCGCTTGCAGAGTTTTCCTGTTTACGGAGCAAAGATTTGAGCGCCATTCTTTACGAGTCGGGGCTCGTGACTTGTACTCCGTACAGTACAGTACATCCATCCATCTGCCCCGTACCTGGTGCATCCGGCTGAATCGCTACCAGGGATTCAAACCCCAAATTTTACCACGTGGCACGAGCTCAAAAGGACAGACAACCCAAGCCTCTTCCGTCTCACCGCACTCGTCGCCTCATCACGTCATCATTTCCCAACACCGCGCGAGCCCATCGTCACATCCACCTCACCACCAATGCAAGAGTCAACTGTGTCTTTCTTTATTCGCTTCAACAACCGACAACATCCTCCGGCTCTCGGGTCATGTCAAGTTCCATCCCAGACTGTTCAAAACCGCGACATCACCCTTCGTTTCCATCCGTCATGGACAAAACATAGGCGTTACGATGCTGCGCACTTCGAGCTTCGTCCGTCCGGTCAAAGCTGGGCCAAGGATCCGTCCAATGCCGCCTTGTTTCCAAGCACAGGCAGCTCCGGACCGGCATCGCAAGATTCCCCCTTTCCTGACTCCCCTGCGCCAGTGTTCCTGCCTCCATCCATCCACAGCCACTTGCACCCGTCCATCCTGGGTTCAGAGTTCGTAGCCGTCGGGGAGCGCTCGAGTCCGTGACATGTCGGGTATAAAGCGTAAAGATCAAGTATTAAACGACAAAACATTGGCGTCGCCCTCCACCATCCCGAGATGGCAGACTATCATACGCAGACGTCGGCCTGGGTCCTCGTCCGCGTGCTTACTCGTACATGTTAGTTAACAACGAGGCGCACCTACCTGCCACGCCTGCTTTTCTCTGCCAGGAAAAGGACCCGGCCGAAATTGGTGCTGGTAACGCGCGTCTGTTAGGTGCGCAAACGATGTGACCAGGCGCGAACCAAGTCCACACTCTCGTCAAAGCAAATGGGGGAAAGGGCATAAGGGATCCAGGCGGGCAAGGGCCACGGCGGCTGGGTTAGCGACAGCGGGCATGCTTCAGGATCGACGACGCTTGACGTCTGCCTCAGTTAGCCGGGTCCGAGACTGTTTCCGAGGTTTCTTCTCTTACCATTCCCGTCATCCCCATCAGGTTCTCCAGGAAATGATCTTTTCGTCAGGTTTGGCTGTACGTCGGTAGCGCCACCAACGGAACTGTCTTGCAGGCCAATCGCGACCGCTTCGCCAGTGCTGGGGTCGACGGGACCTTCGTCGCGGCCGGCGTCGTTCTCATCTTGGTAGTCGTCGTTATGGGCATAGCCATCATCCAAGAAAGCCGCATCCCCGTAGGCTTCGGTGTTGTCGTGGCTGCTATGGGCCGTAGCATCATCACCGGTGCTCTCATAGCTATCAAGCTGTTCTTCGTGGCCGTCATGGGCGCCTGTGGCTTCCAGGGTATTGCCATGGGTTGGGGGCTGGAACAGGTGAATGACTTCTGCAAGACCCTTGTCTCCCGTTGCGCTTTCAACCAGGAACTCGTAGCGCTTCATCGTGTTGGGGCGTGTAAACAAGTACGTGTACAGGATACGGGAATCATCAAAGTCCTTATTCTTCACAAGGATATCAAGTATTTCCGAAACCTGGCGCAAGTTGATTTCAGAGAGTGTATCACTTGGGGACGACTGGGCCAGAGTTAGCGGCGCCTTGGGGAACGCGAGGAGAGTGTCATGCCTCGGAAAACTCAAGTCCGAGCTTATCGACTTGGAGGACGAGGTCGTCGTGTGGGCCAATTTCATCGGCTAATTCCTCCCGCAGCCCGTCGAGGACGACCTTCATGTTTTCGTCAAGGATAGAGATATCGGAGAAGAACCCATCTGAAGAGAAAGAGAACATGGGGAACTCCTCTCCTCTGTACTGCACTATGATGGCAGGAAAGGGTTCTGGCTGAGCCGGCTCCTGCGCAGCCACTTGATCCTCGGGCTGCGCGGCTTCGTCCTCCGCATCAAAGCTTTCTTGGGCGGCTTTGGGATCTTGCTCGCCAATGTTGTCGGCGTAGACGTCAGCAGCTACAGCATCTGTGCCGCCTTGGGCTGTGCCCTCTTCGGTGCCGAAGCCAACGCTTTCTTCATCATCTTCCCAGTCAATCTCGTAGTGTTTAGCCGGGGCTTCGGTGGCGGCACTCTTCGGGACCTCGGGCATCGGATCTTCAGAGTCCTGAACGTTTTCCGGGGACGCGGCCGAGGGCGGCTGATTCACGCCACCAGCGGGTACATCAAAGGCAAAGCCGTCATCCTCATAATCGATCTCATGGATAGAGCCACGTGCTTGGTCGGCGCCAGTAGTGGTAAGAACCTGCTCTGCCGCGTTCTCACCCTCGAGGGCAAAGTCATCGAAATTTCCGTCGTCTTGTCCCTGTTCTCCAGCTGCACCAATTTCTTGCTGGCCCGATTCGCTGATGGTAGCCCCAGGCAACGGCGCGGCACCTTGCGACATCTTGGCCGATTCGGACGCGTCTGGTACAGCAGGAGTTGCCTCGGTGACGAATTCTTCCGCATCCAGTGTTTGCGTGGCGGTTGTGTTCGTGGTGTGTTCTGGGCAAGGCTCCATCACAAACGCATCGTCACTGTCGTAGTCGATCAGGTCCTCGTCGTTGTCGACGTTGATATTGGTGTGCGTTTCAAGTTTCAGGGCCGCATCGTTTACTGTGATATCAAAATCCGCCATGATATCAGAGTGCCCGCACAAGGAGGCGGGAGTCCAGCAGGCCGCGGCTTGGATGGTGCACTCCGTGTTGAAGTAAGAAGCAGCCAGTGGCGGCCGGTGGAATGCCGGAAGAGGGAATCTTGGGGTTGACGCTGGAAGAGAGGTGCGAAGGATTTGGTGTTTGTTGGAAACACGCCCAACCCTGACAGCTGTTCCGGCGCGTGCACGCCGATGGTGACGTGTTTTGGCGTTATGCCTCCTGTGGCGAGCGATGCAGCGACAGATTTGGACGGAGAACGGGGGAGAACATTGGGTTCGATGCGAGATAGACGAGTCGGGAGACCTTTCGAGGCTCAGTACAGCGGCTGGAGGTGCTGACGGAGATGGAGGAGTTGGGTTGGGGAAGGGAGGTAGGGAGGTTGAAAGAGACGAAGCTGGGAGACGGCGAAAAGAGCTCGAAAGGAAGCCGGCGCTTGCGCTTGTCAAACGTCACTGCCAGTGCCTGAGGTACCTGTCGGGTACCGGACTTGTGCAATGGCGGCGTACCTTCCTACCTACCTACCTACCTACCTAAGCTACACAAGCAGGTACCTAGGTACCTCAGTGCCCCATGCTGGTCCCGTCCCGCCTGCTGACTGATCAAGGAAAGAAGCGCTTTGGCTGGGACGGACGTGGCGTCAATTGGCGCATCGTCGAAAGCTCGAATTGAACATCTGTCACCGATCCCGAGAATAGCGGATTGCCCATTCCACACACTGCCAAAATGGTGCGCAAATCCCCATGCTCGGTCTGGAGTAGGGATAAACTAACACGGCTCGCAGGTTGTTCTTGCGGCTTCCATCTGCACCCGCGGGGGCAAGGCTGTCCTCTCCAGGCAGTTCCGAGAGATGCCACGATCGCGGATAGAGGCTCTCCTCGCGTCCTTTCCCAAACTGGCCGACAGTGGCACCCAGCACACGACCGTCGAGCAAGACAATGTCCGATTCGTCTACCAGCCGCTTGACGAGCTCTACATGGTCCTCATCACCAACCGCCAGTCCAACATTCTCCAGGACATCGACTCGCTCCACCTGTTCGCCCAAGTCGTCACCAGCGCATGCAAGACCCTCGACGAACGCGAGATTCTCAAGAATGCATACGAGCTTCTCAGCGCCTTTGACGAGTTGGTGACGCTGGGCTACCGCGAGAACCTTACCATGAGCCAGATCAAGGCATTCCTCGACATGGAGAGTCACGAGGAGCGTATTCAAGAAATCATTGCCAGGGTATGCATGGCACCCTTCCTGCGCCAGGCTTTGGAGGCAGGCACTTACTTGCGCCACAGAACAAAGAGCTCGAGGCCACGGAAGAGCGGAAGCGGAAAGCAAAGCAACTCGAAATGCAGCGAAAGGAGTCGGCCCGTAGCGGTCGCGGAGCTCTCTCGAGGACGCCCGTCTACCCTTCATATCAGCCTCCCTCGCGGCCAAGTGCATCCGATGGTTACGACACGTATGAGGCTGAAAAGAACAAGACCTACAACAAGTAAGCGTTGTCGCCCGCACCACCTGTGGACAGCTTCTAACGTGACTGTCAAGACCGTCGGCACCTAAAGGCAAAGGCATGCAGCTGGGCAAGAAATCCAAGACGACAGACATGTTTGAGAGAGTTCGCGGCGACATGGGTGGCGAGGTTGACAGCGCCCCCCTGGTGGCTCCCTCGCCGGCGGCGGCCGAACCTGCCGAACACCGTATTTCGTCGACGCTTGACCGCGATGCTATTCATGTCATCGTATCCGAAGCCATCAGCGCCAAGCTCACTCGAGAAGGCGCCGTCAACTCGCTGGCCATCAGCGGAGATCTCACACTTCGCGTCTCCGACCCCAGTCTAACCAAGATCAAGCTGGCCCTCCAGGCTGTGCCTTCGCATGGCGCCCAGTTCCGCACACACCCCAACGTGGATCGCAGCCTGTTCAACACCTCCAAGATGATCCAAATGAGCAACGCGGCTCGTGGCTTTCCTGTCAACAATTCCGTGGGCGTTTTACGGTGGAGGGCTTCGCCCAAGGTTGATGACATGAGCGCGTGCCCGATAGCCTTCACTGTGTGGATCAACAAGGAGTCGGCCAAGTACAACGTTACGGTCGAGTACGAGCTGACTGGCGGGGATGCGTTGAAGGACGTCAGCGTTGTCATGCCCTATGCCGGCAGCGAGCCCGTTGTGTCCAGCTTCGACGCCGCGTACGAGGTGTCTGGCGATGTGATGGAGTGGAACATTGGATCCGTCGACACCGAGAACCCCAGTGGCTCCTTCGAGTTTGAGGCGGAGAGTGCCGACGAGAACGACTTCTTCCCTATGACGGTGCGGTTTGGCAAGACGACGCCCTTCATAGACGTCGATGTAAGCCAGCCCGCCTCGTCCCGCGCATGCTGCACACCGTGTTGTTGCGCTGCTAACCATTTTTCCAGGTGACGGCGGTGTCTCTGCTGGAGGAGAATGAGGAGGTTACATTCTCCAAGGAGATCAAGTGCCATGCGGACAGCTTCGTCATTGAGTGAGCAAAGGCGGATTTCAGGGGGTGAGACGTGGAGAAGGCCCATGTTGGCAACGTAGAGAGTGCAGAACAGGCGAGTGCAGTAGCGATGCGGTATATTAGGGTCGGTTCGGGCAATCTGTCTAGAGACAGGTTGTATTTCACGCACTTGTGTTATCCTCGAGTGACGGGCAGATTAAGCCGTTTGAAGCAAGTTCGTCGTGTTGCCAGTGAGGTTTTGCACAGTACGAAGCCGGGCGCGCAGCGCACAGTACGACTACATTTCAAAGCACCACTTTTCGTTCACCTTCCACCAAACAAGCTTAACATCGACGAACAGCGACACAGGCCAGGGGCCATGATTTGAGCGCCAGCCCGCGCTCAACAGGCGCAGCCATGGACCAGGCGAAGCAGCTCTCACTTTTCAGCGACAACGAATTCGAGTCCAGAGCCCCTCATGGCTTCCCAGTGGGCTGTCCCACGCTCGACGTGGCCACGACCTGGGACAGCGGCAGCAAGAACCTCTTCATCTATAGGCCCCCTGGCCAGGTCGTGTCCAAGATCCATCAAATTTCTGCTCCCGGGGAGGCAGCCCCAGAGGCTGTCGCGGTGACCTGGAAACCTGACGGTTCGTTGGGCCACAGAGGCCGATGCACGGGCTGTGGTTGCTGATATGACGGTTGCGTCCAGGGCAGTTCCTGGCTGTGGGCTGGAGCGATGGCGTCGTACGGCTCATGGGACTGGAGAACAACAAGGCTGCTCACCATATCCCGGTCTGTGAGAAGTCGGAGACGAGCATCACACACATTGGCTGGGCCAGCAGCACAATCTCAAACAAGACACCCAAGTCAACCTCTGGCCGACTCGCAGACAGCATACCCGAGGACTGGGCTCACCAAGGAGACCAGCTCCCCGCCAACCTTCCCCTACAGCTCAAATTTCTGGAGGTCGACACTGCGCTGCCCAAGATCAGCCCCTTGCCCGCCAGCAGCGCGGGCGCAGAGTAAGCCACTCCACGCAGGTAGGGGAAAAAATACGCTGACCGCGGGCCTGGGGGCCCAGCGAGGATGCCACCGTCTTCACTTTGCGGACCGGCATCGAGTTCCTGTTTCAGCCGCCAAAGCCAGATGAATACGACAAGGTCAACGTCATGGTTGTTGGCACCAGCGACGGCAAGCTGCAGCTAAGCATACACGACTCCTTCATCATCGGGGCATTTCAGTGCCCGGCGGTGAGCCCTTCAACGACTTGCCAGATGATCCGCCATGCGTCCCACCCAAACGTGTCGACACACGCGCTGGTGCTGGCGGACAAGGCCACCGAGCCCGAAGAGCTTCACCTTCTCCCTATGGACCTGCCGTTCATCTCATCCTCGCCAATCAACCTGTCTCTGCTGGCGTCCAAGTTGACCACGCTACAGAAGCTCTTGCGTTATCTCAAGCAGACGCAGCTGCACATGCTGGTCGAGTGGAAGAACGCCAGAGAACTGCCGAGTCGCTTCCTGCGAAGCGTCGAGGGCGACCTCGAGGAGATGCAGAGCGGGCCGCGCGGCATCGTTCCGGCATTATACCACACGGTCGTGACGGGCCATGCCTACGGCCCTGTCCGCGAATGGCTTGTCGACAGCCTTGCAGAACGGGTCAGTTGCGGCCTGGCTGCTGCTCTGCCGCTACCGGCACGTCGGGCTGACATGCTGGCCCACTAGGGACATAAGCGCTGGGACAAGGCCGTCGTGTCGGGCCTCGAGAACATACGCAGCCTCGTCCACGAAAACTTCCTCCCGGCGCTCGAGCGTTGCGCCATCATCCTCGGCCGGCTGCGCGGCCTGGCTCAATTCCACGACGATCGCGACGACATTGGCTTCTCCGTCATGCAGATCGGCAGAGTCCTGGACATCATCGGCTGCCTGACCCTCGTCGGCCACAGGATCCTCACCCAGGTCATGGAGGAGCTCGACCACTTTTCCGCGTTTTCCGTCTGGCTCCGCTTCCAGATTGATCGCCTGGCCACGAGCGCCGGCGAGGAGCTCGGCGAGAAGGAGGCGACCATGGACAACTCCAAGGTGCTCACGTATATTGAAAAGTACCTCACCGGTAGCCCGCTCGGCGTGTTCTTCGACGACATCTCGCGCGAGAACTGCTCCGCCGACTGGGACCACTGCGAGGATGGGCCGAGCCTGCTGCAGATGCTGGACCGGCAGCTCCAGCGACGCGAGGAGGGTCAGCTCAGCATGAAGGCCCTACCGCAAGTCGACTTTCTCGTCAATTACATGACGAGCTGGTGCAGCCGCATCTTCAGGGGCATTGCCGAGTCCAAGAAAAGGAGTGTCAGGTTCGGCAAGTCCGTGCGGCTGTCGATCGGACGCCCAATCAGCAACATGGACGTCAAGGTCTGCGAAGCCGAAAAGGTATGTCTTTGGCTCTGCGGCGGCACAGCAAGCGCGTAGTCTGATCTTTGGGGCCACAGGGCGGCATTATATACACAGCGCTCGCCAGCAAGGGCGACGACGCCAAAGGTAAGGTCCCTGTCCTGGCCGTGCTTTGTCTGGCATGCGGGAAATTTAACACATGCGGGCAAAGTACACATTCTTCGCGCCAGAATCGACATTGTTAATGGCATTAGTGCCAACCAGCCTGCTACGAGATGTTGCGTCGACCTCGGTGACCGCCAACTCGTCGACTTTAAATTTCTCAACGACAAGAACCTCGTCGTCCTCTGCAACCAGCCAGGTAGCCTTCCTCCCTCCCTCTCGCCTTCTTGGCTTGCGTCTTCCATCTTCATCATCATCCATAGCTTCCATAGCTGCCTTAAGACACGGCTAACCCTTGTCCCAGATCACGTACCGGTTGTCATCTCAATCCCGGTTCAGTCGAATGACCTTCTCTACGCTCCCCTCAGTGTAGACAGACCAGACGACATTGGCAGCGTTTCGACGCATGGCTTCGCCAAGTATCGTCTTCCCGTGCAGCAGACGGCACGACCAGTGAGGATGGAGGTGCATGACAGGAGCGATGTGCGGGGGGAAATCCCAGAAAGAATCTGCCTTCTCGGCAGCAACCGCACAACATGGCAGACATTCTCCATGCCGCATCATAACCACTAATCGTCACTCACCGTCCAGCGAGTAGATACAGTCCATAGATGTATGCTTGGCCCGGACCATCAAGGCCCCTCTAATTTTGGATTTGTACCAGTCAACTTGTCACGTCGACAGAGTTGACAGAGACGGCAATGCATCCACCGGTATTGCACTTCGCCCATGTCCCTCACTTCCTCGGCTTGGTAATGTCAAAGAATTCTGTTAGCCCCTCCACGACGGCCTCGACATTCATGTTAACCAAGGGCATCCGGTCGTACGAGTCGTCCTTCATGATGGCCACGAGGGCTAGATATCGGTCGACTTCGCGCAGCATGATGGGCTTGTTGCTGTCGTGCAACACGAGGCAGCTCTCAGCGGTTGAGCAGCCAATCTGGTCCTCGAGCTTCGCGTTCCAAGGCTCGGCCTCGAGCTTCTTGCGGCACTTGTCGCTGCGCTGCCAGGTGCCGTAGACCTCGGTGATGTCAATGATGACGTCAATGTAGTCGCTGCAAATCTCGTAGCTCGCCATGTCGGCGGTGGCACTGTCCGTTGCAATGTAAATCTTGGACAGCACATCGAATAGATAGGCCTTTTCGAAGCGGCAGGTGCGACACAGGTTGGTGAGCATGGACTCGAGGGTGCCGAGGCGGGGGATGAGTTTCTGGATGACGCGGCTAAAGGCCTCGAAGATGGAGTGGTTGTAGATGGATGTGAGGTGAAAGGTGACGGGGGCATTCTCGAAGCCGTTGTCGGAGAGCTCGTCCTGGATGCGAATGGTGATGTCGCGCTGAATGTCGAGCTTGTAGTCGTCCGAGAGGCCGTCGACCTTGTGGATGAAGACTTCGATGTTGATGTTGGGGTAGTGGCCCTGCAGGGCCAAAATGGTCGAGTTGAGGCGAGCGACGGCTTCGAGATAGTCGTCCTGGGCGTCGATGACCCAGATGAGGGCGCCTATCTCGCCGAAGATGGCGTCCATGTCAAAGTTTGGGTTTTCGAATACGTCTATTTGGCCGGGGAAGTCCCATACTTGGAAGTCCATGAAAGACCTAGAGGGACATCAGTGAGATGCTCAGGCCGGCGACGCGAGAGCTTTGGCCGGGGGAACCGACGCCATGGAGTCCTTTTGTATCCGCGCCGTGGACTCGAGAAAGAGGGTCTCATTCGGGGGAAGTTTGTGGAAGACGACGCTTGAGATGGACGATTTGCCGCTTCTGTGGATGCCGGGGGAGGTCAGCCCGGCTCTAGAATCGAGCTTGCGTGGAGAACGCACCGTCTCTGGCCCATGAGAAGCAGGCGCGGCTTTCCCTTGGCCGGCTGGGAAACCGCCGCGTCGGCGGGCTTGGGCGCATCCTTTGCGGGCGGTCGGGCGCCGGTCTGCTCATGAATGCGACGAAGATTTAGCGCTGCCGGACTGACGATGCCAGGGTGAGAGTGGGAGCCGAAGTTGGTATCGTTGCTCAGCGATGCAAGCAACCTGCCGCGACGATGAGGGTTGAGCGACATGACGGGGAGATGAAAAGAGCAGGTGGATGGGTATGTGGATGGGGTGTATATGAGCGGGAGAGCAAGAGGGACGGGTCCAGACAAGACGGTAGGTCCTTGTATGGCAGAATGCAGAGTGAGGACGATGCTGAGGGCGCGGCTGCCCGGCCACTTGGAGTGTATGATGCTTTACAGCTCTATTTGCCCAACTTGGGTCCAGCTTGGTTCGTCTCTCGACTTCTCGATGCCGCCTATTTCGTGTGCTTTTGCGTCCTGAACCCTCCTCCCACCTACACGACCTACACGGACGCTTGAGGTGTGCCGTGCCTGTGCCCGCGTGTATGTGTGTGCATGTGTGTGTATATGTGTGTGTGGGTGTATGCGTGACTGTGTATACATATGTATGTGTGTATGTGTATGTGTATAGCCATCTCTCACACGCACATGCGCGCGCGCACATACACACACCTGGGGAGAGGCAGAGGAAAAGAGAAAAGGTCCGCCACCATCTCACAAAAAAGCAGGTGGCGGGCTCCAGGGGCGTGTTGGCCTTTGTCTTTTTCTCTCTCCCCACGCTGTGCAGCTCATGGCCCGAGCATCCCACAGTCGAGTGGCAAAGGAAGGGAGGCCGTGGCCTGGCCGGCACCAGAGTATGCTGTGTGACGCAGACAGCGCATGGCACAGTATCTTTCCTCGACGGGCTCGGATTACACATGTTGGCACAGAGGGGACCGAATTGATGCCCGCCGCTGGGCTGTCGTACAACAGCAAATGTCCAACTGGCAGCTCACTCGAGCTGTTGGTTTGCGGAAGGGCGACAAGGCAGAGATGGAGGCACGTGGCCAACATGGGAAAGGGAAAGGATGCCAGTCATACGAGCTGATGCTCTCTCACTCACCTCCATCCTTGCTGGCCACAGGTGCCGTTACTGAAGCTCCCTCGTTAGACGAGACGAGAGGACCAACACTCGGCTCGAATTGTTATCTTTTGGAGGGGCTTCACGGGAGGCTTTCTGCCTTTCTCCTCTGTAGTTTTAAAATGACCAAATATAACAAGAGAGCGAAAGACAGAGAGGACAAGGGCCCGAGCTCGTCCTGGGACTCGATGGCTGAAGTGCAAGGTCCCTTTTGCGGCCGAGACGCGATGGATTGATTGCCGAGTCGGTCCAGGAGAGCGAGGAGAACAAAGCGGTGAGGAGGTTGGATGCTGGGGGGGCGGCCCGGAGACGACGGGTTGCGGCAGCCGAGATTCCTTTTCGGCGTCTAGAAGGCGGAGGAGAGACGTTGCGGTGCTGCTTTTTGGCTGAAGCGAAGGGATGACGATGCTGGATGCCAGGGCACGGTCTGGCCAGGCCCACTGTTTCTGTGCTCCGCGCCCTGCTGATTGGGCTGGGCTGTCAACTGACAGGACAAGCGTACGGAGATCAGGGCCTGACGACGTCACATGACAAGACCGTCTCAGGCTGTGCACTGGCACTGTATGCGAGGCCAGGCATTCTTCACCCACTTTGTGCAAGTCTCGGCGCATGCACGACGGATGTAAGCGATGATAATGCGTCGACTATTGCAAGCAGTGGTCAAATCTATGCAAGAGTACGGATAGAAGGGGAGAGTCAATTGACGATACAGGTCGACACGGAAACAGGTTCAAGCACCATCTGAACGACCGTGAACATTGCCTGGCGCGCACAGTGCAAGGTACGTTGCACACGGTACGCACGACATATCCCACGTGACTCACCACGTGCTGATCCCAGGCCTTGCGTATCTCCACTCTAGTTTCCTTTTGTTCCCAAACCAAAAGCTCAACCCCGTCAACCCGTCCGGAACCGAGTCACACAACCGCAACCCGGTGCCCGACGCCTCCCTTTCGCCATTGGAGGAGCGGCAAGGCGGGTGGCTGCAATTACCCCGTGCGCCGCCTGCAGCACCGAAAACTTTCGGCTCCACGGGGCCATCCCTGTTCACGGATTACAGATTATTCCCCGCCTCCTGGCCCGAAGCAGGTCGTGGCCATTTCGCCCGTGTGCCTAGAGGCCTAGAGGAGAGGAAGCCTCTGTTGCTGGATGGCCCTCTTTGATGGGAACTGTTGCTCACTCTCGCCTAGTCCTTGATCGAGTGCTGCAGAAGGGAGGAAAATATCACGGCTCCAACCACGTGATGTCCGAATCACCACCGGCAGTCCTGAAAGAAGGATCCCTCATGCCCGCCTGCCTGGGGGGCAGCGACTCTCGCCGAACCCAGGCGGGGGGGACTCGGAATGCCGGCTTCAATATCATGTCGCAGCCGACACGGGCAACGACTGCGACGCTGCCACTCCGTGAACACTGTGCAATGCATACCTCACCTGTGGACGCATGCACGTGCCTTGTCTGCAAGAGCGGCACCATCCTAGCTCGGTTACATGCACTTTCACCCGTACGCGCAGCGTGTTTCTGCCGATGAATCAACAGGGGTCTGGTCAAGCTGGAGGAGAGTCCTTGTCCTCTGGCCGGGAGCCCATGCATCCCGACAAACGGCCTCCGCATGTCCAGTCATGTAAGTCAACGTACGAAGTGCATACATACGCAGTGCTCTGTGCGGAAGGCCTGGAGGGCATCTCCTCGACAAGAGCAAGCTATGGGCAAATAAAATGCCATCAGGTACGGGGTGGCGCTGGGTCAGAGAGAACCAGAAAGCGCCACGCCGCCCACAGGCAGACTGCTGGCCATGCCACAACATCGGATTTTACATTTCGTACCGCAGTCCGCCGTCAAGGTTGTACTTGCGTCACAACCGGCGGAGAGAGGCCCAGGACCGCCGAGGGTGCTTCCGAGACTCGGCTCGAAATTTCCTATCCGCCGAACCGGCACTTCTTTCTCCCAGGTCACCTCTTCATGCGCGACACAAAAGCATTGACAACCGTGACTTTTGGCCGGCTCCTAGTCAACAAGTCTGGCGACGATCCAGGAAATGTTTCACCCTCACGTCTGCGGCAAACACGCGGTCACCCACAGCTCTTGTCCCGATACTCTGGCGATTCATTCCCAAGCTCTCCTAGCTGCACTATCGAGCGCCATCCAAGACGCCGATAGGTGTGAACGGAGTACTCTGGTGTCTCATCCCTCGAAATAATGAAAGTCAAGATACAGACTGCAGCAGCCACAGCGAGGAGCGATCCGATCCCCATTGGCCATAGTACGAGCCGAGGCACAGATAGACTGTCAAGCCACCCGTTGCCGATGCCTGCGACTGCCACCTCGGGTTTACATCTTGTCGAGACGCCAAGTCGGCTTCCCCAGGAATGGCTCCCCCTGCCGAATCCGCTGCCAGAGTGCCGGCGTTTCTGCTGAGCCCTAAGTCCCAGGACGCCGGGATGGGTGAGCGCCATAATACAACATGATGGACGAGGTTCTTCGGGGCCGCATAACGCTTTTCCTGCGCCCCGGCCATCTCACTGCCTGGCCAGAATCGGCAATTGCAATTTGGGCATGTCTGGCCGCGACACACACACTTGGGCGCTCGACGACTCGGTGCTGTCACCTGCCTACCATGAACACGCTTCTTTTGCGCCTTGGTACGGAGTGCTGTGCATATAACAGCTCCCCACCCGCCTGCATACCTACCTAGCCTACTTTGCCTCACCCCCTCCATCGTCGCAGACATCAACTCTTGTCTCGACTCCCCGTCCAGACGACGCGATGGGCGTCTTCTCCCATTCACCGCGCCTGATGGCCAGGCGGCGGCCGAGGCCGGACCCCGCGCCCGAGACAATGCACTGCGGGAGCGCGCCCACCACCCCGCAACAGCCGTTGCACCGCCAGTTTGTAAGTCGCCGTGTCCGCCGCCCACAGGACCCAGCTGATGGAAGAAATGCGCCAGCACCTCTTTTCCCTGCTTCCCCCGGAACTGCGCCTCAGAATATGGAATCTCAACCTCCCGTCTTGTCGCCTTGTTCCTCTGCACTGCGACACCGCCTCCCCGTCATTGTATGAAAACTCGGCGCCTTCTTCGCATTGCGCCACGGGCTGCACTTCCAACGCCCCGGTCCCTGTCAATCTTCACGTCTGCGCCGAGTCGCGCGCCGAGGCCTTTAAGAGCTACAGCCGCGCCTTCGGCTTTGCGCGCGGGCCCGGCCACGTCATCTTCAACCCGGACAGCGACATCCTTTTGTTCGGCCCGCGCAAGGGCTACATGGCTGCCGGTTCGCAATTCCATACTTGCATGTCCATGTGCGATCAGGCAGAGCTCGCGCGTGTGCGCCGGGTTGCTATTAGCGATGGCATCTTCTGGATCGACGGCACCTACAGGTCAATGACGGCCGCGAGCCCGACCGTCGAGGTCATCAAGCAGCTTGCGGCGCGGATGCACTCTCTGGAGCGCATCATCTTTGTCCCTCGAGAGGAGGACGAGACCGGCGACTTGGCCGTGGCCATGGAGCGCATGGCTCGTCAGATTCAGATGGCCCTAGCCACCGTCTGCCAACAGGTCCCTCTCTGGAGGCCGCCCCCATGGGACATCGTCTCGACGAGCTCGCTGTCGACAATGGGCGATTGAATTGCCGTCGGCGCATCGTTATCATGCCAAGCAGCATCATGTCGTCGGCAACGGCGGCAGAACATGATTTCCGGGCATGGCGAGTCGTCATCAGACCTGCGATCCGGCATGGACTGGCTACGACGAGGACACTCTGCTGACCCGCCGCGTCGGGTTCTCTGCCTTGCATCGCCCTGCGCTCAAGGCAGCCCCCGTCTCCCCTGCGCTTCCTAGGTCGCTCTGACGACAGCGAAGCCGCAAAAGCCCGAGGGTCGAGGCGCTCCCATTGAGGAGAAAGGGGGGGGGGGGATCGGGGTGGGTCTGGACACCGGACTCCCCCAGGATTGTCAGGGCAAGGGAAACCCCAGTGTATTCCTACCTTTGGGGAGTCGACAATCGAGGCTGGCAGCCAGGCACACCTTGTCAGAGGTGGTACCGCACGGGCAAACGGGAGCACGACACGCCATCTTTTTTCTCCTTCGTTGTTAATGAACTGAATGATGGAAGAGGGGGGGGCCAAGTACGTCAACTGCGTTTGCTTGTACAACCACCCGATTCTGCGGCATAACGATGTGCTGTTGCCAACACAAGCCGGCGACGAACATTGTACATGGACAGCGCAGTCGCATTGTACGATCGATGGGGCCAGGTCACATGGATGGATAGGTGCCGCTGTCTCGACCGCGCGCATACAAGAGCGCATCGATTTGTGCAAATTATGACACTCTCGTAGGGCCCGTTGGGTGTCTCGTCATGCCTCACCAGTCCTCTTCTCCTTGCATGCGTTAAAACACGTATTCTTCACCTGATAGCATTGTCAGTTGTACGAATACCAAGTAGTTGTTGTCTTGACAGACTAGAGGTAATTTATTGTTGACCCTGCGCCCCCTCTCGCTCCCCCCTCCCACACCAAACCTCTAGCAGGCAGCAGCCTTGCCGCTCTCCCCACGGCCCAGCCCGATGCCCTTCATGCGTCCCTTGAGCAACGCCTCCAATGCCTGTCCCACGGCCGGCAAGTCGCCCAGCATCGTCAGGTGTCCGCGTTCAGTGCTCACCCGACCCGCGCGTACGAGGGCATATCCTTCCGGTAGCATCGCTTCCCGCGCGAGGACCACGCCATCACCGGGCCTGAAAAGCAGGTCGTCGTATGCATCGGCACAAGCTATGCCGTCCCGACCCAGCACCTGCGCCGCGTACACCGTGGGTATGGACTTGCCATATAACACGGCGTGTGGGGGGTAGGAGTTTGAAGACTCATAGGTGGGGAGATGAGCCAGTTCCTGGCGAAACTTTCGGGTGGCGGCGAGGGTGCGGCGCAGATAGTTAACATACTGTTCACGTTCCGGAGGCGCGGGAGACGAAGCGGAGCCGGCGTGAGTCTCGGTGCCGAGTTGGGGCGCGATGGTACGGTCTTTGTGGGCGGCGGCCCCGGTTGCGATGCCCCACTGGGCAACTCTTCTCTCCTGCCCGCGAGCATTGTCGAGAGCTTCCGTCGTCTTCTTTTCCAAGCGGTTCCCCTTCAAGAGAGAGTTGGGGAAAAGGGAGGACAAGGGCGAGGACGACTGCTGCCTGTCTCGAATGTGCGGCGGTAAAACGGACCCAACGCAGGGGCTCAATCGCCACTTGATCCAGTCGTCTGCGTTCAAGAAATCGACCGGGTACTCCTCTCCAGTCTCCTTGTCGACAAAGCAGAAGCCGTCGTCCGGGAGCAGGACAAATGAGGTGCGAATCGAAAAGTTGACCTGCGCGGTGAGCAGCTTCTCATTGAAAAGCACGACATCGCCGTTGCGGAACGGCCCGAGAATGTTGATGCACCTCTGCGGCACGCCAGCGTACAGCACTCCGGCAAACAGGTCGGGCCGCTGGTTCACGGCGTGTCGCGTGATCAATCCGCCGAGACTGTGCGCAATGACCGTAGCCCCTCGTGATTCCGGATCCACGCCAGGCTGATTCGAGGGAAGGGTTGCAAGAAACTCCATCAATTTGCGTGAGGAAAGGGCCGGGCTCAGTCGCCAGTCGTAACCGTAATCCCATACACGGAGCTTGCCGCTGCGAGCATGCTGGCAAGCCCTCAGGCGTTTGAAAAGCTTGCGGGAAATGTCAATGGGGCCGATGTGTTTGAGCATGCCCGAGGGAACTATACGCTCCTCCATCGTCTCCTCGTCCTCGTCCTCCAAGCCCACCTCGAGATTGGCCTTGCGCATATTGAAACCCAGCTTGACGGGCGCCCAGAGCTGATGGTGCGGCGGCTCGGCAGACCGTAGTACTGACCCGCGATAGCCGCCAAGGAGGACAATGTCCCCCGTCAGTTCCTCTAGCACGCGGTCAAATGCTGTGGCAGCATTTGCCTTGGGCGCAGGGGCGCCCGCACTGCCAGGGAACTCTCCATCGTTTGCTCTTGAGGGTGATGCCACGCCATCGTCGCTGAAGCTTGAAAAGAAGTTGTTGAGCGAGATGGATGACATGCGTGCCGGCGTTTGAAACCGTGGAAGACTGGGCATCTTGAAGTTTGGTACGTCAGGAAGGCTGTCCTTGAGGGCCATGAAGCGTATATTGACCATCTCCCGAACATCTTGGAAGCGTTCGTCGTCACCGAGAGAGGAGGCACGCGATAGACTGTGGTACAGCATGCTGTCGTCGGACGTCACCCGGCGGAGAGGAGCAGGGCGGCGTGAGGTCCGAGCAGGAGATGGAGATCCGGACAAGCGCGGACCCACGATGGGCTCCTCGTGAGCTTGCCTTGCAGACTCTTGAGCATCCGGCAAGGGGGTGGGGGATGGCGTTTCTCGAATAGCAGCTGGCTTGAAGTTAGAGTTGCTGTTCTGGCTCTGCTTATGGTCACCCGTGAAGTTGGAGAAGAACGAGGTTGGGAGAGACGGCAGCAGGTGGGTGGGCATGGCTATAGACGGGAAAGCCTTTTGCAATCTTTTGAGTGCCTCCTGGCCGGCAGACCTCGAGCGCCGTCGCCTGGCCGGATCAAAGGCATAGCCTAGAAAGTCTCTGGTCTGGGGATAGCGAGCGTTTTTGTCGTTGACAGGGTCCCTGGGCCTGGACAGCCAAGGCGACGGGACCTGGAGGTGCTCTGGCCGCTGCGGTGAAAGGGTGCTTGGTAGCCGATCAACGTGTAGTTTCGGTCTGGCAGCAAATTCTTGTCCCACGCGCGGCGTGCTCACATCAGACGACAGAGGGTCTGCGTCACTTTCGGCGTCCTCTTCCGCCTCTGTCTCCGCGGTGGCGCCATCGAAGAAACCCCCTCCAGGCACGCGTTCCAGGACGGCGGCCTTTTCCGCAGCAGGCGTCAGGGAAGAGGTGAGGTGGCTCGCAGCCGAACTCATGGCCGGCTGAAGTGCAGCCTGGGCACCATCTTGGTCCTCGAAGATGGAATCGTCATCTTCGAGGTCGACGGCATCTCTGGACTGCGGTTGTGGCTCCTCCTGGGTTTGTGATTGGCTGCCCGAGGATCCGTTGCGTTGGGGGCCTGTCTGAGCTGACGGATTCGTGGTGTCCATGACTGCGAGCTCGCGCAGGAAGCTGCAGCGAAGAGCGAAGTTGCAGTTGAGTAGACAGAATGTTAGGTTTGGGCGAGATTTGTTTTGGACCAGAAGCGCGTCGTCGAGGTTGGTGACGTTGAGAGGAACAAAGGAACCAATGGGAACCCTTGTTGCGCCAAGTTGAAAGGCTGAACCGGCGTTTCTCGGGTCCTGGGGGAGAAGGAGGAAGACGAAGAGAAGAATCGTCGAGAAAATAGGAGAGGCGAAGAATTGAGCGGCTCTAGTTGTGGCCCAACATCGAGACCAGAACAAATGTTTTCGGATGAATGGGCGGCGACGATCGGTTCCATTGCCCCTTGCCGAATGGCGGTAAACGGCTGGTCGGAAAAGACGGGGCCAGGGGAAGAAGACGGGACTTGGGCCTTATCAATGGACTGTACTTATCATTAGTCGGCGCTTTTTTCCCGCCCCCCCTCTTGGTGGTTTGTGGTCGTGAATGCGTGCTTACTTATTGCCGACAGAGAGTGGCTGAAGCTGACGAGGATGACGGCGGCTGCTACCGAAAAGAGCGCGAGCCCCTGTCCAGCAACGCAGTAGCGGCGCAGCAGCACCGCGGCACAGCAGCACAGCGAGGCCCGGCTGGTGCTGTCTCGAGTGCCTTGTTGCTCTGGGAAGATGGCGGTGCCGAAGGTATTGGCATTCGGACAACAGCAGCGGGTGGGGGGTCGTTTGCGCGCGCCTGCGGTCCTTTGCAAGTCGGAGTCGTCGAGTTCAAGATTCAGGAGGCGCCAGGCTGAGCGCTGATGGAGCCGAGGGACGTTGAAATTGAGGCCGGACCACTCTCGCTTCCCCACTTGCACTTGCTCTGCCACCTGGCCGCTCCCTCTTGCCGTATCCGCACTCGATCCAGTCCGGGCTTGCCGTAACCGTCACTACTGTACCGAGTACAGCGGCGGTGGCGGCCACACCTTGGCAGGCGCGTCTCTCGATGGTGCCAGTGGCGCCAGGCTGACGTCACTCACCGAGCCGGTAGCCGCGGTCCACGTCTCTTGCCATGTGGTTAAAGCAGTACAGTACCTAATTCGTGCAAGGTTACTTTGTTACTGCACGTGGTGCAACAGGCGCCGGAGCATCGGCCCGGCTACCTGCCGGTACCTTGCTTGTACCTGTACTCCACGGACTTGTACTCCACGGACTCAGCCAACGACCAACAGTCATCCAGTACCGCTTCCGATGCCGCCTCTTCTCCAAATGCCCGTCGCCCGAAACACGGCGACTGACTGCAAGCTGCCCGCAACACACGCGCTGCGCCGCCGCCGCTACTCACCATGTCCACCCACGAGCCCCGGCCGCCCTACTCGGACGCGGAGCTCGCCGTCCTCTACCCCCCGCATCTCCGGCTGCAGCTCGTCCAGATCCTCCTCCGCCACGGCGAGCGCAGCCCCGTGAGCCCGCGCTTCGTCAACGCCGGCGTCCCGCCCTTTTGGCCCTACTGCTCCGCCGTCCGCCACCTGCGCTCCGCCGTCCTCGACCCGGGCGACCCGCGCTCCTCCTTCTCCACGCTCGAGTGGAAGCGCCGCCTCGAGACGTTTGGAGCCGCCGATGACTCCCCCGTCGTCGCCGCGGGCCCGGCCGGCGAGCTCGACGCCATCTGCGACATGGGCATGCTGACGGACCGCGGCCGCGAGACGACGCTACGCCTCGGCCAGAGGCTGCGCAGGCTCTACGTTCAGCAGCTCGGCTTCCTTCCCGCCGGCATCAAGGACACGGACTTCATCTACCTGCGCGCCACCCCGATACCCCGTGCCCTCGAGTCCATGCAGCAGACGCTCCTCGGCCTCTATCCCTCGCACACCCGCGACCCCGATCTCCCGCCCCCGACCATTCTTTCCCGCGCCCCCGCCGACGAGACCCTGTTTCCAAATGACGGCAACTGCCGACGCTTCGCCGCCCTGGCGCGTGCCTTTGCCCAGCGCGCCGCCGACCGGTGGAACGACTCGGGCGAAATGGCATACCTGACCAAGAAGCTCGGCAAGTGGATGCCCGACGACAGCCCCAAGGTCGCCGTCGATTCTCGTCCGCGCCTCAGCGGCATCATGGACACCATCAACGCCACCAGCGCCCACGGCCCGCAGACCAAGCTGCCGAGCGAATTCTACGACCCAAAAGTCAAGCAGATTATCGAGAAGATTGGCGTCGAGGAGTGGTACGCGGGCTACAAGGAGAGCCAAGAGTACCGCACCCTGGGCATCGGCGCTCTGCTCGGCGATGTCGTCTCCCGCATGGTCGGCAGCGCCGAGCAGAGCCCGGCCGACGGAGCGCAAGAGGTGACGCGCAAGGCCGGCGCGGGCGCCGTCCCCATCCGCCTCGGCCTCAGCGGCTGCCACGACACCACCTTGGCCGCCACCCTGGCCAGTCTCGGCGCTTTTGAGACAGACAACTGGCCCCCCTTTACCAGTCACGTCGCCATCGAGCTCTTCCGCCGTGCCGACGAGCCGAACCCCTCCAGCGCACGCTCCTGGTGGCCGTCTCTGCTCGGCGGCGCCGCGTCTCCCCCTGCCATCGGCCGCAAGCCCACCACGAACCTGAGCGATGCCCAGAGGCAGGCTATCCAAGGCTACTACGTCCGCATCCGGTACAACGACGTGCCCGTCACCGTCCCCGGCTGCAGGGCCCCGGGGAAGCACCTCGACGGCGACGAGTCCTTTTGCACCCTGGTGAGATTCCGCCCCGGTGCATCACATGTGGAGCCGCCAGCTGACGTGAAGGCTGTAGGAGGCTTTCAAGGCCATTGTAGACAAATTCACGCCCCAAAACTGGAAGCAACAGTGCCGCACCGGCGTCAAATTGCCCGCCTTCCCTCCTCGACCGGAGCCTGCAGGGTACTAGGTCGCACAGTGAAGACGACATTAGCATAATTATCACTTTCCCATCCTTTGGACTCTACACTTGCAAATAACCCACACACACGCACAGACGAATGAAGCAGTAAACGATGAAACAAAAGTAAACATCCACTCCACGTGAATAGCCATGTACAGCCGGATCCTGGCATTTCGACTGCGGGGTTCACTGAACAGGTGCCCTTGTGCTTCGATGCTGATTCGGACCGACGACGCCAAGTCGTTGGGGTTCAGTGAATAATTACCTTGGTTGTGCGATTTCTTCATGACACGCCTGACAGTATGATCAATCTAGGTGGTCTTCGATTTCATGTCAGTTCTCACAAACCACAGATATTGGATATCCGTTCACGCGGCATTCACTGCTACGGCACAGCACCCATAGACAGGCAGATACCTTCAAGTCAATATAGAGATGATTCGTCTGATAGTATCCTGAATTCGGCAGTGACACCCCTTCCTGTCCACCCCTTTCATGACCCTCGCCCCTCTCTTCGCCCCAATTGCGTTCCGGAAATGGCATCCGAGTAAGCGTTCCTCACCTATTCCATTTAACCGCCTTTGCTCTTCAATCCCGCAGGATTCCCGGGGCAGCTAGCCGAGCGCTAGCAAGATGGAAAATGAAACTCAACATAATACAGTGAAAAGGAAGGTAATTACCGAAGTATGCGGGGTGAAGCAGCTAGATAATAAAGTAGCCTGTGCGGAAAGGAACTGACTGTATAAGCAAAGGGCAGATGACCCCGACAATTACAACAAATACGGAATTGCCATTACCGTTACCGCGCATGGGGCGGCGGCCCGTGACGGATCGTCAGGGTCCAGGTTAGTTGGCCACCTCTTCTTCGACCCATCCGTTAAGCCCACCCTGAATGGCGAGGCCGAAGCCAGCAGCACCAATGCCGCCAAAGCTGGACTGGTACTGGTGGCCACGTCGCTCGCCCTCGCTGCCGTTGCTTCCTGGGACGCTGCTGGGGCTGGTGCCGCCGTTCTCGAAGCCCGGGGCCAAGACAGGCAAGCTGACCGCTCGGCTGTGCTGGCCGCGGGGGCCTGGCGCGAGCAGCCCGCCAATGGTAGTCGGGCCTGAGGTTGCGGCGTTGGCAACATAACCGTTTGAGATGCTCGCCGACTGCCCGTGACCGCCCATCTGGCCTTGCTGAGGCATCTCCAAGTCGTTGGGCGACGACTGAGCCGTGTTGAAGAGTATATTCTGTTGCACAACCAAGGGGTGCTGACCCTGGTGCTGGTGCTGATGTTGCACTTGCTGCGATACTTGGCTTAGGTAGACGGTGAGGGGGTTACTGGAAGCATTGAAGAGGACAGCCGATTGCTGAGGAGTGTTGCCGTTCGGGGGCGAACCGCCGTTCTGGGACCCGTTGGTCGGGGGAGAAGGCACCCCGTCGCCTCGAGGCGAGTGGTTCTGCTGCATTTGCCGGGGAGGATTGCCGCAGCGGTCTTTCCCAAAGTTGACCTTGTATTTCTTGTACTCGTCCCTGCCGCGGATGGCCTCAATGGCCTTGATGGCATTGGCAATGTTGGTAAAGTTGACAAAGGCGCAGCTCTTTTCGCGTAGCGTGTTGACAAGCTCAATTTCGCCGTACTCGGAAAAGTCCTGGCGGAGGCGCTCCTCAGTCCACGTCTCGTCCAGGTTGCCGACGTACACATTGCGCGAGGCTCCGCCGCTGACGGCCAGGGCAATGGCCGGAGGCAGGGCGCCAGAGTGCTTGCCCCATCCAATCTTGAGTCTGCGGTTGTGAATCATGAGGCCCTGGAGGTTGCTGAGGGCGTAGAAGGAGGCGGCTGCTGTAGGGTCGATGAAGGTGACGAAGCAAATGTGCTTGTCCGGAATGTAGCGGATGTGATGCAGCAGACCGCCCCTGACGACGTTGCAAATCTCCTCAATCGTGGTCTCGGGATGAATATTGCCGAGGTATATCGTGCGGTTGCCCAAGTTGTTGATGCCACCGGCAGTCGTCGCGACGGCGGCAGCCGCGACAGACTGCTGAGCCAGAGCATTGGAGATGAGGTCTCGGTCAGCGCCAGTCAACATGTGCGCATACCCAGGAGCGATGCCGAGGTACTGGGCGGCGTTCTGCTGCTGCGTCTTGGAGACGTAGGCACATCTGTCCTTGCCATAGTAGACACGGCGGGGTGCCTGCCACTTGGGCTCTTGAGGCAGCTGGGACACGGCCTTGATGGCATTGGCAATGGAGAGATAATGAACAAAGGCAATGTTCTTCTCTCGCACGAGCTTGATGGTGTCGACGGCCCCAAATTTGGCGAGATCCTCGCGCAGCTCCTCGTCGGAAATGTCCTCGGGCAGGTTGCCGAGATAGACGTTGCGAGAGGCACCGCTCTGCTGGACGGCCAGTGCAACAGAGGTAGGTACCTGAGAGGGCTTGCCCCAGCCGACCTTGATGTCCTGGCCTTTGATGCAGAGCTTTTTCAAGATGGCATCGGAGTGAAAGTGGGTGGCGGAGCTGGCGTCGAGAAAGGAGATGAAGGCGCAGTTCTTGTCGGGCAAGAGACGGACAGACTCGATCTGACCGCTCCGAACGTGACCCAGGATTTCCTCGGCCGAGGTGTCCGGGGGAATGTTGCCGAGATAGACAGTCCGGCTGGTGCCAGTGACAACGCCGGATCCCATCGAGACCGGTGAAGCGGGCTGCATGGGCGTCTGGATGTTGAAACCGCCGGTCGGCGACTGAGGCGGGTAAAACTGAGGGGCACCATACGTGGACGGGGAGACGATTGCCTGGTAGGACTGGGACGAGATGCTCTGCTGGACAGGGCTCGACATGCCCCCGTTGTGCAACTGACTGCCTCCGTGCGGCTGCTGCTGTGCCTGCTGAAAACCCGACAGGCTCTGAAACTGAGGGCTGCCAAAGGCGGCAGGGCTGCCGGGCTGGAACGGGCTTCCGAGGAGGAGCTGGGAGGGCAGCAGAGGGGTGAACTGCATGTCGAAGCCCGTGCCCGGGGTCGTCATGTCGTTTGCGTGAGACACCGGAGCTTGCTGGCTCTGATTGACGGCCTGGGTGTTGAGAGGCGGCACGTTGCCTCGGCGAGGGTGGCGGTCAGCGAAGCCCGTCACGTTGGAGGCAAAGGCGCCGTGCGAGAAGCCGGTGTCGCCGAAAGACGGCTTCGAGGCATGGCCCTGCTGGAAGCGGTTGGCGGCGTTGGCACCGGGACCGCCCTGGCCAACGGATCCTTCAAGGTCTTGCATGCCTAGCAAGTGAGGGGGGACAAGCGAGTCCCGCCCGGGGTGCGATAGGACAGCCGTTTTGAAGGATTGGACGTGCCCGCAAAAGGCACGAAAGGGATCCGGGAGAAGAGGAAGGCAAGGAGGCCGTTTGTTCGTTGCTTGCTAGCTCGAATCAGGAGAAGGTCGTGAGAAGGGTCGATTAAGCCCGCAACCGAGCAACAAGGAATACCGTCGAAGCAGCCGAGACGAGAAGCAACGGATCGTGTAGAAGGGCGCAACGCCGACGGCTCAAGAATAGAGCAAGCTGGGGTACGTATGCACGGTAGTTTTGATGAATAGGATGGTCGAAGCGTCAATCGTGTAGAAAGGCAAGGGTAGGTCAACGTCGGGAACGAAGATTCGAGCCGGCAGGCAGCGACGGGGACGAGAAGTCTGGTCGAAAGTAATGGACGATGCAAAAGGCTCTGCTGCGAGGGTCGGAAGGACGCGAGCAGCGGCGGATATTTGGATCTTGGAGAGGGCGTGGAACGCGAGCCAAGCGAATATGACTTGATGAAGTTGAAAGAAGAATGAAATAGGCGGAACGAGCGTAGACGAAAGGTTAGACAAGAGTCGAGGAGTCAGAAGCAGGCAACGACGAGGAGCTGCATCTGGAGCAGAGCAGGGACACTCGCAGAGACCAGAGTCGAAGAGAAAAAAAAGGATGAATGAAGAAGAATGAGATGAAGCGCGCAAGAAACGGCGGGCAGAGGTCGACGGAAGGGGATTGGCCGGCTAGTAAGAGTCGGCTCGAGTAGATGTACCTGGGCAGGGGATAAGTACCAAGGTACTTACGTAGGTATGGTAGGAAAGGGAGTCTGGAGTACTCCGTACTGTATCTTGCCTTTGGCGGGCGAGGGACGGAGTGGATCCAAGGGTCAGGGGGGCGTGTTGAATAAGGGGGTTTTTCTTCTCTTGAGAACCGGAAGGGACGAGGGACAGCACCGGAAACACAGACGGCGCACAGTACGAATAAAGGCACGGCATCCTCCCAGACACGGTGCCGCACGTACTTTACCGAATGGAACCCCGTCCTGCAGTGGCTTGCTTGCTCTGTGGAGATGGGGGAGGCTCTGTCTGGCTACCATACCTCCGTACCAAGAGACACCAAAAAAGGTCAGTGTACACACGAGGACGGCGGGCAGCCAAGGCAGATTCCGAGTCGATTGGCCCGAGAGAAAGGGGGAGAGTGCCCTGGGTGCCATGATGCGGTTGTAAGGTTTATGCTCAGGCACAGGCACAAAGTCCAGACGGATGCGCACAAGTCAAGGCACCGACGGCTACTAGTGGCCGACACATATCTAGGCACTCATGCCTCGCGGCAAGAGACACATGATGCCGTTATGCAAACGCTTGCACTGTCCACGACCGGCAGGGGTCGAAGAAATTACGGGCAGAGGTGCGAATAGGGGCTCGCGATGAGCTCCTGAGGTACTTGCGCTTGCCCAATCAGCCAATTGCTTCTGTCGGTGAGGTGGTGCATTTCCAGCATTTCCAGGCACAGTGTCGAGGCCAATGCCTGACCGCACCCAGCAGCTACCCGGCGGGCACATTCTCGTGCACGCTGCACTGCACTGGTAGTAGCGCCTTGGCAGTCAAGGGGCACGCATCAGTGGGCTAGGTACCTAGGCTAGGTACTAAGCCGTGTATGTACCTAGTAGAAAACTCAATAAAGGTGGGGGCGGACAGTTGGAATTGGTAGTGGTGGTGGTTGAAATGAGCCCCTGGCAGGGGAAAGGGAAGGAAGGGGGTTTGAGGGCTCGCCCGTCTTGGTACTGATGAATCTCTAGGTACTTTGGACACACTGTGCCTGGCATGCAGAGGTAAACGGCACAGGGCGAGAATGATCACGCGAGTAATGACCCGCCTTCCTCGGTTTCCTCTCTCTTGTTTCCTTTTTCTGGGACAGAGGGCAAATAATGAGAGCGATATGTGCGGACTGGTCTCATGGCCATCTCCGGCGAGGCGAGGCCCAGGGGCTTGCTCTCCGCCCAAGCAAGTACCGGTACCTACCCGCGCCAGAAAAGCCCAACGCAACGGGTACGGATACAGTACTCCGTACTGTCTGTCCTAATTATCTGCACGTCAGCTCTGGCAGAGAGGACAGACAAAGAAAGCAGGATTCGTAGGGGCTACTCGCGTGCATGACCCTTTATGCCTGTCATGATGTACATGACTGATAAGGGAAGTAGTTCCGGCGCCCTACCAACAAGCACTCTCAACTTACTTGCCTGCCGACTCGAGAGGCCGACAATGTGCCATGCGCCCTCGGGTCTTCCGAGATTCCCAGCCATCATGGATGGCTTCGGCCCATCAAGGCAACAAAGGGAGCGGGTGGCTCATGTTCCCGAGTCGAGGAGAAAGGAGATCCGTGTCCTAGACCTGCGTACGGAGTAGGGACAATAGAAGAGTGATGCCATCATCCATCGTCACCGGGTTGCCCCTAAGCCTACGTGTGTAGCCCGGCACGTGCCATGCTCAGTGCGCCCACGCAGCTTTTATTGCCCCCGAAGCAGGCGGTCGTTGCTCTCTATGCGTGTCCCAGTTTGGCGAGGCAATCCGGGCTTCTCTGCTTCCCATGTACTGTGAAAGCCCCCGTGCGTCTGTGCTTTACTCGTACGCAAACAAGAGCAGCCTTTGGAGGTGGCAAGGGTCTTTCTTTCTCTCTCTCTTTTTTGGGGGGGGTTTCGACAGCCGTCAGTCCATCTGATTCTGATCCCTGCAGGCAATCTCGACGTAATGCGTGTCTATGTGCGCCAAGCAAGATTCGTATAGACTCGCAAATCCACCCTTGGCCAGTCATGCATGGAGCACGACAAAATCCACGACACGAGCGTGTATGCCGAAGCGACTCATGCCACCGGGGCGTTTCAAGATCGACCTGTGTTTGCGAAATACCCCGAATGGGATAGCCATCAAGACGAGCTGTACACCAATACCAAGTATGCCTTGTCTTGTGGATGCTGCTTTTGCTGCCAACAAGTCAGTCCACAGGGTACAGTGCAGCGACGAGGCCCAACATGACGTCGAGACGAGGGCTGAGCACTGTGGCGGCATCTTCAAGCCTCCCCTAGTCCCCGTGCCCGTGCCCCATGTTTCTGGCGCTAGAAGACGCGGATGCTCCCTTTTGGGCGACCGGGGCAAGGGGCGGCTGCTTCACCACGGCCGTGGGGGCATTCGAGAGGCGGCTGGCTTCGACTCAACCTCTGCGCGTGCTCGCCCAAGCTGGACAGGCACTCCAGGGCCTGCCTCGGGTGTCATCCCGTTAATATCTCCTATCCGTACAGTAGTCCGTAGAGGGCAGGCCTGCGCTGCGGCACATACATATATGATATATGGCCTCTATTTCCGTACTTGGTATAAGTTATGTCCGTACGCGAGGGAAAGACGAGCAAAAGAGGTTGCCCGTGAGCGTGTCTCGGCGCCGGCCCTGAGACTTGTACCGTCTTCCGGCCAAGGTTCTAGACATCGCAGAGCTACAGTAGAGGCTCATTTTCATCGCCACTATGCTCATGCTCGTGGAACTAGGAGGTCGACGACGGACTGCGAGCCCGCCCTCTCGACATGCGGCGTTGCTTGGGTGGAACGAGCTTCCAGACGCCCCCTTTTTCCTGGTGCATGTCCAAAGAACAGCAGGTAAGTAGGTAGCTTACTTAAGGAGGTACGTACCTATGATTACCTACAGTGCAGTACGGATACAGGACAGGACAGTACGGAGTACATGCTTCGGGCCTCTCCCTTGAATCCCTTGAAGGGGGCGGAAAGGGGACATGTGGGGATGGGGTGAGTCGAGCATCTACAGCGGGACGCCCCCCAAAACTGTAACCTACATATGAGGGCCCGCCGTGTGCACAGTGCGGGAGAGCCCTTCTTCTATGAAAACCTCGGAAAGTCACGATGGCTTCCCTAGAGCTACCGTACACACACGCAGGGCTGGCGAGTCGCAGAGACCGAGTAACGGAGCAGAAGAACAGAAGATGAAACAAGGCCCAAGTACGACCTTTTTCCTTCTCATCGACCGTCGCAGAGGGCTGCAAATCACACACTTTGGGGGGTTCGTCGCAAAAGCCCCGGCCCTGCTTCCGTCGGCCGTTCCGAGAGAGACGAGGCACAGTTCGAAAGCCAGCCGCTGATGGAAGCTGCCGAATACCACCTCGAGTCGACCAGGCGAAACCACTTCCGATGCGTGTCGAGCCCCTAATCGTCCCCACTTCCGTCTGCCTTCCAGTTCCAGGTGTCGAGAGGCACCTTCTTCCTTTGCATGCTTGCTTGGCAGAGGTGACGGCGCCAATACCCGCTTCTCTCAACCTCCCCCAGACGTTGTCCCCAGACGTCATCCCCAGACTGGGCATCATCCCCCAGATGGCCGAGCAGAAACGAACTTGTTACATCGACGGCCGCCAAGCTTGTCGCTTTCTCACAGTCCCGCCCGTCCGATGCTCCTCCACGTTTCGCCGTATTCCTTGTCGACAAACACGGCCGTCCAAACTCATTCACGTGCCCCTGCTCCATAACGTGTGCACATACGCGTCCATGCGGTGGCTTGCCCGAGCTTGGGTCCTCTTTTCTTTAGCTCTGCCACTACCAAGTACCGTCTGCGACATCCGCCCTTTCTCGTCAGCCTCAGCGACTAGGCCCGGCAAATACGTCCGCCCGACTCCTCACAATCCTGTGTGTCCCATGGCAGCAGCGTCAATTCCGAGCCTCTGAATCTACTCTCTATATTTCATAGTCGTGGCCGGCCCAACACCCCAGACAATGGCCTCGAACAGCTTCGTCACCTCGGCAAAAGTCGCCCTCGCCCTGTGCCCTCACGGCTTGCAGCGCCCCATGTATCGGGGATACAGGCACGTCGTCCGCACAGTGTGCTGGGCGGCCATCCACGCGAGGAAGCGCTCCAGGCCCAACCCGTAGCCGCCGTGAGGCGACGTGCCGTACCTGTCGAGGATATCAGTACATCTCTTCTGCCCCGGCTTCCTTCACAAGGGCCTCGACTCACTTGCGTTGATCCGTGTACCAGTAGTAGTCCTTGGCCGGGATGCCCTGCTTGTCGTACGCCGCCAGCAGCTCCTCATAGCCCTCCATCCTCATGGAGCCGCCGACAATCTCTCCGACGCCGGGCATCAGGCAGTCGACGCTCTCCGTCACCCGCACGTCGCTCGGGTCCTTTTTCATGTAAAAGGCCTTGATCTCGACGGGAAAGTGCGTGAGGAAAATGGGCCGGTTGATGGCATCCGTCATCCTGCGCTCGGCCGCCTCGGCAATGTCGTCGCCAAAGACGTGCGGGTTGCCCTCCTCGTTGGGGATGGGGGGGTCCTGCTTGTTGAGCCACTCAATGGCGTCCGAGTACTTCATGCGCATAAAGGGCCGCGACGGCCGGCTGAAGCTGGGGTTGAGCTCCTTGAGGAGGGCCGCCATCTCGGCGTCGTCGAGCACCGTGTCGATGACGCGGCAGATGATGTCCTCGAGGTGCACCAGGAGGTCGTCAAAGTCGACAAAGTCGAGCTCGGCCTCGACGTGCGTGTACTCGGACAAGTGGCGCCTGGTCAGGCTCTTCTCGGCGCGAAACGACTTTTCAATGCAGTAGACATTGCCGAGGCTGGGCAGGACCGTCTCGAGGTAGAGCTGCGAGGACTGGGTGAGGTAGGCCTTTTCCTCGTAGTAGGGCACGGTGAAGAGCGTGGCGCCGCCCTCGACCTGCGTCTGCACCAGGGCCGGGGGCGACACCTTGACAAACTTCATGTCGTGGTAGGCCTTGATAAAGGCCCACTCGACGTGGGCGCGCAGCTTCATGAGGGCCGAGGCGTTGTCGCCGCGCAGCACCAGGTGCCGGTTGTCGAGCATCTGCTGGTCCCACTGGTTCTGCGTCGACGACACCTTGTTGGTAATGGCCTCGTCGTCGCCGGGCGAGGTGCCAATGACCTGGTAGTAGTCGACGTGCAGCTCGCGGTTGTCGGGGGCCTGCTGGCCGGCGGGCACCTCGCGCATCTCGCCGAAGAGGGTCAGCGAGGTGCCCTGGGCAAAGGTCAAGGCGTCGTACGTCTTGGTCAGGTCGCCCGCCTGCAAGACGCACTGCAGGTGGCCGCCGCCGTCGACGAGGGTGATAAAAGTGGCCTGCTTCTGGGCGCGCAGCCGGTGGATGCGGCCCGAGACGCGGACTCGGGAGCCCTCGCGGCCGGCGCCGTCGCCCAGCGCGACGCCCTTGTCGGCAATGGTCATATTGACGGCCTTGGGCAGCGAGGCGTCCTCGGCGAGCACAATCTTCTTGGAGGCCTCGAGGTTGTCGAGGCGTTGCTGCCTGCGGGCGTCCTCGGCGGCCTGGGCCTGCTGCTGCTTGACCAGCTTCTTCCTGTGCACATCGAGGGCGCTCTGGGCCTTTTTGACGGCGCTCTTGGCGGGCTCCTTCCACGCCAGCCGGGCCGCCGGGTCCTCGTCCGGGCCCAGGGCGCCCGTGACGGAGGCGCGGACAAGGTACTGGGCGGCCGGGCGGTCGACGTTCTGGATGTAGGCGTAGGCGAGCGACTTCCAGGGCTTGGCCTCTGAGCCGTCGGCGGCCGCGTCGTCGGCGCCCGAGTCGGTGTCGACGTAGAACTTGTCGGCGCCGCCCTTGACGCGGTGAGCGAGCTCCTGCACAGCTGCCATTGTGAGGTGAGGGGCGAGAGGTGGGTAGGCAATGGGCGAGCAGAGGCGGCAGAGGCACGTCTTGACGAAGCGTGTACGAGCGTCGGCTGGAGCCCGTGGGCGAGAGTGCGTGTGCTGAGCGCCGACGAGGAGTGAGGCCCGGGAAAGAAAGGTGGGATGGCGGGGTCGAGGGTCGAGAGGGTCGGGGGTACATACAAGTAGTAGGTAAACTGGTATTACTTACCTAGGTAGGTACCGGGTAGCCAACTCACACACAGCACGGTGAACAATGGCGGCAATTGGTGGTGACTCAACACGCAAACAGAACTCATACAGCAACGACGCTGCGACATCGGCCTTTGCCTGACGCACCGTCTATCCTCGTTTCCCAACGACAGTCGGTGCCCCTTGCAGCCCTTGCAGGGAGGGCCTCCTCACACATGTCTTGGCCTCCCAAGAAGAGGGGGGATCTCGACGACTTGCCTTGCCCCCATGATGCAAGAGAGAGAGACACAACTAATCGTCATTTGCCTCCCCTACAGCTCGTCCCTGCCACTCGACCGGCCTTTGTCCTCGAGAACGCGCTTGACCATGGACGTGAGCACCTCGTAGACGACCTGCGCCGCCGCCAGCGCCGTCTCCTCGCCGCGGCCCTGGTACGCCGGCGACACCTCGACCACGTCGGCGCCCACCACGTTGAGCCCCTCGATGCCGCGCAGCACCCGGATCAGCTCCCGCGTCGTCCACCCCCCGGGCTCCGGCGTCCCCGTCCCGGGCGCAAACGCCGGGTCCAGCACGTCAATGTCCACCGACAGGTACACGGGGTCCTCGGTGCCCAGCGCCTGCATGATGCCCGCCACGATGCCCGCCGTGCCGCGCTCGTCGATGTCGTCGGCCGCGAACCGGATCCAGTTCTGCGACCCGTCGTCGTCGTAGTCGGCCCACGCCGAGCCGCTGAGCCGCGTCCGCAGGCCCGCGTGCACCGACGGCTCCGACGTCGAGTTGGACAGCAGGCCCTCGCGCTTGGCCATCCAGAACATGGAGCCGTGCGTGAACTGCGTGGCGCCCCAGTGCGACGGGTATGCCTCGGGATTCCACGTATCGAGATGCGCTGCAATCGCCAGTCAGCCCCGCTGAGTTGACACGCCGCTGTTGACTGCTGGGCTTCTCACCGTCAAAATGAAGCACCCGGACCGGCCGTCCGTAAACGTGGTTCAGGGCCCTCAGCGCAGGCAGTGTCAGACTGTGGTCGCCGCCGAGCGTCACCATCCTGGGCTTGGGGCTCAGCGCCGACACCGACGCCCGCTCGCCCAGACTCTTCAGGGCCTGCGTCATCTGCTCGCGAGCAATGTTGTTGTCAAAGGGCGTGATGGGGATGTCTCCGCAGTCGACAATCTTGGCCCAGCTCTGGTACGGGTTGATGCCGGCCCGCGGGTTGAAGCCGCGAAAGGCCGTCTGCCGAGACGAAGCATGGCGGATGGCACGGGGGCCGAATCGGGCGCCTTTGAAGCTCTGCCGTCAGTCGCGAGGACAGGCCGAGGATGGGACGGGAGACCACGACGAAGGCCCGACAACAAGGGGGACGACCTGGGTGACGGACCTGGGCGAAACGTGACGGCCGTGTCAAATGGCGCGCCGATGATGGCAATGTCGTACCGCGCCCCTGGGTCCGTCAAGCACTTGACGTGCTCGAGATGCGCAAAGGACCCGATTCCCGAGAACCCCCACTGAGAGAAACGGCACGTACATGGTCAGCCTCAAGCTCGGCGTGTCGCCCCAGGAGCTCCAACGGGTAGGCAGGCATCCAGGGCGGAACCACGCTGTGTTCCCCAGACCAGGCCGGCGGGTGCTGTGCGTGTGTAGACTCACCTCGGCGCCCCATTTCGCCTCGAGCTCGGCCAGCTCCTCTTTTGACCATTCCTTGTCGTCGTCGTCGTGCTTCCCGTGCCCGTGGCAAGCCGACGGCAGGCCACACCAGAGGAGCAGGCTCACGAGGGCGGCGGCAGACTTCATGGCTTGCCGTCAACTTGCCCGGCTCGGTGGATGCCGTGACGAGCGGTGTAGATGCAGTGAAATGCCAGGTCAAAGCTGAACAAGCGTTTACTGAATGTGTGCGTGCGCGTGTGAGAGAGAGAGAGAGAGAGAGAGAGAGAGAGAGAGCGTGAGCAGAGCTGGGCGTATATGTTCACACTGTTGTCGTAGGAAAGTGTATGTATGTGCGTCTGCAGCGAGATAAATAATTATGTCAAGCCGCTCATTCAGACGCTCCCGGTCAATCGCAGCACGCGACACAGGCAAATGAAAAAGGGACCAAAGGCGGGCTTGTCCCTCCATCTGGACCCCTCGCCGGGAGAGGCGGCGGGAGTTGCGAGGGTCCGCGGACGCCGGGCCATGCATCAACCTCTGACGCCGGGTCCGGCACAAAGCCGAGGGAGGGGGAGGGGGCACCTGACATTGAATTGTGCCTAGTACATGGCCAAAGCTGTGTCTCCATTGTTCCATTCATTAGCCGCCGGAGAGCATCATCGTCATGATGTTATCTCGGCCCGCCTCACTCACCAACGCCGCCCGAAATCATCGTGACCGTCAAATTGAATTGCACTCCAATCGCCAAACTGTGCTATCGAAGCAGTCCGGCCTGCATGCATCGACATCTGCGAGGCCCCTCGCCCCCCCCTCTCTCCCCCCAAAGAATATAGAACAAGTAATAAAGAGGCGGCACAACCGCCCACCGGGGATGCAGGCACAGCAGAAATCAGCCAAACACGCAAGGCCGCGCGCGGGGGAGGGGGGGGAAGAGGGAGGTTTCAAAGCCGCGGCGGCGGGCTCAGGCTACAGACGGCCTCTCTCTCGCCCCTATCCACGGCAAGTCACGCATCATCCAACCTGGTCTGCCGCTTCCTCGCCCGTGGTACAGCCAACAGTAGCATCTCGCTCTCTCTTCCGCTCTCTCTCGCTCTCTCGCTCTCTTTCTCTCTTTCTCTCTTTCTCTCTTTCTCTCTTTCTCTCTTTCTCTCTTTCTCTCTTTCTCTCTTTCTCTCTTTCTCTCTTGTTCTCTTGTTCTCTCGCTCTCGCGCTCTCTCGCTCTTCCCCCCCCCCTTTCTCCCACACGCACTCTCCCCTACATCTCATCCTCTCTCTCTCTCTCTCGGGGAGCCCGCCGCCGCACGCGAGCCGTCTCCAATCCACACAAAAACTCGACAAGGCTAGGGTATCCGACGAGGGGAGAAGAATGCCGATTCGAGGTCCTGCCCATGCGCTCGGCCTCACCTAGCACTGCCACCTGCTCGTCCAGCTCGTCATCCAATCCCGCCCAGCAAAACTCCCCCCGCTTCTAGCCATGCATGCCATGTTCGAGGCGGAGATGAAAGTACTGTATATCGAGGTATTTGCTAATTGTATGTCGTCTTCCCGTTCTTCCTCTTCGTCGATTGGTTTATAGGACTAGACACTTGTGCGGCTTCTTCTTGGGCATGGGCGGCTCAAGTGCAGCGACAATGGCCTAGAGCCCGTCAGTCTCATGTCTCTTGCCGAGTCTCTCGGGCGGGAGTGCGTACCTCGTCAAAGACATCCTTGAGCTTAAACTGGGTCAGCGCACTGCACTCGACGTACTTGACGGCGCCAAGCTCCTTGGCCATGCGTTCGCCGTCCTCTTTCCTGACGGGGGACATCTTCTGCCTGGCCAGCTTTTCCCTGACGCTCGGGTCATCCCGCAAATCTACTTGGGTGCCAACAATGAGGCAGGGGACGCCGGGGCAATGGTGGTGAACCTCGGGAAACCATTTCTCGCGGACGTTCTCAAAGGAGGCGGGGGAGGTGACACTGAAGCATACGAGGAAGACGTCGGTCTGGGGGTACGAGAGGGGCCGCAGCCGGTCGTAATCTTCTTGGCCCGCCGTATCGAAGAGGCCGAGGGTGTAGGGCTCGTCGCCAATCCTGCCGCGGCCGGTCAGCATCGAGCTAGAAGCAACCCAGTTGCCGGTTCAAGCATGCGCGTCCTAGCCTCCAGGACCATAGCCACGCAGGCCAAGGGCTCGTCCATGGGCGGCGGCAGCCCGAGGCTCGAGGGTCCAAAAGGGGAAGCGGAAGCATCAAGAGCAGAGGGCCCACTCACATCACCGTGACGGCATAGTTGTCGAAGACTGTCGGCACGTATTCCGAGGGAAACTTATTGGTCGTATAGCTGATGAGAAGGCACGTCTTGCCCACAGCACCGTCACCAACGACGACGCACCTGAAAGCAGCGGCAGCAGTCAGTAAAGGGGGAAACCTTGTTTTTTTCAAGAAAGAAAAAAGTCAAACGGTCCAGATGGGGAAAAGAGGGTCCGGGCTCGATCATCGTGAGATGGAACAGGCCCAGCAGCACGCCGAACATTGCAAGGGAGTCCAAGGCTCTCGTTCGCCTAGATGGGTACTGGAGCAGAGCCAGCTCGTTTGTCATAGGCCGGTGCGACGCAAAAGCCAGAGCACCGGTCGAGCATGTGCGAACGGGCGAGGCAAAGGGCGAACGAGAGAGCGACGCGGAAGGGGAAGGGGAAGGGTAGCGAGGATAGGGAGAGAGGGGGGCGGAAGAGGGACAAGCCCGGGAGGCTCTCTTGACGCACTTGATCGTTGCGACGACGGCCATGGTCGTGCTGGGGTGCTCCTGGACAGGAGCCGGTCTATTAGGATGTGCAGGCTCGAGCTGCTACGACGACGCAGACGGCCGACAGGCAACGATGGATGGATGGATGAAGGAAGAAGGACGACAGCGGTAGCGGAGGCGACTGGCGGAGGCGGAGGCGGAGGCGGCGACGAGGATGGCGGATGGCGGAAAGGATTGGAGATGATGGAGATGGAGCGAGCGAGCGAGAGCGAACTCGACGACGACGACGACGACGACGACGACGACGACGAGGGAGTTGAGGATAGAATGGGAGGAGGCCACTCAACGAGGCGCGGCGGCAGCGGCAGCGGGCGGCGATACGGACGATGAGGCGAAGCAAGGCGATGGAGGATGGAAGCGAATTTAGCGGGTGGGTGAAGGGGCCGTTGGCTGGTGGTGGTGGTGGTGCCCGCTGGCGCGCTGCTGGTGCTGCTGGTGCTGGTGCCGCTGCTGCCACCAGTAGGGGGCGCTGTGGAAAAAATAAATTGGGGGTCCCTTGGGTGCTGTTGGCGGGCAGCAGGCGGTGGGGGGGGACCCAGAGGCTAGAGCTTGTGGTTGATGTGTTTGTTTTGCACTGTCCAGGGTGCTTGCTTGCCCGTTTCTATTGCACAGGCCGGCCAGCAATGCCAGCGGCTAGCCTGCTAGGCCCGACTGGGCGGTGGTGGTTCGTGCCCGTTGCCGTCGGCGGTACCGGGTACGGCCCTGGCCGCAGGGTGTCTCGGGCGGGCAGACCAGCGCACCAGGTAATTACTCCGTACACTGGAGCGGACGAGACTGTCCAGGGCAGTGAGGTACTCGTGTGTACGGAGTAATCAGTACTACTACCTACCTACCCAGGTACTAGTAGTGGGTAAGTACTTAGTAACCCCAAGACGGGGGCTGCCCGGGTGATGTGATGCCAGCGGGCTCCCTGTCATGGCCTTGCTGCGAGGCTCGTGTCTAATTATCCTGGATGACGAACAATGTATCCATGTCCCATCACGGGAGACACGTCTGGCCCTGACAGGTGAGGCGAAGCGGGGCGCCAGCCAGGCCTCGCGACAATGGGCGGGGAAGAGAATCTACAAGCGCCATCATCATGGTGCTGCTGCTGCATCCTCCCTCACATTGACGAGGTCCAAGGACCATATACATAAATGGGCAAAAAGCCGCATCCAGTTTGTCTCCCTCCCCCAACAACAACCACCACCACTCCCACGACGTCCTCCCGCCCACTTGCTAATGTTTGGGAGCTTGCTTGCTGGCAGGCCCACTGTTGGCGGGGGACGCGCGCACAGATGAATGACCTCACTGCTACTCCGCAGCCTTTCCTGCCTTCTCTGCTCCTCCGAAGGCGTGCTTTGACGGTTGGTCATGACCACATACCAGCAGCAGAGGGATGGTGGATGCTACCCAAGGGCCCAAGCCTGGGAGCCTAGGCGCAACCGCTTACTGGACTGCACATTGCCCAAGTGCATCAAGGCCGTGGCACTTGGCACTTGGCACTAACAAGTGCACGAGGTGGCTGTGGAAGGTTGGTCGCCGGCTGGTCGCTAGCGAGAGGCCGGGGGGCAGAAACATGATGAAACCAACGGACCCTTTTCCGACTTGCCGTCGGTGTGCATCCATCTCGAGATTGGATATACAGATAGACGGCATATGCAAATATCAAAGATCCTGTAGGGTAACTACCTAGGTAGCTCGTGCCGAGAGAGGCCAAGAGTGACAAGCCATTGGCGGGGGACCAGAAAAGACATGCGGTAATTAATTATCATCGAATTCGCCAAAGGACTCTAATTAATTAGTACGTAGATGTATCCATGCCCTGGGTGCGGAGGAAGTGTGGGGACGAGGGACATGCCCAAGGTCGGGCGGGACCTTTTCTCCCTCCGGCGCCTTTGCCTACCCGGTACCTCCCAACCAACACAGTTCGCCTCCGTAATTAATTTCGACAGCAAAGGCCGGCAACTCACACATCGAGCCACCAGCAGATGGAGCATCCGCTTGCTCCATCACGGCTTACCATGACACTCATGCTTGCTCGCCCTCACACACGCAGGGTACAGAATTGGCATCTCGCCTGCGTGGCCTCCACGGCGCAGGCAGGCTGCAGCGGATACATGTCCAAGGACGTCGAGGCGGCCAATCGTCGGTTTCCGCCCCCAGGAAGGCTGCGTGCTGTCTGTACCGAACTCGAGCCCGGTCAGGGGAAAGCAGCGCGGCATGCAACCGAAAACATACATCCCTGGTCAAGACCCCTTCTTCCACGGCGATGCGTGCAAGCCAAGCTTTCGCTAGATGGAAATCCCACGACTTGACACCCACCTCACGACCCACCGCCGAAGCCGCAATGGTGGGTTGTCCGGCTGGCAATCAGGACCTTGGCAACGCGCGGCGCCTGTTCTGTTGATCAACAACCGCGGGCCTTCGGACGGCCACGCAATTCGCCGGTCCACACCGTCTCGCTCTTCGGCGGGAGCAGGCCGAATCATGGATGGAGGCCCCGAGTCCAGGCCGGCAAAAGCCATGTGTCCATGTGTAGGGCGCACAGGTGGCTGTGGCGATGGACTGGCTTTGGTAACCTGCATCGAGGAACCTGCATCGAGGAAGCATCAGCAAAACGGCGGGACAACAGACGAGACGGGTCCATGTCTTGTCGCCCGCTGTCCTCATGCTATCCCGCGGGCCTCGTCTAGGCACAATGGCAGCAGCCCGAGACGGCGCAATCGTACGGTACTGCATGCAAAAGTACACATTTCGCTTGAGCTGACGGCCAAGACCTTTCTCGAACACGTCTCCCCACCCCCGGGGCGGCTGGCCAGCCTCGAAACGTGTCATCTTGGCCTGCCGTCTCGTGCCACCTGTCTTGTCGCCGCCGCCGCCGTCGTCGTCGCAGCACGCACTGCCGTGCAACTTGCGGGAGCCCTGCGGACGAGGCCCCGCGAGAGCCACGCGCGGAGATTGAGAGGCCCCCCGCCGACCAATGTACTGGCGACAGCTTACCCGCTCCCGCGCCCTTTTTTATGTTTTATTTTGATTCGTCTCTTATGCGACTGACGCCAGGGCAGGCCTCGGACGTACTGTACAGTACAACGATATGCAGGAGACCCTTGGCGATGCAAGAATCCCGCTTCCCGCGTCTGCTGCGCGGGCGAGTCGACCTCTGGCGGCATTGCCCGGGAACCCGCGCGTCCGATTCAACCAGGGCAAGGCTAGAAGGGTGTAACCCCGGCATCAAGGCATCTGAGCCTATTTACTTGTCGCGAAGTGTGGCTGGATTTCGCAGGCGCCTTGACTACCTATCTTAGGCAGCTAAGTAATAATACATGGTATGTACGTATCGATGACTCATACGGTGACTGGCTGGCCGTGACCCGTGACTGTCTATTCGTGCTTCCTTGTGGGCTCTGCCTTCGTATAAGAAGATGTATTACCTCCGATGAAATTTCTTGGAGAGAAGAAGCTCTGTGGGTCTTTTTATTCTAGCAGCTTTGAAACTCTTGATTACAGTTATTCCCTGCCAGCATGGCACACACTAATCCAGAGACGAGCCTTACCAGGAAGAGCTGCCAGCTAATAAAGCCAAGGCATGGTCTCTACTAAAGTCTTACAGCAAAATCCCACCAAACGAGATCGAGAGTCACCTGCGAGCAGTTGTAAGTTCCTCAGTGTCCTAAAGATACGCTGAAGCTAATCAATATTAATAGCGTGAAAAAGCCAGGAAGGTCTTCCCGTACGGATGCATTGGTCGCTGGCTGTTCCTGGACTATGCCATCACCACGTTGCCGGAGTACCCCAGCATCGTCCAGCGCATCAAGTCAGGAGACATCTTGCTTGACGCTGGGTGTGCTTTCGGCTATGTGCTGCGGCAGTTAGCGTCTGATGGTGCGCCCGCTGCCAATTTGATGGGGACTGACATCGAACAAAGGTTTATGGACCTGGGCTATGAACTGTTTAAAGATCGCGGCATGTTCGTTGCTCGTTTCTTTGCAGGCGATTTGTTGGAGTTGGAGGGCCACTCACTTGATGAGGTTGATGGAAAAGTCAGTATCATCCACGCTGCAGGGTTGTTTCACCTATTTGAATGGGATGACCAAGTAAAGCTTGGAATACGGCTCGTTGAATTCTTTAAGCCGGATGTCAAGAACCCGATGCTCATCGGGAGACAGATTGGAGATTTCCATCCTCTGGACCCTGCTACCCATGCAGAGCAAGGTCTCGGCTGGTATCGTCATAATATTGAGACGTGGCAGCAGTTGTGGGATAGAATTGGCGAGGAAACAGGCACTAAATGGAAGGCCACTGGGTCTTTACCAGAGATACCACGGTCTGCTATTGGTGCTGACGCGCCGAGAGCTGGATTTGATTTTACTGTTTGTAAGCCGAAGGAGTTATAATAAAAGAGCAAAACGACGCACCGCGGCAGCACCGAGTCACGAGACAGACACTGCACCAACTCGCCTTTGTCGACGCGCCATACACGCACCGCATGCGGCGCGTTTTCCTGGAACAGTGCAGAGTGAGGAAACAGAGCGGATGGAGTTGGCGAAAATGCCACGCTGGCCTACGGCATTCTCTGGATGTCTCCAGACGCACTCGCCCGTCTCGGTGCGCCAGAGCCGGACTGTCGCGTCCCGCCAGGCCGACACCAGGAGCAACGAGTGGTGAGAAAAGGCTGCTGCCTGGCCTGAGGTTTTAGGGCCCTCGAGCGTCCAGATGCAGGCATGGGTACCCTCGTCGACGCGCCACAACAGCAGTCGATTGTTGCGGGCCGTCAGGAGGAGCGAAAGTGTTCCTGACGATGCTGCTCTGCGGAGCAAAGACGAGTGCCGAGGAATATATCTGGAGAGGTGCTGTTGTAATTGTGGCTAAGTTTGTCTTGAGGATCCGTTCAGCATCGACTGCGAACGAAGTCGGTAAGCGCAGTTATCCCGTCACACTGCATTCAACAGAGTAAGCAATCCCATTGGTCATCCTCTCGTCGACTTCATGGCCTGCGAGTCATCAACGAGCCTGTGCAAAAAGAGCTTGTAGGCTCTGCATCATGGGGATGCTCTCCGGTGCTCGCCGCATGAGACATAGCGCCTGTGCCTCGTCAACCCAGAAATCATGTTCCTCCTGCGACTCGGGACCCAGCAAGAAGTCGCGAAAGGACTCATGCTGAAGCCTCACCGGGGACCTGGTCGACTTCGGAACCCTTGAAACCGAATGGAGCATGCTCAGCTGGCTGTTGACGGTTTCTTGGGATATAGAGAGAATCCGCGAGAGTGTCGCGGCCGAGAGAGGGTCTGCCAGGACCATAATAGAGCCGACAATCTTTTGAAACTCGGCAAAGAAATTTGTTCTTCCTCGTCTTGGTTGATAGCCGGCCGAGAAGCGTGCTCAACACCAGTAGATAAGTATCATCCGGTCGGCATTCTGGATTCCGGGTTCGATAGTGTAAAACCTCCTCTACCTTCTCTCTCGGATCTCCGAGTTCACCGTCGGCGAGAAAGCGACAAACAGTCACAGCAAAGATAAAGAGGGGGATTGCCATCTCGATAAGAGACTCGGTGGTGAGCCGCCCGGGCCAATTCTGTGGCAGCTGTCCCTCCTCCGGTACCAGCATGCTATACTCAATTCGGATTCTTGCCAGCTCATGCTCAATAAAGATGGATATATCGTGCTTAATCGTCGCTCTTGGTATACTCTGTAGAATTATGTCCTGGTACCGGTCCTTAATGAAACCAAACCTGAGGCGAATCGGGTTTTAAACCTACGCTATCTTGAGACCGAGATTGCCGAAATAGACCATGTTATGTATCAAGCTGGTCTAGGTCTAGACATAGAGCCATCTGCAGTAGATAGGCTAGGGTTAAGGCATTATTAAATACGCTCTTAAATATATACTATAGCTAATAAAGCTGGGCAATTGCTATGCCGGCATGACCAGGCTGGCGAATCTATCTATATCTCTCTACCGGCACCTTATATAAATAGATATAGACGTTTATGATTAACTAGGCACGTGCCAAAGCAGGCGACCAAGATATCTTTCCTTCCTGCATCAAGTATAAAGGAAAGATGTATAAAAAACCCGGTCATAATATAATTTATAAGTTAGCATAATAGTATTATTATAGATGCCATAGGTTAGTATCAGGACAAGAAAGGGCCTATAATACGCGTTAGTAACACCTCTATTAGGGGTGCCCTCATTTTGCATGGTGTAGCGGTATTTTACCAGCTTGACAGTTAGGTATGCTAGAAGTAGGGGGGGGGGCTGACTTATAAGAACTAAACCTTTATACTTTGTAGGACTTCCCAAGTTAGTATGGCCAATCGGAAGAGCAGCAGTAGCCGTGAAAATCGGGGAACCGAGCAACGCCGAACCCACTTCCGATGTTTTCAATTCTTCCTACCTCGGAGAATTAGACTGGTAAAATTTATAAGGGGGTTTTCTTTCCACTTGTTGTCATTTCGCTCCTCCGCCGCAACTCCCCTCACCTACCACCAGCTCGATCACCAACGTCGCAATGGGTCCCTCTGCTGGTGATGCGGCCAAGGGGCCGCAGGGCATTGATCTCTACTCTCGCTTTGCTCTTGCTGGCGCCATGGGCTGCTCTGTCACTCACGGCGCATTTACTCCCGTCGATGTGTACGTTATCGTTGCCCTGTCCAACTTGACAAGCTGCTGTGTCCATCCCCAGCTCCAGCTCCAGCTCCAGCTCCAGCTCCACTAGCACCCACGACTACTCACTGACACCATCCAGCGTCAAAACCAGGATTCAGCTCGAACCGGCTACCTATAACCGTGGCATGATTGGCGGTTTCCGGCAGGTCATCCAGAACGAGGGAGCCGGTGCCCTTTTGACCGGCTTTGGCCCAACTTTCGCCGGATACTTCATACAGGGAGCCTTCAAATTTGGTGGCTACGAGTTTTTCAAGAAGCAATCGATCGATTTGCTCGGCCTCGAGACGGCCCGCCGGAACCGTACTGCCGTCTACTCTGTCTCCGCCGCCTCCGCCGAGTTCTTCGCTTCGATTGCTCTTAGTCCTCTCGAGGCTACCCGTATCCGTCTTGTCTCGACACCGGGCTTCGCCAACGGTCTGGTCGGTGGCTTCAGCAAGATTCTTCGGCAGGAAGGCATCGGCGCTTTCTACTCTGGATTTGTCCCCATCCTGTTCAAGCAGTAATGGCGACCTCCGCGACATTTTCAAGAAGGGTTCCGGCTGACACAGGTATTCAGGGTCCCCTACACTGTCACCAAGTTCGTCGCTTTCGAGAAGGTCTCCGAAGCCATCTTCTCCCAGCTTGACAAGTCTAGTTTATCGAGTGGTGCCCAGACAGCCGTGAACTTGACTTCTGGCCTCGTTGCTGGATTCGCTGCTGCAATCGTTTCTCAACCGGCTGATACCATGCTTTCTAAAATCAATAAAACGAAGGGTCTGCCGGGCGAAAGTACTGTCTCGCGCCTTGTCAAAATAGCTGCGGAGCTTGGTATCCGCGGTTCTTTCGCTGGTCTTCCCACTCGTCTGTTCATGGTCGGTGGTCTCACTGCTGGCCAGTTCGCTATTTACGGAGATATCAAGAAGGCCCTCGGTAAGTTTTTCTGCTCCCTGTTTCCTTTGACGCGAACTAACTCTGCCTTCAGGCGCTACCAATGGCGTGGAGATCTCCAAGTAAAGGATGCATTAGGGGTTGGTGTACCATAGTGCCAATATAGAAAAGGAATGATGTGCCAGACCATCACACATGCGCTGAACGACCCTCGGCCTCTTCCACAAGAGTTTGAACCGACTCTGCGCTCTACGCAGCATCTGTGTGAGTGGCCGCGTTTGCTTGACGTGAAAGAAAGTAAATCTCCAGACGCACATGTTCTTCACCAAAGGGTAAGAGTTGGAGAGCAGCCACAATTTTCTACTGCAAACCGCAGGCCTCGCTTGCATGGATCCATACAAACTCCGTCCATTGCTTACAAGGAATCTAATTGACATCACGCTATGCTACGGCGATCGATGGAGCCGTCGTCGACAAACTGAGGATATGCTTGACCACCTCTGCCACCTCCTCTTTCTTTGTTGGCAAGTGATGGCCGGCTTCTGTTTGAATGACGGTAGCATACTCGGGCTGGTAGTGGGCTCTGACCAGCCTCCGTGCGCGGCCGAGGCAGAAATCCCTATTACCATGTATGTGAAGCGTGGGGACATTGATGTGCGCTTTGCTGAGGCCGAAGTCCTGGGCCCTGGCGTTCAGCCACAAGGAAGCCTCGCCGGGAAAGAAGCAGCAGCTCATCACGGCAAACTGCAACCGTGACAACCAGGGCACCATGCCCTGCTGTTGTTGCCAGAGCAGCATCGAGAGGGCGAGCGCGCCCTCGGAGAACCCGATGCCGCCAACGATCTCTGCCTCAGGGTTGCTCTTGATCTTGTTCCATCGATCTACCGCCTGTTTGACCGACGCATCGATTTTCTTCATGCTCTTCTCGATGGTTGTGTCGTTGCCGCCAAACCAGCAGTGGTAGGGCTCGTGGCCAGCGAACAAGGGCAGAACACCGGGCCCTGCCACGCACTCCATTGGGCCGTCGAGGAAAATGAATTCAAACTCGTTCGCCAGCAGGAAACAAATTCTCGCCAGCTGGATGTTGAAGATGGAACCCTTCGAGCCAGTGCCGTGGAAGCACAGAAGCGCCTTGGAAGGTTTCTTAGATACCCTGGTTGACCTGTCAGCCCCTGGTCCGAGAACCCATTCGCGCGCAACACATCACCCACATTGCTGCTTGGAAGTATTGGTTGATTTTCAACGCTGGCGTGATGACTGTAAGTTACTGATTGCTGAGTGTGTCGTCGACGCTGTGGTAACTGCCGTGCCTCGACTCGGACACGCGCACCGAAGGTCTGTTCGAACGATTTCTATAGTACAAGGGTAACAGGGCAGTTGTACAGCCCATTGGTCTCGTTTCGCTCCACTCAGTGTATTCATGGCCAAGACCCGAGTCTCGGACTCATGGTCGACATTCGGTGTTTTCGGCGTTTCAACATCCATCCCAACGCAACCGGTGGTGGAGCAAACGCCGATGAGATCTTGCTGAAGCTAGCTCTGGGGAACCCCTTGCCCTTCTCCGGCTTGGCGACACACAATCCATCTTATGTCTTTGTACCCATAGTGAACGCATCTTAACTCCATATCTGTTCTCTGGCGACTCGGGAGCATTCTCTCCCACCCCACACAACCCAGCCGCGACACGCGACACTACAGCGAAGAGACTGCATGTTGAGGGACAAGAAATGCTTGGATTTTGGCTTCTATCCTGCGCCGTTGCGGGCCTTCTGTGGTTTCTTGCAACGCCCCTACGAACAGGGCTATGGTCCATTCCGGGACCTTGGTGGCGCCGCTACACAGGTGAAGTTCAAAATTTCTTCTGCTCTTCTCTTTCCTGTCCTTTGCAATGGCCTAGTCTAACGCCCAAATAGACATTTTCCAGGCACTTGATGCTTATAATGGGCGAACTTGTCAAGTCATCAAGCGCATGCAAGAGGAGTATGGCCCTGTGGTAGCCGTGGGTCCACGAACGGTCATCTTCTCAGACCCAGCCATGATAGACAAAGTTTACGCCACAAGGAACCCATTCCCGAAGGTATGCATCCTGATTCCAAGGTTTCCAGCTTCGTTGACTGACTCAATGCTCAGAGCCATCACTGGATGCCACTGCGGACCGAGCTGAAAGGTGTTCACTACCCAAGCCTCATAGCCAGCGAGGAAACTCAGACCCATGCTTCTCTTAAGCGGCCCATCGCTGGAGTGTACGCCATGTCAAATGTGGTAAAGTCAGAAGCTTTCATTGACGAAAACATCTTCCTGCTGGTCAGAAAGCTGAACCAAGAGTACAATGGCAAAGGCAAATCTCTTCCAGTCTTTTCATGGATGCACTACTGTACGCCCACGTTGAAGCCATGTCGAACCCGGATGCGGTTACTGATGTCTTCGTAGTTGCGTACGACACCATCATGAAACTCACAGTTTCCAATGACTTTGGACTCATCAAAGGTGAAGCTGATCGAGAGGGAATGTTTAAAGGCGTCGATGCTGCTCAGACATACCGAGCCATGGTAGGCGCCTCCGTATAATCTGGCTCTCCCGTCCGCGGCGACTGATGCTTTGCAGGCTTCCTGTATGCCTTGGGTTCACGCTCTCCTCAAGGGCAGCCCCGTTACAAAAGTGTTTGAACGGCGCATGGGATCGTTCCCGAAAAGAGCCCGTGAGCTCATCCAGGCCAGGAGGGCCAACGGGGCCAAGAAAATCAATGACGGCCGAGAGGACTTGCTTAGCCAGATCTTGGAAACCCGGAAGAAGCATCCGGAAATCGTGGATGAGCGCGTGGTTCACGGATACGTCACCACACCACTGCTCGCTGGTGCAGACACGGTGACCATCGGGCTGACCTCTGTTGTATATTTCGTTGGCAAGCATCCCGAAGTTGCCATGAGGCTGCACAAGGAGCTCGAGTCCTCGGGCCTCCCAATGCCGCCTCCTTGGGCCGCCGTCCAGAAGCTACCATACCTCGACGCAGTCATCCGAGAAGCATTCAGATGTCATCCCATCGGAGCAATGCTGTCGCGACGGGCGGTTCCGCCAGGCCCTGGCCTCAGGCTTGCCGATGGGCAGCGTCTCCCCCCGGGCACAGCAGTCGCCGTTTCAGGCTACACCACGCATTTCAACACGGACATTTACGGCGATGATGTCAATGAATTCAGGCCCGAACGCTGGCTGCAGAGTCCGACAGAGAACGGGGACGACTACGCCGAGCGCATGCGTCAGATGAACAAGGCAGATCTAACCTGGGGCCATGGCGATCGGGCTTGCATGGGCAAAAACATTGCGAGATGCGAAATGTACAAGCTGATGGCGACCTTGTATTCCGTCTTCGACGTAAGCCCCCTCTTCCCGCGCAAGACATATGTTGGTGTTCTGCGGAAGACTCACCGTCGACCAGATCCGGCTTGTTGACCCGACCAACGAGTGGAGAATCAAGGAGACTGTGCTGGCGAAGCAGGAAGGCGTCGAGGCGATGATCAGTCTCAGATCCGACGCGGCTATGCAACGGTTGGTGGAGAATACCAAAGATGCACAGGTTGTTGCTTGAAATAGTAGGCTCCAGTCGTAGGCGCCATCAAGATATCTGCTGGAATTCTACCATTACTTCAAGTGATATTCGGCCCATCTTGCGCTGAAAGGGTCCATGTCACCGGTCATACAACAAGAGGCACGGACAGTATGGATGAGATAGCAACGACCGCTAAGAAGATCGATCCCTTGTGAATCGGGCAACGAAAGACCCTTGATTCTCCAGCTAACCGATGGTGAGAAGCCGGCTTCTTGTACTAACGCCATGGGAGGGAGATGTCTCGACCGATTCGTCATAGATATCAGTAGAAGCTCACACGCCGCAAACACGGGGGAGTTTTGGTAGATGAACTTTTCAAAAGGGTTGCTTCGTAGCACTCTTGGTCCTCACCAGTCACCACAATTTCAACATGACGATGACTTGGCTCGGTCGGTTGCGCGAGATCCAGTCAACATCCTGCCTTGGCCAGACGCACTACACATTTCTCTCCCGAGAGCTTCCCGCTCCTCACCATCTCCATTCCCGTCACCACCTCCTCGAGCCCACCTTCAAGGATTCTCACGGGATGATGTCGCAGCTTGCCCTCGTCGACCAACTTCTGCGCCAGCGCCCACAGCTTCTCGCCGTAGGCACGGATTTCCTCACTCGGGGGTCGGCCGTACGGAGCAGGCCAGGTCGAGCCGTCGCCGAAGATGGATGGCCCAAGAACCCAGTCGGCCACGACATTGGCGCGCGTAGCAGCATGCTGCGAGAACGGGTCCAGGGCGACGTACTTGCCACCAGCACGACCAATGGCGGCGTAGCAGAAGGCGGTGGACTCGACTGTCGTGATGCAGTCCAGCGCGTACCGCAGGTTGTTTTTCGTGAAGGCTTTCTGGTGCGAGGCGGAGCCGTCAACGAGAAGATGCGGACGAAGCGGAACACTGGACTTACTATCTTGGCGGCACAGTCCGGCTGGCGATAGTCAAAGGTCGCCTCGGCACCGTAGGCCCTGACTTGGTCTGCGTTTTTCGGCGAGCAAGCTGCAATGGGGATCATGTTGGCACTGAGATGGGTCAATACGTCCTTTCAACAGTTGCAAACGGTTGCCCAACTCACAGGCTCAACAGCTGCATGGCAATTGTTGCAGTAGCTGTGCTGCCTCCGTACACAAGGATATATGCCGGCTTCGCAACTGGAGCATCAGGCAGTGGCAGCCCCAGAAGCTTCAGGGCGAGTCCTGCAGTGCTGATGCCGGCACCGAACGTAGCGCCGCCTTCGGTGCTGACCGAGGGCGGCAACTTCAACCAGACCTTGCCAGCGGAGATGTTGTATGCACCGAACGATCCGCGAAGAGGCGTGTTGGCATCCATAGCGTGCTGAGCTCCGCAGACCCTGTCGCCAACCTCGACCTCGGTGACCCCCTGCCCACGGGCAACGACTGTGCCGGCATAATCGGTGCCCAGCACACCACCGGCAGTCACAAAGGCCCCGCGCATTTTGGTGTCGCTAGGGTTCACGGCCACGGCCTCCGTTCGCACCAGGAACTGGTCTTTCTCGAGGGCAGGCAAGCGTACATGGTCTCGGACTCGCACGCGGTCTCCGGCCTCGATAACCACCGCCGGATGAATCGCGGGCGGTGCAGAATCCCCGGTGCCGATGGAAGCCATTTCGTAGGCAGTGCTATAGTCTAACAAAGGCGCACTTGGGGTGCACGACAATGGATTGTGGTCGAGTTCGGTATGCGCCATGGCAGCCCGCCAGCGTTCCTTGCATAGTATCAGGCCGGCCCGTGTCTGCTGCAAACCAGCAGCGCCCCTTTGGTCGTGGCGATAATGGCGCAGCACCGCACAGTCTCCGCGGAGATGTTGACGATTGGATCGGCCTGCATCTCGCGGGATTTCGGTGTTTGGGGCTTACAGAAGCTCGGTTCGGAGTTGTCGTCTTCCTTCGGAGTTCTCGAGGCAGCATTCGGCTCCTCCGCAGCCCGTGTCAACTGAGAAACACCGAGAGGCACCACGTGGGCTTAGCTCTGCAACAGCGTGTTGCAGGCTCTCCACGCAGATGCCGACTGTGGATCCGAAACCCCGGCTTGGCGGCCCTCGCACTCCGCCCCGGCCCCACAGGCCGGGCCGGGGGGGCCGCCCGTTCACCCGACTGTCCTGTGAGCCGTGGATGAACCAACGATGAGCCTGTCGAAGAATGGTGGTCTTACTAAAACATGGGGACAGACGCTCCTGTGTAGGGAAACTTGGCATCCCCGGCTCTGCAAATTCATCATTTCACATCTATCACCACGGTCGCTATCATCTGTTCAACACCTCGACCTCCGGCATCCATCATGTCTACCCGGGCCAGGTCCAATGAGCCCATTGCCATCATCGGCGGCGGCTGCCGCTTTCCCGGCGGTGCGTCGAGTCCTTCTAAGCTCTGGGATCTCCTGAGAAACCCCAGAGACTTGGTCAAGAGAATCCCGAAAGACCGGTTTAATGTGGACGCCTTCTACCATCCCGATGCGTCCTTTCACGGTCGAACCAATGCGCGATACGGCTACTTCCTTGACGAAGACCCATACGCTTTCGACGCTGGCTTCTTCAACATCCCGCCCACGGAAGCTGAAACAGTGGATCCTCAACAGCGTCTTCTGCTGGAAACTGTATACGACAGCATTACAGCCGCTGGTCTGAAGCTCGAGGACCTTCGGGGGTCTCCCACTGCCGTCTACGTTGGACTGATGCAACGTGACTTCCTCGATAGCCAGAACTACGATCTTGATGCTCTCAACACCTATGCCGCGACCGGGACGGCGGCATCCATCCTGTCCAACAGAGTCTCCTACGTCTTTGACTGGCATGGCCCGAGCATGACCATCGATACCGCATGCAGCTCCTCCCTCGTTGCTGTTCACCATGCCGTCGAGCAACTGAGGACAGGCTTGAGCAAGGTCGCCGTTGCCGCCGGCTCGAACCTGATGCTGGGTCCAGTTCCTTTCATTTCTGCCAGCAAGCTGAACATGTTCTCACCGACTGGCCGTTCTCGAATGTGGGATGCTGGGGCCGATGGATACGCCAGGGGCGAAGGCGTCGCCGCTATTGTGATGAAGACGCTCACTCAGGCCATTGCAGATGGCGACGTTATTGAGTGTATCATTCGCGAAAGCGGTGTCAACCAGGACGGCAAGACGGCAGGCATCACAATGCCCAACGCCTCAGCCCAGGAAGCTCTCATTCGCCAGGTGTATGAGCGAGCAGGTCTCGACATAAACAGGCGCGAGGACCGCTGCCAATACTTCGAAGCCCACGGGACCGGAACGCCGGCAGGGGATCCGCAAGAAGCCAAGGCAATCTCCTCCGCTTTCTTCGGGCAGAGACCGCGTGCCGAAGACGAAGAGCCCCTGTACGTTGGGAGTATCAAGACTGTCATCGGCCACACCGAGGGTACCGCCGGCATCGCTGGCGTGATCAAAGCCTCTCACATCATTCAGCACGGTCTCCTGGTGCCAAACATGCTGCTTGACGAGCTGAGTCCAAGGGTAGCCCCTTTCTGTTCAGATCTCCGCATCGTCACCAAGCAGCAGCAATGGCCGGCGCTCAAATGCAACCAACCGCGGCGCGTGAGCGTCAACTCGTTTGGATTCGGTGGAACAAATGCCCACGTAATCTTGGAGTCATACTCTCCCTGCTCCACGTATCAGGGGAAAACACCAGGCGAGCTATCGACACCTTGCCTCGCGCCAATCACGCTCTCTGCCAACTCCGAAGCCTCTCTCAGAGCCTCCATGGAAAGCCTTGGACAGTGTCTCAAGAACCATCCCGACATACAGCTGCGAGACCTTGCTTGGACACTGCTGAAAAAGCGGTCGAATCTCCAAGTCCGCCATACCATTCAGGCCAAGACCGTGCAAGGTGTCTGCGAGGCTATCGAGCGTGATGCCCCCTTGATGCAGGGAAATCAGACCATCGCAACCAGCTCGGACGTCAAGATGACACCCCAAGTACTCGGGGTGTTTACCGGCCAGGGGGCACAGTGGCCCGCCATGGGGAAGGCTCTCATCATGCAAATACCATACGCCCGCGCCGTCGTCTCGGAGCTCGATCAGTCTTTGCAGCTTTTGCCAGCAGACTACCGACCGACATGGAAGCTAATCGACCAGCTCTTCCTCGAAGGCGACGCCTCAAATGTCCACGATGCTACATACTCCCAACCTCTCTGCTGCGCAGTCCAGATCGTCCTTACGAAGCTCATCCAAGCTTCCGGAGTCAGATTCAAGGTAGTTGTTGGTCACAGCTCCGGAGAGATAGCGTGCGCCTTTGCTGCGGGCTACATCTCAGCATCCCAAGCAATCCGGATCGCATACCTTCGCGGACTTACTTCGAAGCATGCCGGCACCCCGAACGGTGCCGAGGGCGCCATGTTAGCCGCGGGCACGTCTTTCGACGATGCGAGTGAGTTGTGCGGTCTTGAGGCCTTTGAGGGCAGAATCACTGTTGCGGCGAGTAACGCACCAGAGAGTGTAACCCTTTCCGGAGACAAGGATGCCATCCTTGAGGCCCAGGTGACCCTGAACGACGAGGGGAAATTCAACAGGATACTCAAGGTCAACAAGGCTTACCACTCTCACCATATGCGTCCTTGCGCCGAGCCTTATGTTACCGCCCTGAAGGCTTGCGGGTGCGATGTTTTCGCCATGGACGCCGCACCGACGTCCATCTGGATCTCGTCAGTCTCCGAAGGCAAGGTGATGAAGCCCGAGGATCTCAAGGCCGAGTACTGGGCGGATAATCTTCTTTCCCCTGTTCTCTTCTCGTTTGCCGTCGAACAGGCATTGGTGAAGCACACGCCCCTTGATATTGGTGTCGAGGTTGGAGCTCACCCTGCCCTGAAGAACCCAAGCATCCAGACCATCGAAAACTGTGCTGGCGCCCCCATTCCATATGTGGGCTGTATGGAGAGAGACAAGGACGACACCGAAGCCTTCTCTTCGTGCCTCGGCTATCTGTGGTCGAGATTTGGCTCTGCTGCTATTGACGTCGACAGCTTGTACAGCACTCTGTCTTTGGATGCCAGAGACTTGTCCAAAGAGCTTCCATCTTATTCTTGGGACCATTCCCGCACGTACAGAAAAGAGTCTCGTACTCTACGGTCCTGGCTCGCCGCCGAGAGGCCTCATCCCTTGCTTGGCAAGCAACTCGCCCACAGCAGTCCTTCGTCAGTGCAATGGCAGAACTTCATCCGGCAGCGGGATATCGAGTGGCTGGACGGCCACTCCCTTCAGGGGCAGACTGTATTCCCCGGTGCAGGCTACGTAGTCATGGCTATGGAGGCTGCTATGAAGCTCGCTGGTGACCGGGAAGTTCAGCTCTTGGAAGTTTTGAACCTCAGTATCGACAAGGCTGTGACCTTTGAAGACGAAAACAGTCTGGTTGAGGTAAACCTCACTCTTTCTATCGACGCATCGCAGACCACGGATGACTACGCCGTATACGGGTTTACCATCAATTCTTGTCTCGCCAGAGAGACTGGTCTCAGCATATCAGCCGCGGGTCTGGTTGCAGTCACCTATGGACCAGGATCGCTCGAGACTCTGCCAGCTCCTCAATTAGAGCCACCTCACCTGAACAAGGTTAGCATTGACAGGTTCTACAACATGCTCGACGAGATTGGGTACGGCTACCGAAAGCAGTTCCGAGGAGTGAGCAGCCTCAGACGGGGAGACAGCAAGGCATGCGGCACCATCAACTACCATCGCCTCGAGGACAACCACCGCAACATGGTCCTGCATCCTGCTACTCTGGATGTGGCCTTCCAGAGTTTCATTGGAGCTTATACCGCGCCCGGTGATAGACGTCTGCGGTCTCTTCTGGTGCCTACTGGAATCAGCCGCATCGCTCTGAACCCCTGGGTCTCTGACAAGCTCCACGCTCTTTCTAGCCAAGTCAACTTCATTTCAACCTGCGCGGCAAGTGCGAGAAACTCCGTTGAAGGCGACATTGAAGTCTTCGATGCCGAGACCGACGCCACCATGCTCCACATAGAGGGCCTCAGCTTCAAGCCATTCTCTCCGCCCTCGGCTACCGATGACCATGAAATGTTCTCTAAATGGGACTGGGGCCAGCTCTACCCCGAGGCCTTGCTCGACGACCGCAGATACCACGCCACTGAGCAGGACATGGAGGATGTCAAGGTCATTGAGCGAATCACATACTGGTACATCAAATCCTTTTTGGACGGCGTCACCGATGAAGACCGCCAGAACGCATCCTTCACCTTCACCAAACAGATTCAGTGGTGCGAGCACACGCTCGCCGAGGCCAAGGCTGGCCGCAACGTATGGTACGAAGCAGAGTGGGACAAGGACACGAGGGCTGGCATTGAAGAAATGATCCGACAGTACGTCTCCCGGCCTGGAACGACGCCGCTTGAGCTAAGTGTTGATCTAGGAATGCATCTCATCCGTTCGTACGTCTTATCCAGAGAGTCGGCGAAGGTGCCGTGGAGACGCTTCGCGAGAACAAGAACGCTTTTGACCTCATGGACCATGATGGACTGCTCACCGAGTTCTATGGCGGCACCGTGAGCTACGGGCATTCGTACAACTATTACCAAACAATGCTCGAGCAGATCAACCATCGTTATCAAAACCTGGACGTGCTCGAAATCGGTAAGCCGACAGGACTCTGCCAAATGACCGCAGAGAGCACAGCAACTAATCATAAATCAAAGGCGCCGGAACTGGAGGTGCCAGCAGATACTTCTTGAACGACGATAAGCTGTCCTTCAACAGTTACACCTTCACCGACATCTCGAGCGCCTTTTTCGAGCAGGCTGCCAGCGAATTTGAGAGACACGTAGAAAAGATGGATTTCCGTCCGCTCGACGTTCGCCGCGATCCCACCGAGCAGGAGTTCAAGCCTCACTCGTACGACCTGATCATTGCCTCGAACGTGCTCCACGCTACCCCACGGCTCGAGGAGACTTTGAAGAATGTCCGAACTCTGCTGAAGCCCGGCGGTCGCTTGATCGTCATCGAAGTTGTACACCGCGAGCACACTCGCATCGGATTCATCTTTGGCTTGTTCGCTGATTGGTGGGCTGGCCATGATGAGGGCCGTACACTCGAGCCCTTTATATCTTACGATCAGTGGGATGTGCTGCTAAAGAAGACCGGATTCTCCGGTATTGACGGCCGTACTCTCGACCCCAACAGCAGGATTTTCCCAAACGGCGTATTCCATACTCATGCTGTCGACAATCTTGTGTCAAGACTTGATTCGCCATTGACTGCCCCCGTCAAAGAGCCATATGCGCCACTCGTCGTCATTGGGGGCTCTTCGCCCAAGACGGCCGAGCTCGTTGACAAGCTGTCCGGCGTCCTACCAGCGCGCAAGTTGGATAGCATCTCTTGCATCAAGGAAATCATCGACTTCGACTATCAACCGGGATCCACATTCATTGTGCTTTCCGAAATGGATAAGCATACCTTCGCTGAACTGGACGATGAGCAGCTCGATGCCTTGCAAACCCTCCTCAACGCCGCAAGCAACATTTTATGGGTGACCGAGGACGCCTGGGTCGAGAACCCTCAGCAAGCCATGACAATTGGATTTCTTCGCACTCTCCGCATGGAGTACCCGGACGTAAATATCCAGGTGGTGAATGTCGACAAGGCCGAGAATGTAAAGCCCGAGTTCCTGATCGAGACCGCTTTGCGCCTGGAAGACGGCGCAAACTGGCAGGATGGCGGCATTCTGTGGACGCAAGAGCCAGAACTGTTCTTGTCGGGCGACAAGGTCATTGTGCCACGTCTAAGGCCCGATGTTCCCAAGAACAACAGGCTGAATGCTGTCCGCCGCCCAATCCTGATCGACGCGGACCCTAGACGAGAGACGTTGAGCGTTGAGTATGATGGAGACGAGCTCTTTTTCAAGGTGCTCGAAGAACGCTTCATTCCCTCGGCCGTCGATGAGTCTCTTGTCAAGGTCCGCGTGCAGTTCTCTCTCGCAAAGGCTCTCAGAATTGGTCAGCTGGGCTATTTCAATCTGCTTCAGGGCAGGATTGCTGGGTCCGAAGACACCGTGGTAGCTCTCTCAGGGGTCAATGCTTCCTCAGTCCGAGTCCCTTCCAGCCGGCTCGTCACCGTAAGCAACAGGGAGGAGGCGTCTTTGCTCCCAGCCATCTCGGCGGACCTTTTCGCTCAGACTCTGGTGTCCGACCTCGCTCCAGGCTCATCCCTGCTGGTCTTTGACCCTCCCAGTTTCTATGCCGAGGCGTTGATCCGCCGAGCAGCGGCTTCCAGCGTTACCCTCACCTTTGCGTCGAACAAGCCATCTCCAAAGGCGAGGGGTATCCACTGGGTTCAACTGCATGAGAAAGAGACACAGCGGGGCCTTTGCCAGAAGTTGCCGCGAAATCCTTCAGTCTTCTACGATCTGACTGGGGATCGAAATCCAGCAAGCCTGAGCAACCGGCTCGCTAGATGTCTCCCAGGCAGCTGCTCTATCCGCCGTGTCGACAATTTGTTCCAGAACGTGGCCGCACCATTCGCTCCGGAAACGTCTCGAAAGGCATCTGCTCTTCTCGCCGACGCCATCGGTGCAACCGACAAGCTCACTACCACGGCCCACGATGCACCTGTCCTCCAGGGCCAGAAGATGGCGTCTTCGAAGGGGGCTGTCGGGATCAATACTATCATCGACTGGAGGTCAGACCAGATCATTCCCAGCCGCGTTCGTTCCATCGAGACAGATCAGACGTTTGTCGACACCAAGACATACTTGTTGGTCGGTCTTGCTGGTGATCTGGGTCGCTCTATTGCCCGCTTCATGGTTGAGCACGGCGCACGCCACGTCGTTCTAACCAGCCGCTCTCCCAAGATTGACCAGCGGTGGATCGACGAGATGTCCCAGATAGGAGGGAACGTCATGGTGCTTGCAATGGATGTTTCCAACGAGGCCTCGGTCGACGCAGGCCTCGCTCAAGTCAGGGCCTCCATGCCATCCATCGGCGGTGTTGCCTTTGGACCACTTGTTCTCCAGGACGTCATGTTCAAGAACATGGACCTCTCGATGCTGGAAATGGTGCTCGCGCCCAAGGTCACGGGCGCTCGCCTGCTGAACGAACGTCTCTCGGACCCTGCCAACCCGCTCGACTTCTTCGTCATGTTCTCATCCTTCGTCATGGTGTCCGGAAACCCTGGACAGGCAGCGTACAGCGCCGCAAACGCGTACACGCATGCCATCGCCCAGCAAAGACGTGCTCATGGCATGGCCGGGTCGACCATAGACATCGGTGCCGTGTTTGGTGTTGGCTTCATTGCCAGAGCTGGTCGCGAGCACGAGTACGATGTCGTCAAGTTCATCTTTGACGAGGTCAACGAGTGGGAACTCCATGCGCTCTTTGCTGAAGCAGTCGTTGCCGGTCGAAACAGGGCCATCAAGGACGTCGAGGTCATCACCGGCATGCCGTACATGGACCCCGTCAACCGTGACCGCATCCCCTACTTTGATGATCCACGGTTTGCTTACTTCAAGCTGTCTGATCGCAAGGCCCGTGGGGATGACGCCGCCGGCGCTGCTGGATCCATCAAGGACCGGCTTTTACAGGCAGATGGCATTCAGGAGGTCCGCGAAATCATCATCGACGGCCTTTCCAGCAGAATTTGCGGAGCTCTGCAACTCGCTTCCGCCGATGAGCTCAATCTGATAACTCCTCTGATCGACCTGGGAGTGGATTCCCTCAGTGCGGTCACGATCGGCTCATGGTTCTCCAAGAATCTCAGCATCGACATTCCCCTTCTGAAGATCCTTGGCGGCGCCTCTGTCAATGACCTGGCTGACGAGGCCGTCTCCCGGTTGACCCCTGAAGCCATTCCCTTGGCGCACTCCGGAGCAGCACATCCTTCCGGCGAAGCGCAGCCTGCGTCTGCCTTGCCCGCCGAATCAACCGCCGACGCCACTTCGTCCGTTGATTACGACGACGTTCCAACGCCAGCGTCTTCACTGGAGGAGGAGTTCTCCGAGCGCAAGGCACCACTCTCCATCGCGCAAGAGTACGCTTGGAAGCAGCAACAGCTTCCGCTGGATCCAAAGACCTTCAACAGCACGATCGGCATGTATATGCAGGGTCCTCTCAATCTCAACCGCCTCGCCTGGGCTTTCAATCAGGCATTGCTGCGCAACGACGCGTTCCGCACGTCGTTCATCCCGGACCGGGACGACTCGGGAAACCCTATCCAGTTCGTCATGAAAACGCCGCATGCCAAGTTTGAAGCCGTCCATGTTGCAGACAAGGCCGCCGCGGATCAGGGGTTCAAGGATCTGGAGGGCTACCAGTATGATTTGGCCAAGGGAGACACCCTCAAGATCGTGAACTTCCACTGGTCGCCTACTGATCACCTTTTGGTCATCGCTTACCATCGCCTTGTCGGTGATGGCTGGACAACTGAACATCTCTTCGTCGAGGCCGGCCAGCTGTATAGCGGCGCTCAGCTCCAGCCTGCGCCGAGCTATGCCGACTTTGCCATTCGTCAGCGCAAGCACCTCGAGGCTGGCGAGTTCGACAAGGACCTCGACTACTGGAGCGACCTGTTCAGGAGCTTCCCGGCAAGACTTCCCGTACTTGTCGTCCCCGGTGCCAAGGCGAACGTCGTTCCGACATGGTGGACTGAGCACGGAGTCACGGCACGGCTCAACCGTATGGTCGCCATCCGCATCAAGGATCGCAGTCGCAAGCACAAGGTGACGCCAATGCACTACTATCTGGCCGCCTTCCACGTGCTGCTGGCGCGTCTCACCTCGAGCACCAACATCGTCATCGGCGTCGCCGACACCAACCGGCCCACGCTCGTCGACCAGGCCACCATGGGCTACTTCTCCAGCCTCTTGCCCGTGCGTCTCGACTACGCCTCGGACAAGATCTTCAACGAGGTTCTCCTGGCCGCCAAGGAACAGTTGCGCCTGGCGCTCCTCCACAGCGCGGTGCCTTACGGTGCTATCCTCGACCGGCTCGGCCTGGCCAACCCGACTGCCGACAAGGCACCGCTTTTCCAGGCAGTTTTCGACTACAAGCAGGGCCAGGCGGAGAGCGGAAACATTGGGGAGGCCAAGATTGTGGATTCGCGCACGCCCCGCGCCGGGTCGCCTTATGATATCACATTGGAGATGAGCAATGACCCAACCAAGGATCCCTTGATCACGATCAAGTTACAGTCGGAGCGGTATCAGTCGGAAGATGCGGACGTGGTCATGAACGCCTACCTTTCGATCTTGAGCATCTTTTCGAGAAACCCAGCGCTAAGAGTTGAGGATGGAAGACTGGACCAGGGCGCGAAGGCGCGGGCTTGAAGTCTGGATGTCGGCCAAAACACAGTGACAAAGTAAATAAAATATCCCGACTTAGAACTGCGTCTCTGGCCGTTGAAAACTGCCTACAGTCGCTTTACTGCGGAGCCGGCGACGTGAGGCATTCTAGGTTACAACAGGCTTCGAGCGTAATCTGGGCTCCGTTGCATCACTATTGTGCTCAATAAGAGCAACTTGGGCTCCTCAGCCACCATTTATTAGAGCCTTGGAGGCGAGTAGGGCGAGCCTACAATCTCACTTCTCGTAGACGTTGCCATTTTCGGACCTGTCTCTTATTCTGTTGGGAGGGACTGGTCATCTCCAGAAGTTCTGTGATCATGTCGACCTTTGTCATCTATGTCCATATAACACCTAGCCTTTCACTCCTTTCTAGAGCTAGAAGGAATCATCAATAGACAATTCACTCTTTCCCAGTCTGTGTGTGCGGACAACATTGTTTAAGAACGGCTTCCTTTACTATCATAGAATAGATGCCTATCAATGTAGACTCCGGTTCACATCGGACTCCAGATTCAATGGAGAGTCTTGGCGACTCGGCTTATTCCTTTAGCCGGGGGTATGTGCATCGTAAGCGTGAAGAGATTATCCAGGAGTCGCCGCGGATGTTGAGGGCATTTCCACGTCTTGCACGGTTGTCGCTTCAACTAGACTCAAAACAAAACACTTTGCCATCACATTCGCCTGCAAGTCCCATTCAGCATGACGGGTTTCCACTAGCAGCTGCGCATTTGGCGAACTAGACTCGCCTCCGTACCCGCAGCTTCGCCTTCGGGTTCGTGACATATTCGATGAACCAAGGAAACGCGTCCACCCCCGTGTCCGCCCTCTCGAACTCGTAGTTTTGTAGCAGGTGAAACAGCATGACCTTCATGTTACTTGCTGCGAAGAACCGCCCGGGACATGCGTGCGTTCCAAGACCGAATCCCATACCTTCCGTCGTGGTCGTCACCAGCTGAGCCGAGTGCTCCTTTCCGGGCTGGTCACGTAGCCTGAGGAATCGATCGGGTTGCCACTCTTCGGGGTTGGGGAAGTACTTGGGATCCCACATGCGTGACATGTTGCTGGCAACGAGAGCACCCTTGGGGATAAGCGTGCCGTCGGGGGCGGTTACATCCTCTGTCGCATAGCGGTGCGTGAGAACTATCGGAAGTGTCAGCTTCGGCTCTGCAAGGCCCATCTTCGAGGGGAGTGAGGCGGAAGATGAGGAATCGACTTACGGACGCCCAAGGGCTTGATGCGCTGCGTCTCCCTTATGAGACTGTCGGCCAGCTTCATCTTGTAGAGCGACGTCTTCTCCCAGCCGCCCTCGAGTGCTCGTTGCGCTTCCCGGAGCAGCCGTTCCTTCCACTCGGGATGGCGGCACAGCTGGAGGAGAACGTTTGAGAACAGATCCGACGTCGTATGCACCGAGGCCATGCTGAAGGCCAGCTGAACATGGGCCGCGTGATAGTCCTTGCCCTTGGCGGTCTGGTACGCCCATGTGATGGCGTCTTGCGGCATCTCCCGGAGCCCCTTTTCGGCTTCGCGGGCCTCCTTGACGCGCTTCTCGATGATCGGCTGGATGAGTTCCTCGGCTCGCTTGACCTGTTTGCGGATCAGGCGGCATTTTGGCAAGAACCAGTGCACATATGCGCGCGCCCATTCCGGCCAGGCGCGGATCTCTCTCACGGCCAAGAAGAGCTCGTTGGTATACTCCTTGGTGTTCTTTTGCCATGACCTGTCCTTCGCGAGTTCGGCGCCGAGGAAAATGCGCGTCGAAATCTGCGACATGATGTCGCGGAGACTGGACATCAACTCGATCTCGCGCCATTCTACCAAACACGTTTAAACTGCGATCTTAGCAAATGGGTGAGGGCATTGTATACCGGTGCTTGTTCCCCAGATCTCATCAAATGCTGCCTGAGTTTCATCTGCCAAGTCCTGGGTGAATTTACCTGCAGGGAGGATCAGCACGAGGGCCTTGGAAGCCTGTGGGTTGAAGGAGGATGAGAGCAAAAGTACCTAAATTCGTGCTCAAATTGTTGCGGATCATCATAATGAGAACGTCTGGTGCACGCAAGCCTTCGAAGCCGGGCAATGAGGAGCCCATGGTTTTCTCGACCACCTCCTTGGCGGTGAAGCGAGGATCATTCTTGACCGCATCAGCCGTGGCAGGGGGGAGGACCAATCTGCTCCCGAAGGCGCCAATGATCCGAAAGGGGCCGTCGTACTGGTATAGCCAGCGTCTTTGTTACCACTTACTCGATTGCGCGACGAACCCAAGATATACCTTTTCATATCCTTCCTGAAGGATTGCATTCATATTGCTGGCACATCGTTTCACAGCATTCGTGCTGAGCCACTCGCCTTTCTCTTTGTTGATGATGGGGAACTTTGCAAGCTTCCATTTGAGTCTGAGGGCGGGAAGAATGGCATTGGCAAGGTAAGATACAAGCGTAGCAGATACAGCTGCCGCAAAGAGGAATCCAAGCCTGTCAGCCGATTCGCCGATAAGCATGCCGGCAAACATGATGTTCAGTTGCTGAATTTGCGGTCCGAAATCCGATTAGGATGCGAGAAACTTGCTGGATGGATTGCTGAAAAGCGCATTGGCCGTGATCGGATTATATCGTACATGGAACACGTAAATGGAGTTGCGTAGACTCACATGTGTGATCAAGCATATCCGGCTTGGGCCTTGGTGGTGAGGATTCGGTGTTTCTGTGAGATCAGACCACCGAAAGTAATGCCGAAACACCGAGCGACCGCATGCGGGGTTCCAGCTAGATAATAGATGTTACACACAACGGAAGCAAGGAAAGGGGAAGACTCAGAGGACTGTATATTCTTGTTCTCTATACTAAGGGTGGTTGGCCTTCTGCTCTCATAGCTGCGTGTGCTCAAGAGAGAGGGCCCCAGGGCGGTTGGTTCCCAAAGTGTCAACAAGCCTGTGGGATCTGTACGTGAGGCGGATTATGTTCCAACAAGTTGCAAGCCTGTAGCAAGTAAGTGGCCTTGGCTATGCTTACTCTAACGTGATCAAACGCTATGTAAGGCACCTCGTCCGCCATGTGGAAATGGAAGACCGACTCTTTTAGCATATTAATGGCGGATTGTGTAGCTGAACATACTTCGATGCGTGCAAGGCCGAGGCCAGAGTTACGTTCGTGAGTCGTCCCTGGCCAACACCAAGGTCCCTTCGCGCGCTGGAGTAGTGTCAGGAATGAGTCTGGGGGCCGTACTCTGCAGAGACACAGAGACGAACAAGGCAGGTTGTCTTCAGAATATGTTCCTACGCACTGCAAGCACAACTCATGCTACGAAGCCCATGAGCTAAGTAAACCGGATCGCATACATAAGATTCCTCACTGGCTCGAACTTGTCCTTGGCCTCTCCTTTCAGCTCGAACGCCGGGGCATCGTCAATCCACGTCTCCACGCTTGCTTTCCTCCCAAACTTTGCCACCATGCGCTCCCAGAACTGTTTGAAACTCGTCTGTGAATGCCGGTAAAACCTCTGGTCGCCGTGTATTACCTCGCGACGCGCCTCGAGCTTGGTCCCGCCCGTTCGTCCAAACAACAAGTCGTTCGGCCCGCCGGACAGCAGCTTGAGAATCAGGGCGGCGAATGTCTCCTGGTCCTCTATGCTGAAGCAGTGCTGCACGTAGTTGCAGGTGACGATTGGGAATTGCCCGTGCCACTCTTGCAGCGCGTTCTGGTCGAGCGCATTCGCTTGGCGAAAGGTGATTCCCGAATCGGCGTCCTTGAACAAGACGAATCCGGCGTCGAAAAACTTGTCCACGAGGTCCGCGCCGTACAGCATGGTCAGCGGAGCCCCTGCGTGGGCCTAATCATCACCGGTCAGCAACAGCCACTGGGTTGTCGAAGCAGAGCAGCTGCGTAGGGACAAACCAGGCTCCGCAGGTCCTGGCCGATCGCGCAGCCAAAGTCGAGCAGCTTGTGGCCCTGCTGCGTGCGCCGAACGGCTTCGTCAAACTCCTTGTTGTTTCTCAGCTGCAACTTTAGAAACAACCAAAGGCCAATGCATGGGTAGGGACAGTAATTCCACGCTTTCCTACGCTGCCGCGGCTGTCAGTGTTGTGGGCGACAATTGGTCATGTCAGAGAGAGAGAGTGTGTGTGTGTGTGCCCACAGCTTCGTCGAGGTGCTGCTCCAGCTTTTCTTCCGGGATCTTGGAGTACTCAACAAAGAGCCTCTTTGTATGCTCCTCGAGAGAGGGTGGAAGTCCTTCGGTCCAGAAGGGGGATGCCGTATCCCGGTCGGAGGGCAGACGATGTGCAGTTGCGGGCGAACTTGAGGGGGTTACAGCCGTCATGTTTGTGGTGATGGTCCTGCACTCCGGTAGACGGTGGATGGATCATGGAGGACAGATAATCACTATAACGAAAGGCCTTTCACCCAATGCTTGGCGTGCTCCCCATCTTAACTCAACAAATACCGCAGGATATAGGCAAGATGCGGGAAGGTGTGAAGTTCTGAACCGTCAACGCCGGGGTCCATAACAACAGTGACCCTGGACTTCGGGCATGGCTGGCCGAGACTCTCGGTCCGTTCGGCGACTCTCAACGCCGAAAAGCTACCATCGGCACTCCCAATAGGCCGAGCAAGTTTTCGGACTAGTTGTCGAGACTGCAGCGACGCTAACTAACAGTCCTCGGACTATTAGTCGAGACTCGGTCCGTGTTTGCCAGACCGAACCCTAGCCCTCGGGGATTTTTTGCGAATCTATCGAATCAAACGCTAATTCTTGGCATTTCTGGGTTTCCGCCAAGGACGATGACGGAAATTACAACATACATAAGTTACCTGCTTTGACGTGGAAGAATCAGGGATCAACATGTACTCACCAATAACGCACATTAGCGTCGACACGATGTCCCGTTGTCAACACGGAGTTACGGTCTAATCGCGTAAAGAGCGCGCCAAAGGACTTATCATGGACGCGTCAATGGAGGGAGTCAGGCGAAAACCGGAACCCTGGCGGAGTTTACGGAGTAGCGACCCGCGAGACTCGTTCGACCGAATGTTCGCATGTCGAATGAGAAGCGCCACATTCGATTCGACATGCGTAAGACTTGGCATTGAAGGAATCTATCGAATTCGATGTCCGTTCCTCAGATGTCCATCCCTGCTAACCTAACAGCCACCAACCCCCCCCTTTCCCCCCAACCCTAAGCTATGGAACTGCAGGGGTGCTGTTGCTTCTTGCCAGCGCTGCGCAACATCCGAGATGGAGTCTACCTACGTACCAGGTCTTCTTCTACCGACTCAAGAATCGGAATCTTCCTCCTCCGCACACGCAGCTTCAGCTCAGGGTTGGCCAGCCACTCGGTAGCGAGTGAAAGTGGCGGCGGAACTCCCCCTTCGTTGGCGCACCCAAAATCGTAGGCAGAGATGATCTCCACCAGGACCAGCTTCAGCTCGTTCGAGGCAAAGAATCGGCCGGGGCAGGCATGGGAGCCGTGGCCGAACCCCAGGTGCTCGGCGCTCGTAGAGACAAACTGCGCCGCGTTCCCCTTGGCCGATCCGCGGCTGGGCTCTTCCTCGCGCATCTTCACGTGGCGGTCGCCTTGCCATTCAAGCGGATTCGGGTAGATCTTGGGATCCCACTGGCGGTGAGCCATGGCGGCCACCATGGCCCCTCGAGGGAGGAATGTGCCGTCGGCCAGTGTCATGTCTTCCGTAATTTTACGGCCCATCATGGCTGTGATTCTCGAATTATCAGTGTCGTCGCTTTCCATATGGGCTGTTCAAGCTTCAAGGAACGAATAGAAAACGGAAGAACCAACTCATGCTTGCGGGCACCACGCGTTGACTCTCGTTCAGCACGCTGTCCATGAGCTTCAGCTTGTAGAGCGAAGTCTTGTGCCAGCCGTGCTCGCCGAGGACTTCGAGAGCTTCCTCTCGCAAGCGGTCGATATACTCGGGGTGTTTGCACAGATTCCCCAGGACATGCCCCAAGAGGTCAGAACTGGTATGCAGCGCCACTATGGATAGACCAAGCTGCACACCGACGGGGTCGTATTTCCTCCCCTTGGAGACTTCGTGCATCCAGCCGACTGCGTCGTTGGGCATCTTCCCCAGACCTTTCTCAGCCAGGTCAATCTGCTCCCTGCGCTTCTTGAGGATGGGGGCTATGACAGTCGCCGCGCGGTTGTACTGCTGGCGCAGCTTGATGCACCTGGGCAGGAACCAGTGCACAAGGAGACGAGACCATCCGCGGAAGTGGCGCAGTTGTCTCTGAGCCAGGCAGAGATTGACGGTATAGTCAATCGTAATGTTTAGCCATTCGTCGTTGTGGGCAGCCTCGTCGCCAAGGAAGACCTTGGCCGAGAGCGTCGCGACGATCTTGCGCGCCGTCTTGAGCGCGTCAACTTCGTGCCATTCTATCCGTCGTCGTCGTCAGTATCGTCATCGTAAGTCGCCAGCTCTTGAGGGGGAAATCTTCAAGACTGACCCTCGTCCATGCCCCATTCTTTGGCGAGGGCGGTGCGGCTCTCTTCTACCAGAACCTCCGTGAACCTGCCTGACGGGCGTAATGAGTCAGTAACCCCCTCCCCATTCAAGCGGCAGCATCAGTTGCATGTACTCACTCAGGTTATGGGTCATGGCTTGACGGACCATGAGAGAGAACATGTTGGGGTTGCCAGGCTCCGTCGGCTCTAGTAGACCGCCGAAACCGGGGAGGTTGATGGAAAACGCATTTCTCAGACTTTCAGAAGAGCTGAGACGATTGTCCGACTTCACAGAATCAATTAAATGGGGAGGCAGGATCACGCGGCGCCCAACTTGGCTGATGAGCTGGAATGGCCTTTCCCGGTACTGCGCAATGCTCGGGTCAACAACTTTGATAACATTGACAGGGACAAGTGAATAGATCACGGCGCACCTTGACGAAAGCTTCCTTGATGATTTCCTTGGCGTTGGTCTGAGCCCGGTCTATGGCTTTCTGGTCGGACCACTCGCCGGGCTTCTTATTTGCGATGGGGATGTGCCTCAGCCTCCATTGCAATATCAACCGTGGCAGACAGGCGTGGACCAAGAAGCTGATCAACGCCGCGGGCACGAGAGCCCATAGGGTTGTGGAAAAGCCGTCGATGAGCATGACTCCTTTTCATCGACGGAACCTGGTTCCCGCAACAACTCAACTGCGCTCCAACTAATGTCTATCTAGAAAAGGCGAGTGCCTATTTTGATATACATGACCTCACGGACTTGTCACGCTGTCGTTTAGCCGCCGGTCTGGAGACTCTGTCCCAACATCCATCGTCTGTCGGATCGCCGAACGCGGTCATGAAACTGGACACAGGTGAGAGGTGCGCTTTTGGCGCCGCATAGCGAGAAGGCGACAAGCTCGAGCATGCTTTCGGCGATTCGTGAAACGCCGAACATTGCCGGGCGGTCGGAACGGAGCGCAGGCGACCAGGCTCCTATAGGCTTCTCCTCGGCGGTGCCCAAGAGGCCAGTTACATTGCAGCGGATCCCACTTTGCTGCCGGCGGCGTTCCAGGCCGGGAACTGGCCCGGCCTTGCGCAAATCGCGGTGGGTATGTGTTCTCGCTCGAGTCAAGGCAAAGGCGACGACTCCCCCTTCACTAACACAACACTTGGACAAAGATGCTACGTTACGGGTGGGCTGGCAACTACCGGATTGCTCCGTACAAAGAACCCGAAAAAGACGGGAAGCAGACGGACGGCAAAGGGCGACGCTCTTCCAGCGGCGGCCGAGACCGTCCTCTCGACACCACACATGATCCCCCAACAGAAGGCCGACAGACTCAGCCAACCAGACTTCTGCTGGTCCTACATGGCTCGGCCATCTTTTCTTCGGACAGTCTTCAACGACGCGCTTTTGACCCCCGAGGTGCTGGATCATTCCTATGCGGGCGGGGGGTCTGTTGTCGACCCATTCATCTGCGAGTTCGTACCCAACGATCCTCAAAATCCTCAGGCCTGGAGAGCCTTGCGGAGATGGACAATATGCATCGCCGCAGCCGGAACCACCTTTGTGGTGTCTTTCTGCTCGTCGACATACACCGGAGCCGAGGCCGGGCTCGCGGCCGAGTTTGGCGTCAGTGAGGCTATCGTGAACCTGGGCCTTGCGCTGTTCCTCGTCGGCTACATCATCGGACCGCTGATTTGGGGCCCCATGTCCGAGGTATACGGCCGCAGAAACCTCATGATCGGCACCCTCGCCCTCCTAACCGCCTTCAATATTGGCGCGGCCGAAGCCAACGACATGCCCACCCTCCTCGTCTGTCGTTTTCTCGGCAGCATCTTCGGGTCCTCGCCCATGACGAACGCAGGCGGCGCCGTTGCGGACCTGTTCTCTGCTGCTGAGAGAGGGGTTCCCGTCGCTGTTTTTGCCGCCGGCCCGTTCATGGGGCCCGTCCTTGGCCCCATCGTCGGCGGATTCGCTGGCGACTATGCGGGCTGGCGCTGGGTCATGAGAGTCATGGCCATCGTATCCGGTGTGCTCTGGGTACTGGGCACGCTTCTCATTCCCGAGACATATGCTCCCGTCATTCTCGAACGACGAGCCAAGGCGCTCGAGAAGGCGACGGGCAACATCTTTCGAACTCGGCTGCAGATGAGTGGCTCACGTCCGACACTGGCACGGTCGATCCGCATCGCCCTCTCACGCCCCTGGGCCCTCCTCTGCCGCGAGCCAATCGTCACCATCATGTCCATCTACATGGCACTCGTATACGGCACTCTCTATATGATGTTCGGTGCGTTCCCTATCGTCTACCAAAAGAATCGCGGATGGAGCGCGGGCGAAGGCGGCCTGGCGTTTCTCGGACTCGCTGTTGGCATTGTCGTCGCCATTGGGCTCATAATACCGGATGATGTTTACCGTTTCAAGAAGATTGAACGAGAAGCCATAGCGCGAAACGAGCTGGGAGCAGCCCCTGAAGCTCGCCTCCCGCCCGGCATCGTTGGCAGCGTGATGATGCCCATCAGCCTTTTCTGGTTCGCATGGACAAATGGACCCGATGACCACTACATCGTGAGTATCATAGCCAGCGTCCCCTTCGGGGCCGGCATGCTCCTCGTCTTCTTCAGCCTCACGCAATATCTGGTCGACTCGTACACCATCTACGCAGCCAGCGTCATCGCAGGTAGCGGCATTGTCCGGAGCCTGTTTGGCGCAGCTTTCCCCATGTTCACGACGAAAATGTATGAGGATCTGGGAATCCACTGGGCTTCGTCTGTGCCAGCTTTCCTGTCGTTGGCCTGTGTGCCCTTTCCGCTGCTGTTCCACAGATACGGTGCGCGCATCCGTGAGAGATGCAAGTACTCCCGCCAAGCAGCTGAAGCCTTGGCCAAGATCAAGCTGCATGAAACAGTCACCGCATCGGACTCACGCGACGAGGCTAAGCTAAGACAAGGCCCCCTTGAGGCGTGATCTACGTCAATGTAGTCATGTTGTATCGCGACGATATGTCCTTGGGTTTTAAAGACCAGTATCCTGGGTTGGAAGTCCAATGCGTGAAGATTTCTCTCAGTAACAGAGCGACTGAATCGCCCTGCCCGATGGTCTAGTATCAGGAATTATGCTCCGTTGTAGCGGAAATGCATTGGGATCGATCAGGATAGAATCTAAGTTATTTCCTTGGTAGTTCTAGAGCATACGCAACGCAGGCGCTCTCATCCATATCCCCTCTCATCAAAACTACCGAGCAAATGGTAGTTATTCCCCTGGTGGTTCAGCCCCTTACCTATTGATGTGCTGGACTTGCGACATCTGCGAGGCCCAAGATAGCGGCACGGCAGCGCCGGAAGTATGCTACAACAGACGTATTGTTTATGCTTGCATCATCCTCCCATATGGATGCGACGAGGCGTGCCGGCAACGACGGGGTCACATGCGAATCGAGCACCACCTGCTCTGAAGATCGACTTGCTGACGACAAACTGCCGCCTCCAAGGTCGGGAGGAATACCAAGCAAGTGCTCCATATTGCTGAGCAACTTGCTGCCCGTCTCGAGTATGTTGAGCTTGGAGTTGAGGACGTGCTGGAAAGGGTCGGTCATGGAAACATACATGTCCCCCAGCTTGGGATTGTTTGGAACGTGACCCGTGCCAGAAAACAAGTGCGCTCGAGCTCCCAGGCGTGGCGCGTCTGAAGACCTTGGGCCCGAGAGAGAAAGACGCGATGCCGGGAGAGGCGTTGCCAGGAGGCTGAGAAGCACCTGTTCAGAGAAGGACCTCATGAGCTTCATGCACAGGACGTAGCCGTGCACCGCCATCGATGCCAATTTGGTCCGCATGTACTCGTCCGAGGGCGTCTGAGGTATCCGAGGCGTCATGATGGCCGCCATTTCATGTACCATTAGCACTGCCAGAAAACGGTCGAAGACGCCGTAGGCTTCGGTTATGGGACCTGCAAGAGGGCTTTAAATTAGCCATGGCGAAAACATCCTTGGAGTTGGGGATGGTGGCTTTACAATCCTGAGTGGCCTGAGTGGCCTGGTCCCCTAGCACCTTCGTGTAAGCCGCTTCCAAAGCCTGGCACACATTCGCGAGACGTCCGGGTAGGTCAGAAGCACTGTCCTGGAGTCCGCAATCAAGCTCGGGAGTAGCCGAGCTGCTTGAGATGGAGAACGGTTCACCGGCACTCAGCGATACATCTAAGAAGCCGGAGCTCGGAGGCAGCGGCATGGTGTAGCCAGCAAGCGAGGCAGTGTCCCAGGAGGGAAGGCGTGTGAAGAGATCGTCGCAGTTCATCAGATGGGGGTCAAACCCGGTCTCGATATCGGCCAACCTCGACGTGTCGGATTTTGCAGACAAAGGCTTCACACGGACGTAGTCGCATGCGTCATTCTTGTTCCTGTGGCTCTGTTTGTTGCATCTCGCGCTGTACACGCACTCGGCTCCGGCGCGCTGGCAGCGTAAGCACCGGGTCAGCGTGGTCCGGCCGCCGCCAATGCAACGGAGTTTCTGCTGGTGGCATCGGTCGCAAGACTTCCGTAAAGTTCGGCCTTTGTCCTGTCTAATCTTGGCGACATCGGCTCCCAACTCTGCGTCACACCGGCGTTCGGTAGCCGTGTCCGACGGTGTGTCCCGTGCATCATTGGAGGAGATGTAGCCGGCGTCGCTCATGGTGCAGGGACACGCTGGTAGACAGGGGAGAGGAAAAGTGAACAAGAACTAGACTTCGGCTGCAGTGACTGTTCACTGTTGTTTGTAGTTTAAAGATATGTGTAGAGGAATAGGTATGAGTATGACCGTATGACTGAATGCCTGCACAGGGTGAAGCCTTATGTACCGTACGTAGGAACCAGGAAGGAATAGCCTGCACATGGTGAAGCCTCATGTAACGTAGAAGGGGATAGCCTGCGTGGTGTCAGACCCGCCCCCGGGGTTACAGTCCATGACTCCATATCGAAACTATTGCTCCATGCTGGCTAGAGTAGCCCTGTTCTATATATGTACACCTATCCCATGGAGACCAATCCCTACGGATTAGAGAAAACTCACCGAATACAAGCCCCACAACGCATGCTTAATATAGTAAGATTTGCATATAGATATCTTGGCTAGCAATTTGCACAGCCCGGTTTTCCTCTCTTCTTGCACAAGCCGCAGTGGCAGCTACAGCCCAGCGACGTTATGTCCAGCTCCTGTCGGTACCAGAAGCCCTCTTCGAGAGCTACCGTAGCAGCACGGCCTGCAGCAGGGCCGTCCGGGCCGAGCAGAAGAGATTATACGAGAGGACAAGGTCGGAATTCGATGGCGTATGCCTATGCCTGGCTCGATAGTACGTAGCCGATTGATTGATCATCTTCAGCTGAGGCGGAAGAGAAGAGTCCTCCCTGGAACAAGGCCCAAGGGGCCCTATTATACGTGTGCAGTCGGGCCGACAGCTGTATGCCCTCGGCCCGGCGTCCGATCCGTCGTGGGTCGACGTCCGACCAACCTCGGCTCAATGTCTGCCTGGCCTCGGTCCAATGGTACGTCAAATTCGGGCTCCCATCACCTTGCGCTCGGCCCGTGACATATACGAATACAAGACCTAAACTTGCAATGTATAGCAAGGGACAAAGGCTTCAAAGGGCAGCAAGTCTGAGGGTATCTCGAAGGTCTAAGTACTACGAAAGCAAGACCTCGGGACAGTTAGCTTCTTGAAGAGCTACTCTGTCAGCTATAGGAATTCCTTGACGAGGATCCTTCTAATCGAGATACTAGTTGGCATGACCTACGATTTTTCGTACCGGGGTTTAAAGCTATTAGGATTATATTAATTATACGAGGCTTAAAAGTACTTAGGTAATATTAAAGGCTCTAGAAGATAAAGGCGCCGCCCTTGTTAGAATTAATCTACTAGAAAAGGGCCGGATGAAAAAAAGCCTCCTAGCCTAAAGACTTTCCCTAGAGGATTAGATGAACCCCCCTATTTTTCTCCCTAATAGGACTTAGGCCCGGAATATAACTATAGGCGTTAAATAGGCTATAATATATTAAAATAAAATAAATAGCTTCCTTTTAGTTACTTTATTATAAAAATAATATTTAGGACTTATTACTAAAAGAAAAACAGGGCCTATATATATAAACCTAAAGGGGAAAGGCAGCGTTAATAAGTATTAGTATATTAAAGGAATACTTTTAAAATTTAAGGCCTTTTTTTAGCTCTAGCTGCCGGGATAATATAACATTGCTTTCGTTTATAATAGTGCTTTAGCATATAAAGGGAGGGATGAAAAGTACGGACTAGCTAATAAACTATAGCTAAGAAAGCTACCATGGAAGTTGCCGGACCTATAGAGACTGTTAGACCTATATAAGCTGCTAGACCTATAGAAACTGCTAGGTTTATAAAGGCGCTAGACCAAGCTATATATTTAGGTTTATTAAGGGTCCCTTAGGAACTTTAGTAGTCTATATTATAAGTTATAAATTATAGAATTTAGTAGGGTATATATCTAGTAATAAATATAGGAATAAGGCAAGGCCTTTCCGTCGAATGCTTACCGAGAGCCTATAGCCTCCTATTCTTCTAATTAGTATTAAGCACGGGAAACGACCTATTACTAGATATAATCTTACACTATTTCTTTATAAGCTGTTTTCTATCTATTAAATACGTTTATTCCCTCGCGGTAGCGTAAGGCCTGCCTTTACCTACTCGTAACTAGACTAATCCTACTTAGATTCTATTACGTTAACGCTAAATTGCACGATAATATACTTAACTACGTCCGTCCTATCTAATTCTATATTAACGGTCTAACACATTACGACTTTAAACTAACGCTAGACAAGCAGGCATGCCTTAATAGTAATATAACTCGCACTAACGCACCGGGAATACTAGTAAACATTCTAAAGATAGTTTATTTCGTTAAAGGTATCGATAAGCTAAACTTAATTACCTTAATACTTTAGCTAGCTATACGTGCCGCTGCCGCTAACCTTTAAGACTATAAGATCCGCTTATACTATATACTTAAGCGAGGAAGGGCTTTAGTAGAAAGTCGTTTAAGAGCTTATTACCCTTACGCGTTATAAGCCGGTATTACTCGACGACGTCTTATATATAAAACGGCCGCCTTCTTAATAGAGTCCTAAATATAAAGTCGATATTTTACGACTATATATTCTTAAGCCTATAGCGGCATTTATCTTAATACTATTACGGAGTAAGTAGAGGCGTAGGCGTAGGTGCCGTCCGTAGGATAATATTATCAAGCTATGCAGAGCTCTCCTTACGCGGCTAGCCCGTATATATATATATACGGGATCCGGCCCTCCGCACGTAACTATATAGCTTAGGCCGTAGCCTAAGCCTATAACCTATAATAGTTAAAGACTCTTATATAATGCCCTCCCTTAAGCGCGGCGCGGCGTTGCCTAATTAACGGCTTCCGTACTATTAGGCCTATACCGCTAGCTCTACCCTACCCTTTCCCGTTAATTATATAGTGTAAGAGTCTAGGCGTTGCCTAGATAGTTAATAAGTGTGGTTAATTAATAAGCTAGGCAGCTTAGTTAATTCGTTACCTTTTATCGCGTGCGTGCAACACGCCGTACGTAGTAGAGGGGGGTAGTGGCGCGACCATAGCCTATGCCCTCTTAGGTCTACTCTATAATATATAGGCCCTGCTAGCCCTATTATCTCCGCGCCCGTTAGCTTAGGTAGCCGGAACTAGGCTCTATACTTATCGGCCGGCTAGCCGTTTAAATAGGGGCGCGACCTATTATATACGCCCCTAGGTAGCCGGCGGCCGGCCTAGACTTACGTAAGCCTTAGGTTGCCTATCCCCTTAGCCTTAAGCAGCCTCTTCTACCTAGGGGTATATAAGGCGGCATCCCCCCCTTCCTCTATCCTTTCCTTCTCCTCCTTCTTTAACCGTAGTAGTAGTAGTAATAGGTAAGTTCCGCTCTACCTAAGGCGTTAGTTTATTCCTAGCTATATAGGCCGCTTTATTAACGTATACTTATAGTAGTAGCCGTAGTAGTAATAATAGCCCTAATAATAATAACTTTAACTAGTAAGTTCTCCGCCCTATAAAGCGGGAGGCCGTAATCTATAATACTAACTTCCGCGATAAATATATTTTAACGGGTAAGATCGCACCCTTATAGATATTAGCCCGTTAGGGGATAAGACCCCTAGCACTCCCCTTCTAACTTACTTCTAAGTATACTTAAAGGCATTATAAAGACCTCGATTATCTAATTATATATCTTCCTTAATTATAGTTAATTTAAATTTTTATTTTCCCCCTTTAAAGTAGAGGCCGCTAGTTACGCGACTCTAGTAGAGATAAAGAGGCATAGAGTAAAGAAATCTCTAAGACTTATATCTATAACCTAAGGCCCTTAGAGCTATATATAGGACCGATAATTAGATAATTGCGTAGTTAATTGCTTTACTAATCCTTAGCTACGTACTACGCGTGCTTTAGGTATATGCCCTTATTCCCGTTAAAACTAGTCTCTAGGGCGTAAACTCGTTATTCCGTTCTATTTATACGGCGATAAGTAGCTTTATAAAGCCGAGAATACTTAGAGGACGACGGTACTATTTAGAAAAAATAAAATCTAGGGATTTAATAATTAAAGCAGTAACTACCTTAATAGCTAGAGTTAAGGACCTAATAAGGTAATAGACTTACTAGGAAATAAATAATTAGATAATACCTTCGCTAGTAGTAAAGGAAAAGTAATAAGCTAATACTAAAAAACCCCGAGCTCTTATTATTAACCTTACGACCCCTAATACTAGCGACTTAGTTAAGAAACTACGATCTTTATATAATGCTTTAAAAGATATAAATAACGATAATAGCGTAATCTAAACCGTTCTAAAACCCTACTAAGACCTCTTACTTATATATATACTAATAATGCTAATATAAGTATTAATAAGGGACACCCTAATAACCTTAACCTTAGCTCTCCTCTACGCGGTAGCTTATAGAGAACGCTTACCTCCCGCTAATAGATAAGAAAGTAAGTAATAAGATAGTTATAATAAGATATCCTTTAACTCCGAAAACTCTAACTCTAAATTTCGTAACCTCGTAATCTATAGGTATACTATATCTAGAAACGCTAACTATTAAAAGGGATTATCTAATCTTACTACTAGCGATATAAAGAAAATTAAGGTAGATATTAATAAGATTACTAATAGACTTAAAGATATACTTATTAGAAGCTAAGATAACCTTATAGGAAAACTCCGCTAACTATAACTCCTACCTATTAGTAAATTTAACGGTAAAAATATAACTAAATTCCTTAAGAAGTTTAAATAAGAGATACGCGTTAACTATATCTATAATAAGGATAAAATAGACTAGCTCGAAGTCTATATCTCCTTTATATAAGCCCTTACTATTAAAATTCTTATGGATAGGCTTACCTAGGAAGAAGTAAAGAAGAGACTCCTTTAATACTACTATATATATAATATTAAATAACTAGAAACTACTAACGACCGCTTAGACTATTATAATACTAAAAAGCCTAAGACTATTATAGAAGTTACGGAATAGCTTAGTCTCTACTTATACCTATAGCGTAAGGTATAACCTAACGGCTAGGAAGAATCTATAGTCTAGTTATACTTTATCTACTATATAATACTAAAG